GGATACCGCGAAAGTTAAAGAACCTAGGGTTGCCTTCATCCTTCGTAACCACAGGCACATCCCGGATCCGCCATGGGGCGTAGAAACGACACTCCTTCCGGTCAGTGCGTTTATTCGTACGGAGGCAGTACGCATCACTGCAGTGGTGCCTCTGTACACGGTTGATGATAGCCGAGTAATGGGCCAGTATATTCTCCTGGGTGTGGGGACTTAGCGCGATAGCACTCCGCTCATCCTCTGGTCGCACCCGACGGGAAGGTTCGGGGTTTAACGCCGTGATGTGACCGCCCCAGAACTGCGCAAATTTCTCAAGGGCGGCAGGGAGATCCTCCGTAGGGATACGATCAAGCTCGCTGTTAGGGCAGGCACGGTCTAGCCAGAGGAGGAAATGTGAGTGCGACGAGCCGCGACCCTGCCACTCGTATCGGCCCCATTGATCGCGGATGTTAAACTTAGGATCTACTAAATTCTTGTAGAGAGCCTCACGGCGCCGATGAAAGAGGAAGGCGGCGATATGGGGATAGTCTCGGAGGTTCCGGCGTGAGATTGAGATCCGCTCCGCTGGAGATCCATTACGCCACTCCTCATATTGAGGTAAATGACGCTGTAGATCATCCCAGTGGTAATCGGCGGCCGACAGCGTTAAAAAGATGTCGGGAGACCCAAACCATTGCACGGTAGCTTCAAGCTGCTTACCACGCCCAATCCAATAGGGCCGCGTGCCGCGTAGACTCCCTGAAAAACGGATAATAGAGTTCAGAAGGGCCTGGGCTTCAGGAGAGTCATCCGCAAAAGCAGCACGGAGTTCCTCAAGAGATAGATCATTATGCTCAGGACGTTGACGAACGAAGTAAGATGCACGGGTACTGACCTGTTTCCGGAAAAGAGTGTTAAAAAGGACATACCGTAGGCGCGGATGTTTCGCAAAGCGACCATCGTGGAACCTCATCAGATGCTTAATATATTCACGATACTCTACCTTACGGAGACGGGGATGAACGAAGTCCCCAATACCGCAGGGGAAGCAGCTTGGGAACGCCAGGCTTAGAAGAGCCTGAGAGTGGTTAAACTCAGATAGAGGAGTCAATCTAAACTCAGGCATCGTCAGATGCTCACGTCGACGTTCATGAGCATCATCGACATGCTGCCGAAGTTGCTCCATCTCCGTCTGGGGTTGGAGGAGATCCGGGACTACGGCGACGTAATCTACCTCGTCTCCCGTATCGTCATCGCCGCCTCCTAGCTCTTCTTCCTCAATAGTCTGGACGCCGACCTCTTCCATAATACTATCATCAATAGGAAGATGCTGCACGCGGCTAGGGTCGACGACGACATCGCGATATCCGGGGTGGTAAACCTTTAGATGGGTTAGCAACTGCTCACGACAGATATCTAGGGGGGTGAACCTTGAGATGGGTTAGCCACTGCTCGATGACAGTACGGCGAACACGGTAGTCGCGTCGAAACTGGCGCTGCATACGGGGATCCTGATCCCAATTCGCAGGGCGAAGGACAACGATCTCAAGGTCTTTCGGAAGGAGAGGTAGTCGATTGTATACACGCCCCACGTCTCTCATAAAGTTGATGATATGTCCTGTATAACGGTACTGAAGACCGTTAACCTTTCGAACCTCCACAGCACAATGGACACGGGCGATAAGGAGCTCCTCTACTTGAGATAACTCAGGAAGATTGTGATGCGACGGGCCCAGACCAGGATTTAAATGATTCTCTGCGGAATACAGCGGTGGTAAATCGCCTCGTTTCCTATCGTCGATCCTACATCGATGACATATACCATCCACGAGACGCATATCAAACCATTTTTCGTCACATTGGGCGCAGTGCTCAAGGTTCAAACTAGCCATCTCCTGGTGGAAGGCCTTAACGTATCCCCAATCCTGCTCGGAAAGATTGGCATCCTGGATGTTGAAATCCCGGGACTGGGGATCGAGGCGAACATCTCCGCGCTGAAGTGCTTCTGTACGACCATCATCTCGCTGTTGACGTGTACGATTGCGTTGCTCATCTCTCCGTTGACGTGTACGATCGCTTTGCTCATCTGTCCGTTGACGTGTACGATCGCGTTGCTCATCTTCCTGATGACGTGTACGGGGTTGCTCATCGCCCTGAATTTGGGATAACCCGGCCAAGGAGATCGGACTTAGACGCCTAAACCCGTTGTCGCCATCATCAGGAGCACCTTGACCTGATTGCGGTTGATGTGAAGGTGATAGCCTCCGTCGTTGGAGATAATCCCCGAACGTTGGTAGCGGCTGGACATTACGGTGTAGACGAGTAGCAGCGCGATGAGCCCGTGACATAGCATTATACTCCCTGCGAGCAGCGGCTCTATCCCCATCGTCTTGGCTATGTATTCCGGCACGGTGGAATAGGGAAGCCTCCCGCCTCCAAGACCTATCGTCCTCAGTGTCGGTTGGTTGCGAGGACGAGGCGTCTCGCGTAGACGTAGCGGCGGGTCGAAGATAGGGGGTCTAATGATGTCAGCTTGAACGTATTCGAATCATTCACTCTACCTACAGCATCACCATGATCGTGGCCGTAACGACATCGCCAGCACTTCTTGACCAGTAGTCGGCGACGCTTCGAAGTAAACTCCTTATCAACCCTCCAGGACCTACAATTCGAGCATACTCTACCACCGGCGTCTCCAGAAGATGACATGTCGGAGGCGTAATAATAGAAGGATAAGTAAGTGGTAGATCAGGAATAAGAAGTAGATTGATTGATTGGTATCCCTACGCCCGTTAGGCCTCCCTGCGAGGCCCATGTGGGAAGAGTGGTGGAGAGGAAAGAGAGCGACAGAAAGTAAACAGTAAAAAGCATCGAAATCACGTGGTTTCCTCTCATAAATCACGTGGTTTCCTTTCGCGAACCCCTGTCTAGCCAATGAGAGGGCAATAAAAAGTTTTTGATTCTACCAATACCACTTAAGTAACTCGCTACGCTCGTGATAATAGAGAAGCCAAAACGCCCACCTGGCCCCTGCTTCTTAAACCTGCCAGCTACGAAGTAGACAAGCCCTAATAAGTACAAGATGCCTCTCTTCCATGCCGTTGGGGCAACGGCATCAAAGACAAACTTTGATATCGCGTTCGCCTTTATGAAGGGAGAAACCGAAGACGACTATATTTGGGTATTAAGTCAGCTCAAAAGTGCCATAGGTATACTTCTTCCACGTCTAATACTCACGGATAGCGAGGACGCCTTGATCAATGCACCCGAGCTCGTTTTCGCCGGGATTCCGCGCCATCTATGTAATTGGCATATCTTTATGAATGTTAATACCAATCTCACGCGAAAGTTCGTACTTCCAAGACATCTTGATATCTTATATCAGACAAAGGCGCAAAGGGAGGACATGAGGAAGCTCCGTGCTCAATTTCTGAAAGATTTTAAGAAGGTAAGTGGCTTTAAAACCGCGGAGATCAAAGTGAGATCGAGCTATGAGATACGTACGTTGATATCTCTGGAAATGGCTATAATGGAGACTCCGCGGTTCTAACACATACTTTGAGTTCGGGAATTTTGCTAACTATGCGCTCACGGCGTGATCAAGCAGCACGTTACAGAAGCAAAAGAAGATTTGATGAATGTGACTACTCTGATACTCCAGGCAGTCGTACAGAACGCCAATGAGTCTATTGCCGCCAACGATACGGCCTCTATTAGGACTTTAACGCGGTGGAGATGTAATTCAGTCATCTCTGACGACCTCCTCGACAGGGTCTCCAAACCGGCCTTGAATTAGCTGATGGAACAGACTCAATTAGCTCGCGCGACTCTCCTTACCCGCCCTATACCTCTCCAGCCTTGTACAGGGACTTTTGCTAAATCGATGGGCCTACCGTGCTCCCATACTATTAGCGAGAACCTCCGGCGGATTAGAGACTGGCAGATTCCCCTTTCCTTGATTGATGAGCACTGGCTATATTTCAGGAAGCCTGTCTTCGGTCCTGCACAGGATCCATTCCGTCATCTTCGAGAGCCTGCAATTCCTACCTCTCAGCGGACCGTTCGCCAGCCAAAGCTACAGGGCATTGTCTTGGTCTCTCCATCTGGTGAACTCCAAGCCTCGCAGTCTACGCCTACACCGCGTGGAACGTCCTCTCATTGCGAAGAGGTTGGATTTGAAACCGCAGATCGAGAGGCTAATCGTGCTCCACGCCCACAGCCTATACCAAGGCAAAGACGTGCGAGGGGAGCAAATCCAAGGCGTGCGAGGGGAGCAAATCAAAGGCGTGGTACAGGAGCGACTCGTGGAGCGATCCAAAGGACCTCAGATGGTGGAGTTTTTATGACTCTCGACTTATGATATATCTTGTATACTACACGTTCATTTCTCTATTATATATCTATCTCTACATCACCATTTCCGCGAGTTCTGCAGTTGCACGTTGAGCGAGTTGGTGGTCACAGAAATTAGTAGGCTAACCATCTTTGGGGACGTGTACGTCTAGTATTTGGGAACGTGTACGCGTAGAAACCGGGGACGTGTACGCGCAGGACCATCCATCATCTGGCAGCTGAGTCCCAACTGAGATAAGGATTAGGAATATCTCAAACCCTCACCACCCACGGACTACTCGCCAGCGAGGCGATCCCAGAGCCGATTCGAGCCCAAGGGTGTCCTGTTGGGGATCTAGGACGCGTCCTCATCCGCCTAATAATAAGTTAGACTTCAGGATCTAGTTGCAGGCTAGATAGATCCCCATCGGATGGTTTTCATCTCCCACATTCCTTGATGGCCTCCCTTGATGAAAAAACACCCTGCCCAACGGAGGCAGTAGACACGGTCGGTACTGGCGACGGTAGTGGATGCTACGCCCATCGCCAGCGACCCGTGTGCGGTCGCGACACGTCTCTTTCATCGCCACTGCACTTGACCGCACTGTGCGTTCATGCCTGGAAAACCGAGGCTTAACACGTGACTCGCTTTGTTTATTGCGGGAATGTCATGTTTCCTGCGACATCAACATCAAGTATACCCCACATGGGCCTCACTGAGAGGCCTGACGTGCGTATGAATCTCTCTCACTTCTAGTATTCGGACATAAAGAACGCCGCCAGCCGTCATTGTCCACCTATGGAACCTGCTGATATTGCTTCATGGATTGAAAACACACAGAGAGCGATCCCGAGTTCCCGTCACCGAGACGCTAAGGATTCGAAGAGCTCTGCGCTGCAGTCCAGTCCTGTCCGATTGTCGTGGTCCTCCAAGCCACTCTTGTATCACCCACTCCAGACCGTAACTCCTCCCTCATCCGTGAAAAACCCGACGAGGCGCAAGCAACGTCTTTCATTGCCTGCAACCGAGCGTTCCTCGAGTCCACGGAAGAGGCAGCGAGGCCAAGATAGTGATACAGTCCTCAGCTCTAGCTCTAGGAATATTGCGGTCCTCGACAGTCGCACGGTGCTCAGTGCAACATCACTAGGCTCAGGTTCCAGTCCGAAACGAAACAACAGCCCCACACGAGATCATGCCATCGAGCTGAGAACTTCAGTACCTTCAATCCAAACTGACAGTCTCATCAGAGCGGATATCCCCAAACAAGTGCGGGGATTGAGAAAGCTTCTCATAACTAACTTTGGCCGAAGCTTCCTTCCAGCAGGTCTTAAGGTATGTCCCTGCAAATCTGTCCGCGCGGGTCCTATCTGACTTTCTTCTAGGAGGTCATCTCGTCCGATCCAGATCTTGTGGACGAAATCGACGATGACGCCTACGACGAAACGGATCAACGCGCTCCCAAAGATATACTTTCTCTTCTTGATAATATTCAGAGGATCGTTGCCAATGCTCGGGACTGTGAGCAGAATCATCGAGATGAGAATGCTTGGTGCATGGATGTCATCCAACCGCTTCTAGAGTTAGCTCTCAAGGAAAGTGTATCAAATGAGTGGCTTCTGCAGAGCGTGTAAGTAGACACAACTCGGAAAGATCAGAGTTGAATCTAATCTATCGGTGCAGACAATCCCAGCGGGTCCAAACCAATTTCCTGAGCCGAACGGCATCGAACGCACTCATTGAGCGCAAAACCGACTACGTTCTATCATATTCGCATAAAGATCCGGCGACGAGCGAGTTATATGAGAAATTGGCGCGGAATGGAATGCGAGACCGTTTGGGGCATACAAGGGACTCGTTCACGAAGCGGACAGCTTTATTCTCTGGAATTGAGGTAAAGCCTAGTGATGGAGGTCATGCACAGGCAGAACTTCAACTGAGTGTCTGGCTCGCGGCAAGTCTACGGAACAAGGCTCGCTTGGTTGAGACAGCACAGCGCTTCGCTAGTACTGGGGCCAAAGAAGGGACAGCTTCGGAAACACAGGATTGTGTGAAGGTTTTCCCTGAACCCGGAGCGACAATTGTTGGGCACGATCACCAAATCTACTATGCATGGATCGACAGTGATGAAAACACGGTAAATCCCCCCAACCCCCTCTTTTAGTTCTTGTTGCTAACGTTGCTCTGGCATTAGACCAACGTAGGACCAGACGACCGCTTAAGCGCCAGCACACGAAGCGTTAGAGGGGCTTTCCTTTTGTTGGATCTCTATAAGCGCATATTGCAGTATGGCTCTGCTGGTAGTCAATATAAGAACTGGTTCTTTGGGGACGTGTTGCAACAGCTGGTCAGCGGAGCGGACCTAGAAGGATAGTCCAGTCTGGGTTGGTAGGAAGTGGATGGTATGGAAGCCAATGCTGCGATGCCATCGGAAGAATCTCGAGTGGATAAACCCTAAATTAATCCTTAGCAATGGACATGCACGAAAATGGTGCCAGTAGCGCCCACGACGAGATTGGTGAAGAGGTGATCGATGACTCGACGATGAGACGGCATGCGACGATGGTGGGAGATGACGATCATTGACATAGCGTTGCTCTGACGTGTGACGAACTTGAGCGGCGCCTGCAGGGCCTAGGCACAGTGACGGGGAGTTTTGGGCACCTCCGGTAATGAAACGATGGAGTTTCGCCGAGGTGGAAAGACAGCAGAAGACGCCGTCAGGAACCTCCGTTTTTGGAGGCAATTTCGGTAGCATACGACGTTCCAATCGCGGCTTCGCCCTTCCTCTCTACCTCTCTGCGGGCGTCCTCTCCTCGCTTGGTTCTCTGTATTACTATTCATTGCGCTCGCGGTTTAACATCTTCAGCATGGGGGCTTCTGGCGCAGTTTTCGCCTTCCTCTCCGCAATCCACATGCTCGACCCTTACGCACCTTTCCAGGTCTCTTTGGAGGGTTTGTTCTTCAAGGACCCGGGACTATATCCTGCCTGGGGAATACTTGCGACGATTGTCGTATTCGATCAGGTTGTGGGCTTCTTCGTGAAGTCTATGAATACAACGGCACATCTCGGTGGTGCTATCGTTGGTGTAGTGGGCGTTTGGATCTGGAAAGATCTCTGGGGGAGGAAGATAAGCGGACACGAGGAGAGGAGAGCTCAAAGGATGCGAAACACGTCATCTTGATGGTAGCTGATCTAAAGCTCGGCTAGCAATGAGATACACCGGGAAGGGCAATGCTCGCACCCCAAAGAAAAAAGAGAATAACAATCCACGATTTATGGAATGAGACCATTTCGTTGCTTCAGCTTCGTCATTGCCTCTTCATCTACACGGAAATCGAGCACCAGTCTGTGAGGGCACCTTATCGAGTACTTCCCATCGTCTCCCTCATACAGGTCCAAGATATCGCCTCTGGACTCTTCCGACTGCTTCGGTTTTACGGCGCCAGTAACCACAAGCCACAAGAACTCCTCTACGTCGCTTAGTATCTGCTCTCCGTCCGCGTCATAGGTAACATGCCTGCATGCAATTTTGACTCTGGAGCTCGACTCATCTGCATTCCACTCCGCAACGAGCTGCTTCATCCTACCAATCGAGTCACTGAAGAGGACTATATTCCCTTGCGAGGGAAAGATAATCGGAACCCATTCATATAATGAGTCGCCGACGAACAGCACGCGCTCGTCTGAGTCCCAAATCGCTAGCTCGTCCGGGGTGTGACCTGGAGTATGGAATACCCGAAGCGGAAGGGAGTTGGACTTGTACTGGAGGAATTGGCCGTCGTCTAACCAATGCGACACTTTATACGATGGTGTCCTGATTCCGAGGTTCCTGCATAGTGAAATCGTAGGCAGGTTCGCAGGAGAAAGAAACGAGCGGTCGTAGGAACTGGCGCAGATTGACGATTTGGGATGATCACGAAATTGTTCGATCCCCCCTGATTGATGTCAGACCCGACTTCATACTCCATACTTTCGCACAAAGGGAGCGTACCGATATGGTCGAAGTGACAGTGCGTGCACACTACCATATAACTCAGTCTGGCAATTGGGTTCAACGGCTCCTTTCCATTATCTCCGACGGGGACGGTCTCCAAATATTCTCGTAAAGAGGTCACGGTCACATCCAGATCTTGCGCCGCACCTCCACATTCTGTGTCCAAAATGACTAGCGTCTCATCCAGGATTTTAACAAATATCTGGGGATACTCGAGATATTTCTCCTCCTCGACTATTTTGAATGCCGTCGACTATTTTGAATGCCATCGAACTATTTTGAATGTCGTCGAATTGAGTCGCTCCGCTACAAAGCAGATCGTGGGTACCCTCATATCGATAGAATTGGGGTCTGTGTCTCAGTGTCGGGCGAGATTGGTATCAGCCATCCAATGTGGAAGAAATCTAACCTCTCCCATGCGTGATGGGACACCTCCCGTGCTACTGTGAGGGGTCAGAGTAATCCGGTCAAATCGTGCACAGGCCCCAACAACCACGAGACGCGTTAAAACGACTCTAGATCTTAGATGATCAACTCAAGAAACTGATGATGGACAGAGTCACGTGCGCTTGGCATTACGGGGTGTTTTGGGAGGAGAAGGGTTGATTTTCGTGACCAGGTCGTGTGGAAATGCCGCCAAAAACCGCGTCACAAACCGCTCTTTGCGGCGGCAATTTCACAGGTCCTCAGATTCTACTTGTAATTAATAGGACCGGAAGCGGTAGTGAAATACAAGGGAAGTTGGCTTAGGCCTGCGCCATGCGGTAGTTTCGAGGTCCTCTTGGCTTCAGACTTTGCAAAGCTGAGTACCAACTTCTTCCCACCGTTCGCTTCCAGCACAGCTCCGGCACCAGAAAACATCATTGGGATCAAACTGCCTTTTGGCCTTGAGCAGTCGCGGGTAATTGCTCCCCCAGAATTCCTGTTGAAAGTTCGGATCGAAAGCGTTTGCCTAAAGAATATGAGTAAAGGCTTGGGAACGCGGTAGAAAGGGATCATACCTCATTCTGATAAGCACCCGTATTCGGTGCGAGCTCCCGTAGAGGATCCATCCAAGTGGTTGTCACGTTGTTAATTGCAGCAGCTTTCGACGCGGCATTCAAGGGTAGGAATGGTCCGGAGACCACTGCACCGTTGTCAGAAACATGTTCTTCTATCGACCACAGCATGACTTACCGGCGTGCACATAGCCCGTTCTCCACGCTGGCGTCACAGAATTCCAATCGTTCGCGTACTGGTGAGTACCCGGCCCGGCCACCAGATACAACCGCAGCCCGCGAGGAGGCGTCGCCTTCTGAATCAACGACGCGAGCTGCGGATGCTTGAGGGCGCTCTCGTCGAGGATCCTCGAGCCGATCACTACGTTGATGCCAGTGGCCGTTGTGATGTCGGGGTTGGCCGTCCACCACTCATATAAGGAGCCCCAGGAGCTAGTATCTACGACGGTCTGGATTTCGCCGGGATACAGAGCGTCCACCGTTTCTACGATTGGGTCTATTAACGCCGAGAGCTCGGATATGGTCATATTTGGCGCCGTGAAGCTTCCCTGGTAGCCGGGTGGAGAGGTGCCGAGGGCTGGTGCGACGGACGTGTAGCCCATTGCACCGCCTTTCGAAATATCCGCATACTTCCCGACCACGTATGCGACCGCGTCCCAGAAGTGCGCAATGTCTGTGCCAGTGGATACGAAGTTGAACGTGTAGTATGCGATGGGGACGGACGGGAAGATATTGACTGTGAAGTCCAGGACGACACCGAGGGTCGAGCCACCACCACCGCACAATGCCCAGAAGAGCTCGCTGTTTTTGCATCGGTTGGCCGTGACGATTTTCCCGTCCGGCGTGACGATCCTGGCTTGTATAACATTGTCGACCGCGAGACCTGTCTGGAAGCTGAGGACTGAGTGCCCACCGCCAGTAGTATAACCACCTTCGCCGACACTGCCGGCGGCGCCAACATTAAGCATAAAGCCGTGCTTGTTGACCTCTGCAAAAACGCTGCTATGGTCCTCGCCGGAAGCAAATGTGACCACCGGTCCATAGGAGCACTGCTTGCACGGCTGCCGGTCTGTTTCGATTTCGAAAGTCTCCCGCACCTGGATACCACGCAAATGCCTCGTCCAGATTGACAGAGAGTCGGGAGCCACAGTTCGGCCGCGGAAGTCGTGTCCGGTGCCTTTGACGACTAGTCTAATATTCCTCTCGCGAGCAAAGTTGATCCCGGCCTGGACATGCTGTGCTGTATTTGCGTTGATGACGTACGAAGGATATCCGTCAGCACTGCACGGGTTCTCAGGGGCAGGCAGACAAGTGTCGTTGTTCCAGTTGTTATAGCCATTGCCGACTGGATCTTCGATGTGGAAGCTCCATGAGGTTGTCCATGCACGTTGAACAGCCGGACAGGCCGCCTCGTCGTAGTTTGGCTGCTCGGGGTGACAAACGCCGCCAGGAGGAAGGGGTTTGATGAGGTTTCCGGATAGTGTCTTGTTGAGCGCATCCCAATCAGACGTGGAGGGCCAGGACGCCGTTCCCGGTACAGCTTTACATGTTCGAGCAAGATCTTCCGCTACCGTGAGGATGGAAAGGAGTAGGAGCGGCTGAATGACTTTTAGAGAAACCATAACGCCAGGATAATATGAAGAAGGGCACAACGGGAGAACGATTCTTGAAAATATTGAACCACAGTTCGGGACTCTAACATAATATGGAATTGCACCTACATAGCGGCATTATTTAAGCCGACATCCCTATTAACGACGATGGAGGAACGGACAAGCTCGCGTCACCGGTGACACGGTCTTCTAGCTCTGGATACTAGCTCCATCGCGATGTTCCATCAGAATGGTTACTGTCCGTGGTTCATCCAGGAAGGCCGGTCCTAAGGGAACAGCTCAATTGGATGGATTTCGCCCGGGACCAAGGAGTTCTTTCTTGAAAGGATAAATCCTATTCCTGTCCAATTTTATGAGACCGATAAGACGGTTAATACGACCGTGGCGTTCGTGGCGGTGGCAGCAGTTTACTGTTCTACGGTTGAGCCAACAGAATAAGGGGGCTGACTCCAAGGGTCAAGTACATACACCTTCCACATTGGTTAACTCCGTACCGTGTTCAGTATCAATTGGATTAGCTAGACTCTCTTCTGAGTTTTAGGTCTTCTTAAAAGGCGCTCGGTCACGGCGAGGCGGCGAGACAGCGAGATGGTGCTTAAACGTCGCGGCAAGTGAGATTGGCGAGTAAAATTGGATTTGCTGGCCATCGACCCCAGATAGATGGATGAAGGAACGAAAGTTGAACTCGGCTGTTTTGTTCACTCGAGATGCAGATGCCTGGCAATGTGCAGCTTAAGGTAGCAACATGGTTCATGAGACATCAAACAAAGGTGGAGACCCAGCCACTAGACAACATAATAGACCAAAGGGGACGAGTGTCAACAGGCGACCAATATGGCAATTTCCCAGTCAACAAACACTCATGTCCAATTACTTACTCCATATTCCGTATACAGTGTCGGACTGTCGGTTATGATGCCGATGAGTCGCTTGATTGAGTGCTACAAATACCTAAGTCGAGCACGTGGTGGCCAGCTACATTGAGGCGTATTAATAGGGATGAGCAGAGGCCAGAAAAGGCTGAAACCTACGGTCTTCAACTACAAGAGGTTGATGTTTTATGGTATCTCCAGGTTCATGTTGGGTCCCAAAGTCCTGACGTATCTCTCGTTTGCAAAAGTAGCCTACCAGTTCAAGAACAGGACCCCTAATAGGAAAATTTCAGGGCCGGTATTTACCTGGTTGCGAATATAGACCAGGGGAGAGCAATACGCATCTTATGCTTGACAACGCTGACTGATCAGGCCGTGCCAGCCTGATCCTTTTGGACAACAAATTCCGATATCTTCGACGTACGTGCCCGGTGAAAGAGGGGCACCTTGTGCTATTTGTAATAAAAAGATATGGGATAGCAAGTATTATGAGAATCCCCATAGAATGTTGTTCCACATCGGACTCGAAGCTGGAACCTGCAAAAGAAAAGCACAGCACTTGAATGGCCAACCAGCTGGTGTTTCCAGATCAATTCCTCTGGCAACCCCGTGTGGTGCCACCGACAAAGCCACATGCGTTCGTTCTTAATAATAATAATATTTCAATTTAACGTGCTATCCGGTTCCCGTTAGGGTCTTCGTTCTTAATAAAGTTGACCAAAGTATATTTATTAAGTGCCTTCGGAATTCACCTGCTCCTTACTTCACTGATCCCATAGCTTGCTCAATAACACACTCGTGTCTAGGAAACATTGCTGAACCATGCTCTCGGGGATGATATGCCACCAAAGGTTGTCCTAGCAGCTAACACCATACGAAGTGAATTGATGGACTTGATGGACTAGTTGCCTATCCATATTCATCTCAGTACTTGTCCGCAGGTTGCCGATGTGATCGCGGGAAAGCTTCCTCGTTTATAATCTGACAAAGACAGTCGGCATGAAAGTTTGAATTGATCAGGAGAAGCCCACCAGGAGAACCGCGCCGGACAATTTCGATTGGAAGACGGCTGCAAAAGAGCGTCATGACAAAGACATAGGACCATTAAAGGGGAAAGACAAGTTCGAGAGACCTTAAAAAGTATGCAACGCTGGAAACGGACTTGTACTCGCTCACCATGCTGCCCCTTCTAATGATTTACCTGGTATCTGGGAGAGAGCATCCGTGGAACGATCCATTACAGATTCTGAATTATCTGGAACAGAAAGCCCCCGTTGGTGTTCTGCCAGAGAACTCAGACACTACTATGTACGTGGTCGACTACGCTCCGTTCCGTTCCGTCTTCGAGACAACTGAGACGACGGAGTACCTGAGCGAGCGGCTCGGTAGGCGAATAGATGAGGAGTGAGGTTTATACCGACGCAAGTCTAGGCAGAGGATGCTCTAATGGCGATAGAACCCTGGATAAATAGTTCGGTAACACTTCGTACTATGTATTCAGTACGTCTATGCATCTATTTTTGGATCCTGCCCCATCCAAGTTGCAATATAACCAGACGCTAACGGTGTGGCCGCGATCGGGCAGATCGGGTTTACTATATAAGTTAATATAGGAAGCCTAACTTAGAAGCACAAGAGGACAAGGAACGCTAGGAAACCACTCTCGGGCGATGCCGCCTCTTTCAAACCAATGAAAAGGAATTGATAGAGATAGATGCTGGAATATAGCGGACAGGAGAACTCTCATCAGCTCAGTTGGTCCCGGATTTGCCACTTGCCACTTGTTTCGTGTTGTCAGAGCCGTGGGTAATGGATCAACATGATTGCACACCAACAGTGTTGTATGATCCAGGGTCATGGTGGTACAGCAGAGACACTGTCCGGCTGATGAAGGCTCGGATGCTGAGTAACTCGAGGTGCATACAACCCGTCCATAACCGATTCGAAGAACAATTCGAGAAGACTTTCAAGAGACGCTAAAGATGGATTCCAAGGCTCGTGTGCGATATGGGATTCCATGGCTAAGGATCATGATCGAACGGAGGTCGAGAAGATGTCACTGGCAGGCTCCATCATCCCCGTTCGATCCACGATTGCGATTTCTCTGCTGACTCAAGCCGTGAGACCGGATAACCAGACAACTTCTAGAATGATTCAGCCTTCAGGTCTCAAGAGAGGCGAATCAAGGGGACTGTGGAGCGTCTGATTAGAACGAAACAGGAGAGAGCCGAAAAGCAGCCGTCAGCTGGGATGGCGTGGAATGTGGATGGATTGGTGTATCTATCTCGAACTCGGTTCTGTATAGACGGACGACGGTAGACCAGGTGGGAGCTGTCGTGCTTCCATTATTCATGCCTCTGAAGCCTGAAATACTGTGTAATTACGACGAGGGAACTCATGTTTCCATCTGATAGGAGCATCAACGACTGCCTAATGTTTCTAGACGGTGGTGGTCTAGAGCTGTGTAGACTGTAATAGAGAAAGGCCCAAGAAAGGATCGGTGTTTGATGCGCCTTGTTCTGAAACAACGACAACCCGCCAGCCCCTGCAAAACCCCCTGCATCTCGCCGCATCCCCGTACATTGATTCCCATTGATTCGACGCTCCTCCCTGACACTACTCTCTCCTCCGATCCAGTTCTCGTCGGTTGCTCTCCCATTTGCCTATTGAGCCTGCTGTCGCCGAGGTTTCGTGGGTTACGACTATACCGCCACCGAGAGAATCATCGTTTCCCGTTCCTCAGCGCGACGCGATCCTCTACCGAAACTCGCTTCCTCCTCCTCGGTACCACCCATCCCCTACTCTCTCCTCTCCTATATACGAACATCGGGATATCAAAGATCGGGATATCAAAGATCGGGATATCAAAGATCGGGATATCAAAGAAAGAGGGAAGGACCACAATCCTTCGCCAGACCAGTTTCTCTTACGGTCCTTTGATATCAACGTCTGCGACAACCCTCCTACATACAACCCCTCTTCACCCTACCTACGCCATCGTTGATCACTTTCGAGATCATCCCTCCACATTTCACATTCTCTTCGACTCGGCCGACACTTTGTTTCATAGGCTGGTAAGTCATCATCTGTTCCAGACTCAGGTTACCTTTCTATTCGCCACGTCTGTTCACTGTCTTTGTTCGTTCAACATTGCCGCCACTGATCTCCCTTTGACGTTTCCCTGCCCGCTAGGTATCATCTTGGTGAATATCGAACCACCAGATTTCCATGAAACAGAGGGTGAAGAGGACGTGGAAATGGATTGACTGACCATCTGACGATAGTCACCTTCTCTTTGGTAGAGGAATACGCCTATTCACCGACAATAGCACCACAATAGCTGCGCAAACAGTTCACCTTCCTGGGTGACACAGTCTCGCGTACGCCGCACCCTCACCTCCGAACCGACTCTGTGCTTCATCTCGTCTACGCCACTCTATATTCATTTATGCCTCGCTGAACACTTAATACCCGACGGTCCCTTCACAACGGTCTCTCACAAAGCACTTGCCATAGTCATACATCGAGTACCTACCATTCTTCAATACAATGGCAATGCTCGCCTCCAAATCGCCGTATCCGGCTGGACACGGGGGAGCAAACAATTTCTCTTCGTCACAAGCTTCCAATCTTGGGAACTACCGTGTGCAAGCGAGCGCGGTGAGGGAACAGCCTGGCTTCTTCGCCAGCCCTACGGAGTCGGAATTCTCAGAGCTTTATGATGGACATGATTCTGTGAGGTTCGTACTATCGCGTCGCTGTATCTTAGATTCCCGCTAAGAGACCTGGCAGACACTGGGACGAGGAGCGTGTTGGAGACTGGCTTCAAAATCTCGGTCTTGGCAATTATGCTGAAGCTTTCCGAAGTAAGTTGATCTCCGTTGCTGCCGTGCCGCCCGACTGACGCGCTCGCAGGACACAATATCAGCGGCGAAGTCCTCATGGAGATGGAGACCACGGCACTCAAGGACATTGGCATAAAGAAAGTTGGCGACCGCGTTCGAATTAGCACGCAAATAAAGCTCTTTCGGAATAAGGAGTACCATAAAGCGTCCAAGAAGGTTTCAAATAGGGTAAATTAATCTTATACGTTAAGTTGAATGATGCTTACATTGGTACAGGAATCCTTAGTTATACTCGAAACTGCCGCCTACACTCCTCCCTCGTCTGCCTCTCCTCGACCACTCCATTCCGCACGCTCCAATACCAGCACTCGCTCCGACAAACGAATGTCCCGCCAAATCATGGCTTCCGAGCTCAGCAGCTACGCAGCCGGGAACTTTGGGTCCGGCAAACCTTCATCGCGACCAAGCTCCCCGTTCGTAGACCAAGAACGGAGTCGCCTCAAATACGGCATGAATAGCCCCAAGAAAGACGGCATCCACGGTCCTACCAGTGGAGGCTCATCAGGCGGAAGGATACCAGGTACCTCCACATACGGTCCCGGCCGATCATCAACCACTCCCAACGACACCACTCCACAAACCGCCCGCTTCGCTACCCACGTCCGTGCCAGCCCTAGCATGGACGGTTCCGTCACCAACAGCAGTATCCTCCCTGCCGACAAACCCCTCATCCGAGTCATTTTCGAAAACGCCAACTCATCCGTGGTCAGCATCGATGGCTGCAAGACTGCCGAGGACATCATCCTGAAGAGCTTACGAAAAGGCCAACTCAACGAAGCCCACGTCACCGCACACTGCTTCTACGTCCTGGACGGAATCGAGCCGATCCCCTCGCGCTGCCGCCGATTAAACGATGCCGAACTCCTGAGCATATGTACCGACCGAGCGCGTCTCGAGCGAGGCCGACTCATCCTCCGGAAGATCCACAAGGGCAAACCGGAAGACGACCAGCTGCGAGCGGCGGCGAACATCGCGAGCCAGCAAATGCAACAACCGCCACAGAAACACGTCATCATCCCGAACAGCAAGTCTAGCCAGATGAAGATCGAGAAGATCACCGGGGAGTCCTTGGCGGCCGTAAGCTACCCGCTGTCCCCAACATCGGCCCGTGAGCGTGAACGACACATCAATTCCGCCGCGCAGGACCTGGAGCGATCGGATAGCGAGCGGATGCCACCCGCCGCACGCGTGAGGAAGATTAAAGAACTGTATGGCGGCCGGCCACCCAGCGAGCTCATTGCCTCGGACCTATCGACGTACTTCCCAGAGTATCAGAAGGACGAGATCGACAAGGCCGTGCGCATGTCCGTCCGGCGGTCGCGCCGGATCAGCCGTGCGGCCAACCGGTTAAGCACGGTTAGCAATGTCAGCATCGCGTCGGGTCTTCGAGATGCGCCGCCGTTGCCCGCCATATCCGATGCATATCTGGGAATGAATCAAGCGAGGCCATTGCGGCCGCTCTCCGTCATGCGGCTGGGGCTGCCGCACGCCTCCAACTACCGCGACTCCGTAACGTCGTCGGTTCTCGAGCCACTAGACGAGGAGTCCCCCCTGGAACCCAACCGGAAATCGTATGTCTCGTTCGCGGGCGACAGCGAAGTAAGCGTGGCGGATGGGGAAGCCAGCGCGACGATGCTGAGTTATTACGACGCGAGTAGTAGCGCCGCGAACAGCAGCATGTCAGGATCCGACCCCTGCGACTCTCTCAACAAGCGTCTCTCACAACTCATTCAAGACGACAGTGAGGGGTCCGACGAGGAGCTCACCGAGTACCTCGAGCAAGACTCGTGGGAGAACGTCAAGTACATGAAAGGTGCGCTGATCGGACAAGGCTCGTTCGGGAGCGTCTATCTCGCGCTCCACGCCGTCACCGGCGAACTCATGGCCGTGAAGCAAGTCGAGATGCCGTCGTCCGCCTCCAACAACGCCCTCGACGCCAAGAAGAACAGCATGGTCGACGCCCTCAAGCACGAAATTGGCCTTCTCCGCGAACTCAAGCACTCCAACATTGTGCAATACCTCGGCTCCAACTCCGACGAATCCCACCTGAACATCTTCCTCGAGTATGTCCCCGGTGGCTCCGTGGCGTCCATGCTCGTCAACTATGGTCCCCTCCCAGAGGGCATGATCCAGAACTTCGTGCGGCAGATCCTCCACGGCCTTGCGTACCTGCACAGCAAGGACATCATCCACCGCGACATCAAGGGCGCCAACATCCTCGTCGACAACAAAGGCTCCGTCAAGATCTCCGACTTCGGCATCTCCAAGCGCGTCGAGGCCTCCTCACTCCTCAGCCCCGCCGCCGCGAAGTCCGGCGCCGGCGCCCGCGTCTCGCTGCAGGGCTCCGTCTTCTGGATGGCGCCCGAGGTCGTGCGGCAGACGTCGTACACCAAGAAGGCGGACATCTGGAGCCTGGGGTGCTTGCTGGTGGAGATGTTCTCCGGGAGCCATCCGCATCCGAACTGCAGCCAGATGCAGGCAATCTTCAAAATCGGGAGCACACAGGATTGCAGCCCAACGATTCCGGACAATGCCAGCAAGGAGATGACGGAGTTTTTGCGCAGCACGTTTGTGATTGATCACGAGAAGCGGCCGACGGCGGAGGAGTTGTTGGAGAGTGCGTTTTTTGTGATGAAAAGTTGAGAGGCCTTCTTCTCCTTCAACTTTCTTTCAACAGCCGAGATGGGGCATTTGAAGGGGTTGGAGCAGATTGGCTTGATTGAGGTTTGGGGCTTCGGCTGTTCAACGCAGCGTGACAAAAAGTAATGAAACGAGGAATGCTGGCCATGAATCGATAAAAGATCTGATGATTGATGGGGATGGGAACGGAGTAATGCATATACCAAACCTGAGAGATCTCGTAACTTTGTACTAGTAGTTTGAGAGAGCCAAATTGGAGTGAATCTTGGTGAAATACTTGCACTCACACCCATCACTCTATATTGTGTGACCGACTAGGCCAGCGATTGAAGCTTGTTTCTTTCCCGTTGACTCAATTGATATTACCGTACTGCAGGCCGGTCTTAATTCGACCTATGGAATACTAGAGGAATATGCCAGTCCGTGTATACCGTCATGCAATCCTTGGATTCCTACGAAGAAGCGAGGATAGCTCCCATTTGAGGTTTATGTCTAATATTACAAGATAATGCAAGCCACAGCTATACCGAGTAATCCGCGCCATGCAATGCTTTCCATAACGCTCCGAGAGAGCCATACTGCCAGTACCATGCGTTGTGCACACCAATACGGCATACCTGAGGTCGAGGCAAACCTAATCCAGTCTTATACGTTTCGCCTTAGTATACCCAGGAGCTCTTATGTTCCCCCATCCCTTACTGGCATCGACTGCCGTAGCCACGGCCGCCCCATTTCTCCTCACAGACCCAGTCGCCGCGCCAGTATCAGTCGGCACCGCCTTGTCAGTAACCTCCGCCCTGGCCTTCCTCCCACGGGTTGACATCGTGATGGAGAACAAGAAGAGCACTGCTTCCACAGAAGACGATTCGTCATCTCGATCCTTCCGCGCTTCGAAGTTGCCGGGCGAGCGGGGTCGGTGTTCGGGGAGTTCGAAGCGGACGGACTTGATGGTCTTGGGCGTCTCTTCAGTCGTGTCGCTGTGAGGGATATCCTGGTGCTGTTGTGCGTGAGACCGAGTGGGATCGGTGGGATCGGTGTCGGATGGGTTGCTTTCAGCAGATTCGGGCTCGGATTCTTTCAGCAGAAAGGGCTTCTGCTCCGATGCACTAGCCGCGGCTGATTTGTCCCTCTCACCAACTTCTAGTTCCTCGACCGACGCAGCCGCAGGCCTCTTCGTCGCCGCCGCTTTTGTGGTGCTAGAGGGCGGTTCGGGTTCCTCGTGTTCCGAGAAGTTGTAAAAGGTCGACAATTCACCACGGACGATAGCCAAACCCCAGCAGGCGAGTAGGACGCCAGGGACGAGGTAGAGAAGCGCTGGTTGGCCATGCTGCATCAGGTGCATGGAGAGGAGGGTCGCCAACAGGCCGAGGATGTACCCAACCAGCGAGGCATGGAAGTACGGTTTCGGAAATGTCTCGACAAAAGGACTGATTCGGGCAAAGGTCGGAGCGAGGATTTCAAACCAGGAAGTAAGCCAGAAACGTTCGAAGAGGTTCGTTGGGGCGCGATATTTGGCTTTAAAGAGGACTTCGGAGACCTGGGGCTCCTCGGTCGTGGCATCTTCGGAGGACTTTCGGTCCCCCGAAGCCTCATCATGGGAGTGTTTCGCTGAGGTAGCTGCCTTCGTCTGCTTGCGGAGGTAGTACATGTACAGATCGAAGCGCAGGGCGAGTCCGACGAAGATCCCGGGAAGGACGATATCACCAAGCCCGAGCATAGAGTAGAATGTCTGTCCTGGTCCCGCGGACGGAGGGGGTGGACGGGGGAACATGAGTTTGATGGGAGCGTCCAAGGCCTTTGCCACTGCAATCATCATCGGGCTATGAGCGTTAGAAAAGCAGGGGAACCAGATAATCAGGGCGACTCACGTGAAGAACACCATATAGATGTCGTAAAAGAAAAGCCCGACCAGCATCAGGGTGCCCGTGGCGAAGGTAGACGGGGACATGATTCTTAGCGCTGAATAGGAGTACGCGAACCCCATCAAGTTGGTCATCCACCAAGGCTTGGCTACGAAGTTGTAGTACAGGATGACCATGACCGTGACGAAGGCCGAAATGAGCTCTTGGACTCCAAAGCGAGTCTTCAATGATAGGAGACGCCCGACCTTGATCCGGAGAGTAAGTTTCATAGTCAGAAAGCCTCGAATATTCCAAAGGATATTGGTCAAGCCGTCTCCGAATGGCAGTTTCGAGAGAGATCCCGGTAAGGGGGAAGACCTGTTCGAATTGGTTTGCCCATCCTTTCCCACCGCCCGGGCTTCCTCGAACTCTTGGAGCACCACAAATAGCCGATTCCCATAGGTGTACTTGCGAGGGAATAGAAATCGAGTGAAAGCCAGTAGGACATCGCTGAGAAGTTGCGTAGTTGCGGGAAGAGCTAAAACCCCGAAGTACACGTTCAGGATCGTGTTCAACCATTTGGTCTCCCACTTGATCAAGACATATAGAAAAGTCAAGGTAATTCCGGCGAGGATCGGAAACATCACCGCGTCGGACGGGTGGAGGCCTTCCATCACGTGGACCTTGAGATCCTCCTCTTCCTCTTCATCGTCGACCTCGTCTCCCTTTGTTTGCTTGCCTTTCTCCGGCAGTTGCGCGGAGGACGGGCGGCTCAGCGATGCGTGCGAGGCTGCGTAGATTGGGAGCAGAGCTGAGATGATGAGATGCAAATAGACCAAAATTAGAGGCTGCATATCAGCTAAAGCATATAAAAGGGAGCCAAAGGCCTCCGAGAGGAAGCTGGGAGGAGTCATGGTGAGCGTGTACTCTGCTGATGCGCGGTCCGGAAAACGTGGCGGTGTTGTATTTCGAGATATGGAGATGGCTTGGGTGGCAGGTCCATCTTTTAAATAATTAGGTAACACATATATCAAAGCGGTCCTTTCGGTGTGTTAGAGTGTGCATCATCGCTATAGATTTGTCGTTGTTGTAAGAGACACGTTTGATGTTGTTGGAGCTGGGTCGTAGACATGTCTTTTCGAGAGACTGGATATTTGCGTATCTAATACATTTTTGGAAAACCAGACGCTCACCACCAATACTAAGGCCACACACAAAGGATTCATAAATCTGATCTACTGGGTGCAAGCTTTATCGGCCGTGTGCATTTTGAAATAAATTTTCTTTATTGAATTGCGGAGGTTGATGGAGTGCGTTGTCCGCAGAGCACACCATGCAATATACTCTCATGCCAAGCTGTTCGACATGGAAGTGATTGACCGTCTCTGTCGAGGCAATGGCCTCCAATATGATACAGTATATACACCTGCCTTGCCTAGTTCATCTTGATAGGAGTGGCAACTCATTGTGAAATGACAATGCCCTGAAACTTGCAACCAGCACTCTACTAGGAACGGTCCCGCCCTCAACGTACCCTTCCATCCAAGGTTCTATTCCCATGCCCAGTAGACACTATATTGAGGCCTTCACAAGTTCGGTAATCGTTTTTTCGATCGTCTTGTCATCCATGCCTACATCATGCTATTAGCTTTAGACCTCTAATAGTATAGGTGAGGAAAGCATACCGTTCAGAGGCACCACCTTCTCCTTTCCAAATTCTGTAGAATATATCTTATCAGTATCATCCCAGTACGCTTGCGACTTGATCCATACCGTATCTTGCCCACACTTTTGGTTCGACGCCGGACGCTTCCCGGATCATGATCGGAGTGTGAGGGTTGTGCTTCTTCATCGTGGGATATGATCGGACGAGGAAGGACCTGCCGCACTCTTAGCTCATCTGTCTACAATGGAAATGCCTCAACGATCGTACCTGGCAGCTGCGCTGGCTTCGGATGTCTGGCAAAGGTGAAATCTGAGCTCCTTCAGCGTCTGCGCGAATGCATACTTCGTGGCCATGATCGTTCGAAATCCGAGCCGCTGGAGCTCGAATATGCCGGATTCGAGGTCTTTAGGGGTACGAAGTTCCGTTTATGTTCAAATTACGGGAGAGTTAAAGCAATTGATCGGGTCAAGGTTAAGAGAGCTCGTCCACGGCCTCTGGATGTTGCGAACGTACATTCATCCTCGATATGATTGGTCATATTTGCATATTGTGGCGGTGCATGCAACCAGTGGCGCATTAGCCACCTCCAGATTCTTTACCGTAGTTTATCCACAGCTTATCCGATAGGGCTGAACCCCCGGCCAACACATCCAAGGCATCCCGGTTGCGATCCAGTTGCATTCAACCACTCTTCCATGTTTCCGAAACTTTTGGTTCAGCGATTCAAATACCAGCTGGCAAGCTACAAGCCGCTATGAAATACAAATCAAACCATGGCTGAAGTGGAAGCCAAAGTCCTCACGGACGACGAGACCACCGCGCCTAACCCCTCCAAATTCCGATTCAAATCCAAACGGAAGCGCGACCGCGAAGAGTCCGACGATGCGCATAGTTCCCGGCGCAATCGTAAACGGCGGCGATCCGACGATGAAGGCTGGCACCATACCTCATCCTGGCGACATCGCCGCAGCAAATCCCCCGCCTCCAGATATACATATCACTCACCGCTCCACGATGACCCCTCCACTTATGACGATACCTACCTCCCGAACGCGCGCAGCGACCAATACATGGACCATGACACCGCATTTCGAGAATCGCTATTCGACGCACTCGCCGATGATGAAGGCGCGCAGTACTGGGAGGGTGTATACGGACAACCCATGCACGTCTACCCGAATACCTACGAAGGGCCGCAGGGCGAGCTGGAGCAAATGACGGACGAGGAGTACGCGTCGTACGTGCGGGGGAAGATGTGGGAGAAGTCGCACCAGCATGTGGTTGAGGAGAGGGAGAAGCGGGAGAAGCAGAAGAGTGAGAGACGGGAGCGGGAGAAAGGTAGGAGGAGGATGGAGGAGGAGCACGAGGAGCACGAAGAGTTTAAGAGGCGGGTGGAGGAGAGTTTGAGGAGGGGAGAGGAGAGGAGGTCGAGGAAGAGGTGGAAGGGGCGGTGGGAAGAATATGTTCAGGCGTGGGAGCGCGTTGCAGAGGAGGCCAAGACGGCGGCGTCAGCGTCTGGGACAGACGCTAAACCAATCGAGTTACCATGGCCGATCGAGAGCGGAAGACGACACGACGTTTCGAAAGAGATGGTGGAAGAGTTCTTTCGCCGAGCACCGCCGGAAGGGAGCGGTCTACTAGCGCTGCTGAAGACCGAGCGGGTCAGATGGCATCCAGATAAGGTGCAGCAAAGGATGGGATCTCGGATTCATGCAAGCACCTTGAAGTCTGTGACGTCGGTATTTCAGATTGTCGATTCTATGTGGTCTGCTCTAAGAGACAAGAAAAGCTAGGACATAATAGCCTCGAAGATACTATACACCGCGTCGAGTACCTCTCAATTGCAGGAGAAGCAGGAACAGATCCGCCGGTCTATTGTGCTCATGCACACCCCCAACCCCGGACAGTGTTATCGTGGCCGGTTTATCAGACGCTGCTCGCGCTGTTCTACTTGAACGTCATGGATATGCCGTAAATGTCGCACCTGGGAGAGTGGTTGAGACCATACTCCCTCTGCCAGTGCAACTTTGCGCAGCGCTGAGAATGTCGAAGGAACCAAATGCCTCTTGGGAGGCACCGCTATCCTTCAAACGAGCTCGGAGGCTACAAAGCCTTTCTATTGGCCTAAACATAGGACAGTTCTTGGATGCGTTTCTCGATTTCTATCGTCCGAATTAGCGATGACGCTCTACACGAAACCTTAGCGATCTTACCTGGAACAGCCCGCAGCTGCAAATCCAGCTCCTCCTTCTCATCTTCCAGTTTTAGCCGCCTCTCCGCATCCAGTTTGGTGAAAATGAAATGACCCTGTCCATCGAACTGCAAAATATTCGTATGGTACTGCCACAGGCTTCGTCGATGGCTGACCGTCATCAACGTGATGCCGAGCGACTTCGCAGTCTCGTACATGACCTTCTCGATCTCCAGCGTGACGCTGCTCGTGCATTCGTCCAGGATCGCGTACTTCGGCGCGTGGTAGAATAACCGCGCCATGGCAATCCGCTGCTGGAGGCCGCCGGAAAGGACATCCGCCCATTCTTGCTCGGCGTCCCAACCGCCTTGGCGATCGACGACGGATTCGATTTCCACAATCGATAGGATGCGATAGAGATCGGCATCAGTGATGCCCTTGGTACGCATTTCGCGGACGCCGTCCGGGTAGATGACCTGTTGCCGGAGAGTGCCTCGCGAAAGGTATGGCCGCTGCGGGATGTAGAAGATGTCTTCGAACGGAGGTTTCCGGACTTTGCCGCCATATACTGGCCAGAGCCCACCCAGGATGCGGAACAGCGAGGACTTGCCACAGCCGTTTGGTCCGACAATGAGCAAATGCTCGCCGGGCGTGACAGTAAAGCTGAGTGCTGGCACCAAGACATCGCCGTTTGGTGAGACGATGGGTACGTCAATGAATTCGATGTCGGGACCTTCGGCAACCTCGCCTCTTTCCCTCAATACGGCAGCGTGTTCCTCTGTGCTCGCCGAAGAGACGAGCTTCTTCTCGAAATGACCTCGTTGAATGTCTTCGATGACATCAAGCAATGTTGAGACGCGTGAAGTGAATCCCGCCAGCTCCGTGATTTCCTTGTATGAGAACATTAACCGTCCAAATGCGTCCGAAGAAGACAACAGCATGCGCCTGTTCGTCACGAAATTCTCTGTCCTGTCACCGAGTGTGGTACCCGTGACGCCGGGGACCTGGAAAAAGACAGGAACGCTGCAAAGCATTAGACCCATCGCGCCCCAGAAGTACTTAATGACAAAGTCTTCCATAAATCCGTGGTAGAACCGGCGCCGTAATATCCGATTGACGTGCTTGATCAATGTGAAATAGCCCTTGTCCAATGTATCCTTTTCCGCCTCCTGGCCATGATACAACGCGATCTCCTCGCTGTAGTCTATTAATCTTGAGTGTTGGAATCGGAATTCGCCTTCGAGCCGTGCCTCTTCGGCAACGTACTTCCCAAAGGGCGGAGTAAGTGTTCGCATGAGGTTCGCTGTTAGCTGGACTATTAGAGACATGGAAAACAGGCCTTCGCCGCCGACCGACTTCGACAAGGAGTAGTTGTATATGACCATGTCAAGAACCGGTTTGGCAAGATTCGAGTACAGCTCCGCGAGACTGTTTGAGAACTTCGTCACATCCACGGTTATGAGTTGATCGGCGTTCTTGATTCGGTCATCGAGCGCAGAGAGGGAGTAGAAGGTCATATTCGAGAGGTATTTATTATGAATGTAGTTCGTGAGGCGGGTTCGGTATTGGAGGGATAGCTTGCACTGGTGGTAGGAGAGCTGTGTCGAAAGTTAGTACGGGCTGAGCCTTGGGATGCGGAGGACAGCATTGCTCATACCATGGCATTTGTAAACGTCGAAGGAACCGAAACCACCATCCACCAAACCAGTCCCTTCAAGAACTCCTTCCCCTTCCCCCGAACAATACTGCTAACAATCTTCCCATCCAACTCAGCCACATATAAGCTCAGCAGTGTCCGAAGCACCAGGAAGATACTGTGACTGATCAACAACCGCAACTCCTTGCTCTTCCAACCGGGTATCACTATCTTCAACAATCGCAACAAGTTCTTAAAGAACTCGAGGTTTATTTCCACGCGCTTCCGCTGCGTGGCTTCACCCGCCCCAGCGCCGGTTCCCGCGCTCAAGGAACCCTCGGCTGGGCGCGTCGACGCGGCCTTCTGCTCCGATATGGCATTTCGAATACGATATGTGAGCGCGATGAAGAGAGTAAGGAATACAGTCCGCGATATTCGAGTCCGGTTCTTGAGGTATTTATTGCCCAACGCTTGTGCAATCCTGGAGAACGCTCGTTCGGATTTGGCGGCGGAAGAATGGACCTTGGATTGGACCGCCATGCTGGCGTTGCTACACACCACAAAGCACTGGCCTAGGATTTGAGGGATTGGAGAACATGGGATAGGCTGAACAAGTGGCTATAGAAAGAAGAGAAGTGGAATAATAGACGCTTCATGTTCGTCGTCGTGATCAATATCTGAATAGCATGTGACAGCCGGACAGCAGGGGATATCACTGGCTTTCACCCCAAGACCTGTCGTCAGTCGTCACTGCATCAGCAACTGAAGATGCTGTCTGCCTTGGCGCCTTTTGTGCTTAAGGCACCAACAATATCCAATCCTATTAGTCATCATCAGTTCATCTCAGTTTTACTCAGCAGCTCAGCTCAACCTCCCAAGTAATTACCTTAACGCCTCAAAACATTTCAAGAAGAATCTCCTTCCTTAGTTACTGCTTTCATTGGTATATGGACGGGTATTTTCTTGAGAATTCTGGCTGCCATTGCCTACCAGTAGTGCCCATCCTGGAGGTCTTGGCATTTCCCTTCCGTACCACTGAAGAAGTGGATTCAAGAATGATCCATCTATCCGTATTTCCAAACAATACCTGACTAGTCGCATGCCCCTGACTATGGTCCAGTTCGTTTCATATCTCTTGCTTTGCAGTCTCCTGGTCTAGCCTCTTATCATTCGGTCCCGAACAACCCACGCAAGCCACTTTGTGGCATCGTAGGGTTGGAAGTTCGAACAATGAGCGACCTGGTAAAATCACGAACCGTACAGGATGATGAGGGACCACTCTGGGCCCAATCAACTTCTGGCATGAAAGATCGATGTACATCTCCGACTTGGTTGAGGACCTAGCTACCGAGTCCACAGGCCTAGTCATAAAAAAGTTGGTTAATCGTTGCACGAGGCGTGGGTAGTACGACATCACTCTTCATGCATCCAGATGAGTAAATTCACGACTTCCCGAACAATTTATTCGCTTGTGGAGTAACGACGGAATCTATGACCGAAGATTCGTTGCTTAATATTGCAATTGCTGGGATGATTTTATTGTTTGAACAAGTCGCAGCAAAATTTCTCCGAGTCCTCTTTCCTTGCTCCTTTCTTTCTCGTGCTTCAAGCGTGCAATACGTTGAGTGAGATCTCCCAGCTATATGGATGAGAAAAATACACCAAATACCACGATGCTGGACAATGGAAAGGATACCTCGTCCGCTGAGGTAGATATTGGCAACATGTATCGCGCAAGGAATAGCCGTTCAGGGTATTCTTGCGGCGTATCAGCTGTCGTACATACCAGAGCAGGTGGCATGGTACCCTGAGCGTATTCGCCATGGCAGAAAATGAGGGAATGGTCAAAATTTTCCTGGCCAACCAGCTACCGATGCTGCAAAGTGAGTAATTTGAACTTCGCATGCGAGACTTGCAGCTCACAAAATGGCCAGTAGTGATGATGGTTCCTCATACGCTGGGTTAGATTCCCCTGGTCGAAGTTCTCGGGGCTCTGGCACCTTGTGCCCCTACTCGAGCTGTGTTTGTTCGTTGATTTGACTTCGAACGGCGGATGGCAACCTATTGGGCTCGGTTTGATGGCTGGCCAGATCACGTCTGTTTATTTCCTCGATGGGACCATCAGATTATCATTCTGATCACATATCTGTTCTCACTAGTAAGCATTGACGATTTCTGCGCCCTAAGACTAACCTTTCCGGCCTTGCCTTCGTGTATGTTTCCATCTAGGCTGCGGACAAAGGCGCGATTCCGCGATTTGTACTCCTTCCCTATTTTACCCTCCCTGGCTCTATTGACTCCAGCGCATACACATCCTGACAGACTTTTGCGTTTGCAAGAGACGGCGGCCTACCTTCCAACGCCATCTGGGCGGAATTCAAAAAGGTATGTTTAAAAGATGGTTACACGCAATGGGCATGTGCTAAAAGACGACTCAGGGGAAAAAAGTGAAACAGTGCGCCGTAATGCTGTGCTCCTCACTTGTGCAATCGCTTGTCTTCTATCCTTAATCAACATCGAGGTGAGAGTAACATTCAATGCCACCATCTCTCTCCAATCAATGACATTGATGGCGATGTATTGCACTTCCATCGGGACGTTGTTGTACAGCGAACAATTGGCGGTGGCAAAGTCTTTCCGGCAAGATGGCACCTGGGACGCTTCGGGTCCCTTGTGAGCGGGATTGTATTCCTTTTATAGGATCTTTATTTTGCTCTGGACCAGCTGGCCGGGAAGCAAGGATGTCACACGAGAGACGTTCAACTAGTCCACCGTCATGTTTGTTTGTGGCTTCATCATTTCGATCATACACTACGTCACACGGACATGTAGACATATCGGGCCCGTGAGCTGGTCAGAGATTGGAGTCTCAATCCTCTTTCATTTCCGAACAATAGAAAATTTCAAGATGTGATGCTGAGGTGGACATCAACCCGCAGTACGATCGTGGCGTTCATTGTAGATATCAGCCGCATCACGTGCATGGCTCTTATCTTCAACCACCATCCACAGCAACCTTCCAAGTTCCACTCTCATGCAACTAATTCGATCATGAGCTGATCAAGATTACCGACATTCCCCGCGCCTGATATGATCGATCATCGGAATCAAGCATCTCGAGGCGTTAATGAATCTTGGCGGCGAGATTTCCTCCAAGCAACTCACGGAGATCCATATCGCGCTGTACCCAAAATTATCGCGCCCACTGCGACTGGACTTTACTGCCGATTTGGGAGAGAAATGGCAAAGCAGCTAAACCCAATCCAGATCCATATTGACCTCCGCTCCATGCTGCATGGCTTGCAGATATGGCGAGAGACATGCCTAGCATTCGAACCGTGCAAACCTGCAGCAATAGTAGCACATCGAGGTGGCCGATAGCCAATCCGCCATTACCCTCCTCGACGATCCCTCCAAATAGTATGAGGTTGAACACCATGTTCGATTCTGTTCTCGTGTTTTTCCTGTTTTCATCGAATACCTATGCAACCTCGAGAGTCGAATCCCTTTTTTCGTCCTCTTATTTCAGCTACCGATTGCACGATTAGAGTTTGTGTCCTCGTGCTGTCTGGATTAAGTTCCAAGCATCCCTTATCCACGGACGATAGCGGCGCTTACCCCAGATCGCGCGTGACGGACTAGGCGCTTACGGGGAATTGGGCCCAATGAACTCCTGCTGGCTTTGGGTGACCAGAAGAAGCAACTGAGCCCCAAGGTCTCCACTCTGGCATTCAGTTGATGTTTAGGGATATCTATAGCGAGTCAGAATGCACATTAATGTTTCAAAAGATGCCTCGAGCCGGATTCCAGTTAGCTATATATGACTCTAAATCTCTAATGCGGATATCCATTGCAATTGGCTCTTGTTGTACTTCATCATCCTCTGACCTACCCTGCAAAGTCTAAGTTTTGGTGCTACACCGCCGGATTTCATTATGGCGGAGCTTCTTTATGCTGCTCTCGTTGCACTGTTCTTTCTCGGCTCTGGATTTATATTGGCGACCAACAAGACAAGCAGAGCCGTAGTATTAGACCGAGTCCGCTTTCGCCGCCGACGGTCATCACAGTCCAAGACCCCTCCACGATCGCTGTCACCTTCTACGAAGGAAGGTCGTTCTTTGGGACTCTCGGAGTATGCAGATACTTTCCCGCCGTCTCGAAGGTGCGCCGTGAGCGACCTGGGCCCCGACTGCCCATTGTTGAAAGATCGGACTCTGGTGGAGTTTATCTCGACTTGTCCTGGCTCACGAACGTCCTTGGCTCCCATGGACCTCCCTTTCTCACAGTGGAGTCCCAACCACTATACGTGCATGGAGTTCTCTAAAGAGGAAATCGAGGCGCTGGGTGGCTTTCCTGACTACGCTGCGCTAAGCGGAGTTCCTCTTCCACAGCCCTATCATGAATTTGATATTGACACAGCTATGTCACGGCCATATCGGCCATTCAGATGGAGTTACCACCAGACCATGTGTAAGAACCTGGGACATGGTTGTGAGATGTATGTTGACCTGTGCTCTAGCATTGACAAAGATGGAATCCGACTGGTGGCTTGAACTTGCGAAGGGATACGCTGATCGAGTCCAGCAACGGCAAGGAATATATGAAAAGGTCGGGAAATGCGTGCTGGACTCGCTCCCTGGTTCTGAACTTGCATGCCGAGAGCTGATGGAGATGGTCGTCCAATTCCTCTGCGCGCGGTATCCGCAGTACTTCCGACTGGACAAGGCTACAATGACCCTGCATAACGCCATACTAAACACAACATCGGACCTCCGGAAGATTGATCCCTTAGAAGTCATCATGAACAACATACCAGAAGATTTTGCGATTATGCTTCGCAACCCGGAGACTGGCATCTACCACCTTCGAGCGGGCGTCATCTGCAGCGCCCTTGGATGGAACCTGGGGACGAAGATGGGCATGAAGCTAGATGAGATCCACGGTCCTATTCCAGACTACAAGGAGAAGATGCAATTCTCAATGGACAGGTAGGTGTTCCATCGTTGCGTTAGTACTTGCCGCTGACATAAATACGAAGATACTTCGCAAAGAAACCATCCAACAAGTCCATCCAGCGCAGCTCCTGGGGCCTCGAGGTCGACGAACCGCTCTATATGCCACCCGGCGATCCCCACGAGAAGTACCGCGATTCGCAAAGTCCCGAGCTCAACATCGACCGCTGCAACCTCCGCGTGGACTGGCAGACTTTACGGCGCCTGCCGCTATCGGGTGCCATCATCTTCAACTTCAAAGCTCTCTTCACGCCCGTCTCGGAATTTCGCGACGAGGCATATATCCCGAGTTTGGTCCTGAAAGTCTTGCGGGAGGGTAAGCCCAGCCTCATGGAGTACAAGAGCACGTGGCACACGGAGCATGTGGTGATTCCTGCGCTGGAAAAGTATGAGAAGGAACAGATCGAGAAAGAAATGATCCCGCCGGATTGGACGCCGAATACGTTAGATGAGGCGCCGTATTTCCCGGACTGGGAGGAGAAGTGGCATCGTCAGCAGGGCTACTGAGGTTCAGCTGTACAGTCTGTGGTTGATTTGAAAGCATAACTTATGGAGTGGATGGACAAAGTCTGTGTTCGGTAGTTAGCTAGCAGGATTGGTGACGCCTTCCTATTTTAATGTATTCCATGAATAGGTTGAGAATGCCGTTACTCTGATGGAGTGATGGTTCCATGATTCTTAAGCACCGTGCCGGTGGACTAATCGTTGGGGATGCCGGGTTGAATCAATCAGCAGAGGGACATTAAGGTATGGTAAGGCACGGAAATATTATTTATACCCGGACGAACTCCTTACTAGGAGAGAATACAAAGTTCCTCAGGCTTGACATAAATAGAAGACTGGAGTGCTCGGTGCTACCTATTTACAAATATACCGAACCTAGCAGATACAGTAGCAATGGGCAGAGCCGCATAGCCCATACCCCTACACGGCGTTCCGTCAGGGTGGGGTTTCCCCAACTTCTGCTCCATGTCAGCGGGCGAGGAACGATAGTTGTGGAGAGTGTCTGGTTGTCAGCTTTACGCAACGTTGATATACAATTACGCATCCGCCAATCTCACCGGACAAACTCCGGAAATCCTATCGTGGTGTCGATAGTCATACGATCAATCCCGGTCCAAAGGGCGATCGCCAGCTGCGGAAGAACAGTTCCACGATGGCCGGCCTGCAAATGTGGCTCGGGAGGGGTATCCTCTCCGCATTTGGTGCCCGAGGTCTTTACGATCGACACGCTCTGGATCCGAAGCGTAGTGAGCGGTAATGATGGTCTAGGAATTGCCGCGCAAATGGTCGAATCGACTATGCTGCGTCATGATATACTATGGATAAGGGTAGCCAATGCTCTCTAGGAATAATATTTATTCTTCTTCCGTGGTTTGAGTCTTTCCCTTTCCCCTAAGTGTCGTCCTTCGTGTTATACAGTACCACTCGTCTTCCTATATATCCCCTTTCTGCCATTGTTTAAGCTGCTTGTTACTGCATTGTTCTCCAGTGCCCTTGTATCAATACTTCCTTCTCACCCAGCGTCGCAATGTCACATCACGACAAGCCGTGGCCGCAGGTGCCTGTCACCAACAAGGACTACACCCAAGCAGCGGTGGTCATTGTTGGCGCCGGCATCTCTGGCATGTGCACAGCCATTGATCTTATCAAACAACACAACTGTCGGAACTTCATCATTGTGGAGAAAAGCTCGGGGGTTGGTGGGACCTGGCACGATAACAAGTATCCAGGTTGCTGCTGCGACGGTAAGAATGTTGACTCTCACCTACCATTGCTCTGTGCTGATTCGAGATAGTAACGAGCCTACTCTACTCGTACAGCTTTGCGCAGAATTCAGATTGGTCCAGGCTGTATCCCGGCCAAGAAGAGATTCTGGATTATCTCCACAGGGTCGCAAACGAGTACGGCCTATTCCAACATATCCGCTTCAACACCAGCGTCGAACAAGCAGAATGGGACGATGATAAGAAGAACTGGAAGACTAGAGTCAACGTGTCAGGAGACAAGGATCGCGAGTTCTCAGATGGGTATACCATCACATCTAATTTCCTGGTTTCTGGTGTCGGCCAATTGAACGTCCCACGCTATCCTGACATTGAAGGGCTGGATGACTTCAAGGGAAAGTCGATGCACTCGGCCCGTTGGGACTGGAGCTACCCATTGGAGGGGAAGAGAATAGCCGTCATCGGCAATGGTATGCTGAACGAGATCCATTATTGACCGTCATCTGACACGGCTATAGGCGCCACTGCTGCTCAAATCATACCCGAAATTGTCAAGGTCGCATCGCATGTCACCATGTACCAGCGACAAGCGAACTGGGTGATCCCGCGCCTCGACGGGCCCGTCTCAGCGACGCGGCGCGCAATCTTCAAATATGTCCCGTTTGTGCAATCAAGAGTACGCGCCAACATGATGGATTTCCGCGAGTCATTTTACGATGCCGTCACCAACGGCGACTCCGACTTCGCCAACCTCCTCCGAGACCAGAGCTTCGATCTCTTGCAGCAGACTTTCCCGGATGACAAGGAGATGCGGGAGACGTTGACGCCAAACTACCCGCCTGGATGCAAGCGGGTCATCATCTCGGATGATTTATATCCGGCCCTTGCGCGACCGAACGTGTCGGTGGAAACGCGAAAGATCCAGAAAATTACCGAGACTGGAATCGAAGTGGAAGGCGACGTCCTCGAGGAGTTCGACCTCATTGTGCATGCGACAGGGTTCCGGACGGTGGAGTTTATGTATCCCATCAAGGTCAAGGGCATCCATGACCGTGATATCTCCGATATCTGGAGGTCAGGCGCGCAGGCATACTACAGCGTGACCGTAGAAGACCTCCCCAACTTCGGCATGCTTTACGGGCCGAACAGTAACCTCGGACACAACAGCATCATCCTGATGATCGAGGCGCAAAGCCGATATATCAACGCCCTGATCGGCGAGGTATTAAAATCCAAGCGCGAGGGCAAATCTCTCTCGATCCGGCCGAATCCAACCGTCGTCGCTAAATACAACGACTGGCTGCAAGAGATCCTAGCCAAGACGTCCTTCGCCGATGAGCGATGCACGAGCTGGTATAAGAACGAGGACGGGAAGATCACCAACAATTGGGGTCTGACGGTGGTTCAGTATCAGAAGTTCCTGAGCAGTGTGAACTGGCAGGATTACATCCTTGAAGGCACCGCTTCCGACGAGGTGCGAAGAAAGGGTCAGACCAAGCTGGGGAGAGTGGTGGAGGAGACCCAGGTCAGCAATTTGCAGCTTGCTGCGGGAGTTCTCGGCGTCATCGCCGTTGCCGCTGGTGTTCTTACTCGTGGCGACCTTCGGAATGTCAAGTTGCCTCAGATCCGGATAAGGTAATGATGGTGGTTGAAGAGCGTTGATGCGAACCAAAGAGAAGTAGTACGTCTTGCCGGTGACAAAATAGAGGGGTTCTAATACCTAGTTGAGGGAGTCTTGCAGCATTTAGCAACATGGGCGGGTACGGTTCCATTTAGATCGAGAGAGAAATGTTATTACTATGTCTGAATTAGGCAGTACTTTATCCAATATTCCATTCAGTATCCCATCAACATTTTGTCATCCCAACCACCGAGCCAATGATTGTATTAATTAGGTAGTATCTACAATCCGCAGGAGTCCCTAGCAACCACCCAGGATAGCTGCGGGGCGAGGTTCTCAACAAACTCGTCGCCCCTCAGGATATCCCCACCTGAGATTCTCTTCCGATAAGTCCCTCCCCAATATTTGGCATATCATTTAGATATATTCGCGGTAGTGTTACTCGCGAGCATGAACGATTGTCATATTCCGAGACTTCTACCCCTTCTTCCACCGAATAGTTGACGCGTTCGCGAATGCACTAGAGGTACGTCACCGATGAGCTTCCCCATCTAGACTCTCATGAGGGAATGGAATTCAACGAGCGATCGCTGACGGCAAATGCAGAGATCTACGACTATATTCCTCTCCGTCCCTCCTATCTATTCCGTGTCTCAATGACACAAGATATTTCCGTGTATCACAATCCATCCTGAGCCGCCATGGCTACCGTCACGGGAACGAGCACGGCGTATTCCACAGACATGGACTCGGCCTCAGGGAGCAACATCATCCACCGACGAGCAAAAAGTCCCAATGGAACAGTAAATGAAGCTGGGAAGAAGTCCATTAATCGAAGGACCCAACGATATAAGCATGTCTTCCCGGTTCATGCGTCGAGTAGGACCTCGTGCTTAAGCCCGGGCGCGGAGAACCCGCCGAACTTTTTCGGGTTCCGGAACCTGATGGTTCTAATGCTCAGTACGTATCTAACAAACCTTGAATAACAGGGCCTTGTGTTAACATGGAATCCGATGACAGTTGTCTCCAATCTCCGTCTTATCCTCGAAAACTTCCGGAAGTACGGCGTCCTCGTTTGTTTAACCTGCAGCGAATACCGGCGGCAAGACATCTCCTATGGCCTCATCCTCTGGCTCTCCGTCCCAATCCACCTGTTCATCGCCCTCCTAATCGAGCTGGTCGCAGCGCAGAACGCGCTTGGGGTTCTCAAGCGAAAATCAAACGGCAATGGGGGAACCAAACAAGCGGAACAAATCCGTCGCCGCTTCCGATGGACCTGGTACTATATCGCCTGGGCACACGGGATCAACGCAACCCTGAACCTCGTCGTCACATCCACCATCGTCTACTACCGCATCCACTCCCCGGGTATCGGCATGCTCTGCGAACTGCATGCCATCATCGTCTGGCTGAAGGCCTGTTCCTACGCCTTCACCAACCGCGACCTCCGCCACGCCATGCTCACTACCGCCCCGCCAGACTCCATCCCTGAGCTCTACCGCGACTCCACCTATCCGAATAATATCACGCTGCAGAACCTGACATATTTCTGGTGGGCGCCCACCCTCGTATACCAGCCCGTGTATCCCCGCACGACGCACATCCGCTGGCTCTTCGTCGCGAAGCGGGTCGCCGAGGCACTCGGGCTGGTCATCGTGATCTGGTTCGCGTCCGCGCAGTACGCGGCGCCGCTGCTCAAGAACTCACTGGAGAAAGTGTTCACGCTCGACATCATCTCGATCTTCGAGCGGGTCATGAAGCTGTCGACCATCTCGCTGTTCTGCTGGCTCGCGGGGTTCTACGCAGGGTTTCAGTCGGCGCTAAACGCGCTGGCGGAGGTGATGCGGTTTGGGGATCGGGAGTTCTACTCGGATTGGTGGAATGTGACGAGTATCCGTACGTATTGGACGAGTTGGAATAAGCCAGTGTATCAATTCATGAAGAGACATATCTACTCGCCTTTGGTGGGGCGGGGAGTACCACCGTCCGTCGCCCAGTTGCTGGTGTTTATCTTTTCAGGGATTTTACATGAGCTACTGGTGGGGATTCCAACGCACAACATCATCGGTAAGTCCAGCAGACCTTTCTCGCCTTGAAGTTGGAGCTTGTTTACTAATAGACAATCCTACAGGAGTGGCGTTCTTTGGAATGATGGGGCAGATTCCGCTGATCCTCCTCACCGACCCTCTGCAGAAGATGGAAGGTCGGGCCCCCAAGGTGGCAGGAAACGTGATCTTTTGGATATCGTTCTGTTTGATCGGGCAGCCGCTTGCTGCCATCCTTTATTTCAGCGCATGGCAGGCAAAGTACGGCGGCCAAGCGAAACTTCTTTGAGTTTGAGTATTATGAAATCAATATGATAGTTTGGTCTTGCTTCTCGTCGCCCATAATATGGCAGAGCATGCAATGGGTTGTCTTAAATTGGGATTTTTAACGATAAATGTGAATCAAAGCAATATCCAGGAAGGAATTGGCCAGTAGGCTGCAAAACGTGGTACGCTAAGATTGCCTGACTCCTGAATGCTTGAGCTGATGAGTCCAAACCCATTGTTGGCAGTCAAATCCTGTTATTATTATTCACTGATATTGTTCACTGAATACTGCTATTTTCATCGTGAGATTGCCAATCACCACCAACTGACCCCTGCAATTGCCGATCTTCCACATTCCGGGGTAAACACCACATTCGCACATTCGCAGTCCTCAAATTCCACCTTTTACAGCGACTTGCGGCTCCACCTCCATAGATTATAAGCCAAGCATCTAGACCTTCAAAACCTGAACCAGTCCATATCCCTGTTTTTAAATTTCATGCAGGTTCTCTGTTGTCCCCCGTAGGATGCGTATGCCGTTTGGACAAACTTTTACTCAGCGTCCCAGTGAATGCACTAAGTTTAGCACTGGACCTTGCATAAATGGCCCCTTATGCGGTTATGCCCCGTCCCATGCACGCTAACCAGGAGACAACGGATATGAATACGAGCGCGCGATGCTGCCGATCACCGATGAGACCGTTGTTAGTGTCTGAGATCCTCAAATGTCCAAGTTCCCTTGGCCCTTCTTTCTCTCTTTATCTTCTTCATGAACATTCTGTGCATCAGCGTCCCTTCGTAATCAGTTCTATAGCGATATTAATGCCTTCAAATATGTCTATTCAGCACCCGATTCAACCCAACAGAGTCATCATCCAACACGATTCAACATCCGAAGTCCTTCGAAGCTAGTCCGCAAAGTCGTATCTATCGCGAATTCTCCCAAATCAGTCATTTCCCAGAGAAACTCTTGCAATTCAATTTCAATCTACAATGCGCGTCCCTCTTCTCCAACTCCTCATCACCTCCCTCCCCCTCGCCTCCACCTCTCCCCTTCCCCAATCCCCGCCCCTCGATCTCACCCCTCTCTGCCCCCCTCGCACGCACTACTACCGCGCCACCGTCTGCCCCTCCGGCTTCGCCGGGTGTCTCCCCCCATCCTCCTCCTTCTCCATCTGCGCGACCACCGCCCTCCGCTTCTCCAACGACTGCGCCAGCAACATCGGCACCGTGCCCACCGGCGTCGAGATCGGCCACTGGCATACCTGCGCGAACGGGTTCAAGGGGTGCACGACGGATGGAACAGTGTGTGATAAACCGAGCGTGCAAGTTGTGGTGACGCCGAAAGGGTGGGTGACGGTTGGTGGCGGTGCGAACTTGCCGCCGTCGCCGAGTTCGGGTTCGGGGAGTACGAATGGTGTTGGAAGTGCGGTTGGGAACGGCATGGCTAGCTTGGGCACCCAGGGGAGCATGGGAGGAGATGCAATAGCGGGATCGGGGTTTGGGGGATGGACGCCGGAAGGGACTGGGTCGATGCCGGGGAGTTCAAGATCAGGGAGGCCGAGTTTCTTGCGGGAGAGTGGGAATGCGGATGAAGGGCTGGTCAGTGTGTATAGGGACGGAGGCAGCGATGGAAGAATCAAGACAGGTATAGTGGAAGAGCTGTAGCTTGACGCAGTTGCTGGGAATGGCCGAGAGTGCTTTGGGTCTGATCTCCAGGCCAATTTACTCTGATGGAAATGGGGCTCGGTTGGCGATTGGTGGTGTTGGCGTCGAATGATTGGAAAGGATTTACTCGCATACCGATATCGGTATTGGCGAAGAATATTAATGACTGTATGATAGGAGGGATAGGCAAGGGAATGACCGCATGTCACTTTCGAAATAATGGGAGATCCGCACTTGGAAGCTCATTTTTTTATAGCTCAACATGTCGAATAATTGGATGAGGTAGTTACCTTATACACTGATTAGTTGTGTATGGCGACCTTTTCATATTCAAGCTCCAGTTTGTGAGGAGGGATATCAGTCCCTACAGCCATGGTTAGCAATATCAACGCGTGCGTCTCGGGGTTTATCCAGAGAGTGGAGGATGGAATGGTTGCTCTATTGTTCAATCACTGCATCTGGCAAGTTCACTCATGGGAAATCTCAAGTTTGAAAACTGGTTAAATCCAATTCTGGATTGGTGACTTCAGGTTGTCATACTCTATGTACTCCTACCTCACCTTGCTCCTACTATGCTATGGTGTGGTGGTCAGACCCTACGGAACAACGTCTGGAAGTTGTAAACCGCATACTGAACCAAGTCGATTGGTTGAAGATACTTGGTCTCAATCATGCAACTGTTGCAAGAGTGGTGAACAGAGCGGCTACAGGGGCGGCTGCCTTCGGACTGATGTGAGAGAGCGTAGACTGGGCAAAAGTATTCCGCTACTTCCAAATTCACAAGCAATTCTAGTAGAACGTCTTTGCAGCACCTCCAATTGAAACCAAGACTTGGCATCTTAGAAAGGCCCTGCGAGGCATTACCGTGCTGGCTCGCTACAATAATAGCTAGGGATGAAATGAGCGGCACGATTTCTCTGGCAGCCAGTGCCTGCAGCCAGGGAGCCCGACAAAGGTCCGGATGATGCTTCCCACCCCATCTACGCGGTACTCAGTGTCTTTTGCCGGTGAATGAGAACCATCCTGAAGCCGAATAAGATTAGACGAAAAGATCCAAATTCTAGTTTCAGCAGGGCTAGGAAGTCGGAGTTGTATCGATTGAAACTAAGCGCAGCTATGACAAGAATGCCGATGGGAATCAGAGGATGTGTTTCGAGACCCATATGCTATTGTGAGTAGAATCTGGGTTGTTTCTAATGAATTCAGATATTTCCAGAGGGGTCCCTCCAATTTATATATGTTCTCACCTCCTGTTCTCAAAGGCATGATCTTGCGAGAGAATGGCAATGTACAATACGGGTAGGGGATGCTGGAGAGGAAGATGTCATGATGGAGGGTGTCAGCGATGAACCAAAAGAAACTAGAATAATAGATAGATATAAAGAATGTAGATGAAGACGGCTGATTTGGGGCAGAGGAAACTCGAAATTCGAGACTTGAGAGTTCGAAATCTCGAAACTGGCGATGAGGTTGAAGCGGAATTGCGACAGGGGTGTCGCGTGGCTGATCACATTTTGGCGCGACGCGCCTCATCGCGTCTTCTCAAGACTCCATCTCTAAAATCTGATATTGACAATTTGACAATTTGACATATTGAACACCACACTCCACACCAGAAGGCCCATTTAATTTTTCTTAACAAAGATATATACCCCCGAGTTAAACCATCCAGATACCACACAATGTCCCTCCTAGTCGACAAACACCGTCCTAAAGACCTTACACAGCTCACCTACCACTATGACCTCACCAAACGGCTAGAAGCACTGGTATATCTCTCCCTATCCCATCACAGCCTATCCTAACCCCGACAGGCCCAATCCCCCGACTTCCCCCACCTCCTCATCTACGGCCCCTCTGGCGCCGGCAAAAAGACCCGCATCAACTGCACCCTCCGCGCCCTCTACGGCCCCTCGGTCAGCAAGATCCGCATCGACTCCCGCCAGTTCGTCACCTCCTCCAACCGCAAGCTCGACTTCACCATTGCCTCCTCCAACCAGCACCTGGAAATAACCCCAGCCGACGTCGGCCCCCACGACCGCGTCATCGTACAGGATCTTCTGAAGGAGGTCGCGCAGACGCAGTCGGTCGACCTGAGCGCGCGCCACCGGTTCAAGGTCGTCGTGGTCAATGAGGCGGAATATCTGAGTCGCGAGGCGCAGGCGGCGCTGCGGCGCACGATGGAGAAATATTCGGGGAACGTGAGGATGATTCTGGTTGCGAATAGTACGGCGAATATCATTGCGCCGATTCGGTCGAGGTGTTTGTTGGTTAGGGTGGCGGCACCGACGGGGGAGGACGTCGTGGGGGTGTTGAAGGAGGTGGGGAGGAAGGAGGGGTGGAAGGAGAGTGGAGGGCTGAATGAGCGGATTGCGGGGGAGTGTGGGAGGAATTTGCGTAGAGCGCTGTTGATGTTTGAGGCGGTGTATGCACAGAAGTATGGATTTCTCTCCTATTGTTCCATATGTGTTGCATTCGATTGCGGCTTCCGGCAAGGTGCTAACATGATCGGCAGTGAGACTGTCACCGACACCACACCGATCCCTCCCCCCGACTGGGAAGCGTTCATCGAGCAAATCGCAGCCGACATCGTCGCGGAACGATCCCCCCAGCAGATCATGGTGGTGCGCGGGAAGCTCTACGACCTCCTTGTGCACTGCATCCCAGCGACGCAAGTCATCAAGTCGCTCGCCTTCCGGCTGATTCCGAAGGTGGCGCCAGAGCTGCGACCCGAGGTGATCAAGTGGGCGGCGTTCTACGAGCACCGGGTGAAGATGGGAAGCGTAAGTTCTCCTTTTGGCGATGCGTGGAGCGTGGATTCTAACTGATTCGGGCGAATAGAAACAAATCTTCCATCTAGAGGCGTTCGTGACCAAGGTTATGAGGTTGATTGAGAGGTGAGTCGGCGAATTGCGACGGGAAAGATTCATATGGCTAATTGTTCGAAGCCACATGATGGGCATCGATATTGATTTCTAATGATACAGACCGACGACACCGTTTCAGCCCCGTTCCCATGAAGAAGAGCGCCTGCGTACAAGGCTGGCGATGACTGGCTCCGGCTTCGGTCAGAAAAACGTTAATGACCGGCGCAAATACACCGCACGAAAACGATCGTGGATGGTCGATAGATGCGAACGATGCTATTATGGCTAGCTATCCAATCATACATTCGCAGTATACCCATGGGAGGGTAGACGCCATTAATGTATGTTATGCAAATAATGAATCGGGGAACCCCGAGTCTCTGAATGCAACCTTTCCCTTGGCAGGAAATGCACTGCGAACGGAACAACTATCTTGATTATGTATGGGATGCTTATTGCCATCGCCAGTTTTCCTGCCCCCGAGTCCCTATCCCGTTGCCATGTAATCCCCTATCATAATCATTACCTCTCTCACGCCCTCGTCTTCCTTCTCAGACTTCCCCTCTTCCCCTCCACTTTCCCCTCCACCTCCACCCCCTCTTCCTCTTCCTCTTCCTCCTCCTCCACCTCCCTACTATCCTCCAACTTCCACCTCCTCCCCTTCCGTATCCCCCGCTCCTCCTTCGGGTCCACAAACCGATGCACCTCCCGATGATCCCGCACCCGCTCCTCTCTATCCCACCGCCCCTCTTTCTCCGTCTTCGGCCACGCGTACCCGTACAGCATGCTGTGCCGCTCGCACCGCGGACAGCCGGCCCGCGTCAAGTACGCGTCGTGTTGGAGGAAGGGGGAAGCGCAGGTTTGGCAGGTCACCCAGCGGCTAAAGGGCGTGCTGAGGAGAAGGGCGGTTTGGGAGTAGTCACCGGGGGTGCGGTGTGGGCCGTTATCGGTTTGGCTGGCTGTGGAGCCGGTGGGGGAGGGGGGAGGGTGGGGTTCAGTGGTGGGGATGGGGGAGTCAGATGCGCGGGTTGCGGAGGCGAGGTGGGAGCGGGGCTGCGTGCGTTGGGAGTTGGGGGGTCGCCCGCGGCCGCGTTTCAGGGAGGAAGCGGAGAGAACGGGATGGCGGACGGCCTCGAGGGTGTCGTGGTCGATATCGCAGGTTTCGGAGAGGTCAGATAGCTCGCTAAGGGAACTGATGGACGGTTTCAGGGATAATTGAAGCCGATTCGGGGTGGGGAGGGGTTCTTCGCGGTTCTCCTCGATCGACTTCGTCGATGTCTCGACCTGCTCGGATTTGACCTCAATCCCGGGATCGGGTAGTGGCAGGTCGCCAATGGATGTCGCCTCGGTCGCTTGGGAGTTATGGGACGATCCCATTGAGGACTCCGTGGATGATACTGGCGTCGACGCATCGGAATCCGGCGAAGGCACGTTCGATATCATCGCCTGACTACTGTTGCGCAAGGAGGATCGCGTAATCGAGATGTCCCGCTCTTGAACCGCCTCCGTCGTGTCCGCTTTCTCGGCCGCCACTCTATCCAACTTTCGTAGTGCAGCCGGGGTGATCGGGATGTCGGGCGTGTCAACTCGCCTGGTCTTCGTCGAAGGTGAGCTAGTTTCGGCTCTACTGCTGCTCCGTAACGATGATTTGGTAATCGATATGTCCCTGATTTCGTCTGCATCCGTTGTTTGCTCTGGGATGTCGGGCTGTGCGATATCTTTCTGAGTCTGGCCTAGTCGCCTTGCAAGGGCCCTCGCATATGCCTGCTTTAGCTCCTCCCGAGCCGAAGACGACTTGGACGACTTTGGGGTAGAAGGAATGCTCGCGGACGTCTTCAGCGCTTTCGGGGTCCAGGGTTCTTTTTCCGTTGATGTGATCGGATCCCCCACATTCTCCGCCACCACCTCTGTCCCAAGATTCGAGCCACTCCTTTTTTTTTTCATCTCTGGCACGCGCAATGTCCGTCGTCCCCTCGGCGTTGCCGGCGGCGAACCCGCCGGCGCTCCTCCCACCGCCAGCCGCCGCCTCTTCCCCAACACATCCGGCGTCGCCGACCTCGACACCTGCGCCGACTCGTCCACGAACTTCCGCTTGTTCCGAAATGAATACGGCTGCGCCATCTCCACCTCCTCCGTCGCCGCCGCCACGGACGCGTGTACCGATTCCCGCAGCACCCGGTCGGCCGGCGCCCAGCCGTTGCGCCACAGCCGCTCGCAGGTCGCGCAGAGGCACTCATAGTTGTCGTCGCCGAAGTAGTCCTCGCCGTAGGTCACGGTGATCTCCTCACCCACGTCGATGGGGCGGGTCGCGACGACTTGCATGCCTTGCATGCCGCGGGTGGAGAGGGTCGCATTGGCGGAGCAGTCGTGGTTGGCGAAGCGAGCGGGACCGAGGAAGAGGGAGGGGGCTTTCTTGCGGCTGGACATGACGATGCTGAAATCGCGCCGGGTGAGGTCCAGGGTTTTCTCCTCTTCTTTGGTCAACGGGACCTGGATTCCGGTCAGGTATTTAATCTCCTCGTCCTTCTTGAGGGACCGTCGGGCAGTAACGGCCGCTTCGTAGGTGGATATGGTGTAGCGATTGGTCGTCGTAACCTCAAACGGGCAGTCGGGAAGGTAGATCTGCACATATTTCTTTAGGTGCTTGACGAAATGGTCGCGCTCATGCGGTGCTTTCAGCCGGTCGAAGAACGCCTTGATGCCGCGGACCTTGAGGAGCTGGTCGACAGCTTTGTTGACGTTCTTCTCAACGACGATGCAGTCGCGCAGGATGTTTGCGATATCCTCCTCACCAATGCCGCGGGAAGGGAAGAAACGCGCTTTGTTCTTGCGGATCGAGGTCCAGAAATACACCTAGTGGCTGTGTCAGTCGCATTGCATCGCTGGACGGGAGAATGCATGGTAGAGTAAGGAGAGCGGTATCGAATGTAACGTACATGGTCAATAAGCGCATCCGTGATCACGTCGTCGTAGTTGGCCAGTTGCGCCAGTGTTAGCACCCCTTTCTTGACGACTACCTCTTTGAGCGACATGGCCGCGGCTGTTTATTCAGGTGCAATAAATAACCGTAGCGATAGAATTCAGAAATGACTGTAGCTCCTTCTCATGCACCTCATGCACACCATCCAATCTCCACGCCCTCAATACCGGTTGTCGGTGTGCGAACTCAACAGCGCGAAGCTGAATGGCAGTGACGTCGACGGGGGTTGAGTACGAAGCAGCACATGAACAAGGCTACGGCGCGAAGGGACCAAGCATGTTCGGACGGTTTGAGGGACGATTGGACGATTGGAAGAAATGGAAAGTTGGGGAGTGTGGAGAGAGTGGTCGGAGAGAAGGCCGCAAAAGAATGAACACGGCGAGACTCCTTGGGGAATTACTATTGAAGAAGATTGGCCAATCCGACATTCACTCTTCAGTTGTCATCGTCCATCGTGGCTGTGAATTGGAAGCTTCGGGGGCTGGGAACCAAGGGTCGTTCTTTGCAGCCTGACAGCCTCAGGCTCAACACGAGATGGATCGCATGGGGTCCTTGCACGATGGTTGCAACAATCTGATATCAAATGTTATTCCCACTCTCCACCTTTAATCGCCCATCTCAAGATCGCATTCCCTCACAACCCGTGCATAGTTGACAGAGGAAGGACTGGCCCTCAAGGAGGGTTGTCGCACTCGTCAAGATGATCCAACTCAAGGTCCGTTTCCCATTCTCCTGCACCTTATGTCTCTCTAGACAACTAACATCTCTCTAGACCATGGTCAACTGCATTGACAACTCCGGCGCCGCCATTGTCGAATGCGTCAAAGTCCTGAAGATGCACCGCGCTGCGAAAATCGGTATGTACTCATCTCCCCCCGGCCCGGACCCATGCGATCGAGTCCTCCGATGCTTTCCTACCGCCATGCCCTCTTGTCTTCTCCCACTATCCTCCCACAATCTCGTCCCATTCCAGAGCCCCCGACTAACCCCAACCCCCAGGCGATCGCATCATCGTCGTCGTCCAAAAACAGCGCTCCTTCGGCCCCGAATCCGGCGGCAGCGTCTCCGTCTCTGCCGCCAACAAGGTCCGCCGCGGCGACATCCGCCACGCCGTCGTCGTGCGCACGCGCTCCAAGATGCAGCGGAAGGACGGCAGCGTCGTGCGCTTCGACGACAATGCATGTGTGCTGATCAACAAGACCGGGGAGCCGATCGGGACGCGGATCAGCGGGATCGTGGGAGCGGAGTTGAGGAAGAACGGGTGGTCGAAGATTTTGTCGTTGGCGCCAATGCATTTATAGTGCGGGGAGGGGAGAGGAAGGTTTCGCATGGACGGCGTTAACGGAAAGATGTGTATATATAGAAAAGGGATTGATTTGGATTTTATATCAACTCCTATCCAAATGCTATGTGGAGTCGCTTCATCATATGCGCCGGTGCTTTTTCCTGGAGACTCCGGAAACAAAAAATCGCGGGTATGTTGGAACTACGTTCGATGCCGCCATCGGCATTATGAATGTTTGGATCCATCTTCCAAAATCTCCATGCCATCCGCTATCCCGGTACCCCGAACCCCAAAACGCCCGATTCGTGATTTAGGCCTCTTGCCACACGTGTCCACAGCTGCAGCAGACAAAGTACAGTTTCTATCCGCTAGCATTAGGACATCTGTTAGGGTAGATCGCTCGGACTTCGACTCACCATCCCTGTCTCCGCGGTCCGTTGCTGACTTTGAAAGAAGACGGCCTCGGTCTCCTGGCAATTCGGGCACGGTTTCGTGACTCGGGGGAGCTAGAAATCCGAAACCAACAGAAGTCAGCGTTTGCCGAAATTGCCTTATCAAACCAAGACGAAGACGGAAACGCATATAAACGCATCAAATATAGTAGAGAGTAAGGGACTCATCATGACAAGAGGTAACTCAGTGTTTAATAAGGGGTATAGAACGAAGTGTGTATAGACGGCGTGGCTTCTCTCTCGGGCGAATACGGGATGGTTCTTTCGTGGTCGGTCTCTCGCGGTCAGGAATCCTCCATTCGCTCGGTATCTAAATTCGACGATCGCAACGCGTCGGGCAGGCAGTCGTAACCGATCGTCCGCTCGCCCGACATCGCCGCCAGGGTGCGGACCGAGTCTGCCTCAGTCTCCTCCGTCTCGAGGAAACACCCCGTCTCGACCTCCTCGCCGCATGTCACGCAGAAGATCTCCTGTCCGCACATCGTGCAGAAGTCGGGCGTGTCGAGGGGGAGCGCGCGGAGGAGGGGACTGAGCGGGGGGAAGTCGGAGGAGGGGTCGGCGGACATGGACGTGGGAGAGAGAAGCCGCGCGCCTTGCACAGAGTCGTTGGGGACAGGGTTGCTGGGGGAAGAGGAAGATGTGTGGGAACCGCGGGAACCACCAACCGTGGGATCTTGGGCGACATCCTGTGTGATGCCGGCTGTTTCGCCCACCGTGTTGCTCATTTCGTTGCGGTAGATGACGGAGATGGGGGCGTCTTCCTTCCAGTGGCAGGAGCGGCACTGGAAGAGGAGCTTGTTCGTGGACGTCTCTTCGTGGGGATAGAGCATGTTCGAGCTGGGGAAGAGAAGAACGATGTTAGCAGACTGCATGGGAGTGCGGAAAGAGGACTGACCATTCTTGACAGAAGCGAAAGGTGATCTTCTTAGGCTTGTCGGTGCCGTTGGTGGCTGCTGGTGAGTCGGCCATCGTGTCAAATGATGCTCACGAAGATCGGGATGGTTGATTTTCCTTTGATGTAGATGTGTCGTTTTGGTAGCTAGTAGGTCAGTGTGTATTGCATTGGGGAGAACCGGAGAATGGAGAAATATAATCCTAGGGTGGTGTTGACGTTTTAAATAATTTGAGAATGGTGAATCATATCAAGAAATGTCCGTCTGCGGAATCCTGTCACTCGAAGTGTTGACTCTGAGGGAGGGGCGACATTCTGATTCGATGGCGAACACTTGTTGTGATTGGTGGAGTGAATCTCTTGTCGGAGTTCACGTGATATGCACTCCAAGACGGAGGGACTGCACACTGTTATGCCTCAGGCATATAATCCTCCGGGGGGGAAGAAATTGAGTTACGTTTCTTGGCATTCCCGCAACCATCACCACCATTACAGACAGGCCCAATTCGCTCAAAAACAACATAATACCAAAAAGTATGCTCTTTTCCTAATTAAGCAACTACTAGAGGCCTGTTTTGGTGAATTCTCCGCCGCGTTCTGGTTAAGATCGTGGGAACTGTGCTTAGGGGAATGCCAAGAAAGGTAACTCAATTTCTTCTCCCCCGGAGGAATGGATATCCAGGCACCAACATGACCTCCCGTCAACAGTCATGTAACTAGAAGTTCTTCCTTTTCCTACATTCAACACCATTGGGTTCTGTTCGCGCTATGTTAGACTCACGTGGGACCTCCATGGTGTCGACTGCAGTGACCGAAATGGGATGTCCACATAGCCTGATTGAATGAACCCATCGGCCTGTAAGACCATCGGTTACTATAGGGTATGAACAGCTTTGAGATACCCGGAGGCTATTGAAGATGGAGCTTCAACTTAAAGTCTCTCGTTAGGTCTTTCAGCGTCCTCCTTCGTATCTACAAATGCGAAAGCCTTCGACGCCGCAGGCCCCGCATCGCCCGCGAGCTCGGCGCCTTCCACAAATCTCCGCACGTCGGCCGCATCGTCATCCGTCAGCTGGACATCGAGCGCCCCCCAATTCTCCTCCAGGTACTTGATCCGCTTCGTCCCGGGAATCGGAAACATCTCGTCGCCCTGTTTGAGGATCCACGCGAGGGCCAACTGCGACGTGGAGCAGCCTTTCTTGTCGGCGAATGCTTTGAACTGGCGGACGATCTTCGCGTTTCCATCACGGTTCTCCTCGCGGAACTGAGGGAACCGGGATGCGCGGGAATCCTTGGCCTCAGACGGTCCTTTGGCGGTGAAGGCTTCCGAGAGCATCCCGCGTCCAAGCGGCGAGTAGCAGACGACAGCGATGCCAAGTTCACGGCAGGTCTGGAGAAGGTGGGTGCTGCTGGCTTGTTCGATATCCAGAACAAACGGGGAGTACTCGAACTGGACTGCAGCGACTGGTGCAATGGCACACGCACGCCGAAGTGTATTGGAGCTCACCCCGCAAAGCCCAATATTTCTGATCTTGCCCTCTCTGGAACCGGTTAGATGGTATCGTTTCAACTCCATCGCACTTACGCTTTCAGTTCTGCCATTGCTCGCATCGTCTCCTCAATAGGGGTCTTAGGATTGACCCGATGGGCGTAATCTGATTAGGTAAGAGCAATGAACTGACGTCAACCGGGTCACAGGCCCATCAGGGCGACGGAAGGTTCTCACAAAGATCAATATAATCGGTCCCTAGCCTCTTCAGACTCGCCTCGCATGCACGTTTGCAGTACTCCCCCGAGCTATCCACGCCCTTAATCCCCCTCCCCTCCCCAATAATCAGCGCAAACTTCGACGCCAGGAAGATCTCCCCTCGTTTCCCCGTGCGCGCAAACCATCGGCTCAATAGATCCTCGCTGTCGCCGTAGACGCTGCGGAGATTTAGCGACGTCGAGGTGGTGCCTGTGCTAGGCTCACTTGGCGGTATCCCAAAACGTGCTCCCGAGTTCGACCGCGTGGTCGAGGACCTGGAATCGTTCTTCGTCGCTGGGACGGGGCCCGTGGATTCCGGAGAGGCCCATCAGGCCGAAACCCATGGCAGGGACAGCTGGGCCATTCTTCCCGAGTGTGCGGAGGGGGGCTGGTTTGCTCGGCATGTTGATATAAAAAACACAAAGTATATCTTGAAGATGGCAACGGTAACGGCATTCGATCACTAAGCATTGGCTATCCATGATTTATAGAAGAGCCGGCAATGCCATTATAAATTGATCCATTCATTCGGTGTCAATTGCTCGGTACCTGAACTGGTTACGCTTCGTTCATTCGCTTCTTCGACCCCTGGGGAAGAATTGAGGGGTATGTCAATCGCAAGTACAGATGCAGTTAGGTCTCAACGAATTAAGGATGTTAATTCTGTAACCCCCTGTCGTCAAGGGATCGATAAGCAGTTTAATTCGAATCTTCCGTAAGTCAACAGACCCACTTTCCGTGCAACCCAGATTCCGTGCACCCCTTGAGATAATACGTAGATACGTAGAGCGCTTTTGATCAATGAAATAAATTCAACAACACCATCTAATATTATCAGGATGCCTCGTATTAATGAAGAGGCTGTCCAACAAGCTATCAATGCTTTCCATGACCAAAAATTTGACTCGCTGAATAAATGTGCGGATGCGTACGGTATCAAGAGATCTACACTTCGGGACAGACTCAACGGCAACGATTCCCACCAAAATAGTTCGAAGAAACTTCAGAAGTTATCTCCCGAGCAGGAAAAATGGCTGGTCGAATGATCCAGGAAGAAGATCTCGCTGCCAGAGCCCCCTCCCATGCAAGAGTACGCCAAATGGCTGAGGCAATTGCACGAGAAAATGGGGATACTACCCCTTGCGGTATCAATTGGACTCAGGGATTTCTACGACGCAATCCGGAGGTAAATACAGTGGTGGGACGATCAATCGAGGCCGCCCGCGTCAATGAAGCTTCAAAAGAGACGATCCAAGCGTTCTTTGATACATATCTGCGTGTCTGCGCGGAGTACAACATCAAAGATCTCAAACCAGTGGAATTTCGACGAGCACGGCCTCTCCCTTGGCTGTGGAACCAATGGGAGAGTAATTGCCCCTGTTCATACTTCTTCTAAAAGGCGAAAGAAGAGCCATACATACGTCAAGTCCCCAGAAAATCGAGAATGGGTCTCAGTGATCGAAGCTGTATTAGCAGACGGCCGAGCAATCTCTCCCTTGGTTGTCTTCAAAGGAAAAACGGTCCAGTCTTCCTGGTTCCCTCCTAAGCAGACAGATATACCAAATTGGCACTATACAAGTTCAGAAAATGCCTGGACTTCGAACGAAATCGGTCTTCAGTGGCTCCAGAAAAAGTTTTTGTCAGAAAGCAAGCCCCTGAACTCCCCGGCAGCGAACGGCGCGCAGGAATGGCGCCTATTAATATGCGATGGGCACGGCTCTCACGCTACAGTCGAGTTCATGAAGTTGGCCAAGGACAACCGCGTATTCTTGTTGTTTTTGCCCCCCCATTGTTCCCACCTCCTCCAGCCCCTTGACGTCGCGTGTTTCTCGCCCCTAAAGTCCAAATATCATAAAGAGCTCTCCCAATTAGCATCATTAGATGATTCCGTGCCTGTAAAAAAGCATAATTTTATATCTATATACTCTAATTCCCGAAAAGAAGCTTTGAATTCGTACAATATTCGTGCCGGCTTCCGTGGAACTGGAATGGTTCCGTTCAACCCAGACAAAGTATTAAATAGCACCCAATTAAACGAGAACCATCAAATACAACGTCATGTGACTCCAGAGTCCCAGTATACTTATGCATTCCGTACGCCCAAAGGCCCCAAAGATATATACGATGCCAAATTAGACGAAATGGGGGGCCGGGATTTCAGGAGGTTTCAGGGGAAGGTCGCAAAGGCGCTGGCAGAGAAGAACGCGGAAATCGCCCGACTCAAAGCCGAACTTCAAAGGGCTGAAAATACAGTTGCAGACTTAGGAGGGCCTGCTGGCAAGAAAAGGGAACGGGTTCAGCCCAATCTGAACGAACGATTTGTTCAGATTGATCAGATTGTTGGGGCTCAGGAGGCAGCTAGGGAGAGGGAACAAAAGGCTGCAAAACGACTTCAAATTAACCCGGAGGAAACGTCTTAATAATTGCAGAAGGCGATGTTTAAGTCACTCTATCCACAATTTCAATTACAGGTATAGAAAAATATATGGTGGTGGTTACATTCCGCAAAACCCATTCGTCTTTGTGTCCTATTGGAGCTGTGGTGGGGGTGCACGGAAACTGGGTTGCACGGAAATTGGGTCCGTTGACTTAACTAACTAACTACTTATTCCGTACTTCTCCTAATTCATGTTTCCAGTTCAAGTGGCTCTTTCCTAGATTATTTCCTACCTAAGAAGGGTAGTTAGGCTTTATATTGACCTAGTGTTATGGTCCCAGGCCTGCGGCCTGTTCCCTTGGTTGTGGCTGAAGACGTGGCTGGTGGATTAGAGTGAGCTGGTAAGAATGTCAAGAATTACTAATCAGCTCATTCATTTCCTGATACAGCGGCAGCTCCTCGGCGGTGGACATGGGTGTCCTACTACGTAGTCTAGACCCACTTTAAACTGTGGCTTCAACAAAGTGGACAGAGGGTATCGGTACGTACGGGTAGTTTGCTGGAGCCTGGAGGATTCATGCAAAGTATAAACATCAAGCTAGGGTCCAAGGGTCCATCCACTAAGGTAGTATCGAGCTAATCCCTGGAACCGTAGAAACAAACTTAGTTACTCAGGCCTCACTCCTCAGTACACCCCACGGCTCTGACAACTTGGAATCTTTTCGTCAACAACCTTACTTTGACCTCTCTATAGTAAACGATACACACCAGCGACACCACTGCATCATGCATGTTACACTCATGGTGGTCGGGTCAACCTGAATTCCGTATTGGCAACCAGGACAGGCTGCAAGATGTCTGTCAGTGGAGGGCCGGACTGCTGGAGGCAGGGTGCGAATGTGCCGACTCAACTTCCAAGGAAGCGGCCTGGTCAATCCCCCACATCGAAGTCTTCCGAGAGTCCCGTCCGTAACCGACTCTCCACGAGACCGCAATTTCATCGTGGAAAGCGGAATAAACAACAAGAAAGTGGGAACTCCTGGAAAGGATCGGCGTGGCTGAACCAGAGTACTACATATTGTAGCGCCAATTGAGGAACATATCTGTGCCACGACCTCGTCGTCGGGTGAGCAAGCGCTTTTAGAAGTCGACACAGCTAGTGCGAAGTCGATGGTCGATGTTCGACAATCTCTTTATGAAGTATCGATTCTTTCTTTGTCTAAGTCGTATCTTTTCTTTTAGTGCCCTTCCGATGATCCCGAGGTGAAGCACAGCGACATTTCCGGTGGGGTGAGTCTGCCTTGTCTCTGTGGAATTGATCCAGCCTTATCACCCATGTCCTTATTTATGTCACCCCCTTCGTTTATTGGACAACCGATCGACCATTCTCGTATTCAACCTGCACTTGGCCACTGGCGATCCCTGAGTTGGCTAGTCCACCGAGGAGGGAGCGACAGATCACAGGTCACTAAAGACAAAATGCACCGCTCCACCTTCTGCTCTGAGGCTAGTCGGCTTGTGCCAAGGCGTTGCTTCAGTCCGGTCAATTTTGTTGCTCCCTCCCGCTCGTTTAATTTCCTCTATCCTCGCGGGAGCCAATGGCCGGCGACCTGGTCTCCTCGATCGAGTGTGATGAGGCTCCTGGTGCGAGGGAACGCTGCCTGCATTGACAGGGACATTCCACGATGAAAGAGCTATTTCCGGTTCGGTGTCATTCATGCGGGCTATAAAGTTCTCGTCGGCGCACCTCAAGATCCTATCTTGAGGAACATTGTCACACCTTTTAAACACCACTGACGTTCACCATGCACGGGAGCTACTTTCGAGATATTGCGCTCAGCGCCTTCCTCCTCCTTGGGTCCTTTGTCTCCGCAGACAGTCTCGATTCTCTCGAAGGATTCAGTCTTGTAGAACGCGGTTTTCCTCTGGAGAAGCGTGTGTTGGAAGGACGAGCATGTTAGCAAACCATTCTCTGGTTTCTCTTTATCTGATCTAATCCGTCCAATAGGTCGTACCGGATTTGTCCCTTGCGGCAACGGCTACTGCCGTCCAACAGACGGCACCTGTTGCGCCAACGGTTCCTACGCTGATTCGGACGAAATCTGTTGCTCAGGTGGATCCGCGCCTGCTGGATCCACGTGCTGTCCCAATTACGATACGCATGCGCGTCCTGGCTATTACTGCTGCACAGATGGAGCGAGCTGCCGGAATGGCAGGACTTGTAGGGGATGCACTCCCGTAAACGGCGGCGACGAAGGCGGATCGTCGGGATCGGGATCGTCGCCCACGACCACCTCCGCGGCGACGCTTCCCACCGGAGGTTCTAGCGGGGGCGGAACTAGATACTACACGTACACCATCACCTAGTAAGTCCTCCTTATGGTCCGCACGCGGTCCTGGAAACTGACCCGATCCTGAAGTACCTACCTTTCCTGGACCCTTGACTACGACATCGTCCTCTCCACGAGCACCGCCACCACCACGCGCGTCTCCACCACGACTATCTGGTCCGTCTCTGCCACCGACTCCGACGCCGCGGACAGCTCCTACAGCCAATTCACACGCACCGAATCGTTCTTCACGCCCGCCGCGGCGACTGTCATTCCAACCAACAGCATCCCGACTTCCACGGCCCGAGGCGCATCGGCTCCCACTTCTACTGAAGGCTCGTCGTTGAGCGGTGGGAGCGCCGGTCCGATTGGTGGGGTTGGGGCAAGTGAAGCGGGGCCTGGATATCGAACGGGCGTCGTGGCGGTGGTGGGAACCTTGGCGAGTGTGTGGGTGATTCGAGGGCTCATGGCTCTTCTGGCTTAGGCGGGCTGAGATTGGCAGGGAGACTCGATTCCTTTTAGGTTGGTTTATGGATGGCATTGGCATCTTGGCTGAAGAGCTTATCCGATACACCTGTAATTATGAGATTGAACTGGGCAATCATAATGACACGGCGATTACTGGGAGGGAGGACTTTTATAGGACTGCTTAATCTCTGAGTTGAATGGAAATATACCCAATGTTAACCGTGTGTTACCTGCTAATATGTTGCATCTAATAGATCCTCATAGCCCATGAACAGCATCTGATTTTGTGCTGTTTGCGGCGCTTTGTGCTAGATTCCTTATTGCCTCTTGATATTTATCTCAGTTGGGACTCAGGCGGCAATGGTGCCCCCTGGCCATTATGGGGCTCCGCTATACCCAATGAAGCCCAGCCTCTTCTTTAGCATACGTCACTAACTATTGACCAATTATATGTCATGAAGGCTGTGGGCACCACTGCCGTCTGAGAGACTTGCACATAATTTGTATGGATGTGTAGTGCATCATATCATGATGATATAGGTGAGAGAACTCCCATCGCTAAGTGTACTTGATACAGAATGTTTATCGCTAATCTGTTTTCAGAAATTGGTTCTACGCGTTGACTTCTACATTTCATCAAGTTTTAGGACCAATCCAACCACTCTACAGTCCGTCACGGTTCAGACATTGGCCGGTTATAATATCACATGACATCACATGACCAACGCCTGAGTGCTTTTGTAAAAGTTACATATCAGGGAGACTCTCCGCTTGATGGATCTTCCTCCTTTGTACTAATATTATCTTTCACATGTAGTACAATGCACGTATTCCAGACAACATCACTACGTGTCTACGTCCTTGACACTAGGGTTTGACAGCGAATCATGAAACTCGTCGCTAACTGCTTGCTCAGGACTCATCAAGATATGGGTGTATAATCCAGCTGCAATCTCCTTTAACAGGTTCGGATTCGTGCGCTTGGTCTCCGCTGTAACAAGGCAAGGCCTGACCTCTTCTGCTCCTCTCCAAGCTTGCTTAAAGGAATCAACTGGATGACAATTCTGCCAATAAAGATTGGGATAGCATGGAAGATAATGCTCTTCCCAAAACCAGTCTTAGCAGAGACAATAGTATCCCCATGGCGAAAAACAATTCGTCGAAGAGCCCGAACCTAGTTGATACGTGGGAGCCGACCAGCCAGGAGTCGCTGCAAACCATGGAAGATCAGACCATACTGGTATTTAATGTTCTTTCGTATCAGGCAGGCCTTGACTAGCTCTTGTAATACCGAGCATAACTCTTCATCTGGTGTCGTTGCAATTATGGATATCTGTTCTTCGATCGTTTTCTCGATGGAAGGTGGTTGTACAGAGGTTGGATTCTTATATAGGGAGGTTTCACGCCCATAGGCGCGGCCTTGCCGGCGCTTTAGTCGCATGGAGGCAGATCTAGAGATTGATCCTTTACGGTTGATGACGCGACAAGCAGTTTTTAAACTCTAGTTACAGAATCTACAGTTAGAAATTCGGTATTTAAAAGCTATAGGACGGTTTAACAAACCCTTATCTATATTTCATCAACTTCTGGAGCCCACCCAACTTCTCCGTATGATGTTATTCGCAACCTCGTCAGTTCTAGTAAATCTCATCATCTACATATCCACGCTAATTTTGTAGAGGCTTCTCAGACGGTACACAAGACAGTTGCACTCACGTGAGTAGATTTTACGCTAAACATGGGTCTAATCCGGTTCTGGTTTAGCTAAACCAGGGACATGGCTTGGGTAACGTCTGAGCCCAAGCTGAGATAACTTGATATTCATCAGGCGTCAATTTCACTTGTCTACAATCCATTGCTTTCAGCCTCAGGCAAACGTGTAGCATCCCTGCAACCCCCAAACATTGACATGGTCTAGTTCATGGTGTGGAAAAACACCCCGCATCGTCTGTGGGATTGTTGGATCGACATCGTCACTCTTTCAACTTCATCTAATTCACTGACATCTTGATCGGGTCCTGTTCTGAACATTCGTAACGGGTATTTAGACTCTTCATTTCCCTTACCTACCTTCCATCTCTCCGTTACCAATCTCTGCTTGCTCTCTACAATCCGTGCTACCCCCACTCGCCAGTTGAGCAATCCCCATCCGCTAACCAGCAAACAATGGTATGTCCTCCAACCCCCAACCCAGTCGGCTTCCCAGTCGGCTTCCCAGTCGGCTTCCCAGTCGGCTTCCCAATCATCGCTAACCCTACAAAGTCCGACACCGGTCTCCCTCCCGGCTGGGAAGTCCGCCACTCCAACTCCAAAAACCTCCCCTACTACTTCCACGCCGACACCAAAGACTCCCGTTGGGAGCCCCCCGAAGGCACCAACAGCGACCTCCTCAAAGTCTACATGGCGAACTACCACTCCAGCGCCCCGCTCCCCAAGTCCGACAGTGGCGCCAACGGCAACGACGGGAAGATCCGCGCCGCCCACCTGCTCATCAAGCATCGCGACAGCCGCCGCCCGAGCAGTTGGCGGGAGGCGCAGATCACGAGGTCGAAGGAGGAGGCGCGGGAGATCTTGCAGGCGCACGAGGCGCGGATCCGGGCGGAGGAGGCGGCGTTGGGAGAGATTGCGATGAGCGAGTCGGATTGCAGCAGTGCGCGGAAGCGGGGGGATTTGTGAGTACTTTTCTATCGCGCTTGTTGAACGTGGGAGGGATGTGAGAGGCGTAGGCTGATATATGGTGGGTAGGGGATTCTTTGGGAAAGGCGATATGCAGAAGGAGTTTGAAATGGCGGCGTTCGCGCTCCAGCCCGGGGAGGTGAGCGGGATCGTGGAGACGGCGTCGGGACTTCATTTGATCGAACGGTAGGTGATTCACGACATGTCATGGTGATGGCCTAATCGCTGACTTTATATCATAGGATCGAGTAGATGGACATCAATTGTCCGCCGCCGTTAGTGTTGCAGCGTTTGTTGGTTAGCGGGCTCGCTTGAGCCGATCAAGATGAAGCTTGTCTGCCACCAAAAATTGACGTTGGCATTGTCATGATGACCGGAGTGGTCTCCGGCTAGACGGGTGCTATGTTATGCTAGAATGAGGTCACGCAGAGTCGCAGTGCTTCGTTGGAATCAGAATTTCTCGTGCTCCCGCGAGCTCAGTGAAGTTACGCCTGACGAGTTACACCTAACTCAAGCTCACCTCGCAGGCGTGACATCTCCTCGTGAATTCGTGATCAGGTGAGGAATTGATGGAAATAAGCCGAGTATGTGACTCAAGATGGCAATGATGACGATATGACGCCACCTGCCTATTCGACTCACTAGACCTCAATTCGCTTCTCCAGAAAATCCCCTGGTTATTGTCCCTGTTTGTTGTCCCTTTGCACTCTCCACTTCATGCATCTGAACCAGTGACTAATATCGTGATAACCTATCCAATGCGAGAGTTGATGGGAACTTCCCGTTGACCTTCCCGTTTGCCTTCCTGCTCTGTCACTCACTTTCGCATTCACTTCTTATCATCCAAGTCGAGCATTACAATCATTTTGCCGTTCACGGTCACCGGAATTATGATGCTTTTGCTCTTCCTTTCCTCCATTTCCTAGGTACCCTGCATTTCACTTCAAATAGCGGTTTAACGGCGCATTTCAACCTCACGTGCGACTCACTCGTGGAGATCCATCTCGACTTCTATTACGCTCACCATCATCGACTCGTCCTCCTTGGGGCCCCAGGTTGCTCACTGGTGTATCAGTCGTGTATCAGTCGTTCAACGAAAGGAACATCCCGCCGTCCGTTGACTGACAATTCGATTGTGCAACCGGATCGACGGAACAAACAAAGACTACCAAACCTGAGACGGCACCGTATTCGCTGCGGACACAAACGTGTAGAGGAAATGAGCTCTGGGTTAGATCACCCTATGGACAACCTCCCGGTATCTCACGAACTACGGGTCGAGTCTCTGACATTCAACTCCGAGAGCAACCATCAAGCAGTTCAGCGTTATTGTTCCATGGCGACGACTGAGTTGAATTCTGGGTAAATTCCATTTGATTTTCTAGGAGCGCGGGAAAGTGAATGTTCCATCTCTCTCAACACTCTCCACATCAGCTGATCGTATCGATCCACGATCCACGATCCATGGTTCTCTCAACCTGAATTCACCTAGCAGCCAAACAAACAAATATCCTAACTCTCTCACGACCTATACCCCGCATTCCCCGGATTCCTCTCCACAATCATATCCAGTCCGCTGTCAACATCGCCGCACGATCCCGAATCAATCCCCTTCATCACTAGAAGCATCGCAAACCTAAAACAATCAAGCAAACCGTATGCGAAGATGCAGGACACAACACCCCAGGTTTCCCGTAACCGTTCCCAGCGCACACCCAGCATGCCGCTCAATTCCCGCCACCGATTATCATCGCAAGAAACTGCCCTCCCTCAGAGCCCCTCGCGCCGGTCATCAAAGACGGCATGTCCGCCCGATGGAGATGCGTTCAGCTACGATCCCATCCATCTCGCGGAGTGGAAGGTGGCCGATCTGCTATGGAAGAAGCTGCCCGAGAACCTCCTGGAACCGATCGCCGCGCTGCAGCATGCAGGAGCCGCGGTGCGGACGGGATTCGCGCGTCTTGACGATATTGGCATTCCCGACGAGCTTGCGAAGCACACCGCCTCACGACCTCAGTCGATCTCCTCTGCCCTACCAGGTGAGCACCAGATGTGGGATCACAGCAAGAATAACTCCAACATCTCCTCGCACGCATACAAGCACAGCAACGCATCCGTGGGCAAGAAGCCAGGTTCACTAACCCCCACTCCAGATAACGCCAGCCCCTGCTACATTCCAATCATGTTCGATGCCGACAGTCCGTTCGCCGAAGACCCTTCCTCGCAGCTCGCCCCCACAATCTCCAACTCCTCCGGAACCCGCACCGCATCCACCTCTTCCACCAACCCCTATACCACCACCGATTCCAACGTTCGACCCTCCCCCGGCAGCTCCTTCAGCACCGCCGATCTCTTCTACCCCTCTCCTTCCTCGGCCCGCTCCTCCTTCTCGATATCATTGCCTCCGACCCGGATACCCACGAGCCTCGGACCCGGCAGACCCAGCACCACATCCGCGAAGACGTTCTCGAACTTTACGGACGCAGACCAAGAGCTGCCACGGGATGCGCACACGATGCGGTATCTCGCGGAGGTGCGCACGTTACGCGGGGAGGGGATGGTGCGGCTGCGGCACGCGGCGCGGAAGGTCGAGGGGGCGTGGCTGCGGTGGCAGGAGGAGGAGGGCCCAGCGAGCATTGGGGAGGTGGGAAAGGAGTTTATGGGGTGGTGGGGAGAGGCGTTGAGCCGGGTGAGGGAGTTGGATGTGAGGGCGAGGGGGTTAGCGGCGTAGGGATCGGAGGGCGTCACGCACGTTTGATCGCGGACGGTATGGCGATACCTTTCGCTAGGAAGCGGCGGGATTGTCTACGGTGCTTTACAACATCTTGACGGGCTATGTGAATACGAATGGTGCATACGGTACATATCAATACCCTCGGAGTTATTCAGGGAACTAGAATTAAACAGAATCGTGCGAACGAAACCCTGTAGAATACAGCAATTGAACCGCTATTTTAACCGTCGAAACAGTTAAAATCACCGATGATGGTTGTGAGGCTGTGGTACCTACGGTATAAAAGGCGGTCCTTGATCGATTATGGGGATTTATACCCCAGCTCTCTTCATTCACGGATTGAATCAGTTCGTGAAGATTTTCTGGTACTCCCTACCTGCTATATACGTCTAAGACCCTATCATTGACGGAATCTAGCCTCCTAATGTTACCGGCGGTACCAGATATGGAATCACCAAATCAGCCAGCAGCTGGCCACATAGTCCGGCTTGATATTGAATAGAGATGGACTGATGTGGACTGTAGTTGGAGCCATCAGTGGCGTTAACGACCAGGAGAAGCTTCTTTCAGGGGCCACCAGATGTGGCGCTTCCCTGTTGAGGTCGGTTACCTTAGGTAGCGCTGACTGTTGACAACGTCGAATTTCATTTTCTGCTTCTTCGGACGGAATAACATCAGACTTTAGTGTGTAGGACGTACTATGAGCAGTTATAGCATAAACGGTAGAAAGGGGAAATCGACTAGCAAGGGTCTGATAGTACGTTGGGACTGGGTTTCAGCCATGATAATGCAGTTGTAGGGCTGAAGATGCGTGGGCTTTACAAAGAAACCGATCATCATAGCGAAGAGTATTTAATAGTGACCAATTGTCCATTCGGTCTATTTCACGTCGATCGCCTTCGTTCGACCCAACCCCTCCTTCGCATAGAAATCCATCGGGTATGCCTCGTCTGTCTTCCGGTCCATCCATTTCGCTTCCTTCAGTCCCAGCGCAACAAGCGCCTCGTAAGGACTGAGCAATGGTCGAGGAAACGCGTAGCCCCAGTCGATACTCAGTCGGGGACAAGCGATCTGAACCCAGCATTCCACATCTGGCATCAGGGCCAGTTTCCCGGGGAAGATCTCGCTCAGCAGGATCGTGATCCAAGGGATATTCTTCTCGGTTAAACGCTTTTCGATGAGAGCCATGGTATGCGGGTTCCCTTGTCGACCGAGCGATCCCAATATCAGGCCCCATTTCTTCGCTGACTGGGCATTGGTAATCGCTTTCGTCCGCAAGGTGTAGAGTTCGTCGTGATCATAGCGCTCTCGTGTTAGGCGTCGTGAGTATGGATCGTATCGATATGCCGGAATATCAGGATTGTGAATCATGGCGGATTCCAAGTGGAACCGCCCATCTCCGACGTATAATAGCGCATCGGCTGATAGTCCGGCGGCGTCCTTTGATTTTGCTAACTGAGGCGATGTGCAGCCCAATATTTCGCCTTTGCTCAATGGAGAGATCTGCGGAATGACAATTTCCAAGCCCTCTTTCCGGAGTGAAGGCGCAATATGATGAATTGTCGCGTTGAACTGTATAGTTCCGACCATGGCAATCGCCTTGCCCGGCTCGAAGTTGCGTGTTAACGTAGCAATCAGATGTGGTACGTCAATACTAATATCGACGAAAACATAGAGCGTCTTGATTTTCGTTACATCAACCGGTATCAGACAGCTGTGGGCGTAATGTATAAGGACGTCACAACCCAGCGCACGGGCTGTGTAGTCATCAATACAACAGGCACCGTAGGTCACGTCTCCCATGATCAGTGTCTCCGTACCAGGACAAAATCTAGTCAAAATGTCCGATATGGTGGTGGCAAAGAGGAGTAACCCTTCAGGAAATTGAAGTGCTATCTTCTTCGCCCCTGACTGTCGTACCCGGTGTATAGTTTTGTGGATCTCGAAGGAGTAATTGGAGGGAAGAAGAGCAATAGCATCGTTGATATCTTTGTCGTTCAAGATTTCAGGAGGGATGTTGTGTATCAACCGCGCAGGTCTTCTGGGCTGAGCAACTAATATGGAACATCAGCCCTCATTCAGGACACAACACCAATCGAGCCAACTGACCTTGAATAGCTTTGCTGTCCTCTATACTCAGATTAGCTGGGGATTTGTCGCTGGATTGCTCTGCTGTGCGGCGGCCCACAAACCGCTTCTTTGGTTGCTTGAGAGTTGCGTCGTCTGATACGGGTGGTTTGTCTTCCTCAATCGAGGGACCTAGATTGGTTTCTAGTCTATCGGCTTCCATTATGTGATGCTTTGAAACTATTCAAGCAATTCGAGACTGCACTTGGGTTGTACCGACTGTTTGTCCGAATTGTCCTGGACTTTGCCATCCTGAAGAACAATCGAACAATCGAAACTTCATGAAAATTGGTGCACGTGATCTGGAGGAACCCAGACGGCCAGCCAATGAATGCCGTCCATTTTCAACTTCGGTTGTCATCGTCATCAGGATTATTGCATTGGGGAAAATATTCATAGCCCCCTGTTTGCATCCACGCCCTAAAGATCCGGTTCTACGATCTGTTCTTGTTCTTTGCCAGCCGAAAACAGTCAAAAAGGTGTGTAGGCTGTGGTGACGTTGCAATTATGGTATCATCCATGAGCAGCGACGATGTTGGGGTTGGGGAGATCCTCCAACTATTGATTGTGATATTTAAAGCTTCAACCGTTTCGTTCAGTCTATTGTCTATTGACTTCGGGTTTCAGAGTCTAAATCAAAGATTTGAGTTTACTTGGGGCCTTTGCTTTCGAAATTAGGCTGGTATGCGGTTAAGATGAAGCTTCTAGGGCCACAGTTCTTGAGAGCTGGGCTCATCCTTTTCTGTCTTGGCCTAGCGTCCATATAATGGAATATGTCATCACATAAACGCAGTAAATTGATATTGAAGGTATGCTTATATACCTCAAGTCGTGATGCGACAAAAATATCCTTCTCCTAGACCCCCCGATCCTCTGATTGGATTTGACCAACGACAAATGGACCATTCGTTGCGGTGTCTGTTGACTGGCTGCCTCTAGAAGGAGGGGAGACCGAAATTCTTCATTGGTTACAACCAAATCTAGAGCCAGCCATGTCAGAATCAAACACACCGTTCAAATATCTCTCGAGTACAGCTCTCGCCGTTTCCCCATATGCCAAGACAAGCGATGCTCTTTATCCTGGGTCTCGATCTTCGTTCAGCGACAACGACAGCCCCAACATGGCAGAGCGCGAGCGTACACTCATGCACAATTCATCCAACCTCCAACCTTCTCGGTTCCAGTATCCTTCGAGCCAGGCAATTTCCCGGCAATAGCAGATCTTGCGCCGCTGTTCTTCCTGCCAGTATTGGATTAGCAGTCGGATCGTTATATGATTCTGGCTTCGGACGTCCATTGATGGATATAGGTAGTTGTCGCGTCGAACTCATTTACATCCGGAAGACAAAGGCATCACGAATTCAGGAATCGAGATCCTTGGACCATTAGAACGGAAAATGACATACTCCGTCTAGTGTACTTAAACCGAACGAGAGGGGTGATCCCGTAGCACGACTCTGGGGATACTGGAAGGTAAATCTAGATATATTGGTGAACTCGATGTTATATCCTGTCTGACGTGATTATAAACGTGGATCGCACGGTGCCGTGTCAATCGCTGGACCGATATCGCTGGATTGGGTAGTAAGAAGTGCAAACATAGACAATTTCGAGCTTTAACTTAGGACACGCCTTGTTGGGTATAAAAAGTCAAGACATTGAAGACTTGACAAGCTAAGGTATTCCCAAAATTCTCTCAAAAATCGACGCCCATCCAGACATGCATCGAGCCTAAACGACGCTCACTCTGGCACTCGGGACCTCGAACCCGCCCCCAAACTTCATCGCCTTCGTCCCCACTGCCACCTCCCTCTCCCACATCTCCCACACCTCCAACCGCCGCATCTCCTGTTCCAGCACCTGAAACCTCGGAATCTCCCTCTTCGGCCTCCACTTCATCCGCTTTCCCTCCACCGCCGGCCTCAACCGCACCAGCGCTGCCTCCGCCGGAATCCCCGCGATCGTCTCCAGCAACTGCAATCCCTTCCGATGCGCCGACTCCGTCGCCGTCTGCTCCGGCGTGCGCGCCGCCACGATCGGCGCCGCCAGCCAGCTGGTCTCCGCGACCTGCGCCTCCGTCTTGGCACGCCGCGCTTCCGCGCGCAGGAACCGGTTCGTCGCCTGCAGCACGTCAACCTCGGCGCGGAGGCGCTCGAGCTCCTGGATGGCACCAGGGGTGAGCTCGATGGCGGTGCCGGCGGCCCCGGGCTTCGGGGCGGAGGTCTCGGCGAGGTGGCGCCAGTGCTCGCGCGCTTCGACGGCGGTGCGGATCTCAGCTTCTTTTTGCTCGAGGGCGCGCACGGCGAGCTGCTCGCGCTGTTTGCCCTGGTCGAGGAGCTTCTCGAGCTCGGTGATGCGCGTGGCTTTCTTGCCGGCTTCCTTCATGCGGCTGTCGAGGGTCTCAGCCTTGTGGGTCGCGTCTTCGAGTTCTTTTTCTTTGAAGCGGAGGTGCGCAGTGCGTTCGTGGAGCTCGTCCTTGAGGCGGCGGAGCTCGGCTTCGGTAGCGGCGGAGGTGAGTTTAGTGGCGGCGAGTTCGTTGGAACGGAGGACCCAGGGTGGTGAAGGGCGTTCGAATTCGTCGGCTTGGGAGAGGTCGGTGGCCAGGGGAGAGAGGGTAGAGAGACTGTCGACCAGGGTCCGGAGGTTGGAGATGATGGGTTGCAGGGGGTTATCGGATGCGGATTCGGTACTTAAGGCGTAGAAGGACGCGGCTGTCTTGCGCATGAGGGAGGCGACGTCGGAGAAGTGTAGAGGCTCGGTACGGCCCTCTACGTGGAGGAGAGAGGAGGCAGAATGACCCAGTTGCTGTGCGTATTTTGAGATGGCAGATGTCGCGGATTCGCTTTTGGAGAAAAGCAGCTCGGTTGAATCAGGCTTGAGTGAAAGGCTGCGCGCTTTCAGGTCTTGTAGAGCACGAACCACCTTCGACACGACCACCTTGGCACTTCGAGACTGTGCAATGAGGGTCTCGGTAGCTTGATCGAATGTTTCCAGACCCTCATGGCCGGTCTCGACTGCTTCCGCAAAGTGAGAGCCGACGTCCGTTTTGGTAGCAAGGAGAGACGCGGCAGCACTTTCAAGATTGCTTTGCATCATGAGAGCCTTCATTAGGATCTCATCACCAAACGATTCTAGCCCCTCTCGGAGGTGGTGTTCGGCTAGATGTGACATTAATGCAATCGACCTATCGAAATGTTAGGATCGAATCGGAGAATGGAGAGTATGACCATACCTGTGCAACCCTTCAACCACATCACTCTCCTTCACCTCGTCCTTCCTCAACTGATCAATATACGCATTCAAAGTCCGCTCCACCGGCTCCAGCTCATACAACGAGCCGGCGAACTTCGCGAACTGCTCCAAGTCGCACGTCTGCATGCAGCTCACAAATCGGTCGCACATCGCCTGCACCCAGGTGAGTTTATCCATCGCGTCGCACGCATGATAGACCTGCTCCGGCAGATACGTGCGGTCCTGTGCCGCCACCTTATCTCGGAGGAAGTTATGGAGTAGTTTTCCTTTGAATCCAATGCGTTTGACGCGCATGTATGCTAGTACAGAGTCTCGTTCGGCGTGGAATGCATCGGGTAAGAACAACTGGACAATCGTGAGGTGTTCCGAGGCTTCCTGAGCTTCCATGCGGCGGAGTTCCAGGTCGATGGTCTTGATGCGGGCGTTCGATGCCGACATCTGGAGTTGACGGTTCAGGTCCATCATGTCTCTTGATTTGCTGCTGAGTTCTTGCGCTTCGGTCTCGGTGATCTCCTTCGATGCCCGCATTTGCTCGAGGTCCGCTTGGAGGTTGATGACCAACTCTCGGAATCGAGTGATGGTATACTCCTGATCCGTCAGCGTCTCGTCTTGCTGGTTGGCACGCTTGGTCTGCTCATAGAGCAGCGAATCTTTGAAGTCGATAACTTCCTGTAGCTGCTTCTCGTTTTCAACATGGTTGAGCTCCAGCTCGTCGTTGAGTTCTGTCAAGCTCTGAAGATCGTCGACCATATTCTTGAGCTCTTCGAGTTGCTCCGTAAGGGCAAAGTTGCGCTCGGTGAGCTGCTCGATCATGTCTTCCGCTCCGAGAGCGGCGTCCAGCTGCTGTCGCAGGTCATCCACGTCCGCTTCGGATTCGAGCAGCTTCGCTTTCATATCATCGAACTCTGCCTTCAAAGCCGCCAGTTCCTGAACGTCCTCCTCCAGGCTTTGGATCTCCTCACGAAACTGTCCCTCTTGCTCTTGGCTTATATCCCGCAGGCGCAGCAGCGCCTCTCGTAACCGACCATTCTCCCTCTCCATCTGCAACCATCCTTTACTCGTCCGTTCCTCCGGACTCATATCCTTGCTCAACTCCTCGTTCTCTTCTTTCAATATCTCATTCTCCAGTTGCAACTCCTCAGCGCGGTCCTTCAATCCCCCCATTTCCGTTTTATATGCCTCCGCCTGCTCCTCGGCCATCTCTCGATCCAACGCTGCCATCTCCATAAGTGAATCATGCTCTGCCTGCATCGCCTCAATCTGTTCCACCGCCCCCTTCGTGTCGCGAAGTTGCTTCCGTAACTCGGTCGATTCATGCTGTTGGGTTTGACATTTCGCTTGAAGTTTCTCGATGATGGTATGGAATCGGTCGCGTTCTTCCTGGGTGCGGTCGAAGGTTTTGAGCTTCTCTCGGTCTTCCAGTCGCTTCTTTTCCAGGATGCGGATTTTAGAGTTGAGGTCATCGATCTCTTTATTGGATGCGGGGCTTGGTTTGGAGGCGGAAGGTCGGCTGCTCGCGGTAGGTTGTGGCGGCTGTGAAGGTTGGAGAGTCGATGAAATCGATTTGGCACCGGAAGTCGGAGGACTGACTCTTCGAGAAGCTGCCGATGGAAGGGGAGTAGGCTTGGTGGGCGACACGACACCAGATGGCTTGGTTGGTGAGGAAACCCCCGATCTGGCAGAAGTAGTCCCTGACAGAGACGGCCTAGAGGATGTAGACCTAAGGCCTGGCCCAATCGATGATCGTGCCGACAGTCTTGTGGAAGGGTTTGGTGGGACGGGGGTTCGTCGAGCGGTAGTCGTAGACGGAGCCATCGATTGCCTTTTTGTCGTCGCGGGCGGTGCCATGCTCTGTCGTGGCCGTGTGGTGGATGTAGTTATACTTGACGGCCTGCCCTTTACCACGCTTCCACTCGGCTTCCCATTCTCCTTCGTGGCTGATTTCGCGGCTTGAGGTTTTGATCGAGGCTCCTCCAGGATGGCCGAGATGCCAGACGGTCGCATAAACATGCCATGGCCGGGCTGGCAGTCAAAGTATCGCTCTCCTTGTACCGAACCATCGTTCTTGCCCAACGCATCTTCGAATTCTACCCCAATCCAGTCCCCTTGGGCGAATGATGTCTCGCCGACGAAACGGACTGTAGCCTGTCTGCCGTCATTGAGCCCAACCACTTGACCAGCACGGTATGACGACATGTTGACGTCCTATGAGACCCTCAATAAAGGGTAGTGATGAGGAGGTCGATGAAGCGTCTATATTCGTGTCTTCGAGAATGATAGGCCAGATCATGATATCCAGGTGGCAGACATTTGTGTTCGAGTATTCGAGTCAAGGGGATGACCGTTGGACACAAATGGGGTCGGTAGGTAGATTCGTGCTTCGGTTTTCCCAGTATCGTTCAGCGGCTCGGGATGTCAAGAAGGTTCCCCGAGATTCGGGTTATAGTACAGCTTTGATGAATGTAACTGTTGACAGCGGTGAAAATCGCATATCGGGTGAATGTTTGGTTGTCGATTCGGGTCCTCGAGGTTCGCGGTCAGACGCGACGTTACTCCAACCCCTGTCGTATGATTGTCCCTTACTACGTAGTAGTGATTTTGGCAAGAAGACATTGTTGTACCGAGACAGAAGTAAATATTACCTTTAATAATTGCTTTAAATCCAAGTATAGACCAATTTCCAAATGAACGGATAAATAGCATACTTTTGAATATGCTATGAGAATTGCTCGCTACGTGATTGACATAAAACCGCCCCTGAAGCAAATGAGCAATATATTCTGCTCCAACGCCTGCCCAGTTGGTATACCCAAACGCTGTTAAAATACTGTCGAAAACAGATCCATGCACGTCAAACGACTTTCGATTTGCCCTTCGAAGACCCAGCCCCATCACCCTCCGAGATCTCCGTGTCCTCACTCGGTTCCGAGCCCTCCTCCGAAGAGTCCGACATGAACTCATCATCCTCATCCCATCCATAAACCCGCACCGCATCCCGGGCTTTCCCTGATTTCGAGCTTTCCGGTTCTTCACGCGGTGTCACCTCCATCGGCGCACCCTCCATCTCCTCTTCCTGCGCCTCCCTCTCCTTAGCCGCCCGCTCCAAAATCGCCAGCCTCATCTTCTCAATGCTCTCATCCTTCATCTCCACCCACTTCCCATCCACTCTCCCCTTCCCACTCCGCATCTCCTCCGCCTTCCGCTCCGTCGCCTCCACGATCTCCTCCCACCGTTTCCGCCGCTCCTCTTTCTCCTTTTTATCCATCTCCGGTCGGACCACCAGATATTCCGCGAGTGCCTTCGCCTCAGTGATTGTCCGTAGGCGCCGCCCGTCTAGGTTGCGGCTGGAGGCATTCGGGTCGCCTTGGTTGCGCTTCTTGCGCGAGGACATGCGCCCGCCCGCGGCGCGAAGTTGCGAGCCGAAGCCGCCTTTGCCACCGGGAAGCGGGAGGGTGAGGTTGAGGGTGAGGAGGTCATCGTGAGCGTTGGAGAGGAGGGTTGAGATGGGCTCGTCATCATGAGGTGTAAGAGCCCGTAATGTGAGGAGGTTTACGTTGACTCGGTGGGTGTCAACTAGTTGGGCGGGGAGGAGGCTGAGGATTTGAAAGTAAACATCGCTGATGCGGGCGGCGGAGCGGACGGGGAGTTGGACGGTGGGGGGAAGGCCACAGCCGGGAATAGTATTGATTATGAGATTGACAGTGTGTGTTCCAGCGGGGGAGAAGCGACATGAGGACTTTGATCGGATGGTGTTGGCCTCCAGCTGCGGTCGCTTGCTGGGTAGCAATGCTGTGGCGGCCATGGTTTGTTCAAGTTAGAGGATGAGGATGTCGGAGTCTTGGCCACAGCAAAGTACGTGGGATTGAATTATTTGAACTATTCGAGTTATGGCGCGATAAAAGTGAGTCTTTGATGAGTGAGACAGTCTCTGATGAGTGGTGAACAGCTGGGTGATGAAGGATAAGTGAGTGGCGGACATACCCCACGTCAAGCCACAATCATTTATCACCTGACCATTTTTCAGCCACTGCCAAGCCTCTCCCACGAAACTCTCGCTAATCCAAAAATCCACACAATCCTCATCTACACTTACCTCTCGCACATCGACCTTCTACCGCACCACACATCACGAACTCGCCAATCTCGGCTGCATCTTGTAAATACCGCCAAGATGTAAGCCATTACCGATCTCAATCCACCATGAAACCTACTGACCGTCTCCAGGCTTATGCCCAAGGCCGATCGCAAAAAGATCCATGAGTACATCTTCAAGGGTACGACGAGCTTGCCGACACGAGGAATCAAGTGGCAATGAGACTGACCCGAATACAGAGGGCGTGATGGTCGCGCCGAAAGACTACAACCTCCCGAAGCACCCGCATCTCGATGTCAACAACCTCTTCGTACGTCCACCTCTGACCCCATCGATTTCCTATCCTCCATCCACCCAAGCTCAACACACCCCAAACCCTGAAACCCCTCGCTAACCTCCATCACCAGGTTATCAAGGCAATGCAATCCCTCACCTCCCGCGGCTTCGTCAAGACCCAGTTCTCCTGGCAATGGTTCTACTACACCCTGACCCCTGAGGGCCTCGACTACCTCCGCGAATGGCTGCACGTCCCCGCCGAGATCGTCCCGCAGACCCACATCAAGCAGCAGCGAAGCCACCCGCCCCCGCGCGGCATGCTGGGCGGTGAGGACCGTGAGCGCCGCGGCGGCGGCCGCGGTGGTGACCGTGGTGGACGCGGCGACCGGGAGGGGTATAGGCGGAGGGACCAGGGTGAGGGCAAGGAGGGCGATGCGCCCGGTGGGTTCAGACCGGATTTCAGGACTGGGTTCGGACGTGGTCGTGGGGCGCCGCAGGCTGAGTAGAGACGGACAATGGAGGTCGGTCGATGAGGCAGATGGATGGAGAACATCGAGAGGAGGGAGATGACGTCCTTTGCTTTCATAGCCGTGGCCTAGGGAACCCATAACTACTAACTGGGCATGGGGAAATGGCGTCGTGTTATTGCATGGATCACAAAATGGACCTGTTCAAAATTCATTGATCATGAGAACGAGCGATCATGGGTAACATCAGCAGCTTACTGAATGTGAACCATTGTATTGAAGCAAACGAATCGAGCTGTCGGTGTAATGATTCTAACTGATTCAAGCATCTATCTAGGAGGTTCCCGTCCCCAGCTTTTCATCCGATGACTTGTCCATTCACCTTCATAACGGCTTTGGAAAATAGAAGCGCTGGCTCTTCGCAATTGGGTGGTAATACATGATTCAAGCATCCCAGTATCCCAGAATTCCATTCAGTGACTGTCAAATCACCTTGATGGTTTCGGAGAAAGGAAGCCTTGGACTTTCGCAACCCCTAGCGCATCGCGAATTGTGCAGTTTCTCGATTGAAGCATCCAAGCTCTCTTCACTGAGTATCCCGATGCCATCGTGCATCACAGAAAAAGTACTGTTCGTAATCACCTTGGTGTGCTATGCAAGCGCATCAGCTCACGGGAGCTCGTCATCCTCACTGTCCGAGTCAACGGTGCTCCAATCCCCATGGTCAGACTTCTCGTCATCGGAAAACCCCGACTTCCCGGACCGAACTGGCTTGGCCGCCTTAACTCTGGCGAATTTTGAGCGGCTTGCACCAGAGGGCGGGGGCACGGGGGCGGCTTGAAGCATCGCCGCAGTGGCTCGGTTGATTGCATCGTCGTCCGCCTGAGACGGCGCATCGTAGGGATCGTAGGCAGAGGAAGAAGTGGCATGAGGAGGAGCTTTTGAGGCGTTCGAAAAGCCGATCATCAAGCCACGTCGGGAAGCTTTGCTCTTCGACGTGGAGCTTTCGAACAACTCATCCGATTCGAGGAACGACTGAAGATCTACCGGGAGTCGAATCCCACTTGGCTTGCTAGTGGTATCCTTGGATTCGCCCGTATAGTTACTCGAAATCTCAAGGGTCCCCAAGCGGGAGCTGAGTCCAGTCTAGTAGCGAACACGATTAGCTGCCGGACCTCATAGGCAGATAGACGCGAGGTTGGGATCAAACGTGGAAAATGGGATATCCTACCTTGTACGAGCTATCCTCGTCCGTCTCGGACCCGTCCTCAATGCTAGGCGGCACAGAGTTGACCTCGTGTTCCATTGGCACGTCGGCCAGGACCAGGTGCTCCTCCATGCACTCTTCGCATTTCTACAGGCCGAGTTAATTGTGGATACTTAACTGCTCTAGATATAGAATATACTTACCTTCTGGTCGCCTTCCCCACGTTGCCGCTTTGAGAATTCCAGCAAGGGTTTGATTTTGTGGCACATGACGCAGGTGCCTTGCTCTTGGGCCCCCGGAGTGCACGCAGTGCATCTGACCCCAGGAATGGAGGCGCCTTGGCCAAACTTCGCGACGGACGCCCGGACTTGGTTCAGTTGCTTGTTAGAAAACGCTTCCGCACTCTTATTTTTTCCGCATTTCGTGCATTTGATCCTAAAGATGGTCAGACGGCAGATCATTTTCACGGGCACCAAACTTACATGCGGGGCAGAGGAGTCGATTTGACCCTGTATATTTGTTAGCGAAGATCATCATACCGAATTAGGAATCACTGATGGACTTACCTGGCGGCTGTGAGGTCACTCCATCCACCACCCGAATTTCCTCTCCTGGATGGCATCTTGAAGATCAGAGTGACAAAGTTAGGCTCACTAGTATCAGTCAGTTGACGTCTCAACTATCTTTGATTGATCCGATAGCATTCCGAAAATTCGGCTAGTAGTGGTGTCAGTCTGAAGGATGACAGTGAGCTGTGTTGGGGTAAGGGAGAAGTTGGACGGGTGGCGGTATTATTGATTGATGCAAGGATAGGTACGCGGTGTTATCATGATATGAGAGTGATGGTTTAGAGTCAGAAGCTGAACTCACTTTCTGCTGTTAGAGAGTGCTTAGAGAAACGGCGCTGGAGCTCCCGTCTCTAGAATGATGCTCGCGTTCGACAGGAGTGAGGAGGGAGATCCACGAAGTGTGGAAGAGGTGAGTGGTGGGAGGTGGACGTAAACGAAGAGGAAACGATGATGTGGGTAGCGGAAAGCAGAAGTGAATGAAGGGATCTCGAGGACCTCATTCCACTACCTCAACCCGATGCTCTCATGTGGTGAGTAGAGCTGACTGATTCAATTAGAATGGGAATCGGGATTGAATGGGGTAACTGGAGGCTTGAGAGATAATACGATGAGGAAGTGAATTCAAGTAGCAGTGTTGAGTGGGGAGAATCGGGAAAGTTGAAGAGTGGTTTCAATATGGAACAAATTCGAGGTATGACCTGGACGGCGATGTCTAACTGCACATGACTATCTATCACGGTCAGACGTGGCAACCATGGGTTGACGCGAGGATGCATGTGTTCTATAAAGAGCGCGATCCCGAACAGCAAACGGAGAAGGGAGGAAGGAGCAGCGTCTGCTGTACCTACCTTATGTACTGTGCCGTGAGTCCTGTAGGTGATAGACTCATTGAAATCCGGTGAGTAAGACGAGAAGCAACAAGATCCAGCAGCCTTCTCTTTACGATTCACTCACGGTTGTCAAAACCCCTAACGTTGAGCAGGAAACGACCCCCAATCACCGCTTTCGATGCAGCGAACCGGAAAGGAAAACGGCATACGCCAACTCCCCGTACACGCCTGTCGGATATCACCAATTCAACGCTGAGGGTAGGATGAAAACCATCCCGTCGTCTGAGACGGAATATTAATGGGCATACCTACCTACCATACAATTCATCGTACAGATGTGACTTCTTGATGTTCTCCCATTGCGCCGATTCTGGCCCAGATCTCGCGTTCCCTCTGTCATGTTAGATACCCTGGCTCTTTCGACGCTGCGGCCATCCGCTGCAACAGAGGGATGCTACCGCCAAAGGTTCGGGCATCTCGGATCTCATGGCACATTGTTCCTCGCTAACTCAATCCAGACCACGTCGAATGCCGTCAAATGCGATCATCTGCATCAATGAGAGAGATGCCGCATTCCGGTCAGCGCGAAACCATTCAGATGGCCGATCTTAGCATCCTCTTCGGCTGGATTCGAACTCCACCTTTCAACCGATGTTTCCATTCCCCACTCCACTTCATCTCGCCGTCCGAAACTTCCCCCTCTTCATCTCCTCTTTCAAGCTATCCTGCTGACTTGGCAGCGGCGTCCTCCTCCGCACCCCCCCATTTTCCCCCTCCGCCACACCCGGTCCCGTACCCACCGGATACCCCGCACCCGGCTGCGGCAGCGCCATGGGCGGCGGCGGCGGAAATCCAGGCATGGGAAACCCCGGCGGCAGCATATTCGGCGGCGGCGGCATCCCGGCCGGTAGCGGCGGGAATCCCTGCGGGGGCGGCGGGAAACCGCCTGGAGGCGGAATCGGCGGCAGTTGTCCGCCGAACATCTCCATGAGCGTGGAGAGATCGGGGACCTTGCCGGCAGGGAGGTTCGGGGGTGGGGGCGGCGGGAAGGGGGCGGTGCTGGGGAGGATAGGGGGGACGGGGGGGTGGCCGACCATGCCGGGGGGCAGGGGGCTAGCGCCGGTGCCCATACTGATGCTGATGCCCGGGAGGCCCGGGAGGACGGGTTGCGGGGCGGGCATTTTCTGGTCGACGAGGCCGTCGGCTTCGTCTTCTGCTTCTTGCTCTTCTTCCTCGCGGAGCTGGCGGCGGCCGTCGCGGCGATCGTAGGTGCCTTGGGCTTCGGCGGCGGATTGGCCGATATGGTAGCGGTCGCTGAGGTAGATTTTCTCGCCGGGGCGAGGACGCGTCCAGAAGCGCGTGACGCGGTCGTTGGACCCGGAGGTGAGGATGTGGCCGAGTGGATGCCATGCCAAGGTCCACACTGCGAATTCGTGGGCATATGGCATCGAGTGAGCGGGATAGAGGGTTTGAGCAGGGGAGCTGGAGGGATCGGGGTTGTCGTAGGGTGAGGTGGTTGGTGCCGTGCCGTCAGGCAAGTTAGGTTCGTCAAGGAGGTAATGGTGCAGCGCGCCGTCATTTCCACCCGATGACAGAAGATTGCGATGGACGGGGTGCCATGCTAAGGAGGTCACATCTTTCTCATGCCCGCGTAGAAGGAACACGTCTCTCATCATTCGCAAGTCGAAGATCCGAATGACATGATCGCGGCCACTGGTCGCTAGCAGCTCTCCGCGCGTCGGCTCGAACACGGTCTTCGAGACCTGATTCTTATGTGCGATGAGCGTGGTCAAGCACCGGCCCGTTCTAGGGTCCCATAACTTCACGGTGTGGTCTTTCGACCCCGACACAATCAGCCCCTTGGTTGGATGCCAATCCACGCACCGTAGCTCCCACTGATGGCCCGTAAGCGTCGATTCTTCCGTCCCTCCCGCAAAGTCGAAGATCTTCAACGTTGAATCATCCGCCGCGGTGACGAATTTGGAGTCGGTGGGCGCAATGGCCATCCCTCGGATCGCTTCATTATGGGCTTGGATGGCTTTCACGTTGTTGAAGTTGGGTTGCCAGTACTTCACGATACCGTCCTGGTCCGCTGATATCAGCCAGTCATTGCTGTGGGAATATTGTGCCGCTCGGATCGCGTTATCATGGGCCTAACAGATCGGTGAGTATTGGAACAGTGCTCTACCATCGGCCCATCATTACCTGCATAATCGTCTCGAAGTTGAATCCCATGCCATTCCATAACGTAAACTCCCCACTTGAGGATGCCGTCAACAACCTTCTGCCTTCCGGAGTCCATAACACCACATTGATCGGGTGCCGGATCTTGTTCAAGGAGGTATGGAGATGTCGGGCTGGGATCGTATCGGCGGCTTTCGCAGGTCGGGCATGTGGAGGTTGGAGCTTTGAGACGGTCAGCCAAAGAAGGATCTTCCAGTGCTATTATGGAGGGCAATCCCGTACATCAACGATATAACTAGCACTTGGCCGCTCTTGTTCCATGCATTGCGCCCTGGAATGTCGTGGGCCTCGATGTCGCATCCACTGTACCAACGTCGATCCATAATCGGTTACCGGTCCTGTAAAGAGTTATTCCCGAACACGAACAACGGGAAGCAAGGTGACTTACTCCTCGGTCTACCGCGACCCATTCCCATGCCTTCATGACCACTTTGGCCTTGGTGGTGGTGGAACTCTCGATCCATGTTGCTTAGAATGGGAACCGCGATGCGCAACCATACTCAGCCAACACCTCCAATGTACCCTCGACCTTGAAATATGAGGCACGATCCTTGCCTGGAATCAAAGCCTATTAGAGCTAGAACTTTCACAATAGGAGAACTTGCTGGAAATGGGAATACACCTTCCAGAATAAATGAACCTTTTGGAAAGCGTCGCGTGCCAGAGGTTGATGTTGAGGTCCGTGCGTTGCGCGACTTCACCTATCACCTATGACCTATCACCTATGACCTAAATCCTAATTATGAACCTAACAACTTTGAACCTTCAACGTTGAATGTTGTTACATTATTGAACGTCTGAACGTCAGCTTCCAACATCCGATGGAATGGGAACTTTCACGAACTCCACCAACTTCAAGAATAATACTGGTAGTATTGATGGAGCTTGTTCGTGTAAAAGTCCAAGTCTGTCTAATACCCTGTAGTTATACTTAATTCCGATCTATGACTTATTAGATGCTGGTAGGCTGGCAGAGCTGTTTGATGAATTTACGGTACAGGTGTCTATTGATTTCGCACTCAGCAAACAACATGAATTGTTCCATCCGTCCCCTGGAAGCCTGAGCTAAGTGTTGCAGGCCTTTTGGTTCGTTTTCGCTCTTTCCTTACCGACTGTCATTGATTTATGAGCGTTTCCCTTAAACTTCTCGCCAGCGCAATCACCTAGCCAATGAGCCTGAAATTCACATCAACCGTCTCTGGTTCTCAACTCCCAAGCTACCGATTGGTGACATGCGTTTCCAGTTCCCCAATGACTCAGATGGTTTTGCAATATAATTGAGCGTGTCCTCTATTTCCGGCTTGCTGCTCTGTCAAATTCTCCACGTCTTTTATAGGAGCCCCTTTATTCCTCCTACCCCGGGGAAGTTGACCGACCTAACAACATGGCTGACGGCGATTTGGAACTTGCAAAGCTACTCCAGGCACAATTTGATGCCGAAGCGACGGAGGAAGGGCATGGAAGCTCCGCATCGGCTCCCAGAGCGGAGTCGTCCTCCGCAGTAGCGAGAAGGTCATTTGATAGGGCTTCAGCGCCGGATAAGCTAGAGCAAGACATGCGGAAAATGAATATCGACCGGCAAAATCCATCTACCAGCTCCCAGCCAACCCGGAGCGAGGGACGTAGCATCTCGATCGATGCGAGTCTTGAAGCTCTTGTTTCTTTCTCGAAGAAAATTCGCGAACCTCGGTGCGTCAGGTGCAAACGGAAAGTGTTCCCCGTAGCCATCAACCCGATGGAGATATTAAGCCCACGTAAGTATGCTGGTGCCCGGGAATGTACGCCAGCTAACCCATGCAGGGAACGTCAACTCGACCTTACGGTGCTCCGACGCGTGCAGGACGTTGACCTGCATGGGGTGTGGCAACCAGTTTCTAGGCCGCATTACCGGCGTGGTCTACATCGACACCGACGCGTATAGTTGGTGCTGCGACCTTGGCCGCCTCTATTTGATATGGCTGGCGCTGTGTCGATTCGATCAGGAATACGCGCTCCGCCAGCGCAATCAGAAGGCTAAAGAGCGGATCCGGCGGCAGAATTTGGCGATGCATGGTGGGCTGCGGCAAGGGGCTGGGACCGGATACGAGGGGTCTCCCAGCTCCAACGCAATGTGGATGATGGGCATGTCGAGATCCGAGGGAACGGTGGTTGAGGAGCAGTTCGACCCAACCGATGAGATCGCTGCTCCGATAATGGAACTTCTGCTACAGCTTCTCCCAGATCCTTCGAAAGGACTGAGAGGCGATTTCGACCGTTCTCCACCCCTAGCACTTCCAGCCATGTTTCTTACGAGTTTTCTCATCGACAAGACCGGAGACTTGTTACGGAACGACTCGTTGGATGACATTACCGAGAAGCACGACATGTACAATGTTATCTTCGACTTTGTCTCTGCGCTTACCTCGCTCCCCTTGACCAGACCTGTTATCTTCGTCGAGCGGCTCGAGAAAAAGCCAGGATATGGTCTGTTCAACGTGCATGTCATGCGCGGAGGCGCCATTTTTAAGGACCGGGGCAAAAATGACGAGAATGTCCTCCAATCCATCGACAAGCGGATGCAAAATATCATTCTGCAAGGCAATGTCATCCGATCGGCAAGTTCGCACTACCGGGACGGGGAAGGCAAGCAGACCCTAGCGATATGCCAGAAAATCGCCACTCTGGCCGACCTTATGAAATCGACTGCCACCTCTAGCACGAGCGATAAGAGCAAGTCGTTGACCCCCGAGCAAGAGTGGTTGAAGTGGCAGCGGGATAACTGCATATTGCCGGTCCGGGACGAAACCATTCGCGATATCCATTACTACGCCTCCGAAGCTTGGGGTCTCAAGGCCGTGATGCCCGGGCGGATGAAGCGGATCGTCGGAGAGATCGCCAACTTAAAAACCTCCCTTCCGCCGGGAATCTTTGTCCGATATGCCTCATCGAGACCCGATTTCATGAAATTCGCCATCATTGGGCCTGAGGATACGCCGTATGACAGTGGCTTCTTTGAGTTCGACGTTTTCTTCCCGGGAGATTATCCACGAACCAATCCCATGGTCATTTTCCGGTCGAACGCTGGAGGCCATGCGAGCTTCAATCCGAATCTTCACGCAGATGGCAAAGGTACGTCCCCAGCTCTTCATCCATCGCTGCTGTGGCATATCATTCCTTGGGTCATTCCGCTGACTGTTGCGTAGTGTGTCTGTCGCTATTAGGGACGTTCGCCGGCGAGCCCTGGAACCCCCAATCCTCCACGTTCCTCCAAGTGCTGGTCTCCATCCAGAGCATGATCTTCAGCGACGACCCCATCAAGAATACCCCCTTCCAAGGGATGCGCGAGACCGGCCGCTACCACGACTACGCCCATTACGTGACCTGGCTGACGGTGCGCTGGGGCATTCTCGACCGCCTGCGAAACATCAAACAACAGTCCGACGGTCTGTGGGCGGACGTCTTCGACCGCCATTGTCGCGCCGGCGCCGAGCACATGATCCGCAAGATGGCCGCGTGGGCGGCGGAGTATCCGGGGCTGCCGAACGTGCCCATGTTCACGGATCCCCGACGAAACGAAAATCAACCGGCCGCCATGGAGAGTAACTGTCGGCAGGCGATCGAGCTGCTTAAGCAGAAGGGATATTTCAAGGGCGCGGTTCCGAACTTGCCCTCCTCGGCGGCCGGTCAGGGGAGATCGGCGGGACCACGGGGCGGACCATCTCATGGATTCTGGTTCGGCGGTCAATGGGGTGGGGAAGGTTTCTTGTGAGCTCTTGCGAAAGGTGTTGGTACGAGATATGCTGGCCATGTTAGACATGGCTAAGGTTGGACGGGTTGTGAGATTAATTGTACACAGTTTCTCTTTTATGGTTCGCTGTATGATAAAGAATATACCCTCGGTTTTCCAGTTCCGGTCTCGCAATAGATGTTTTGATATAGACATTTTGATCCGTACTCTGTACAATCCATGCATTTGGCCTACCATGAGCTCTAGCCTCGGTGGATTCTTTAGTTACATGGACAACTAAAATAGCAGGATAGGCAAGTGATAAGTGTTGACTGCCTGACTGGTGACAGCGGTGACACGGACTGGCGAGGCCTCATTTGTGAGTGATTTGCACGTCTCGGCAATCCGCAGGGCTGGAACCTCAACCTGCTGCAGAGCTAAAAAGTAAAAGCCAGTTAGTCTTATCGGTATTTCATTTCCCTGGTTGGGCCCGTTCACTTGTCGGTGGTTTGTAGTGGCTGAAAAGGGCGGGACCTGTCAAATTGCCATGTCGTTCACGTTCGTTGGGTGCGTGGATGACTGGAGCTCTGCTAAGCTGCGCTCCCAGCCTTAAATCCTCCATCGTCGACTCACCAGGTCTCCTGCGGCCCTGCCCTCACTTGCCAGGTTCAACATGCCAGGTTCAACGACACTCCCTCAGATCTAATAATAATGTCCACACCATTCCCTCCATCCTTCGCCTTGCAGAGCAACTTTATTCAACTCCTTAGCTTCACCATATATTGGGCCTGTTGGCCATAAAGGATCCAGCGCCGCAGCGTCCAGCGGGTTGAACCTGGAGCGCGAGAGGAGCACCTCCGAATCCGGCGTCGGCTCGTGTCTACTTATTTTGTGCTGGTAATAGCTCCTGCAACTTGGTCCTTTGTTACTGTGACCATCCGACGCATTTGATTTTCTCCTTTTATCACCATGGCAGACCCTACCGCCCTCGGGTCACATTCCGCATTCGAGGCAGCGCGCATTCCAGACGAGACCACCACCTCTCGTCCGATCGAGAGTTCAAAAGTCGACCAACATCCCACATCGCTCTCCGTATCCATATCCGCTGCCAATCGGGAAGCAACCTCGCAAAACTCTATACTCCCTCGAATCTACACTATCGCCGACTCGCAATCGCAGCAACCGACCACAACTGCAGCCATCTCGATAGGCCCGAACCGCTCGCCTCGCACTCCTCTCGGCGCAGGTCTCGACCTTCATCTTAAAACCGACACCGCAACAATAACGATCCCCTCCCGCCAGCCAACCCCGAACGCGCCCTCAATTATCGAAAGCACCCCTCTTGAGAACCCCCTCGAAACCCCCGACCGCCCCTCCACCATGCCCCTCCGCTCCAGCTCCTCCCGCCCGAACCTCCGCCCCACCTTCTCAGCCAGCAGCTTCGCCGACTCCGCATCCCCGGGCTCGTCGCTGAGCTCACCCGCGCTCAATGCGATGACCGACATCACTCCGCTGCCCTCCCCGCTCGTCGGCGAAGAAGGGGCCGGGTCGCCGAATCCCTGGCGCCGCGCCTCGGCGACGATGACGATGTCAGGGTCTCGTCCCGGATCGCGTGGTTCCGCCAGCGCCATCGTACCAGGGACGGAGGCCACAGCCGCGTCCATGGAGACCACCCATCCCGCACCGTCAAGTTCGACGCATGCAAATAGCAAGAACCTCCCGTTCCCCACCCGATCATCGCCATCGCGGAAGAAAAAGGGATATCAGAGCCTCATGCCGACCACGGTGGAGACGCACGGCACCCCGACCGTAGCACGGAGAGAGGCTAGCCCCGGCCATAGCCGAAGTCGCAGCGTCAGCGACTACGTCCCCGAACCGCTGCACAATTCTCGCCCGCGAAACGTCACCATATCGAGCTCCTCCATCGACGCATCCCAAGGCGCCCTCCAGCGCGAGGCCTACCTCGCCGACAAGCGCGGATTCACCTCCGCTCCCGCTCCCGCGCCCACGCTCCCTACCCCCCCACCCAGCAACCGCTCCGTCACCGAGTCCGACGGCGAGGAACCCGCGCTGCAGGAGGCGGAGCCGGCGGGAGAGACGTTCACGATCCACGCGGGCCCGCAGCGGAAGCCGATCACGTACCGGCCGATCCGGCCGCTGGGGCAGGGGACGTTCAGCAAGGTGGTGCTGGCGACGAGCGAGGCGGCGGCGGATGTGCGGGCGCGGCGGGAAAGGGCGGGGCCGACGGCGGTATCGCCGCGGGCGCCGGAGGAGCCGGGGTACGATCCGGGACGGTTGGTGGCGCTGAAGATCGTAGCACACGGGCCGGCGGGCGGGGCGGATGAGGAGCGGGTGGAGTTGGGGTTGAAGCGGGAGGTGGAGATCTTGAAGAGCATTCGGCATCCGAGCTTGGTAAATTTGCGGGCGTTCGATCTGGAGCGGGGGGATAAGCAGGCGTTGTTGGTGCTAGAGTACTGTCCCGGGGGCGACCTGTTCGAGTTGGCAAGCAAGAATCTGGAGGTGTTTACGGGGGGGGTGGCGCGGAGGATATTTGCGGAGCTGGTGGGCGCGGTGCGGTATTTACACAGCAAGTGGATTGTACATCGGGATATCAAGTTAGAGAGTGTGTTGTCCCCCTTCACGCCCATGTCCCTCCCACCCGCTAATGCGCCCTTTAGACATTCTCCTAAACTACCCCGCGTCCTTCATCTCTCACCTCCCCTCCCCCACATCCCACCCCTACCCCCTCATCACCCTCACCGACCTCGGCCTCTCCCGCTCCATTCCCTCGCCCCCCCACTCCCCCTTCCTTACCACCCGCTGCGGCTCCGAAGACTACGCGGCCCCGGAAATCCTCCTCGGCCAACCGTACGACGGCCGCGCCACCGACGCCTGGGCCGCCGGTGTTGTCCTCTACACTCTCATCGAAGGCCGCCTGCCCTTCGATCCGCCCGCCGGTGGGAAATCACGCGGCAGAAGTAAGGCAGCGCACCGGATCGCGCGGTGCGAGTGGGGTTGGTGGCGGTTTGGGGACGAGGATGGGAATTGGGTGGAGCGGGGGGAGGGAGCGGAGGAGGGTCAGTGGAGGGGGGCGAGGCGGGTGGTGGGGGCGCTGCTGAAGAAGGCGAGTCGGGGGCGGTTGAGTCTGGATGAAGTGGCGGTGATGGAGTGGGTGCACGGTGGGATTGACGTGAAAGGCGGGTTGACGAGGGAATATATTGGGGAAGAGGAGATGATGGAGGGGCGAGCGGGGGAGGTGAGGTTGATGGGGGAACTGGGGGAGTTGGAGAGTCCGACGTTGAAGGACGAAGATGAGGACATGCAAGATCCTGATCGGTGATTGTTAACGAGGAGCGTTTGGACGTCAGCCATGCCTCATCCCTTTCCACATCCGGATGGCACGTCATCCGTATCTACACTTGCACCAACCCGTCCCAGTTAGGGGCCTGCCTGCCTGTTGCGGCCGCTCCAGCCCATCTAACTCGAGACAGGCATAATGTTTCCCCCTTTTTTTTGGCATGCCTTATTTTCTTCACGGCATCACGCAACAAATAGACCAGGTACCGGGACACAAACGGATGGACCCAGCAAGCGAGGCGTTTCGAAATCTCTCGTTCATCCGAGGGGCCTGTATTCAAGCTATTCTAGATATTATCTGTATCAATATCCTTCGAAATGTCGATTTATATCAATTCAGACACTTTGATCTCCGTTTCTGTCTCTTCAGCAGCTTTGATCAAGGAAACCTACGTAGCTGTTGACTGTGATCAATCCATCTCCACCGCTTCTCTTCTACATTGGATTTATAGATCACGTGAGTTCGCGTCACTCATCGCGTGTTGAAACGCGACGATCTTAAGTGCCTTGCGGCCTTAGGCTGCGAGTGGCGGCGGTTTTAGGCAGCGCAGCCAATAATTCAGTCGATGCGCCGATTCAAACTGAACTTGAAAGGCTCAGTTCCCTTTGCGGCTCTGTCACTTCGCTCCTTGTCCACGATCATTCCTTCTTTACCGTCAATCGTTCCAGCATAGATCAAATACAAGGCGTCTGGAGGAGCCTACGCGAGCAAGATGTGAGTTCGTCCCCTCTAGCCCTGAGACTCGTGTTTGCGACCAAGAAGATCGAACAGTGGATTCATTACCTTGCAACCCATACCGGCATATAAACCCTATGTCACGATCAGCGTCTTCCAACACTAGGAGTTGATGGTTTGAGGCTAACAAGAACTCAAACAGGTCGAACCGACGCGGGAATAACCGCATCCGGGGCCCGTAAGTCATATCCACATCATCTCCCCTTCAGTCTCAGCTAATTGGATTCTTTCTTCAGTCACTCCGCCTTGACCGACTTTCTCGCGGCCAACAACATCTCCGCAGCCCGTATCCGCGATGACTTCATCCGCCGCCGCGAACAAGCGACGCAACTAGGAGAGGAAGATGGTGATCCCGCCGAGGGCGACGAACACCAAGAGGAAGATGAGTCGGCCGCTCCCCCAGCATCGTCTCGCCGGCGCTCCTCCACGAAGCGCAAGGATGGTGATTCGGACTTCGAAATGGAGAATGCAGACGACACCATCGTCATCCCTAATACCGAGGAAGACGACTCGGATGCGGTTCCGGCGCTCAAAAGGCGGAAATTGGACAAAGGGAAAGGCAAGGCGAGAGTTCAGTCCAGCGATGAAGATGATGATCTTCCGGTGAAAGGCAAGGGGACAGGCAAGAAGGGTAAGGGGAAAGGAAAGGCCGGGAAAGGCAAAGGGAAAGGAAAGAAGAAGCCCCGTGGATCCGAGGATGACTCCGAATCTGAGGACGCGGACGACTTCTTAGCCAGGGATATGTACAAGAAAGGCAAGAAGCTGCCGGGACAGTTGGAAAATTGTGAGGAGTGTAGGAAGCGGTTTACAGTCACGCCATATTCCAAGACGGGGTCGGATGGGGGATTGCTTTGTGCGCCATGTGGAAAGTTACTGAAAGGTGAGGAGGCCAAGGCGAAGAAGAAGACGCAAAAGCCGGCTGTCACTGGAAGGCGAAGGAGGAAGGTGGAGAGTGAGAAGTTAGATGGCAGGATTGGGGTCGGGGCGAAGAGCCTGGTGCAGCTGTCCATCGAGAAGATCGCTCGGTACGCAGAGGACGTTGAGGGCTTTGGGGACATTTCGGATCCCTTGCTGCGAAAGTTGAGCCATATCTTCACCAAGAATCGGGTCTTGAAGCCGGAGACACTGGACTTGTTCCTTCGGAACGACAATAGGAAGATCGAGATCCATGACGCGGCTTGTAAGTCTCCTCTGAATTGCAATCAAACCCACTTCGCTTCTAACATGGCATAGACCTCGAAACAGACAATTACGACCGGGTTTTCATGGAGTGTCCGCAAATGGAGGATATCACCTTTGGGAATGCCTGTCAACTGAAAGATCAAAACCTCCAGTACATGCTCGAAAAGGCGCGGCACATCAAGCACCTCAAACTCTACGCCGCAAACCTCATCACTACGGACATGTGGAACACCTACCTCACCGAACACGGTCCCAATCTAGAGACCCTCAAACTCACTTGGCTCAACGCCTCTTTCGATGACAGCACCATGGAGGTGCTCGCCAAGCGGTGTATGCAGCTCACCAGGCTCAAACTCGAGCTCTGCGGTAAGATCACTGATGAAGGACTTAAGCATCTCAAGGACTTGCCTCGGCTCGCACACCTTAGCCTCCATCTCACCCAGCCCACCGATCCGGAAATCATTGAATCGATCATTGCCGCTCACGGCGCTCGACTCCAGACCCTCTGCCTCGCCCACATCCCCGAAGCGACCAACTCCCTCCTCAACACCATCTCCTCCCACTGCACCCGCCTCTCCAAGCTGCGCCTCTCGAGCGCCGAAAACCTAACCGATGAAGGCATCGCCACCATGTTCAACGAATGGACCGGCAAGAACCCCCCGCTATCCTTCATTGACATGAACTCCACCCGATCCGTCGACTACGTCATGCCCGAAGGGCCGGACGAAGAGGCGGTCGGCCTCGCGTCCGCGGGATTCATCGCACTTATGAAACACTCCGGCTCCGCGCTACGGAAGCTGAACGTCTCGTCGTGCCGGCACATCTCGATGGCGGCGTTCAGCGAGGTGTTCGGCACCGGCTCGACGTATCCGAACCTGGAAGACATCGACCTGAGCTTCTGCGGCGAGGTGGACTCGTATGTGATGGCGGGGATTTTCCGGTCCTGTCCGAACTTGACGCGGGTCATTGCGTTTGGGTGCTTCAGGATTGAGGAGGTGGCGGTGCCGAAGAAGGCGGTGCTGATTGGAATGCCTAGGGCGCAGGATGCGATTGAGCAGTTCGGAGGTGTGGGTATGGATATGATGGGGGTGGATGGTGGAAAGGAGGTTACGGTCGAGGCTTAGTAGGAGGGAGGTGCCTGTTGCGTGGACAGACTGGTTGGTTTGTTGATGATGAACGAGGATTCCAGTCCATGACCGGTGTTGGTGACGGAAACCTTAACGAGACAATCGCCACATGAGCGGAGTATGAGGTGTTTGAGCTTCAGTTTATTTTCCTCATTCTTAGACGATAGTATTACTACTTATACGAAATGATTCCAAAGGCAGGTAAAGATACTGTAAACTATCCAGTTATTACCAGCCGTTTAATCAAGCTTTATGAGGTACAGTACATATCCAATTACTCGCCGTCAGATCAATGGGCCTTGCGGCTTGCCTACTTCATGCTTAGTACTAAAACCGTCATGGCCAGTGATGGCCTACTCTTTCATTTAAATACGTTAAACTCCTAGTTATCCTCATCTCAAACCACTTTCATCCACGCCGCACCAGCGGATCTGCAAAAGCCCGAACCTATTTTGCCATCCTAATTGACTTAATTTCAGCATCCCGCATCGCCCCGCATATCCAGCCCCCTGGCCCCCGCTCACTCCACCCAGCGGAGCGGATTCGTTCCGTGCGGAGAATACGACCACAACCGAGGGTACAGCATCCAGGCCGCTTCCATCTCGCGTTCAATTTTCGTACGATTCGACCGGTATATGACGGCGCGGGGCTCATCTAGGCTCGTCTAGTCTCGTTCCTGTGGCCCTAAGCCAAATAGGTGATTCCATCCGCCACGACGATCAGGAGGTCCTTTGCGATGGAGGGGCAGGCAGCGTATATCCCGCATCAAGCTTCCGACGGACGACGAGGGACCGGTTAGGGGCTTACGGCCGTTGCGTCACGCGTCTCCGTGTGAAGGGTGTATTAAATGAAGGTGTCCATATCTTACTCGAAGATAAGCGTGTGCTTTCCGTTTCATCTTCTCCTTCCGTCTTTGATCTTTGAGTTGCATTGTGGTGTCCTTCCAGTTTGCTCCAAGATATTCGATTCGATCTTTGCTGTGCATCACCTCAACTCCGCCTCTGGTATATCGAGCGGCTCTAAACCCTACCAAGCAGAGTTATTTGTGAATCTATAAGACAGTAATGGCCGAACCCCAGATCCCGAAGCAGCACAAGGCTGCCGTCTATGACAAGCCAGGCAGCATATCGACCGAGGTTCGATTGGTCGATACGCCTGAGCCAGGAGCCGGCGAAGTTCTTGTTAAGCTGTAAGCATCCAATAGACTCCTACGCCATTCCCTCCTACTTTTGCCCTATGTCCAAAGTCTAATTGATATCATTACAGCTCCCATTCTGGCGTCTGCCACTCCGACCTCGGGGTCATGGCCAACACCTGGTCCAGCTTGCCATACCCCACCCAGCCAGGCCAAGTAGGCGGCCATGAAGGCGTAGGCGAGGTCGTGAAGCTGGGCCCGGGCACGGAGAGCGCACCAATCAAGCTCGGACAACGCGTTGGTATCAAATGGATCGCGTACGCATGCGGCGGCTGCTGTACGTCGTCCCGAAGCCCCTTTGAGGGCGACGTCCCCTCTACCCACCCAAACTTGGACGACCACATTGCCCGAATAACGAACATTTGCTGACGCTTTCCACTGTATAGTGCCGTGCATGAGCGGCCGAGACGGTCTCTGCCAAAACCAGAAAATCTCCGGCTACTACTACCCCGGCACGTTCCAACAATACGCCATCGCGCCCGCGCACTACGCGACCCCGATCCCCGACGGCGTGGACTCCGCCTCCGCCGCTCCCATGCTCTGCGCCGGTGTGACCGTCTACTCCGGCCTCAAGAAAGCCGACGCGAAGCCCGGAAACTTTGTCGTGCTCCTCGGTGCGGGCGGTGGACTGGGCCATCTCGGTGTGCAACTGGCCTCGAAGGGAATGGGATACAGGGTCATCGGCGTCGACCATCCGAGCAAGAAGGATTTGGTCTTGGAGATGGGTGCGGAGGCGTTTGTTGGTATCGATGAGAATGTGGTGGAGCGGGTGAAGGCATTGACGGAAGGTTTGGGCGCGCACGCAGTGCTCGTCCTGACGGCAGCCAACGCAGCATACGCCACCTCCGTTGACCTTCTTCGATTTGGCGGGACGGTCGTCTGTGTGGGTGTCCCTGAGGGTAAACCTGTAGCTATTGAGGGCGCAAGGGCTCCGGCTTTGATTATAGGGGAGAAGAAGATTATGGGCGTTGCGGTGGGCACGAGGCAGGACGCGATAGAGGTGCTGGATTTCGCAGCCAGGGGGATCGTGAAGACGCACTATAGAACGGAGCCATTGGATAAGTTGGCGGAAGTGTTCCAGGAGATGGATGATCAAAAGTTGCAAGGGAGAGTGGTGATCGACCTGAATGCTTGAAGGAGACGATATCTAACGGAAATGGTGAAAATTTGATGATTGAATAGCCATACTAGGATCACTGTACTCGCAAGCGATCATATCGAAGCACGCTTTGCGTCAACACTTCCGCCCCAATCGCACAGTCTTCCTCACTCGTGAATTCGCGTGGGTTGTGACTGATGCCCTCTCGACTGGGCACGAAAATCATGGCGGTCGGTACTCGATGGCTGGTCATCACGCTATCATGACCCGCTCCGCTTACCAGCCGCATGGCAGATGTATCATCTTTCCCTGCAAGTACTAGCACGGAGCGCGCTGATTTGGCGACGCACTCGATGCAAGACTCATTGAAGTTGACCGCCTTGGAAACGCTGTCCGTCCGCCACTCAACGGTGCACGGCTTCCTGTTTCCTGCCCAGAAACTCTCCGTATTACAAGAGTCGTCTCCGTCCGCGAGTTGTTTGAAAACGGTCTTCAGCTCCTTCTCCAAGTCATCCAGCACACCGTCACTCTGTGCCCGAAGATCTAGGCTAAATGTCACCTCGTCTGGGACAGTGTTGACGCTCCCCGGCGCCACCTTCACTACTCCGGTGCTCGCTAGTGCGCCCTTCTTTATATGTGCACTAGCTTGAGCCTGTACCATACATTTCGCCGCGATGAGCAGCGGGTCGGCGCGATGCTCGAATGGTGTCGTGCCGGTGTGACATGATTTGCCACTCACTGAGACTGTGTACCAGCGGTACGCCTGCGCACCAGTCACAATGCCAACCTTGCGTCCGGTGGCTTCGAGTTGCGGACCTTGTTCGATATGCAACTCAAAGTGTGCGGCCATGGGGTTGGCAGTGTAAGAACAGGGCGTGGGACCATGGTAACCGATCCGGGAGAGCTCGTCAATGAAGGGAGTAGGCTTGTTCGGTGGGATGATAGATGCCAGTCCATGTGCTTGGGAAAGAGGAAGTTTATCCGCCCAAACGGCGGAAGCATGCACGGAAAGGGGGAATCGGGCCCCTTCTTCGCTAGGAGCAGGTCAGGGCCGTGGGTAGAGAGTAATGGAAGTGGGGTTGGATTACTTAGTCCAGTTCACTACACCAACCGGATATTCTGTCTCGACCCGATTCTCATTCAAGATTTTCAGCATTTCGATCCCAGCTTGGACTCCCAGTATCCCATCGTATCGACCACCTTGCGGTTGTGTGTCAAGGTGCGAGCCAGCATACGTTGGGGCCCCTTTCTTGATGCCTGGTCGTACAGCGAATATATTACCCATGGTATCGATGGTAGTTGTGCACCCCAGCCCTTGAGTTGTTTTGATAAACCAGTCTCTTACTGATTTATCGTCGTCTGTGAGGGATAGACGGCGCATCCCAGTCTCGTTGGAACCACTGTTGGCGTTGTTACAATGATGGACTTTGATACTCGCTTTAAACAAGAGCTGATTTATGCGGACAATGAGAAAAGCAGAGATAGAAAATCCAGTCAATCAAAGAAACTGGTTCCTTACTCGCCCCAGCGTTCTCCAATTCCCCATTGACAGGTGTGGTGCAACTCATCCATCAACCGTTTCCTATTCACCTGTAATAACGCAATATCCTGGTCTTGCATTTCGGAAGAGCGAAACATCGTCGAGTAGGAATAACTAAAGTATTTGGTTTGACTGATATTGAAGAAGTCTTTACGTTGTCGGGTGATCCGAAGGGAAGTAAACAGACGACATGAGTGGTACAGACAATTGGAGGTAGCCATGGTAAGGGGACAGCGGCGCTGGAGGGAGAATTGATAATACTCTGTATCGAGAGCTCTCCTTGCTCCGAATTCGGGCTCACATTAGCCGATTCCCTGGTGTTATCTCAGCGTTAGGTTTGTGGATATGTCTGAATCTCCCACTGATCTACACCCTCGTTACGGAATACTACATCGGACTCCCCACATGCAGTCCTCTGCCTCTGCCTCTGCCTTGCCTCATCCCTCAGGCATCCAGGCATCCAGGCATCCAAGGCGCTGACAAAACACTTCATGGGCTGTTAGCCGCCGAAGTCTACCCGGGACAGGACCTGTCCCCCTGTCGTACCCACTGGATCTCCCATGCCATTTCATCGAGTTTGTGTCATCAACTTTCATGATAATGCCTGACGCCCGCTATGAGTGTATCCTGTAGTGAAGTGGCTAACAGCCTTCTGTATTGGAATTGGATGTCAGTCAGATCCCAATGCTAGGATTGAACACAACAGGAAGGCTGCCGTTGATCCAGTTGCCATTTCTCCATGGATTCTTGCACCTCCGTCTCTCAAGCGCTTGGAAAATCTTCATTACTATGCCGAGCAATACACCCCTAAATTTGATGTCGATGCTTAATAAAGGCTTGCTGTCATAGTACACCTGGGCCAACGGTTCGAAGGGATCGTTCAAGTCCCCCCGATGCTTTTCCTTATACTCGGATTTGGATCCATTAAGCCACCTGCTCACATTTACCCATAGATGGACCGTTTGATGGGTTGCTCAAACCATTGACGCTGTCTCGGATCGCGGGAAATACTGTAAATTCCGCTTTGAACTTGCCCACTCACTCCTCGCAAATTTCCCTCAACTTTGCGGATCATGGGCATCAGTGGGAACTTGCTAATGAAGGTTCATGGTGAGGGGGGTGGATGCTTGGCCTCGAGGGTTGGATACACGGCATCTGATGATTATAAGCGTCTTTTACAGGCCTAATCAGACTCAGAAGCAAAGACAACAGGCATAAGCTTTTCACAGTTTGACTCACCATGTAGGAAGGCGACCATTGTTCTTATTATTTGTTCACTCCACGATTTTAGCTTCTTTGTCTTCGACATATTAGGTCGTATTATTGACTAACAACCGAAGGTAAGGCACCAGGCCAGCCAAGCCAGCTGGACTATCGAGACATAGACATTGTCTTGCATCTACAAGCCCATCCAACCGTCTTGGACCGGCGTTGCTGTGCAGCGAGATGTCACTTTGAAAAGTGGCATTACAAGAGTTAATGTCAGACTCGCCAGGAATATGTATTCCACCGCTCTCCTCGAAAATCCGTACTGTCTGTTCATGGTCTCTGTCGAGCGCTCTTCAGGGTCCCGGTATTTGGCCTTCGTCCTCTACCCAGTATCAAACCCATGCCATTGAGGTACTGTCATCCTGCTCCGCATGCTTCTAGAAGCCCTTTTTTCATTGCACGGCTAGGGTCCTTTAGCTAGGTCCTTCATAGTCCTAGATCTCGTTACATCCTTTATCCATGATCTAGGACAAGTCCAAATACTACAGTCAGTCCAGATCACCTCCCGTGGAGCGAATCGAAGCGTGACTTATTCGCCCTATATTGCTTCACAGATATTCTATCTGTGTCTCGCCTCGATTTCAGTACTGATGCGCCAGTGACATGAGGCATCAGAGATGCATTATACACAGCAACCAAAGACGATGTGTTGGGCGAATTCCGATGATTGACTCGGTGGCGCAGGGTGCTCGAAGACCATCAACAGGAGATTCCACAAGATTGCTCCCCATTCCGCAGTTCACGTCGCGCGTTACAACAACTCGAATTTATCCTCCTTTCTTCATTTGAGTGGACTGGCCCAAGGTTTGATGATCTAGCAGAGTATACTCAACCGAGCCTTTCCAACTCCGCTCCAAGGAATCCGTGTACTATTGCCATACTCATGTTGGTGAAGAGGGAAGGGTTCTTCTCCACTCGCTTGGGTTAGCATATATGTATAAGAATATCTGGAAGGTGATGAATCCAGTGCTCTACAGGCTTTGGTTGATTTGAGCTTTTCGTCGAGCGTTCATGGACTTGGCGCCTATCAACATCCACCGACCTGGTCAATTGCTTAGGTGAGTTCAGGCTGATATATCTGCAAGACGTCCACATCGTTGCAATGCTTGCATGTTGATTTAAGCGCCGTCCCTATCTCGAATAGTAAGTCTAGATCCAAGACTACCAAGGTTCAGATCTCGGAGGAGTGGAAAGAGTCTCAAACGTCGATCACCTCCTTCCAGCCGTTCCGGATATCTTCGATCATGGGCACAAATACCATAGTTGAACGATTCCGACCAATTACTCTGTCCGCAATTTCGGAACTCGGTGGACCTAGGTACTTCGCAAAGTACAAGGACTTCTGCGGCATTGCTTCGCTTTACCAGCGTCCTGGGACGGTGATACTGTCCCACAGCGCGACGATTTCAAACTGACAAGGCAACTCTCTCTTCTCAGGTCCATCTCGGATCCTGAAATTCCGATGAATCGAGGTCTCGAGAAGCAGCGCTACGGTGAGACATGAGTATTTGATGTATTCCGTACTCAGAGCCGACGCCTTGACTTCACGGAGTGGTATTTTCAATCGGATATGGTAGTAAGCCGAGAAAAACTCGACACGAATATTAGTCAATTCTGACGATTCTATTGGACAACTGGAGCACAGCGGTTTAGGGCTATCGAGAAGCTTGTTCTCTTAGTTCGTTAAGTGGGCGCTTAACTCTCTTCCCCTCCCTGATCCATCCACGGATCCACCTCCATTATTACGGACATCACGGATAGCAATCCACCATCCCACCCCATCGGCATAGACGGCATCGCACGTTTCCTTTGCCTTGCGTTGACATTGTCTTTAGCCACTGGGAACAAGTCTGGAAGGCCCACGGAGATATCACTTTCTGTGTTCGGTGGAACCATGATGCATGGTGGTTGCGTTCCATGTTGCTCACCGAACGATGGAACATTTAGCAAGGATCTGCTCCGCTGTCACTCCGGCATACTATAGGAGGCCTATCCATCCAATGCCTGAACCATTCCTAGTTGCTCCCTTTCGGCTGCACAAGGAAAGGAATTTTGTGCCTCAAGGTACTTTGTAGTCTGTACAGCAGAGAGAACACCTTATCGGTACATGGGGGGTACAACGTTAAGTGCCCAGCAGATTCCTCCAATTCTGCTGCAGCTCTGCAACCTGCAGGCCATCTGATCCGGACCGCACCCTCTCCCCGCCCGTCACATCCGCCACCAGCGGATCAGGAATTAGGGTCAAGCAGACCCGAAGCGAGGGCCAATGTACGTCGCATCGAGCCGCCGAATTATCATAATACAGACGCCACCACTTTTAGCACGCCACGTCCATTCTTGATGCAAAGAATTCAAGATGCATCGAAGATGCTCAAGGAGGAGAATGCCAGTCAAGTCGGTATCATCGTTACACAACAAGATGACTGTGACCATCAGCAACGAGCTTGTACGACAGTAGATGTCAGGGTGAGTTTTCTCAGTCTCACTGGTGGTGTCTCCTCCCAAGGTGGAAGCGCATGCTCGGCATCGTTGGCCGACACGCGCCACTGCTCGATGGATCCACTGGCCAATTTGGTTGTGCACAAGGAAATTTATCAAATATTCAAATTGTCACCTTGATTCACATCGACCAGGGCATGAAAGGGCGAATCCGCGGTGGAGTACAGCAATCTGTGAGCTTCGACAGGGCGCACGGCTCCTATGAATTGGACCAAAAGCGAGAGCGTCAACGCAACAAAGCCGTTCACTGCACAGCTGCACCCTTTACCCCTTGGGGCCTCCCATCTCTAGGAGGGAGAGCTAAGAGAGGCTCTCCATTGGAGTGACGAGAGTACAGGCCTTTGCTACGAGAGCTTCGAGACGGGCCGCGATAGGCTAGAGAGGGCTCACCCGCATCAGGGACCCTTGCAGTCGGGTCTGCCATCTCGCGGCCTGCCGTCCATCATCAACGCCCGCAACCTTGTCAGCTGCGAACCAGGGCTACGATGGACGATGTGAATATTCAATGATCGATCCCAATTCGCACAGCTGCCCTTGCTTGTCCCATGCTCATCAACCATAGGTAGTGGTCCTTGTGCTTCTTAAGGTGCATGACCACCGCCATGTCCCCATCTATCATGAGATCCGTATCACGATGGCATCTTGACCTTCTCTTCTGCTATTACTTGCCACTCGCTCTCCCACTCTTCGAGGGGATCTCTTGCTCGTTATACAGGTCTCCGACTGAGCGATCATTGAGATATTTATTTTGAGTGTTTCGTTTCTTCACAATTAGACCTATTTGAACGCCTGGAGCGGGGAGCTGGAAATCCTTCGACTAGGCCCTTACGAATTTCTCCACGCATCTCTCGCTAGATACCCCAATTTGCATTATACACTCATCACGACCCTAGACCTAGTAATACCTTTTCTCCGGACTCGATCTGTTGGTTTTGATGTGCAGTTGACCTGCCTGCTGTCCGTCATCCGCAATTGTCATACTCTAGCCATCTCTGGCTGTCTTCTTCGATATCCAAGGCGCCACAACCACACAAATACACACAAACTGCGCTACATATAGCAGCAAGAGCCCGGATCGAGAACTGCAGAGGGAATAAGGAAATTGCTTCTCAAGACACGGGCTTCACCGGCGCAATTCCGCCATGCCAGCATTACCAGGACTGATGGATATGAGTGCGGAGGGGGTATTTGATAGTGTTGGTCATGCGATTATCATGGCAAGGGGGGTGCTTGACGACCTGCCGTTCCTCGTCAAGCGCATCAATATTTCAACGAACAGAACCAGCTCGCCAGACCTGATAGAGGCGGTCAGCACAGATCCGTGGAGGTTCAGCGGGAAATATGCCTTGGGTTGGGTGTATTTCTGCATAATTCTCCTGGTGGTTGCTTTCCTGCTGAGGACATATCATTATTTTACCGACCGGATACGAACGGCACTCCACGCGGAAGACACGAAGGCGCAATCGAAAACGTCATCACCAGATACGGACTACGAGATGAATGCACTGTACACAGACAAGTCGACGGCTAAATTCTTTCCACGGGACGGAGCGTTACCGGCGAAACCGAAGCTCGAGTCCAACTGGTCGTCATTGCACTGGGTCAATGTGCTTGTTGCGATGTTCCGTTTCCTCTTCTACCGACCCATCCCGGAACTACGATTGAGGAAAGGATGGCGGCCAATTGCTTTCCCATCACTAGCGGTTTCCATCATTGTAGCCGCTGCTATGGTATTCACCGTTTGTTACTGCTTCATTCCGCAGCCACTGTTCTACAAGAGCATCGCGTACGGATCGCCTCCACTTGCAATTCGGGCGGGCATGGTCGCCGTGTCCTTGATCCCGTGGATTGTAGCACTGAGCATGAAAGCGAACTTCATCTCCTTACTGACTGGAGTCGGACACGAAAGGCTCAACGTTCTCCATCGATGGCTAGCTTATCTCTGTCTCGCGCTCAGCATCGTCCATACCGTTCCATTCTACATCACACCAATCACCGATGCCGCGGCCCTGGATAGCTTCCACAAAATTTTCGAGGCGCAAGGAGGAATGTATATTTATTCCACTGGTACGCTTTTCATGCCCCTTGATATATGCGGGCTATATTGACATCAGCCATGTAGGCATTGCCTGTCTTGTTCCCCTCGGCTTCCTTTGCCTCCATTCGTTGCCATTCCTCCGACGTCGGGCCTACGAGCTATTTGTGGCTGTTCATGTCCCTATTTCCATCGTCTTTATCGGAATGCTGTTTTGGCATTGTAAGAATTATTTGACATCGTGGCACTATCTGTTTGCCACGATTGGGATCTGGCTTGCATCATACCTATTCCGGCTATTGTACCTGAATTGGACGCACCCATTTCGCATGTCGTGGCTGGTTGGCGATGAGTCTGCAATCACACTTCTCCCAGAGAATGCTGTGAAGATCACGATTCCGACTCAAGTCAAATGGAGACCCGGACAATATGTGTATCTGCGGATGCCAGGGATCTCGGTGTTTGAGAATCATCCGTTCACCATTGCATCGTTGTGCTCCGATGACTTCCCTTCAGAGTATGGAGACGGATACAGAGACATGCTCCTTGTCTTCCGTCCATTCGGTGGCTTCACTCAGAAGGTTGTCAAAACCGCCCTAGAACATGGACCGTGGCATACCTACCGTGCGTTCATTGACGGACCATATGGAGGAATGCGTCGGCGCATCGAATCGTTTGATTCGGTAGTTCTCATCGCCGGCGGATCCGGTATTACCGCGATCGTGTCGCAATTGTTGGATCTCATCAAGCGTATGCGAGATGGCAAAGCTGTCACGAAGACCGTCCAAGTCATTTGGGCGCTCAAGCGCCCGGAGACCCTCGAATGGTTCAAAGAAGAATTGCGGATCTGTCGCGAATTTGCTCCACCTGACAGTGTCTCTTGTCAGTTGTATATCACTGCAGCAAAGAGGCTATCACAAAGGGAGATGATGCAGATGGGACTCGGCATAGAAGGACAGAGCGGGCTCGTTTCGGCGCATACTCCGACGCGGCCAGTGTCCATGTATTTCCACGATAAGGTGAACGATGTCTTCCAAGACATCGCCGAAAAACGCTTCTCCGGCATTCCCGACCGCAAGCGCCTCTCCAACCTCTCCAACCTCTCCAATCGGAACAGTGCACTTATCCAAGAGGAGGCTCATGGGGATACTGAGCGCGAGGAAATGCGCCGCGAAAACGAAGACGCCATAACTGCACTCCCACAAGCACAACTCGTCTCTGCAAGAAGCGGAAGCAGAGGCCACCTCGCCCCGCCAGGGTCGGACGGTGACGCTCCTGAATACGCGGAGGAAGACCCCTATAACCCACAGGATATCCGTTTTACCACTTGGGCTGAGCGTCGCAAGTATGCTCAATCCCATGCCTCCCATTCCCGCAATCTCTCCCTAGACGTCGCCCAGGCCGTGGCAGCTGGCACCGGTGCTCTAGACCCCAACACAGCCGCGACTGCCTCCGCCATTTCCCCATCAAGTCCACACAGCTTTCGTGGTCGAATGTGGGATATGTCCGGCGTCGCCTCCAAGGATGAGAAGTCCCCTGACAACAATTTGTCCGACCCGTCGAACCGCACGCAAGCCACGAACTTTGACTTCGGGTTCCCCAGCACACCGACCGAGTTCCAGAAGAACCTAATGAGGTTTGCATTTTTACCCGGCCCAATCAACCCTGTTGCGGCAAGCATGATCGGCCCAGCGAAGCCGAGTCCGGGACACCCACCGCCCAGGAAACTATCCAAGTCAGGCTTTTTTAAATCTGGTGCGGATGATTCTACATCGAAGCGCAAATCACTGCTATCCATTCCGCGACCAAGGCGGAAGCCTGGGAACGACGCTGAAAGCCCTCAGGAGCGCGAGGCTCCGTATCGACCTGGTTGGAGCATTGAGTACGGTCGGCCAGATATTCCATTTATGCTGCGAGAGGCGAGCCGGGGATGGGGGAGGAGGACATGTGTGTTCGTATGTGGGCCGCCGAGCATGCGGATAGCAGTAAGTGAGCAGGTGGCGCAGTTACAGCGCATGGTCGTCAGTGGGACGGGGCCGAGAGGAGAGAAGGTGGAGGGTATAGAAGAGATATTCTTGCATGCGGAGAACTACGCGCTGTGAAGACGATTCATTGGGATTATTGGAGAAAGGAGGAGAAAGTCTATCCTTGTAATATCTCGGTGTTGGACCCAACCGTCTCGATGTCGGCTTTCCTTTACTGACCATCTAGTCTCGGCGATTTTGTTGGTTCCTTCGGGTTCGGTTTGATATCCCTGGCCTACAGTTGCCATTTGTTATGATCATGAGCGATGGGACTTTCAATGTAAATATCAATCGCGAATAAGATGCTTCTACTCTATATCTCTCTGAACATATCCACTTTATAAGGATTACACGCCCCCACTGTGAACTGATCTCGTTTGAACCGCCCCGTATCACTAGTTACTAGCATGGCATATTAGAGGAAGTCGGCCATTTCCTCCTTATCACCAGTCTGGCTCACTCATTGACAGACACGAGCTGATACCCCTGGAATGTCGCTAGTGGTCACTCGCGCCGACCGAACTCCACGTGTCAACTTTGGTTTGCCCTTAGCTAATTGATACTAGAAGGGCATAGAGATGCATGTGACATTGGTGGTCCAGAAATATCCTATGAGTGAAACACCAAACGCTAGAGTGGTCTCGATAGAATTGTATTGTGTGAATCATGTATTGACCTGGTCGTTTTGGCGGAATTGGGAGACTGCGTTCCGGATTGCATTGTAGAAGACTTTCTGGAGGGAATCTTGAAGCGGTTTCAAACCCCTGAGAACCTTTCCCTCCTCTTTCAAAGCTGATTGCATAGTACATTAGCTGTAGTTAGTTAGTTAGTAGAGAGGAATTAAAAAGACAGCATCACAGCAATCGCTCCGTGGTGTTGTCATGTTACATTGCAGTGGTGGTCGAGATCCCGAGGTCTTTGTTCGCATGGAGTGAGGCGAGAGCAGGAACGATCGGAGGAAGCATAGAAGAGAGGAAAGGATTTGAGAGATGGACACGATCTGTGGAGAGAAGCATGATGGAAGGAGCGAGGTGGCCATGAAATGTGGAGGAGAAGGAAAGAACTAGGACTGCGACTGGAGCGCGGATGACACTGATATGGCACAACCGCCGGGCTCGGATTGGTGAAAATCTGGAGAAGAGGTATCAAGGCTACTCAGAGGACCAATTCAGACGAATTCGAGTGGCTCGATTCAATGCCGTTGTCATATAAACTGCTGCACAGGACTGAACGACCCTTTTCAAATTGATGTTTGACCATGTACATTACAACTTGAATGCCAGCAGAGCTGGCCAGAAAGATGAAATATGATATACTACGATTGCTGAACTACGTCCTTCACAATCAAACTACAGACACGGTCTCAAATCCTCTCAAAATTCTGCTGCTTCCGTCACCTCATACTTATCCGATCTGAACCTCAGCCTGGCTTCACGCTCCAACCGGTTCGGGTCAAGATACAACTTCAGCCTCATATCCGACTGGCCGAGATTGAACACTCTCGCGAGGATGTATACTCTGCCCGAAGCCGAATCTGTGGGTAGTGTGGTGTCCATCATGAGGTCGTACTGGTTGCGGCTCACGTAGAACGGTGTGGTGAGGCGGCCCGTGGAGGCTTTCACCTCAATATGGTACTTTGGTTGCTCCCTTGCCCAGATATCAGACCGGAGATAGCCATTGGCGATCAGAAGGCCGGTAAGTTTGCTCTTGTAGTCTTCGTAAACGATGTCTGAAGTCTCAGGTAATGACCAATTCGTCAGCGCCGTGTAATCATAATGTGACCGAACGAGATTTCGAATCCTAGACTGCCAACTCTCAAGGCCGAAGTTCGGTAATTGGAGACTCTTCAACCATTCAAACATCTGCTCAAATTAGCAATACTCCTAGACCGAACGACAGACCTACAAAGAGTTCTCCAGCTGCTCCAACTTTGAAGTCTCTCTGGGCACCAGTCACCGCCACATCAACCTCGAACTTTGAAAGGCAAGGCTCAAGAGATACAGCGGAAGTTTCACCAACGCGCGGAAATTGCGGACCGCGCCGAGCGCTGTCGACCGCCACTTCGAGAAGCATCGTGTAGCGAGCAGGATCTTCTTGAGTACCTGGTGTACTGAAGACTAACGTCGCGGGAGTTAAGTTCGAACTTGGCGAAAGCCCAGAGTTCCTTTGAGAAATGAAGTGGCTGGATCTTGAACTGGACGGGCGGAAGGTAAATTGTGCCTGCTCCAGGAATGTAGGTCGAGGCGGTGTAACCGGTTCAGCCTCTCCAGTGTCATCTGATAACTGGAACATTGGATCGTCGTCTTCTTCCGGTTCAGACGAATTCAACTCTACATCTTCAGGTCGATTGACACAAGCCACGGAAATAACCCCAGCGTTTTCTAGAATTTCGTCAACGTCTGCAAGCCCGTGGGCTGAGAATATGCTGCCCAATTCTCCAACAGAGCTGTTCGGGGCGCCGAAGTGACTGAGAATAGCTTGCGGCAGGTGAGTCAGAAGGCATCGATGTTGAAGCCGGGGGTCCCTTGGGATATATACTTTCAGACCAGCTGAATCCTCAGGATCATCTCTTTCGTTGCTTTCAACATTGCAAACCTCGTTGTCTACGTCTTCCAGGTGGCAGTATGCCTTCCCGGAAACCATAGTGACTGGTCTGCCATCCTGGTAGGTAGTCAGTGTCTTTGAAAATTCCTCACTAGCAGGACAGTTATGTTCTGAAGCTTCTCGAAACATTCGACTGGGTCGTCGCAAACCGCAGTGCATCTCGCATGAGCAGCATACCTAGCTCAATCAATACTGATCCAATGCTGGTAATGAACACTTACCGGCAAATCGCATATGCCTTTCTTCTCAACTCGGTGGTCATTGAGTGATCGATCGAGCTTCTAGATGCCGTCGTCTCAGCTGCGACTGTGCCGGAAAGGTATCGCTTCTGGAGACCTAGCCCGATGAGAAAGACCTCCATTTCGTGGACTTCCTCCTTGGAGAAATCCAACGTTTTGAGCTGTCCCCGGAAGAGAGTTTCGTATTCCTGCCGATCAACGATAGCAAAGTCCTCCTTGCCATTCATCCAAGCCAGTGTTCCATCCGGGAGGCGAACGGGGAAGCATTTGCTGTCGAAGAGAATTGTTAGATCGCTCGCAGTAGGACCGAACTGACAAATGTTCCTGATAAGTTGCTTGATTGAATCGCTGCTCGGCGATTCAGATGCTTCCTGCTTCAATGATTGGATGTACAGAGGAAGCTTCGGCTCTTCAATCCCAAGGACCGCCCGGAAGAAAGGTTTCTGCGCGAAGTACTCCGTTGCAACAGAGAATTTCTGGGGTAGGCGCGCAGTGTCGTTGGCCCAGACGCAAGTTGATGGACTGTGCCATGTCTGGTCCTGGAAGTTGTAGACAAGCTTATCAGATTCGAAACGATTTCTAGCTGAATTAGCACAAGAATTAAGTGAGTGGAAGTACGGTTAACTCACTTGACAGCTTCCTTCCAAGAATTGTCCCCTCGAATCTCCGAGTGGAGATTATCGTAGAGAAGTTTGAGGATTTCGTCTCTTCTTGCTACAACGCTTGGCTTTGTTAAGTATGCAATGTAACTCAAGTAATCGTCCACTCCCGGTTCAGTCGGAACTGAAAGATCATCGACGAAAAATGTCTTAAGGGAGTCGTATCCAGGTAGTCGAGCAAGGGTGGGATGATGACGGTACCAAGTCGGAGTATTCCACCGACAGGAACTCGGGGGGTACCATGTATCTTTCCTAGTGAAGATATAGTTCTTTTCAGAGGAACACTCAAACAGCTCTCTAGTCTTGTCCGGCAAGAGGAGGAAGCTGCTTATCATACCACGGAAACCGAAGTGGCTTCAATAGCACCGAAGATTGTTCTGTAACTGTTAGTCCTGCTCCCAGATTGGGACATTCATCAGGTACCTGAGAATGGTTTTGTGACTTGGTGTCGAGCAGAAACCTACAAGTCTGGAGTATACCTCTGACATTACAATATATCCTGGGTTCTTCTTTTCGGGAGCCTTCTTCAACAGTAGCAACCAGAATTAAAAATCTTCTTCGTACTGCACTCCTAAGTGACGCAAGAAACTCCAATCGGACACGTCGTCATCCTCCATTCCATCAAGCTCCTTGATGAATCTAAAACTGCTCTGAAGCTCAGTCGATCAACGATAGCTTTCAATTTTGGGAGTGGAAGATATGTTGAGCTCAATGGTGAGATATCATCTGAATGGAGTATCGGTACTCGGGCCAGCTTCTGGAAATCTGCTTTCCATTGGATGTCGAGGTCAACATGAGACCATTGCCGCTTGAGAACTCCGAGAGCAATCGAATGTGCTTTCTGAGTTGCCAGGTATTTGGACTCTTCAGAAATTGCTGTTCCAGCTTTATTCCTGGGCTCTGGTATGGACCTGACCTGGACGAATTCTTCGAGCCATTCGATGCCAGTCTTGTCATATCTTCGTTCGCAAGCTCCAAACACTTCATAGTAGCGTGGATGTAAAAACAGCATCTTTCCCTCTAGCTGCTTCGGAACTGGACAGCCGATGACATTGGCTGCGCCGCAAGAGTCTGCGCTGCTTGGGCTGTACAACCACCCGGTCGACGAATCAGGGACTAGTTTCGAAAAAACTGTGCTCACAACCATAAGAGAAATTCTCTGTCCCCGAGATGGTAGATCGGCATGGTTCCAGAATACAAACTTGAGATGGTCGAGAGCTTTGTCCATCGTCCAGTCATCCTTTCTGCAGGCCTGTTCTAGCAATGGAAAGATTCGCTCGGGATCACATTCCGACACTCCGAGTTCTCGAAATAGCTTTGTTCTTTCGTCATTGACAAGTGCCCGTGGATCAACTAGACTCAGGGGAAGATCCCGCGGAATATCGATCCCTCGGCAGTTTGGGAAATAGATCGATGCATTAAATGGTGGAACCCATCGCTCATCCTCGAGAAGTGGCACTAGTGGCAGCTTCTTAATACCGATTGCAAATTGTTCTGAAGTGGCTACTGCTCGAAGCAAGGACCTAGAGAGGTATGTATGCCATCGTGATTCCACTGGCGTCGTTCGCAGCCGAGAGTAGCCGTTGGGTTTCAAGTCACAACGCAAGAGCCCAATGAATTTTGCAGTGGACAATGTTTCGAGGCCGAGTTTTCGGAGGATTGGAATGTCAAGAGTGGCGTCGTACCTACTTGAGACGTAGCGACTATGAAGGTGAGGTGTAGTACAGTCGCATTCGGGCAGCAGAGGTCGGTTTTCAACGTCTCTTAAAGAAGTCGGAACAAGTCTTAATGATCTAGCAATTGTGGTACCGCGGTCCCCCAATGGAATGAAACAATTGTGATTCATGAGCTGGGAGAATAGCCGATTTTGAAGTGTGCCCCAAAACTCATCGGGCACCCCATTCGTTGTCAGATAGCGGAGCCATGAATATTTCAAGGTCGGTTGATCCAAGAATCCAGAGATAGTATCTGCCAAGAAAAGATTGACAATTTCGTCCAGAATTCGTCGGTTCCAAGGGCAATTGGAAACATCTTCGCGGCTGGCCTGAGTTATGAAGTCGGACTGGATGAGAAACTAATCAGGTCAGCGTCGGCAGTTTTTGTTAAGAGAGTCTGGAGGATACCTTGAAACCAACCTTCCGGAGAGGAAGAAAGGCGAATATATGCTGCTCCTCAACAGTTGGAACGTCATCCTGATTGAGAGGAAAGGCCAAAAGCACATCTGCTGTCGTGATACCTGTTCTTGCTTCTTCCTCAGGCATATCAGTAATTGATTTGCTCGCGATCCAGAAGTTGAGATTGACAGTGTCATTTTCGATGGTTCGAGCGATACGAGCTCTATTATTCTCGGTCGACAATTCGTACACCTTTCGGACATCCTTCTCAAGTCTTTCGATACGAATTGAAAGCTTTTTTTAATTTCCGTAGAAATAATAGAAGGGTGTCCGGAAGAGCCTCAAACTCGCGAAGCAGGGCGTCCTTGTCGACCCTATCATTCAGTTCAAGAATGATACGGGTCCGAAAACCCAACGGCAGCCGACGGGGAGGTTCCACGAGGGGTGTGACCATTCCAAGCCCAGAGTCTGGTAATCCACGATTGTACTCGAATGCAAACGAATATGGTTCCGACTGGACGTGAACCTTGCGGGCAACTTTGAAGACAGATTTGAATCCAATGCCTTTCTCTCCAACATAGCCTTCGATTCCCGACTTGGTGCTTTCTCCTACCTTACAGATTGCCCGGGTATTGGCCTCGGAGAATCCATCCTCATTGGAGTCGATTATAATACTCTTGGCTGAAACAATGAATGAGAGATGAGGACGCTCCTTGTTTCCATCGGCGATAGAGTACTTGTTGTCTTCCACGTTTTGGATCAATTCGTACACGAAGCGGGTATCCTTCGAGTACAAATTACGGGACAGTCTAGGAGAGTTAGTCAAAAGCATTTAAAGAGAGTAGAATACCTACGCCTCTGTGCTTGCACAAGCCAACCGTCGAGCTCCGTCAACGCTTTTGATGATATGTGGGCGATTCACTCGAAGATATTCGCGATCTTCGGCTGAAAGCCAACCATTCTCGGTCGCCAGTTCTTGGATCAGAACATTCGCTTCTTCCCTGCTTGTGCTAGTCATGATGTCGAATGATAAAATATTGGGCTATTGTTGATTGAATGTGATGCTGTTGGCGTTGAATCATTCTCTCAATGATTCCTCGCGGCATGATATAAGTCAGTCCCAATGGAGTCCTGTTTATATGCCTCAGTCGATACCCATGGCTCTATCAGCGAGGGTGCTACCCGCTTTGCCTCAATCATGAAACTTTGAAATGTCTGGGTATCAAACCATGCCTGAGATTCACAGCCTTTCCGGTTCATGAAGACAGGCGAACCGACTGGTCCAGCGCCACGATTGGCTGTCCACTCTGATGGGACGAATAGCCATTCACTCATGACGCCGCAATGTTGCTACGAAACAATTCTTGTTCCATATCAGGAAATATTCGATCTTAGATCCTGGAAAGAGATCAGGCACTCGTGAATTGATAAAAGTGATCGCTTATTACTGATGACTTAAATGGCGCCAAAATTGCGGCAAGGATCCATATGGATATCCTAGCACAGTCCCACTTTCAACTGTGGCGTCAAGAAAGTGGGCGGAGGGTAGTTTGCTCTGTCGCGACATTTGTCGCATCGATGTCATCAAATCCATCTTAAGGTTCGCCCGATCGTCTTTTCAGAATGGGTCGGAGTGACATGTTATAATAATTACTAGCTTTCTCCAAAACCTCCACTCCTGGGGCGCTTTGGCGCGATTCGTCCATGGCATACACGTCGTCCCAGGCCCGCTGCATCGCGGTGTCCTCCCGCGACTCCAACGCATCATCTGCATTTGTCTACGCAGTGAAAACCACCGGGATATACTGCCGACCTAACTGTGCATCTCGCCTTGCTAGACGGGCGAATATTGTCTTCTTTGACGACGCGGGGCGAGCTGAAACGGAAGGTTTTAGACCGTGTAAGAGGTGCCAGCCTCAATCAACAAAGAGGGCAGGAATTGGAGCGCCCAGTGAGCGTGTCGCTGCAGCTGTGAATGAAGCAAAGAGGATCATCGAACTAAACGCAAGCGAATGCTCGGGGAAAGGCAGTCAAATTACTCTTAACGAGCTTGCAATGAGAGTGGGTCTCACGCCGCGATATCTCCACAAGGTCTTTGCTGAGCATGTTGGCTGCTCACCGAGAGATCACTTTCTGGCCACGAAGCGCCTGCGCGATTCAGATACCTATTCCCCAGTCGATGACACAAATTCTACAGGGAAAAACGATGATATATTCCAGATTGAAGATTTCCTTTATGTTCCCGACGAGGATAGGGACCGTACACCTCAAGACAAGAATGACGCCGAAATCAGTACACTCTTTGATGCCTTTCAATTCCCGTGTGAGGAAATCCATTCGAGTGTATCTCCAGCTTTGATGAAAGAGAGAACATGAAGACATCATGCTTCTGATGGCTACCTGTCGGTTGTAAAAGAGCTTGGAATGTGCTACTCATCCTTCTCCAACAAGCAAACTACTTCTGCTCCATTGAACACAAGCTTGAATACCAGATCGTCTCTCTTAATAGAAAGTATAGCTGTGCGCTGAGAGTCTCGTGCTCTGGCTGTGTTTCGATAGTTGTCTACAACGCTCTAATGATTTCGCGCCGTTCCCGCCAACGCAGCAGCTTCCACTACTCTAGCCTACTTGAGCTCGTGTTACTATCAAACCCAGTGTGTGTACGAATCCCAATTTTTGTCACCAGCACCCTTCCTTTTTCATCATTGCGCTCCCATGTATCCAGCTCGCTCTTTTCTTGCCTCCAACCAACTGATAAAGGGTGTAGTGCTTTAGAGTTGGCCATGCCGGATGGTTTACCAATGCTGAATCCCAAGCTCGGCCTTGAACTTGTTCTGCAGACTAACGTTCGTATAGTGATGTTGAAGAGTTTTGAATTCGTCCAGCGAGAATGAATTCTTTTATACCCGAGAAGAGAAAGGATACAATGATGATAAACTACAATACTGATATTCCATATTCATTATATGGGCCTCCCATTCACTGACTTGAAAATGGGGCCACTGACCGCTACTTACGGTGAGCAAATTTATGATTTGTGAGCTTGCTATTTGTGATCTGCATTTGAAAGGGGGCTAGGATGGCGGAGACCAGTTGTATCTCTCAATAGGAGCCAAAGAGTTATATTGTTGTCAGAAATTGCCCTGGAGGCATGCATATCTAGGGACAAGCAATGATATATCTTAAACCGCCGGCAAACATATAACTATAGGATTGTTCTTTCCCTATAGCAACTGTTGACACTAGGTAGGTTCTTGAAGCATTTAATCTCCGTACTTTAAGTTTTCGCCTTGGTTGAAGCACTGAGTCACTGATATACAGTAGGGACACAGCGTGCTATGGGTAGACGGCGAAATTACCACGCACTGTATCAGGAATGGCATCCGAGAATGGAGGATCTTTTGTGGCATTTAGCTAAGTAGTCAATTAAACTACAGTGCGCTAGAACATGATATGAAGAATGGATGCGTTTGCACCAGCCGACAGCGCGGCGGTCTGGAATCTACTAGAAACTAGCATATCCCGATCTGTTGTAGAAAGGGACTTCTTTCATGATATGAACCTTCTGCTCAGTTGTGAAGTATCTAGCCTGATCGATTACGTCAACAAAGCTTTCCAGAAGTCTCCAGGTCAGCCCTTCGGGATGGTTCCTCGCTATTAGTTCATCCAACAGTTGCTTGATGAGACATTTGGCCGTAACAACAACGTCTTCCACATTTTCATGAGTATTGGGATTGTTTGCATATGCATCTGGCAACTGGAAGAGGTTAGCTTAGCTCTAAACCACTGAAAGGGGGCTTACCATTTGAAGGGCGGACAAGAAGGATTCGTATACCCGCTCTGGTGTCCGCTGCAGCGAATTTCTCTGGTGGGTTGTTAAACTTCAAATACGGTAAGATTTGATCCGGAATGCCGACCTACCATAAGGTTCGTGGCCGTTTTCCGCACGTTGAGCAGGTCATCGGGTCCGAAGAGCCCCTTGTATGCCGCTTTGGGTCGATACCCCTCTCCTTCAAACTCTACCTGGGCAAAGGGGAAAACTGCCCGGGCCATCACCGCTGTAGAGCTTTCCTCCACGCAAATCCGCCGCCCCTGGATTCTAGGCGCATCATCGGTGTTCTCCAGGAGCTTGAGGGCGCACCTCGCGTATTCGGGGCTCTTGAACTCGACAAAGACATCCCAGGTGCGGTTGTCATACCGATCTGTGATAATATGGATCACGTAGTTCCAAGACCTAGCTGGGACGGCGTTGAGATTGTCCTTGACGGGATGGAAGAGGTCAATGATCTTAGATTTAGAGACGTTCCACGGAACCTGATATCGTCAGCAAGCACTTTCGTTGGCGGTGATGACCCTACATCGGAGAGTTTCAATACTCCACGACTGAGTTGCCATGGGATTTGGGGAGGGAATGTGGCCGACATGGTGGGATTGTCGGGCTAGTGAGTGCACTGGATGACGTTGACTTCTTCAACAGCGAAGTTCGGTCGGCCGACTGCTGGATGCTGCTTGGTCGTTACAAGGACAGAACGTAGTTTAGAGATATGGAAGTGGCTCAAGACAAACTTGCAGAATATAAAGTATTTAGTGCTTTCTATTTATTCTAAGCATTCTATAAAGGAAATAGAAACAGTTCATGTTAGAAGCGACTTAAATACTCCACCGGAGTTTCTTGTGATGAGGAGGGCATAATAATGATGAATACCTTCATCATTATGTGAATAAAGACGGTCAATCCCGCTTTATCAATGTAAAAGGTATGATACCAACACATTTGTAGACTGTTACCATAGGTAGATGTGACATGATGTTTCCACCCGGCTTTCAGGATAACATAAATTTTGACATAATTATTGTCCACCGAAGAGCGAATTAATGAGATGGGAAATAAATGATAGAACGGGCCATTTCCCAGCAGTAATACACGCTGACATGGGTAATGGTTCTGAATCTGTCGAATTATCAAGATGCAAGATGACATTTTCTAATGGCCCCGAGGGCCAAAGCCTATCATAGTACAGGCGACACATATTGGGAGAACAAGAAGACTGGGGATCTACGGCTGATGCTAAGAAAGATAGGAGTCAGTTTAAGGGAGGACACCCTTCAATAGAGGTGCAGGTGCTCCGTTCCATCTGTGTGTTCAGGAGCTGCTGTTCTAAGAGTGCTGAGTGTTATATAAACTCTGGTAATTGGAGAAGCAATAGACCAGGTACCAGATAATGCGAATCAAACCATAGACTCAACGGCAAACGAGTATTGGAAAAGGGACGATCGGTGCTCCTAAGAGATTACAAAGCAAGATGTTGCAGGTGCACTAAAAATCGAAGATATACTAAGAAAGAGAAGGATACCTATACTCTTTGGAGAGTATATGTCAGAGAAAGGATACACACGATCGACATTCAATGGCACGCCTATATCTGGATGACTGGTCAAGTATAATTTGATATCAGGCAGGAAGCAAGTCATCATAGCTCAATGGAAAGGTTTAGGGAGGCAAAGAACGCTCAATCCATTCTGGTATCTATGGCAGTTACAAACTTTTCGGGAAGGCCTTTGGTACCAGAAACGCTCCATGGAAGTTGATGACTTGGGAGGAGCCACGGAGGCAATGTAATGCCTGCTGAATGACGGTGAAGAGATCTCAACGACACCGATTGGACCATGGTGATGGTATGATGGCGATGGTTGGTTCCCACTCATTGAGAAATTGCAGCGTTTGCTCCTTAACAAAGGGATAGTGCCCCCTGTTCAATCGAACTAAGACATGTTAGCTAGTGGTCTCAACGAACTGGAGAGCACGGCGCTTACGGGAGTTAGGAATGACTCTGCTACAAAACGAGCCCTCGCGTTCAACTGCGGATGATTAGTTTCATATTTAATATCGGCAGGGAAGGCCCTGAAGAGTGTCAAAGAGCTGGGGCTTACAAAGAGCTTCATCTCCGAAATCTCCTTATCGACCTCCTCCATGAATTGTATTATGAAGTCGACCAGTTTGTGTTTAAGCATGTCTTCCGTGTGGAAGTTTGTGATTAAGAACGAGATATCATATCCCTGAAAGAGTCAGCCACCCGATATCCGTTACCCGGAGTACGTCGGGAGATGCTGGACCAACCTTGATGGGTTTCCTTCTCAGGATAAAGAAGGCCTCCGCTCTCTGGGTCAAGAACCGCGTGAACTTATGGACCAATATGTTCTCAATCTCGTCGGCTTGCTTGATTTTGATGCTGATCCGAACGCTGTTTATGCTGGGTTCGATGAACACCCGCTCATTCTCGTTCCGTGACACCGTGAGGGGGTTGAGGAGCACTTCGGGGGAGGATTTCGCTTCGATCTCGGGGACATTGTGTCTCTCGCTAGTTTGTGAGGCGAAGTTGGATAGAGATAGGGCAGCAGTCAGCGAAGACCGGACGCATTGGAGGTATGGCCGAAGTGATTGGGACTGCGGAGGTTAGTCAAGGCAACGTAAGATCGACTCCTATGCAGACATACCATGATCGGGACTCCTCGGCGACCTTTAAGACGGGAGGCAAGTACCGCCTGGTCTCATCAGCTGGCGAAGAAAGGAGATACAATAATAGCCCCAATACCAACAGCGATGCTAAAGTTGGATAGATATGTAGAGGTACTACAGTGCAGTGCCGTAGTTGCGACGGACACACGAAGCCCCAAGGAAGCCCCGCCTGTGGTGATGACCAGCTTCACTTAGTCAGCCACACTTAGTCAGCCACTTCCCGCTCATCCTGGTCCACCGCCCAGGGCTCCAGGCGGCGGACGAATGACGAATGGTTGAGGCAAACCTCCCACTGCAAAACACTGCGAGTGAACAACAGACTGTGGTACGTGTGGAAGTCAACAACACAAATCTCCCCCCTCACACCCTCTATATCCTCTTGATTTTCAACCCACTATACATCTGTGCTGGCCTATCATCATGGATCCTATACAAGGTTGAAATCCCTCATCTTCCGAGCCAAATCATGGAAGCTAACCCTAAGAATCAGTGGTGGTCAAGCACCAAGGCAAGCGATATGATGTCGAGCTCGATCCTACATCCAATGGAGAGACCTTCAAATACCAGCTCTACTCCCTCACCGGCGTGGAGCCAGAGCGCCAGAAGATCCTGATCAAAGGCGGCCAAATGAAGGATGATACCGACCTGGGGAAACTCGGTGTCAAACCTGGACATGCCTTCATGATGATGGGCACGCCTGCGGCCGGTTCAGCAGCCTTGGAGAGGCCGAAGGAAAAGATCAAGTTCCTAGAGGATATGACTGAAGCCGAAGCGGCTCAGTCCGAAGGAGCGATCCCGGCGGGTCTGCAGAACCTAGGCAATACATGCTACATGAATGCGACGCTCCAGACACTGAGGGCGATCCCCGAACTGCAAGAACAACTCGCTACTTATAAGCCTGGGTAAGGATAGGATACGGTTCTCTTGGGACTTTTGTCGCTAATGGTGGACGTAGCGCTAGTACTGGGCCCGATCTCCGTCAATTTACCCTTGGCGGCAGTTCGTCCGCTGCTTCCCTCGATCTTATCGCCTCCCTTCGCGACCTGTTCAAGCAACTGTCCGAGACGCAAGTGGGATTCCCTCCGCTCGTGTTCCTCAGCGCACTACGATCGGCATACCCTCAGTTCGCTCAGAAATCGAAAGATGGACATGGCTACGCTCAACAGGACGCCGAAGAAGCATGGTCACAGATTGTTTCACAGCTGAAGGAGAAAGTGACGATATCTGGCCTGACTGATGGATCCGACGCAGGGTCCAAGGCCGCGCAATCATGGGTGGATACATACATGTCAGGCCAGTTCGAATCGACCATGGAGTGCTCCGAGCCGGCCGCGAAGGACGGTGGAGAGGAATCCGTTCATAGCCAGGATCGATTCTACAAGCTGAACTGCCACATCAATGCCGATACGAACCATTTGCGGGATGGTCTCGCGGCCGGTCTCACCGAGCAGATCGAGAAGCGCTCGGAAGTGCTGGGGCGGGATGCGGTCTACAACAAAACCTCCCGCGTCATGCGGCTGCCGAAGTATCTCACCGTTCATTTCGTGCGCTTCGACTGGCGACGGACGACGGGGAAGAAAGCCAAGATCATGCGGAAAGTGACGTTCCAGCATGAGCTGGATGCCGTGGAGTACTGCACGGATGACCTGAAGAAGCTCTTGATCCCGGTCCGAGATAAGATCCGGGAGATTAGGAAGGAGGAGGAGGATGTCGAGCGGTCACGGAAGCGGAGAAAGCGAACGAAGGAGGGCGAGGAGCCGGATACGCTACCTGAGGGTTCCGCAACGAAACCGTCCCAGGACGCGAAGAAGGACACGAAGAAGGACGCGAAGAAGGACGCGAAGAAGGACAAAGTAGCATCCGAGGATACGGAAATGACTGACGTTCAATACAAGAGCGATGCCGAATTCGAAGCGGAGAAAGCTGCTTCGATTCTGAACGCCAAGAAGGAGCTCCTTGCGCTGGTCGATGAGAAGCTCATCGCCGATGAGGGCGGAAATCACACCGGCCTGTACGAGCTTCGAGGCGTTGTCACGCATCAAGGCGCCAGTGCCGACAGCGGGCATTACACCGCCTTCGTCAAGAAAGCCGGCCGGAAAGATCCCGCGACCGGAAAGACGCAGGAAGAGGACGGGAACTGGTGGTGGTTCAACGATGATAAGGTCTCCGAGGTCGACGCGGAGAAGATCGAGACGCTCTCGGGTGGCGGTAAGTTGATTTGAGTGCTAGAAAGATGACGTTCCTGACCGAAACACAGGCCAAAGCCATTCCGCCCTTATCCTCCTGTATCGCGCCGTGCCACTGCCCTCGGTCAGCGAAGAGACAGGCGCCGCACCAGCCGAAGCAAAATGAAGGGCTGGCCCCAGTACCCTCTTTTCCGTGATATCCATCTTGCATTGACGGGCAAACGGGAGGTTACAGGTCACATGGCTCATATGTGAAGCGAAAGCCACGCGACGATCAATGAAGACGCGACGAGCTGATGACCATCGGATGCACCTGCATTGGCGGCTAGGATTACATGAGCAGAGGCGTCCTCCGATGCAGAATGGGTATAGACACTAGAACAGGAAAAATCGAGCGATGTTGAATGCTTAAGGCCGCTGTGTGTGGTTCTGTGAGCGCTGCTGGTAACCGTTCATGTGATGTGCTTTCCCACGACGCGTTGTCCACATCCACCTCCACATCTCAGTCCTCTCATCCTCCCACTTCCTTTGCACCACGTCTCTGCATACTTCGTGCACTTCTCTCGCATTCGTTTCCATTCATAAATTTATCTTTCGTGCCCACCTTCAATTCGCTCGGTTTACTTGTGGTCTCAGCCGTTCGTTTCCAACCTCATCCCTACTCCTTCACGGTCGCCATGTTCTACATCCACGAAGGTCTGTATCCGCAGCGTTGACTTGAAACACTAAACTCACTCAAACTAGTTCTGACTGATCGCAAACATGGTGTTGCTACCGTATGGTGCGTGCTTCTCATCATCTTGCCAGTGACAGCACTGGTTAACATCCCGCTAGGCTCCTCGCCACGCTCGGCTCCAAATCCGGCGTCCGGAAACTCAATCGCCGCAATATTCAAGAAGTCAATGTACCGAAAGCCTGTGAGACGATCATTAATCCCGCCGCACCCATGGCGCTGCGATTGCAAAGCAGCCTGCTGTAAGTACCCGTCGATGTCGCCCGGTAAATCGTCTATTGACCAGCCCGTCTAGCTATGGTGTCTCACGAGCGTGCGAGAAGCAGTGCGAATATCTTCATGCGGACACGGAGACGATCTTTCGCGTCATGAATCAGGAGCTTCATGGCACGCGAAGGCTCGACATCGATCTGGAAGGCGAAAAGACCAAGTAAGCATGTCGAACGGCGTCTATTGACCTAATCCACTCACAATCTCAGGTCTACGGCCGAGAATCTCAACTTGCAAGACGATCCGACCTTCGTCCCCGAGCTCGTCCTCCAGACGTTCGATATCGACCTCTCCGATCTGCCCGGCTTCGAGCTCTCCCTCGCGGGTGACTCCCAAGAACGCAACAATTTCTCACCCCACACCTCCCAGGGCTCTCAAGGAGTCCCCAGACTCGATCTCCGATCTCCTATCGAGAGCAGCGGCATCGGCGGCTTTCAGCTGCCGGGCGCGGGGGACACCGAGCATGTCACGCTGGGGTTCGGCGACGATGAGGGGTTCGATCCGAATGTTGACTTCGGGTTCGACGCGGAGGGGAATCTGGTGGATCTGAGTGAACACCCGACCGGAACTCTGACAGCCCGGGGAACTCCAGGGCCGCTGGTTCTGGGAAGCGATGCATCGGCACGACGACGGGTGGAGGATGAACACGCGGGGGCGGCACGGCAAGCATTGCTAGGCGTGAGTGATCCCATCCGATTTTACAAGCCATGACTGAGCATCACCACAGGATGCCGACAAGATGGATCTTGACGACCTCCCGGCCCTCCAATACGACGATCTATCCGACGACCATCCAATGCCCACCACCCCCCAACAGCCCACCGAATCCTATGAAGGCTCGGTCGAAGCCGTCGCTTCCCTCCGCCCGCAGCAGCGCGCACCTCGCGTCATCCCCATGGACCACGACACCACCCTGCGTAACACGACGATCAAAGAATGGGGCCTCTCCTACGTCCCGCACATGGTCGAGGCGCGCGACCGCCGGATTCTGCAGAAAGCGAATTTTCAGGCGAAGCGGAACGCGGAGTATTGGGTTGCGGGGGTGGGGTTGGGCGGCGTCGGTGCGACGATGAAGGAGGGGTCGTTCGGGCCATTGAGCATGTTCTTTGGCGATGATCTCATCAATGCGATTGTGCCGGCCTCCGAGACGCCGAGCACTCCGACTGGGACCAGGAAGCGTAGCCGCACGGCGTTCGAGGAAGGCGAAACGGAGGAGGAAGTGAGACGAACGCGTGACGAAGTCGAGGCGGCCATGGGATACGACGACGAGATGGTCCACGCTCCCGAAGACGAAGTCGAGGTGGCTCGAGAGGCGCAGCCGGAGCTGGAGGACATCTCGATCATGATGCCGTGGAATGTCACGGCGTCGGTTCGCGGCTCGTCGGCGCATCGTCTTAGCAGCATTGCGCGCATCGCCAGCTCCATTAAGGGTCTGACGTCCCTCGGTACCACCGGTGCGCATCCTGATATCCGTCGGAGAGATACCGAGTCGCCCTTGGTCGGACGTGGCACTTCCCTTGCAAACCAGCAAATTTTCCAGCTCGGAGGCACGGGTTTCTCGAGTGACTTTGTCGGCCACGATGACTTCGCGCTAGGCGCTGACGAGCTCTCCGAGGGTGAGCAGGAACGGTTGCAGCTGCAGACCGAGAGTCAGGTGCAGCGGGCCGCGTTGGATCGAGAGTCGGACAACTTCCTGACCTTCATCCAAGCGGGAGTGGACGCGAAGCAGGAGATCGAGGACGACGTCGAACATGTCACGTTCGAGGAGCTGTTACCCCCCGAGACGACGAGCAGGATGATTGCGGCTCAGGGATTGTTTCATGTGCTGGCGCTGGGTTCGAAGAATATGGTGAGGGCGGAGCAAGAGGAGATCTTCGGCGATATTCAGATTAGATTGATCGAGGGTTGAAGGCCGGTCACCTGCTACGAGCAAGGAGATGTTTCTCCGGAAGCCGGCGCGATCAACGCCGCTGCGACGATCTGTGGCACCAACGGGAAGGGGTGGGTATTCGGAATGGGAATAGGAGGAGCAAACGGGGAGAGGGACATGATGATCTGTTTACGAATCACGAGACTACGGGGAACATGTTGCAATGTGTAGAGGTAGTGATGCCGGAGCTGTAGTATTGCTATGAGTTCTATAATACACTCCTATCCTACAATTGATCCATACTCGATATTAAACTTCAGTGTGGTAGAGTACGAGTTGCTCAAATATTCCCGCGTTCGAACTCTTTCCCATCCTGATTCTCCAACGAAATACAGCAAAGGAGCAGAATACTCAGATGACTCGGAAAATAAAAATAAAAAAACGAAATGAAGAACGAGACGAGTTGAAGTTGAGGAACGAGATATGTAAGCGGTACGGAAGTTAGTCGAACAAGTCCTCGGTGAGGTGCAGCCTCGATTTTGTTAGCCGCTTCATAACATCGGTCGCATGACTTCGACAAAATGATAAATTATGTCCAAGGTCCTAATTAGGCCGGTTCCGCAACTTACAGATCGTTGAAGAACTCAGGCGCTCTCAGAGGAACTGCGTCGTTCTCTTGAAGAACTTGTCTCCAAACGACATGAGCAACATCATCAAGATGATTAAATGCAGGGTCCAGTATCTCGAAGAGGTCGAAGATGTCCATATGAATCCTTTCGCGGTCCTTCCGTGCTTCGTACTCCAAAGCTTCAGTGCACCATGTATTTAGGAAGACATCACGATCGCTAGTTTGCTTCTTGTCGAGGGGAACTCTCCAAGGATCGTAGCATGGATCGAGATAGTCAGTAATGTGACCGGCATTGTATCGAGCCAAAAGGACAGCAAGGACAATCTTCTTGTCGAAATTGTTGTCCAAAAGCGTTTCCCTGACAACTCTGCTGGACGGCACCACAGATAAACATTTGAGAAGAAGGAAAATGGCCCAGTAATGGCGCTCTTGTATAGCGTCATCAAGTCCCCGAGCGGCGATTTCCTCTCCAGCGGTGCCCTGAACTGTGGAACGCCAGCCGTAATGCATGAGAGAGCATGCGAGTGTTACCTTTTCCAGGGTCCATGGCCCATGAAGAACTTTGGAAGGCAAGCTGTGATTCAGGACGGGGAAGAGTACCTCGCATTGTGCTGTTCTTCCACATGGGCAACAATTTGTCCCAACTTGTTTGGCCGTGAAATAAAAGCCCACGTCAGCAAAAGGACGAAAGGATTGGATGCAAGCAGGGCATGCATAGTGCAGCGAATGAGCGGGACCTCGCCCTGGTTCTGGGTTGAGCACACTATCAACACACTTCTTGAAGAAGCTTGCGGTGAAGAAGCGGGCATTGACAAGGCGCAAATACTCTTTCTGGAAATCCTTGCTCTTGATGTTGGGAGCGGCGAAACTCCAGAGAAAATCCGCTGCGAAATTGACGAGTGTCCCTTCGTGCGACAACCGAGAACCTAGGCGTGGCGAACAACAAGGTAGAGCAGTGCTACGTGACAAAAGGAAGATCTTCTCGAGCAGCTCGTTGGGAAGTGATTCCAATGGAGAGGGCCGGTGACGAATCACTGGATTGCCTTTGTTGTGTCTTCGGGAGCTCGAGGGCTGCTTGGATCTGCCTGGAGTCCTTTGCAAGGACGCCGGCTCCCTACGTGCAGGTTTCCGGCGGTGCTCAGGCATTTCTGCTGGTCTGGGTTGCGACCGGCTCAAGGGAATGCTATCTCTCGACAACTCGCATATGGGCACTCATCCTATTCTCACGGTCAGTCAAAGTACCACCAATGTGCTGTAGCAAGAAATAAATGTGAGTTGCGCCCCTCAGCGATCTTGGTGTAACTGAAATAATCATGCCCCGTAAGGTCAGATACTATCTAGTTGAGTTCTAATCATTGGGCAGGAATGGATGAAAGTGAGTCAAAAAAATGGAAGAGCAACTTACGGGACAACGACAAGGTTGGAGGCCCGAAGAAATGGTCTCGACCTTAGACGGAGGAACTATCCGTCGGGATGTCTAGCCTGCAAGCATTAAATCAGCAAGCAATCTGACAAAGTGTGTGAACCAGAAACATGTAGACGGTGAAATTCAGAATATGTGAGATATTAAATATCATACGCTCAGTGCCGTTAAGAGAACCTAGGCGTGGCCTCCGACAACTGCAGTCAATCGCAAATTTGTATCCTCATGAAAGTGAAGTGTGCTTGGAGGAAAGTTTCACGTACCTTGAAGATCTGTTAGAGAGAATCTCTAAGGAGAGTCTCTCACTAGGTGTCCCTAGTTCATTCCATTCGAGCTTGGAGCATTGCCTATTTCCAAAGCTTCAGTGCCCGTAGATGGGATGCTATGCCCATTGTGTGGAGGGAAGATGAAGAATCAAACTGAATCCGAAAAAAGAAAACCTGGACTTGAGTAAGCTAGCACGTGACGTGGTGCATGGATTCATTGTCTTGGCGGTTCACACAAATTTATCGTCGAATTTCGCACATCGAGCGACACACGTGATCCACCAAAAATTAAGCGACCAGCTCTCTTCAACCTCAACCTCGAAACCGGCATTACAACGTCACGACAGCACATACTCATACCCTTCGCCCCAATCAAACTGTATGTTGCATTGGCATTCGACATTATACCAGAATACTGATCATCGCAGAAGTCTGTCACCATGGGCGACGCCACCGTTGTTACGAGCAGTTGGAGACTGGTGGAGGTTGGACGGGTCGTTCTCTTCGCCGGCGGTCCCTACGATGGCCGGTTAGCAGCAATTGTCGAGATCATCGATCACAAGCGCGTACGTAGCCACCGCATAGCATCCCAGGCCCCGGTTCCGCGATGCAAGAATGATGAAGGTCGAGTGTTCTGTGGCTAAGCATGATTTGCAGGTTCTCATCGATGGACCATCAGCGAGCGCAGACAAGGTCGTTCCCCGACACTCCGCTGCCCTTGCTGGACTTTCCCTCACTCCGATCGTCATCCCCAAGCTCCCGCGAGCCATCGGTAACGCTGGGCTGAAGACGAAGTGGAACGAGGCTCAGGTTGAGAAGACCTTTGCTGAGAGCGCGTGGGCGAAGACGAGGGCACGAAAGGACAAGCGAAAGACCCTCAATGACTTCGAGAGGTACAAGGTCATGAGACTGCAGAAGCAGGTACGTTCGACAATCCAAGCATGATGTGGCAAGCTCAATTGCTTCTATGATATTGGACCTCCGAAAAGTCCCCTTGTAGACGGCTAATCTATCTCTCATCTACAGAAGCGATTCGCGGAGAAGGTTGCGCTGGCCAAGGTCCGAGCAAGTGCTTAGGTGCAGTCAGGGTGACGAGTGATGGCGCACGATTCTTTCTATCTTGCATGGTCGGCACGGCGTGTATATCTGCTTCACATGGGTAAAGCTTGAGAATCAAAAAGACACCAAGAGGGTGTCATTTCCTGCCAAGCAAAACAGCGAGTATTGAGTTCTTGCAATATTATCAAACAGTGACTGGAGCATTCATGTCCAACCCCGTGCTCATTTCCATGCCCAGTAGTGGGATCTATGGCCAAGGGATCGGGGTAGCATAATTAAAATTGTTAAATATGCACGGGAATGACAAGAAATTCAAAATCGTAAATCCAAAGACGCTCCATATCGTAGAATTCTGTCGTGGTGTGCCTTAAACGTTGAAGTTATCCATTTGCACTTTCGCTGTGCTGGAGATCTCCGCCATCCCAAAACCTCGCTAAATTTGTCGTGGTGCGAAACTTCACTTCACATCCCAGCTCTCCCATAACAACTGAACCACCCCCACAACATCTCCCACCACCTCGCACCTTCGACACCTATCGCCAAAATGTCGAGCTCAAGAATCGAAGAGCTCCCTGATGAGCCGGAAAAGAAGATCGCTGAGGTTGAAGATGCTTCCGACAGCTCCGACTCCGAGCCCGAAGTTGAGGAGGGCGAGGCCAGCATTCCCGCCGGTTCGGCTGTGACCATCCATTCGCGTAATGAGAAGAAAGCGCGAAAGGCCATTTCGAAGCTTGGTTTAAAGCACGTTGAGGGTATTACCCGTGTTACATTGAGGAGGCCCAAGAACGTAAGCCATCCATTTTCCCAAGATCTCACGATTGCCGTTGAAGATGTGAAGGATACGGTGAGCTAATATGGGGTCCAGATTCTGTTCGTTATCAACAACCCGGATGTCTACAAGTCTCCTTCCAGCAACACTTGGATGTAAGTCGATCAAGCAAGTACAGCATACCACGGCAGCGACTAACAAACGCTCAGCATCTTCGGCGAGGCCAAGATTGAGGACCTGAACTCCCAAGCTCAAGCCGCCGCTGCCCAACAGCTATCCCAAGCCGCTGATGCCGACCCCCACGCCGGCCACGACCACGGCGACAAGAAGATCGAGGCGGGTGAGGCCAAGAAGGAGGAGGAGGAAGATGATGGCGAGGAGGTCGATGAATCGGGTCTGGAGACCAAGGACATCGAGCTGGTCATGCAGCAGGCGAACGTGTCACGAAAGAAGGCCGTGAGCGCGCTGAAGGAGAACGACAATGACATTGTCAACTCCATCATGGCACTGAGCACATGATTTGCTTCATGGTGATCCTGTTGCTGGCGTGGTTTTGCCGATGATAACCATTGCTTCAAAAGCCAATGTGATCCGCTCATGGACATGTACATTTCATACCTATTGGACCCAGGAGTCTGGTAAATGAAAAGCTTCGGAGACTCGGTCAACTTCAATCAATTGAGCAGAATCAACTTCGCAAATCCTACGTGCATATCGTGACATTTCATCCCAATTGCCCTTGTCAATCCATCGCTCGCCAAGGGAGTCGCCATATTCGGATCCGGCCCGCGGAAGCGGTCACGTGATCATGTGCCAAGTGCGAGAACTTCCGCAGTCAACCTCAACTTTAGCTCCTGTCAACAGCTTCCATCTTCCAAGCAACCCGCAACACTTCAAAATCCATCATCATGGCGGTAGGAGTACGTTCTCCCCATCTCCAATAACCCATTAGCCCAAGATATCGTGTGATCGACGCTAACTTGGCCGTCAATTGCAGCGTAGCGCCACCCTCAAGCTCGATTGGACCCGACTCGGGACCCAGCTCGGCCTACGAGGCAACACCGCGAACGCCCTCGCATCCTTCAAGAAGCGCAACGATGACGCACGCCGCAAGGTCCAGATGCTCTCGGAGCTGCCGCAGTCGGTCGACTTCGCCCACTTCCGCTCTTCGCTGAAGAACACCGCCGTGGTCGACGAGATCGAACGGCGCTTCAAGGACTTCAAGCCGGCGACGTACGATGTGCAGCGGCAACTGAAGGCCATCGATGCATTTGAGGCACAGGCGGTGAAGAGTGCTGAGGAGACGAAGACGGTGGTAGATGCGGAGTTGAAGGATTTGGAGAAGACGTTGAGGAATATTGAGGAGGCTAGGCCGTTTGACGATCTCACTGTGGTGCGTATATTATCCACGCTACCTCCTGTCGACAGTACTCTACGTGCTGTGTCGAGGGTTCGGTGCTTCTTGGGACGACGAATGGTTGCTGATATGATGTGAAACTGCAGGAGGAAGTCGCTGCCGCCCGACCCGATATCGACAAGCGAACAGAACAACTTGTCTCCAAGGGACAATGGCAGGTTCCGGGCTACAAGGTATGTCAATCCTGTGTCTAATTCAAGCAGAATCAGACCGCTAACACCCGCTCAGGAGAAATTCGGTGATTTGGCGCTTCTCTAAATCTATCGCGGATAGACTCAATAGCAGATCGATCCCTTTCCTCTGTTCGACGAATGTGTATATAAGCGCCAACTAGACGATTCAGAAATCCTTTTCCGACAGCTTCCAAGTCCAATGTGATCAGATATGCCATTGATGTACATTGACCTTCACCCTAGATATCCTTTGCCAAGACGTCACTAGTCATATGTTCCAGCTTCAAAGTCTAATACTCGGATGTGCGTTTATTTACATCATCAGCTTTGCCTTCAAGAGATCCTTTGCCGAAATTTCGCGGTCATATATTCCAGCTTCAAAGTCTATATTCAGATGTGCGTTTATTTACATCGTCAGCTTTGCCTTCAAGAGATCTTTCGCAACAATTTCGTCCTTCATGCCCTCCAGTTCCGCCATATCCCATTCCACACTGATATATCTTCCGTTCATCCAGTCCCTCTTCCCCCTCACCAACCACACGAGAGTGTTTGCCGGCAGTTCTACCGCGGAGTTTAAGAGAGAATGCCATTTGTCTGGCATATTCCGTGCAAGTTCCGTTGAGACTCCGCCTGGGTGGACCGCCACAGCCACCAGGCCCTCGCTCTCATACTCTTTCGTCAGCCGTTCCGTGAAGCCCATCACGGCCAACTTCGCCGTTTGGTATGCCGTCGAGCCCTCAGCAAGGAACGTTGCGCCAATGCTGCTCATATTCATCACGAACTTCAACCCGCCCTTTTTCTTCAAGAGCAGGGGCAGCACGAACTTCGTGCAGAGATAGGTTCCCAGGATGTTCACTTCCCACGACTTCCACCACTCCTTGGCATCCATGTTCGTGTCGCCCACGTTCACCCACTTCTCGAGATACCCCGCGTTGTTGATGAGCACGTCAACCTCTCCGAACTGCGCTTCCACCTGGGCGACCATCTTCTGGACGCTTTCCTCGCTCGCCACGTCCAAATACAGTGCCAGGACATTTGGGGCGTCCCGATTCTCCTTCTTCGCCGCCGCGAGCACCTCCGCTTTCACCGCGTCCAGCGGGGATCGGGCGCCGATGATGATGTTCGAGGCGCCGGCACGGGCATAGCTGATGGCGGTGGCGCGGCCGATGCCCTTGGAGGCACCGGTGATGAGGATGGTGCGGTTGGTGAGTGTGGGGCCGGATAGGGGGTCGATGGCGGGATAGGTGTCCGTGTGGTACGTTGGAGTGAAGGAAAGGAGTTTGGACATGTAGTCGGTCATTGTAATGGTGGGAAGGCGAGGTTTCAGTAAGTGAGCTGAGACAATGTGAGAGAGGATTCAGTTAGATGTCAAGTCCCAATAGTGCTTGGGGTTTCCATCAGGTATTTTAAATTTATACCTTTCCATTTCATGAAAGCACCTAAATTGGAGAAAGGCCATCGTATAGTCCCTAGCCCTTTTCCACGACTACTTTGACGATCCCTTTGGTGTTTGACCCGTGTGATCTCATTTACATAGACCATTTCCACTAGTATACCGTAAGTTTGAGTGACTATCTGCAATTATACTCTCAAGCTCTTCGAAAACCATGGGGTGTTCCGGACATAGCGAGCAACCATTGTCAAGGCCGGGCATGCCAGGTCCGATTCAAGCAATAATACTCCCAAGCTCTTCGAAAACCATGGGAAGTTTCGGACATAGCGAGCAACCATTGTCCAGGCTGGGCTTGGCATGTCCGATTCAGGCAATACTGTTCGTCCAGTTGTGCTAGACCGATATCCCCGAGTCACAGACAGGCAATACGTAAATGCTGAGCACGAAATACGGAGTACGTACTTCGCTATGAGGACTAGCTAAACAAGAGTTCGTCCTCAATTATGATATATTTCTATAAACGGCAAGTAAATTTGCCTCATCACAGCGATGTGCATGAAATAGGCACGTGCAAGGGTCTGCCGCGCCCTGAGGCCCTCTGGTCAAATCTGGTCTGCAAAAGTCGCTCCAGTGTCATTGGTACTCAATCAATTGCGGTGCACCTTTTCTTCATGGAGAAATTCACAAGCCAACCCAACCATTTTCAAACCAAGTTCAGTCAAGTGTTTGAGTGCGCAGTGCTGACTGATCTGACATGCGACTGCCGACTCGGTGTTCTCCGATATCAGTCGCCTTTCAACAGTCTCAATAGTTTCCGTGATTACACCCCCTGAATGGAACCGTTGATGAGCTAAGTTGATATAGATGACGAGAAGAATAAGAAAGTCCTGGCGAATGGCAAAGTAGCCTAATGCGGTGCACCTTCTACCAATTCTGGATGTATGGAGGGATCAGGGAGTAATGAGCTAGATAAAAGAGCAGGGCACCAAATGACGTTTCGGTGATATAGTAAAGTTCATCGGATTTTCAGAGGTTCCTTAACTCCGGTCATGATAGTCACCAGCTTAGCCTTTGACTTTGCCATGAGAGAGGACTTGGATAGGAAGGGGGTATAAATTGATAGGCATTAGAGCCTCCACTCAATTCAATTCAAGCTATACACACCAATAAAATGTGCGGTGCCGCGAGGCATATCCCATCTCAAACATCACAGCTTTAGCTAACAGGCTCTTTAAACGGGAAGAGAAATAGTAAGATAAGACATTGCAAAACAGAAGCCGCCTTTCCATCCGTGCCGTGAGGCGAACCGATCTTTGTTTTTGTAGGACGCCATGAGCCGCAGCCCTCAGGGGCTTGCTCGTGGAGTACCGCTCTGTTGTGCGAGACTTGAGTGTCCAAAGTCATAATCATTGGCCGTGAGGCAAGAATATAATGATAACCAAGACGGAGTAGAAGGAAAAAAATTCAAAAAGAATAAGTGACGCCAGACAAGAGACCTCGGCTCCAGTCCGAACGAAGAACAAATATCGATATGGTTGAAATCTTCGGCTCGCGCCGTTGAACTGTCTTGTTTGCTGCGAGGCACCCGTCTTAAATCCATCTCAACCCCTCTTTCTTTAGCATATTTTCCTCTGGGTATCAGGATTAAGGGAACGTGAGGGAATGGACACCCAGTGCCACATCCCCGCTTACCTCCCCACCCTCCTATCCAACGCCTCCACCCTCGCCCGATACCCCTTCACGATCTCCCCGATCCGCTTGATCTTCTCAAACTCCATCTGCAGCTCCTCGATCTGGTCGCACAGCTGCTGAAACTGCTCGATGGCGGCGTCCGCGTCGCCGACGACGTTGCCCGCGCGGTCGTATTGCAGCTGCGTGGCCTGCTGGGTCTGCGCGTGCAGGGCGGCCCAGCGGCGCTGAATCTCGTGGATGACGCGGTCGAGGTGGGCGGAGAGGGCGGCGAGGGAGGAAGGGTCGAGGAGGAGGCGACCCTGCGAGGAGGCGGCGGAGGCGGCGCGGGAGGAGGTGGATTGGGGGGCGGACTGTTGGAGGGCGGCGGTTTGGTGGTAGCGGAGGAGTTGGACTTCGTGGGTGCTGAGGCCGAGTTGGGTGTCGTTGACGGAGTTGGCGGTGGACATGGAGAGGGGAGGGGAGGGGGTGGTGGTGGTCGTGTGGATGGAGGTGGAGGTGGGCGTGCGGACTACGAGGATGAGAAGAGTTGGGGCAGGAGCCGCGGAGGTGAGCGGAGTTCCCTTTTTATGCGGTAGTCGAAGAGCGTATAGGTGGATTTCGATGCCGTGTTGAACACCTTGTTCGTGTCAATTGAATCCCACTGACAATGGGTAGAATGTCTGATGCACTTTGCGATGCTGCCAACAATTGAAGACCAAGCATGATTTCGTCCCGCGCTTCTCCACGATTGGAGTGTCGTCGTTCTTTGTCAATGTTTGTAAGTGGTTCGTTGCCGAGCGTTGAGATATCGAACTTCGAAGCGGTAGGAAGTCGTTCGCATTTTCGGGACAATTGTTCAATCGCAACGATGGTGGTGGAGGGGACGGTCGCAAGTCTCAACGCTTTTGACGTTCCTTTCGTTTTCTCGCACCGCGTTATATCATTGGATCAAAATCAGCGGGCTCGATTCGCGAAGCGTGGGCCGTTTCGACTGGAGGACGAGATGGGCGGCGTGAGAGTAAATGGAACCCGGAAGTTGGGCGTCGACGATCCAGGCGGACGGACTCTTAAACCGCACCGAAAGCGATAGGAGTCGGTGGTGATACAAATCGATCTTGTGGTTCTCGTGCGCCAATCGAGCGAGAGAGGGATGGCGTGAAGGTAGAGGAAGTCAACGCGACACCGGTCCAGAAGAGGGATAAAAGGGATTCGGTTTGGCTTGACTCGTGGTTCGACTCGTGGTGTGAAGATTCAGATGTTCTCATTTCTAATTTCTTTTTCTTGGTTCCCCCTCCTCCATTACTCCCTTGCCGACCGGAAGATCTCACTACGCTTCTCACGACCGAGACAATCAGACGAGGTTCCGAAATGCAATTGACAGGGCGGATGCGAGACATCCAGATTATTCCTCGCATGTGGAGCGGCTGCAGGGAACTACTACTTTAGCCAACTAGTTAGGAAATGGGCTGCACAATTGCCTAGGCCGTACGTAGGGACTCAAGGGAGACATCGGATTGCAGGGAACAAGGAGACAACGTCATGAAAGATTGAAGACAGAGAAGCGCTGCGACCGAGTGGAGACGTGCTATGTTTGATGTTCCGCATTATTTGACGCCTCCGAAGCACGAACGAATACCATATTAACAACTTACGGAATAACGAGCCATCCAGGAGAGGAGTGCTCCTTTCCGCGTCGTTCATTGCGCCGAGCTCATTCTCCCGAACCATCCAGCGCACTCCCTCAATCTCTCCATCGCGCCTAGATCCCATCACCGAACTTTCTGATCCCATCTCCCCGTCGACCCCGGTGGATGCTTTAATCTATCCGCGGCATATGATGTCTGTCTGGTGACACCCGAAACCGCGGTGGTAAGCGCAGCCGATTCGCTAGGGAGGTGAGAGACGGAACGGGGCAGGGTTACCAGATTGGGCGATGGGGGAAGAGGACGGTACGTACCGTGCGCGTGGTATAATACGCGATAGACGAGGCTTCGACATAGAGGTACAGTTTTAAGGAGAGAGGGTAGCGCTCATGCAAACCGTACCGAAATAAGACATGGACGACTTGCGGATGAAGCAACGAACTTTAAAGATCCACGAGCTGTGTAGCAATGACTGGCGTGATATAGCGATATCAATCCCCTTTCATCTTCTGTCATACCCGTACGTTATATCAAGCCGACATATTCCAAGGTTTCTTCGGATTGATCGAGCCCTAGGAGGATTAAAGGGGCGACCGTACTCCGTACAATACCGTTGTAGCCTGCTAGCTAAACGCGCCCGCTCCACTGTTCACTGTTGTGATTTGTGATCCGTTCGGGTCGATAAAAATAAACGCCAGATGGCCATAATGGCGCCTGTTATGCATCAGGTAGGCTTAGGTACAGGTGTTGAGGAAAAGGGGGATGCTGCAGGACAGGTTCTCCTGAAGTGTCGACTGCATGTGTCGTCAATATGACTGAGGTCGATTTCTGGTTCACTTGACGGTAGTCTACCAAATTCCACGACTGTCTGTGATCCAGGTTGATACCGGTACCTTACACAAGACGAAGTGCCCATCTCCCATCTGGCATTACAGGTATGATTCGCATACATCACTAAGCAGCCCAAGAACGAAGAAAAACGATATTACAGATCTTCACCAAACAATGTCAAGTTGATCGTCCTCACTTTCTTAACTCATCGAAGACTTCGATTCTCAAAACCTACACTACACTACTTACTATCGGTCAGACGCATCCATTCGAAAATGGACACAGGAGTATCTAAGGTAAGGGCCGATCCCATGCGCCAAATGGCTGCAACGGAATCGTAACCCCTTTGCGAGGTACGATAAGGAGAGGTTGGGGGATGGTATAAGTACTGTCTCGTCGTACACGTGCCGCTACCGCCCACACATCCACCACCGCCACCGCCGACCCCACCGCCACCGTGGTTCGGCTACAAAACACGTCTCCCGCATCCTCGAAAAAGCGCAGCGCGATGAAAAAACGAAAGTGGAACAGAGGAAGGAACCCAAATGAAAGACAGGTGATTAAACTCCGGTATGACTCCATCCCGCTCCGATTTCCGTTTCGGCCACGCCCCGTTCAGCGACCACACATGCGCGGGAATAGAGAGGGTATGACTAGGTATGGTAGGAGAGGGAAAGAAAAAGGGTTGGAGGGTGGGGTGTGAGGAATTTACAAGGACACCATCCGACATCGCTCCCCTGAATAATTCGCGCAAAAGCGATCAATGTTGGTAGACGTACGGTGGTGATGGAATTACTGCCCATCCCACATCCCCACGCCACCGTCCACGCTCACATAACCCGCCGCCTCCCGCCCAATACACGTCCTCTTCCGCTGCCCGCTCCACCCCCCACTCCTCGGCGACCGCATCGGTCGCGTCAGCGGACTCGGCGTCAGCAGATCGCACGTCAGCGCCGATGAGGTCGACGACGCTTTCGGCGTCGCGACGCAGCGGGTTGGCGACAGCAGGAAGCTGGACGCCAGGCACGAGTCGGTAATGACCTCGGGGAAGCCGCGCGACGCGCTGCGGGTCGTGGAGGTCGAGCTGGGCGAGATGCTTTCGCGGCGGGAGCGGCGCTCGTCGCGGTCCGCGGCAGCTTGGAGGAGGCTGCGGACGTTGTGTTGGAGGGAGGAGAGGTCGGCGGAGCTGCGGCCGCGCTTGCGGGTGGAGGATTTAGTGGGTGTAAAGGTAGCGGGTGGAGTGTGCTCGTGGATGGGGGTGGCGTAGAGTTTGGTGCGGTAGGGGATCGGGGTCTTGTTGCTGGAGCTGGTGCCGCCGATGTGGAAGCCTGAGAAGTCCGGTGCGTCAACAGGGAGGTCGAGAGGGACAGGGGTGGCACCATCGAGGCTTGATGTGTCATCCGCACCGGATGAGTAGTAGGGGGGTTCGGAATCGTGTTCTTTAATGGTAACACGGTCGGCAAACGTGCCGAGGCCGGCGGGCTTCAGGGGACAAGAAGTCGCAGAGCGAAGGGCCGCGACGCGGCAGAGCCGCATGGTCGGGTTGCTTGCGCAGGAGCTAGCCGAGCTGATGGAGCTGGCCCTGGAGCTTCGAGAGGACGTGGAATTGTCCGAGACCATGCTCTCAGGAGACGAGCTCCTCGACACCATGCTCGAGCGGCGTGGTGGAAGCATATCCAGACCTCCTGGGAACGCACCGGTGTTGGAATGCAGGCGCCCTGGGAATGCTTCGTTGTTGAACCGCGACATGCCACAGCTGTTCGCGAGCCCGATGGCAGCTTGCATGCTCGATCTCCGGCAACCCAGCGAGAACTGCGCGAGACTCACTGCAGGAGTACACGATGCGGTCTGCGGGGTCATCTGGGGTGTGGGAAGAGGAGCGAAGCGCGGGACGGACGGCGTCGGCGGAAGAGCGGTTGCCGGCGGCTCCAAGAAGCGGGGAGGGTTGACGCGACTCGGAGTGATGCTGGCCCGTGGCGTTGGGACGAATTCCCGTGGCTGTGGGATTGGGAGAGGGGAGGTGGGCGACGCAAGTGGCCATGTACGTACCCGCTCGGGGATTTGCAGCTGTAGCGGAAGCCCTGGTCCCAAAAGATCCACCGTATTGAGCTCTGGAGTCAGGCACGGAATGATGGCCCGCCACTGGCTCAACTGAGCGCATGACGCTAGTGGGGGGACGCCCGGGCTTGGAGGTTGCGAAGGGGTATATCGCATGATGAGATCCTGCCATTGGTCGAATGTTGATTGTGGAACGTGTAACTTCCATTTGACCGCATCCAGGAATGCCATCTCGTTGATGTTGATTTCGCATACCTTCAGGCCGGAGATCTTGCTCCAGGCGCGTGCGGAGTAATTGCGATCTTGCAAGTATTTCGATGCAAGGATCAGCGCGGCCAGAAACATGCGTCGACCACACTGAAGAGCGCGAATCGACAGCATGTCACATGGCTGTTCCATCGTAAAATCATGGTTCGGAACATGGGATTTGATGAGCACGAGGTAGTAAAGTGCGACCTGCAGCGTGGAAAAGCTGGTGCGCGATCTTCGGAGAGTCTCCTGAATGAATGTGCGCAGGGGTAGAATGGATCTCCCCGTCAATGCATCGGGACGGATGCTAGGGACTGATAATGGCCAGATCACCTCGACCATCTGTGTTGCAGCTTCTTTAAACCAGAAAAAAATGCTTAGCGAATGCGGAAAGGGAAACGGATGAAAACAACTCTTACCAACAAGTCCATCAACAAACTGTACTTTTCTCTCGCACTGTCGGACCAGGGTTGGAGGCCGCTGGCCGGCAGAGCAGGAGGATCGCCGGGGGTTCTGGCGTTGTTCCAATGGGATGGCAGGGGGGACACAGCTTGAGATTGGAGGAAGTGCACGTCGCGCAAGGACCTCCTGACTGGTCGAACATCGCGATGCAGCCCTCCAATCCCCCGAATCAGAACCCGAGTACCCCGACAGCGAAGAAGAATCCGTCGCGACCGAACATTGCGACGATGCTGCACCGACAGAAAAGACGGATGATGAGGAGGAAGACGCGGACGAACTAAGGGAGGGTTCGTAGGGATATGCCGAGGACAACCCGACTGAATCTGGATATGTGATGTGCATGTTCAGAACCATTGAGTCTGAATGATAGACAAAAGTCTAAACGATTTTGTTCTGAAACCGGAAGTTTAGAACAGATTATAGACCACGATGTGCTGCGTTGCAGTACTGCGCGGTGAAGTCCGAGTATGGGTGGTGTGTACCTGAATCGACCGGGGTTGTTATGGTCGTCAGGTTGTGGGGTGATGTACGTTGTGAAGAAAAACCGTGATGGCAGACCACACCACTATTCTCGCATACGACGGATGGAGAAATGGATCGTCTCGTGATGAATCTGGTGAGTGCGTCGTGCTGTGACTAATTTCTGTTCCAATCCCCAGAGTCGCTCTCCTTTAACCGCACGAATGCAGATCCAAAGAAAGCGCACAGCGGGAAGAATGAACGGATACTGACCGAGTCAGAGTCAAATTGACGCCTCCCAGTGAATGGAGAGTCGTGGATATGGGGTTGACGTGTTGTGTAAACGGCGGGATGAAGCGGTGGCGAACGAAATCAGCTGTGGGCGTTAAGTCCACAATCGCGTTCTTTCGACCACAAGTGTTCCTCCAGCACCCGTCTGCTACAGGATCGCCGGAACAAGAGAAACCGAATTGACAAAGCCGTTCGCGGGTTACAGAGAGGTCGGTCGGAGCTCGTGGACGAACAGCAGTCGTCGTCGGAGCAGTCTCAAACCTTCTGCAAAGCGCGGGCGGTGGAATCCTTGTTCGAGTAACCGGGGGCGAAACCTGAGCGACGGGTGACTGGGGACACTTCGAACGACATGAGAAGCATCGTGATGATGTTGGGGCGACTTGCGACGGGGAGGGGTTTCCTAGATGACGGTGGCCACGGTGAGTGCAGCAGCCAAGTCAATCAAAGGAATCGGTGGTTCGAAGTCGAGGGGTTCGTAGGCTGCATAGAATAACGGATGATAGTCTAGAAGCAGGGTCGTATTAAGGTTCGATGGGTGAAGGGGATCGATAGATTTTGGGGGACGCAATCGGACGAGGCGTGTGTTGTGGAGGTGAGGAGTCGCGTTGCAACAGGTGGCAGGGACGGACGGGTTACGGAGGAGGTTGCTTGGGTTGGAGATTGAAACGAAGAGCCTCAAAACGCCGTTCTTTTGGAAATGCAGAACAACATATATGAACCCCAAAGGATGAGTGGAGATTGGTTAGAAACGAAATTCGTACACGGTAGCCTGGTGGAAAACTAAAGACTGAAGACTGAAGAGAGGGTGACTGGCAGGGCCAAGATGAGACGGGTCTCGATGAGTCGCTGGTCGGAGGCAGCAGTGCCACCCGGGAGGCGGGAGGGTCTGTGTGGTGGAGGGAACAAGGAAAAGTGGGTGGGTGACTGGCTTGTCAAGTGTCAACGAGAGCCGGAAGGGAAGAATGGACGGCGGCGAGGAGGCAAATCCGTCACCAAACAGTCAGTGCTCAACTACTTGTTCGGTGTTTTGCTGGAGAGGAATAGAAAGTCACGAACAAAGACAACAAGGGGTCGTCAGAGGAGGTGCCGTAGGAAACCGAAGTCGACGATTGTGAAGGCCACAGCCACCAGGAGTTTGGGTAGCAGGAACGATGCTCTAGAGGGCCCAGCGCTCGTCGGGAGTGAGAGAAGCCATGGTGGTTGCTGGGGTGAGATGGACACAGTAGAGGAGGGAGAGTTGAAGTGTGAAGAGGAGTGAAAGAAACGATAGAAGTTCTGGTGTTGGGTTGTCGGACAATCGTGATAGGAGGGGGGTGAGGGGAGATGTCTGTAATCTGTAGTATGGGGAGAGCCAGATGGAAGTATTCACAGAATCGGTCAGCCAAAGACGAGGTGAATGTGGTGGGCGATGGGTTTTGGTGGTGTGTCACACTCTCTCCTCCTTTGCTCGGTGGTTCAGTGAGCGGTCGGGGGGGCGATGCGATGACTCGATTTCATTTGCCTAGTCCAGTGGTCGGTGGTCCAAGCCCCCTCGCGCCTCTCCAATCTCCATCTGTCCATCAGTCCATCGGCTCCCGTCTCCAGTCTCTCTCCCAGTCTCCATCATTGATTCCAGGTGCCAAGACCTCCATCTCATCTCATCCTCTCGCTTTATCCCAGTGCCTCTCTACCCCAAGTCTCATCCTGTCGTCCAGCTACTGAATATTCAGCCATTCATCATCCATCCATAACTCATTATTCATCACTTCATCTAAACTAGGCAGCTCGCGCTCTCCCACTCAGAGTTTGTGGAACAGTCGAAACAGCTCTTTTCTGCATTTCAATATTGGTCAAGCCTGCCTCTCGGAGACTCTCCTTCTGATCCCCCTTATCCCTTCCCGTTTAACCACCACTCGACTTCCGTATTGCATGCATAAATCTCGCCATCGAATCCCGCTGCTGAAATAATCCATTGGTCCATTGGTCCATCCATCCTCCTAAACTTTGGCTGCACCCGTTCGACTCGCCGTAATTGCTAGTTCTCCTCCGAACCTTCCGCCAGCCCATGAGGTTGCACCTCACCACTTGGCCAGCACACAAACGGTCCAGTCTATCTGCCTAATGATGTTCTGGAATACGAAGAACATGGCGATAATCAGTCCATCCACTCAGCCTTGCAACCACCCCGCACTCCCTCGTCGTCGTACCATCCTCCGATTAATTAGCTAGATTTCCTTGTACTCTAACACCACGCCAAAACATCGTTGCTGTGCCCTCCTCCACCTTGTAGCCTACCAGAGCGAGGCTAAGGAGCTTAGTGCCGTAAATGATAAATCCCAAGGTTGCATGGCCACTTGCTGCGGAGCGCTTAACCTGAAAAAGACTGCGACAACACCTGCCTGGGTGATGAATTTGTTCATGGTGGGTGGACCTTGCGTTTGTTCCCTGACGCATCCAGGTCTCGACAAAGGATCGATCATGAGAGGCGACAAAAATCCAACGGCGAAGGCAAAGATGACTTCAGGGGCGCTTGTCTCGTCCGCCTTCATGCTCGTTGTCCGTCAAATATCTGGTCGAGTTGGGGGTTACCTTGGGGCTGATTGCTTCTCGGAGTGCTTCCGTCCGATTGCCGCCGTCGGTGGACGTGTCGCTCTCGCACAGACGACTGTACTTTTGACTCCGAAATTGAAAAGTCATTCCAGCGCCGGATGACTTGGTCCTTGGAGAAAGGACCCCCCTCGCCGTGTTTGGTGCGGGAGAGTATGATTTTGATTACCCCGCTACCATCGCGCCGGATACCTAGTGTTCGAATGCCTCCGCCCTGCCCGGTTTGCGTCACAGGTGAGCAGGCACAAATAACACAATCCGCCTGGGAAGAATGTCCCTCACTGACTGGATACGTCGCAAGAAGCCTAAGCTAGGGATGGCAGGCATGTGTTCTTGGAAGTTGCAGTGCATATGTCGCGAACTAAACTTATCGGACGAGAAATGTTTCGAAGTGGGAACGACAACGTGGTCGAACAGGCACGAGGGACCCATCAACAACTCCCTCCCCTCTCGACCCTTTGCCTCTCACTGCATTTCGCGTCCGAATTCTCCCTCCTCTAAAAGCTTTCCTGCGTCCAGCACTCGTACGGGATCATCCTTCTCGGGGGCACATGTCCACAATTATCTGTGGAATTGTGCATCGTTTCGATGGAAACTCAAGGAGCGGAGAACTTCCCTGCAGCCGAACGTAGAGGACCCGCGCTAATCCCGAAGGAGCTTAATTAGTGAGCGAGTGTCAGCGACGGAGCCGGCTGTAGTGGCGACTAAAAGCCCTGCGTTGGGCAGGATTACCGGCCTTTTTTGACTCATGTCGGGCCATGGTAATTGGTACCCCTTCGACCTCCTCGTCGTCAGGGCAGCAATCAAGCGCAATCCCCTACCGCCACGGTCCCGACAATGGTGGGTAGAACATGATTGTATTTAGGCTACAAGCGTTTGGGAAGGACGGATGACCACAACGTCTATACGCCCGTAGGCAACGAATCCTATGTAACTTGATCTCTCACGATCCAAGGAAAATCGACGCGAGGCCGATTCGGAAAGAGACATTGATTTGGATCTTGGATAAGTCACGTGCACTGAGATTGCTAATCACCATTTACCTCGTCATGATTGGCTGGTCTTTGCGACTTTGAAATCAATGAAACTTGAAAGCGCCCACGGCCATTGTTGGGCTGATCGCTACAGTTGCCACCTCGAGCGCTTGGCTCCGGAGAATCGACAATTTCATCGCTCAAGGAGTTAAGGGAGAAGCGTGGGCTGTGGCGGGATCATCCGTTCCAAAATCCAAAGGCATTTCCACGATAACCCGGGATTCGGAGATGACTGGGCGCTTCCTCGGAGAAATGGGCTGGGCATCGTTGGTTCGAGCGTGCCGACGGCTATCGTGTCATTCTTCCTTGGCCGTGTTTGAGAGGAAAACATGGGCATTTGACTCAGGATTCAGGAAGTTCTTCAAAGCCGAATCATTCCGAAATTCGATGAAATGCGAGAGCAAATCGTGATATTGACCACTGTTCGGCCCGTGAGAAGAGCCGATCGCGCATCTTCCCATCACCAGAGTGACTGATTACACGGACGAAAGCCACCTCCAGTCTGCACGGTCTTCACAATGTAAGTAAGCCCGTGAGGCAAAGCAGTCGTAAATCGCAATCGAATCGTATCTCAAATTCGATTATTCGACGATCTAGGCGGGATTAGCGTAAGCAACGAGCCAGACCTCCTGACGTTTGCAGTGGATCGCTCCGCCATCCACGTCGTCCCCTGGTCTGATGGGTGGCGAGGCTCAGACATGAAATCTAGGCAGCAGAGTTGTGCCCACTGCTCCGGTTGTAAGACATGATAGCCGTCTTAATATCGAGTTCGCCGTAGCCTTGTTCGGGAGCAATCGCTAGAGGATCCGACGAGATAGATGCCAGTAAGTTATAACTGGGAGTCAGAGATGGAGAGGATGGGGTGGCCTGGGCCGAAGCTCATGATTCTGATATTGGAGGAATAGGACGCAGTGTCCGACTCGGGTGTGTCACAAAACTACTATGTAGGAAGCTAGTACAGGCAGCTAGGTGGATTGTGGCTGGTGTTATACTAGAACTGAAATATGTTTCTTCACAGCACTTGCTGTGGCTACGTGGTCAGCCAAGGTGCGACCCAAGGTAAGAGATAATAACGTGATTTGTTGGGCATCGAAAGAGTGTTTCAGATTGCAGATCTGAGGATAAGATTGCTTAAGATATCCGTGTGGTCCTATCACTGTTGATGTGGAGCTTTCACGATTCTTGCCGATGTGGATATTATGAGGTGGGACTGAAATGACTCATAATGAACCAAGTATCGAAAATCGGGATTAGCCATACGACCATGTCTTAGAGGCCAGATATACCTAGTACCAAGAGAGACACGTCCATTTTTTAAGACTAAATAAAGTTCATAGTAGCGTGTAGCGTATTCATAGGGTACCATCCGTAGGCAACCTTCTGCAGACAGAGGAATGAGTGTAGGAGTGGGCTCATCAACTATCATCTCAAACGACTACCTATCACGAGGCCAGCAAAACTAGGTCGGCCTCGAACAAGCATCCAATCTAGCCAGTTGTATCTACCGTGTATGCAAATTCATGATCCGCCAAATCTCCAACCGCATCCCATCCCGATCATATCTTCCTCCAGCACTGACCCCTCAGAATGACTCACATCTCGAAGGACCCTCGCGGCACCAAGGACGCCCAGTAACATCTAGTCTGGTTCCACAGCAACCGATCCTCCACTTGTCCTCTTCCGCTTCTTCCTTACCACTGACCGCGAACCGATGCTCTGCCTCCTCCATATTCGCTAACTCCCCACCTTAAGCGCCCGCCTCCGACTTCCCACGCTCGACTAAGTCGCTTGGTCCCGTGGCTGCATCGGAGGGGGCGGACGTGTCCGCCACAGTGGCGGGAACAGTGGGAGCGGAGGAGGAACTGGTCGGGATCGGCGGATGGTCGGACGGCAGCGCGATCGGAGTTTCGCTCGGAATTGCTGGCGCAAAAGGGCATCCGCCTGCTGTGGTCGCTGACGGAGCATTCTCGACGACTGGCGGGGTGAATCGGGTGTCTTTTGCAACATTTGACGTCTCGTCAGGTTCCCCGTGCTCATCCTTGCCCCATTCCTCGTAGGCTTTCGGTTCGACGGGGATTTTGTTCACGACGCCATTGGGGGCGATTTGCCGGAACATGATCAGCGGATCGAACCAAGTCTCCAACTTCTGCACGCGGAGCTTATCATCCACGAGGGCGACTGTGACGCCTTCGATGTCGATCGTGTCACCGTGAGCCTTGGCTGTGACCTTTTCCCCCTTGCTGTTCGTCTATTAGCTCGGCTGAAGAGGATCGGAGATGTGCTCTCTCGGTTCTGCGACTGTGTATCACTCACGCATTGAATCCCACGTAATCGTTCTTCATCACTCCCCAATGCCGCCATCGAAACGCGACACGAGGAGGCCCCGAGTAGACTTCCAGAACCTCCCACGCAAAAGTGGGCATCATGCGCTTGAATGTTTTGTGACTACTGGCAAAATCACTGTGTGTCGGGTCATAGTACTCATTTGGAGCGATGATGGCATTGTATGTGCCCACATCGAGCATATGGTTAGCATCTTGCGGGGGCCCGCCATTGATGGCAAAGCTGTAGTTGTCATGATCGACTGTGCGCCAGTCTTTCAGGGCGGGCTTGAACGACGCTTCGATCTCCCAATTCTTGACCAGGTTCTCGACCAGGAATTCGAGACTGCCATGCTCGTGGTTCATGCGTTTAGCTGCGAGTAAGTTAGGAGTGTTATCAGTGACGTGGTGAAGTAAGGAACGTGCACGCCCAGTGGAACAGCGCAGGATTAACGATGAGAGATATAATGGATGGTAGAAATCCCAATAACAGATAGACATCCGAACATGAAGTACTAGAAATCGTCCAAATCCTAAAAGATAGAACCCAAGGTCTGACATTAGAGCTCACAATGGTTTGAGCATCGAAGTATAACATTGACTTCCGACTAGAAAATCCACTGGGAAATCAGGCCTGGATCCAGAGGATTGACTCCATGACGGCCCTAAGTGACTTCGATACCGGGTGGTGAAGCTTATTCCCAGTGAACCAACACAACCAGAATGTAAACATGTAACGATCCAGAGTGGATTTCAATGGGAAATATCCCTTACTGTCTGACCAGACTTTCCTCGTCTTGGTGTAGTCTGGTGGTCGCCCATAGCGCCATTCGGCTTGGACATCGTTCATGACCGCATTGGGATCGAGGACATAGTCGGGAAGTGCTGGAGCAGCTTCCTCCTTTGGAGGTTCAACCTCCTGTGCTTTCTGGACGTCGGCGTCGGCCATGGTGATGTTGGCGCGCTTGTTGAAGAAGGGTGCGTGCGAGAAAACTACCGACGAGATGTGGAGGGTCGAGTACCAATGCGCCTTTTCAATATTAGAGCCAGAGAATGATGATGTCGTGAAAAAATCAAGGAAGGAGCCGTCGTATTTCAACACACTGACCGCGATCGAAGAAATTTTCCAATCACTTCCGCTTCCATGTCGAGCAGTCGGGTTTGTACTTCGATTGGCATAGAACATCCAACACAGGGTCCATAAAACCGTCCCAAGGTCGTGGTCTGTACTCTGTAGTGAACAGTCCAGGCCCCATGGACTTCTCCCATGAAGCCTTTGCCAACCTTGCAAGCCAAAGGAGATCGAGCCACGGGGGGAAGCCTTCAATCATGCTGTGCCGCTCTCCATCTTTAGTTACTCTCGCAAACGAGGGCCTGGTGGACCTTGGTGTTTAGTTAGTATCAAAATTCGTCATTCCCTGAATGTGTGTAGGACAAGGGCGTCGTATTCGTCATATCTCTCTTCCCTAGGTCGATATTAATCTTATATCCGGATCAGTGCAAACATCGTCGCATTCGCCCATCCAGAAAATTTCTCTGCTCGACAACTTGACTACAAGGCATTACAAGCAATGCCACGGGAAGTCGGAATTCCAACTTCCAAGAGAGGTTCTGAAATGCTCATTGAATAATACGGGGCCTTCGAGGACTGAGCCGCTGTGGGTCCTAGAAAGACGGGAACCCATGCGGCCAATTTATGCAATATATGCAGCAAGCATCGGAATATTATGCGACATATCGCATTGGGACGCGGCTGTCGAAATTCCGGATTGTTTGAAAAGCAGTGAGACATAGGGGTTCCATTGCAACGCACGACTTCCCGACCTTCTGGATGAAACACGTCCTCGGAGCCTCTAGTCCGGCTCTCGGTCGAGACGGTGAAAGTAGAATAAGACAGACGTTGAGAAAGGAGTGTCCCAGATATACCGAACCAGGACATACTCAGGGTACCTAGCACTCGTATTGCTCTAATGCAAGGCAGAGTGCCAGAATCATGCAGGACGAGACGGCAGAAGTTGAAAAAAGCATGGAGCTTGAGTACGTCAAGCCCCGGCCCTTGCCTTGACGAAGATGAAGAGAAACAGGGAGCTCGTGATTGGTGAGTAGTATTCCCATGATGGCCCATCCAAGAATATATTTTGATTTGATAGATAGCTGCGTCTTCCTTATCTTGCTAAGGTATGGGCTTCAAAGGAGTTCACGATCCTGCAAGAAACGCTGATTTAGTGCTAGCCATGGACATGGCATCTGGGTAATAATGAAGCATGAACACCTGCTGAGATGACGAGCACATGCTGGAGTGTGCGTTTCTTGGGTGTTGGTGACCGGTCGACCCAGTTTCCCGGGTCGTTAAACCCTTCCGGAATGCTTGAAGGTGAAGTCGAAGCATCAGGGGACGGTGGTCAATGATAGTCGAATGGACGATCGTGGGTTTAGAGATCCGGATCTAAGGCCTGGATCGACCATTGTCAATGTAGGAACTCGCGTACTTCGTTTGTGGTCGATGTCAGAGGTTGACCGTGCCGTCCAATATGCGTGTAACAATCGTATCCCAAGCGAACGGTAGCCACAATCTGGGGTAGCCAAATGGTGCAGCATCATGGAGCCATCCCAATTATGTTTTTAGTTGATCTAATGCGGTGCCTAGCCTCGTAATAGGTGTAATTCTACCGAATAATGAATGAAGTTGTGGAAGGAAAAGTATGAGGCTCTTGAGTTGAACCTGGACTTTCAGTTGTATTAGTGTTGTTGTCAAAGGCTCCGGCCAACGCTGATTGGTCAATTCCCGTCATCGAACCTCACCTCTCAAACAGAAATATCAACAGAAATATCAACCCCCCCATTCTCGTCTTCAATAGAATCCACGAACGTCCACTTGAATGTGACTGACCGAAAAGGATCCAGTCGCCTCAGAAATAACCATACGAGCAAGATGTCCTCGACATCGCAACATGCCCTCTCTCTGCCGGCCCCAATATTCGCCGCATTAGCTCCTTCATCGTTCCTCCTCGCCCACCTGACACAACCACAATCCTCCACCAAGAAGCGCAAGCGTCCCAGCGTCCGACCGAATGGCCGGTTGGCGACCGAGTCTCGCGTTCCCGTCATCAACACCAACAGTCTCGCCCACGCGAATGGCAGTGCTGTCGTCCGCCTTGGCGACACCGCGGTGGTCGCGGGAATCAAAGGCGAGCTCCTGTATGCGAAAGACATTCCTAATCCGCCTCCGAGCTCGAAGAGACTACGGGAAGTAGGCGGCTCGGCACCTCCATTGGATGAGGATGACGAGGCGAAGTCGCTCGCAGAGCTAGGGCTCCTGGTGCCGAATGTGGAACTCAGCACGGGATCCCACCCGGCGCATTTGCCTGGCACCGCACCCACTGCGCTGGCGCAGACGTTGGCGGAGCGGTTGCTGGAGACGCTTCAGGAGACACGATTGGTGTCCCTGGATCAATTGGAGATCTGGGGGAGTCGGTCGACGATGGCTCGCGATGAGGAAGAGATGGACGTCGATGCTAGCGAGGAGCAGAGGGACGACGATGGCGACGAAACGGGCAAGGAAAGCATCATGGCGTACTGGGCGATATATATCGATATCCTCTTCATTTCCCTGGATGGGAATGCGTTCGACGCGGCTTGGGGTGCGGTCATGGCGGCGCTGAAAAACACGACGTTGCCGCATGCATGGTGGGATGAAGAGAGGGAAATGATCCTTTGCGATGCGGATTTGGAGAGGTCGCGTTCGCTGACGCTCAGAGGTCTACCTGTATCGGTCTCCTTTGGCATCTTCGATTCTACGGCCGAGCCGCGGATGACGAACTCGACGGCGGGAGCGGATGCGGCCGAGGCAAATTTAGGGAGCGGGCGGTGGCTGCTTACGGATTTGGATGACTCCGAGGAGACAGCTTGTAAAGAGTCCATCAGTGCGGTTGTGGATGGTGCATCCGGAGCCTTGCAGCTGAGGAAACTGCAAAAAGTTGGCGGTGGAGTGGCAGATCTGGCGGTGATGGAGGAAGTTTTGAAGCTGGCTGAACAGCGGTGGAAGGAGTGGAAGAGGATCCTGTGATGGCCGCGATGGACGCCCGCATATGTAATAAGATGTCATTAATTTGTCGGAGTGCTTCCGTTGCGACGTTTAACTCATAAGGAGCTTGACCGCCCAGCTCACGCTCAACGTCCTGAGATCTGCATAATGTTGCCCAACCCCCAAGAACACCACGGGAATCCCCGTCGCATGCACCATACTGACCAGTACCCCCACCATATCCCCCACCGTATCACACTTGCTAATAATAAACCCATCCAACTTCCTCCCCGCTCCAAACGCCGCGTTGAAGTTCCGCGCCTGCTGCACGCTGTCGCTCCCCACCAGTGCCTCACCCACCATCAGGATCTTATCCGGCTTCGCCAGCTTCGCGAACTTCTCCAGGCTGCTCATCAACCGCTGGTCGTTGTGCCGTCGCCCCGCCGTGTCGATCAGCACGACGTCCCAGCCCTCCCGCTTCGCATAGGCGACCGCATCGCCCGCTACATTCGCGGCGTCCTTCCCGTAGCCGCGCTCGTAGAGGTCCACCTGGGCCCCGCCGCCCTCGCGAGCGGCGAGCTCCTTTAGGTTGCGGACATGCACGCGCAATTGCTCGACGGCGCCGCTCCGGAACGTGTCGCCGGCAACGATGAGGACTTTGAAGCGGTTTTGAAGGAGGAAGAAGGCGAGTTTCGAGAGGTTGGTGGACTTGCCGACGCCGTTGACGCCGACGATGGAGATGGTGTAGGGACGGGGGGAGAGGCGGGAGGAGGTGGGTTTGGTGACGGATTGGATCTCGCGGAGGATGTCCAGGGACGTTGTAGGGGTGAGGATTTTACGGAGGGCGACCTCCATGGCGTTTCGGAGAGTGGTTTCGATGCCTATGAAGAGTTAGCAGTTATATCGTAGACGGAATATGTAAGGCATACTCGTGAAGTTGCTGGTCTTCATTCCCAGTAAATCGCGTTCTGCGCTCTCACAGAGCCTCTCGGCGGCTTCTCTAGCCACATTCTTCTTGACCAGGTGATCTTCCATGCCCTTCAGCGGCTTCACAAGATCCTCCTTCGTCAACGTCTTCCCGCCCACAATGTTTCGGAACAGTCCTCCGATGGTCCCCAAGCTCGACCCAAGCATTCCGGCGGAGGGTTCCGCTGTTGAACTTTTCGCATTTGCTGCCGCAATAATCGAATCCATCTCATCATCGAGATCCTTGAGCACGAACTCCCCTTTCTTCGTTCGTGTGCCCCAGGACTCGGAGCTGACCGACTCGATAGCCGGAGCGGCGGCGTCACTGGCATCGTCCTTCGCTGGAGCCGAATAGTCCAGCACCTTGCCAGGCTCGTCTTCATCTGCATATCCAGAGGCATCCCACGTGCGCATCTTCTTCGCTGCGCCTTTCTTCGTTCGCGCTGATGACTCGTCGCCAGACGACGCTGGAGCGGAGGTGGCTGCTACTGCCGCCTTTCTCGCTCGTCGAGACTGCTTGCCGGGACCAGCTTTCGCGGTGAGCAGGTGATTCACAGCCGGGGAAGAAGGTCGTGAGGTAGAGGGTGTGGGTATGGGTGTAACATCTGTGGATGGGTGATCGACCACTCGTTTCGGCGCCTCTTTTCGCAAAACTGGTATAGGGGGAGGCGACACGTCCGTTCCAGTCTCATCCTCGGCACTAGAACTAGACGGGGTGAGATCTACGCTCGACTCTGGTCCCGAGCTCTTTGCATTGTTGTCCAGTCGTTCGAACTCCTCTATCTGCCGGTCGAAGTATGGCGTAAAGTCACACTCAAATTTGGCGATACTAGATTTCTTGAGTTGGCCACCGTATAACTCGCTGAAGAGTGTCCGGACGTTGTCGAGAAGCTGATCGATCCACGAAAGGTGTAGTAATGACTGGTATACGGCCTGCGCAGGGTTAGACAAGTGATATATACTCCGATATGTACACAGCCGCGGATTGAAAGGCATTCATACCACAAATATAAGCCCCAAGTCCTTGATAGTCGTCCACTTCAGTGTATAGCCCTCTTTCCTATAGGATGGCTTGGGGTTCGCCTTCTCGTCGATCGTGGCGTTACTCCGCTCCTCGATGAACACGTCCTTGATCAAGCTATTGATGAGGCTCGGGCTGATTGAGGTATATGATTTCGACCACAGGACGACCCCGGATGTCGAAACTATCTCGAAACAGTCCAACATCGCGCTTTATCTTTGTTGAAGACGGGCTGCAGTGCAACGGGGTCCTGCAGATGTTCTTGGGGATGGTGGAGGGGCACGGCGTTCGATTAAAGCGTAAGATTCATCGCATTAGCGGGCAACAGGATGGGTTTCTGAGGTTCCTAACACGTCAAGCGGCGTGCCTGATATCCCGTCCGGTAGAGGTAACTTTTGGTCAGCAAAGATGATTTCTGGTGTTGATTGCAGTCGCATGTGCGATATCTGTGGTGGCATCAGCCCCAGGATTTGCATCTGATACGGCCAGATTTCAGAAATTTGTGGATCATCTTGGGCTTGGAGCTTCACTGTTCACATCTGGACCCCCCGTTGCCAAATATTACACATTTACACTTGATATTCCCAATACTTACTGCACTTTCCTCTTTCTCACGACCAACGGCGACAAATCTTCTTATATACTCCCATTCTGTCTTTGAGACCACATCCAAAAGCCCACCATGCAACGACCAGCATATTCGAACCCTCCACCAACGCCTCCTCTCCACCATCCCGTACCACAACACGTATCAACCGTCCCCCAACTGCGCTCCCCTCCGCCGCCTGTTTCCCAGCAGCAACAGCAACCGCAACAGCAATATGGATACGGACACAATCCCAGCGGCGGCGGCTCCGGATACCCCGCCAATCCCTCTTTCGGGGGCTTCATGACCGAGCCCACGGCGCAGATGGGCCTCCAGGTCGGGAAGAGCGCATTCAATGCCGGCCAGGAGTATATGGAGCAGAACTTCAATCGCTACGTGAACGTGTCGGCGCTGAAGCATTATTTCAACGTGTCGAACTCGTATGTGGTGACCAAGCTGTACATTGTGCTGTTCCCGTGGAGACATCGGCCGTGGTCGAGGCAGCAGCGGATCAATCACCAAGGACAGGATGGATATTTCCTGCCGCCCAGAGAAGATGTCAATTCGCCAGACATGTATATTCCACGTAAGTCAGAGTCCAGAGAAATAGCGGAGAAGTGGCGGAGAAATGGTATGATGTTCGTTTATATTCCCGTGGCTGACTATTGACGATAGTAATGTCATTAATAACATACGTCCTATTTTCCACCCTCTTGGCCGGCATTCGCGGCGCTTTCCAACCCGAACTACTTGGATCATTCGCATTCAAGGCCTCCTTAATCGTCGTCTTCGAGATCCTCACCCTCAAGCTCGGCTGCTACCTCCTGAACATCAGCAACGAGTCGCAACTCTTCGACCTGGTCGCCTACTCGGGGTATAAGTTCGTCGGGGTCATCGTCACGCAACTGGTCGCAGAGATCGCGAACGGAGGCCAAGGTACCGGCGGGTGGATCGGATGGGCAGTTTTCGCCTATACATTTTCCGCAAACGCCTTCTTTTTGGTGTGTGGTCTCCTTATTCCCGCCCGGTACGTCACTGACTCTATGTGCAGCTCCGATCCCTCAAATACGTCCTATTGCCCGACAATGTGTCGCAGCCTGGGGGCGCAAATGCCAGCTATACGGTCGCACGGGCCCAGCGCAATCGACGAACCCAGTTCCTGTTCGTCTATTCGTATGTCGTTCAGCTCTTGTTCATGTGGATTCTCTGCCGGTGAATCCATTCGATGAAGTGATTTGGATAGAGGACGTTTGAATACTCAAGAGCAGTCGTTGAATCCGTTCGGATCCGGGCCCAAGCCTTCCTACTCATTGACTTTCGAGCGTGTGATCATGTTTGGGGACGTAGCGCTAGGAGATACAATGGTCCTGCTATGGACGACAGACGAGATCTCATGCCATGTCCGAATCCCAAGCCGTTCATGCTCTACGGCAACTTGGATAACGTTTCCAATTGCTTTGGGCTGGATACGACGAAGCCACGCCGGTATAAACCGGGGTCGCCCCAAGGCTGGCGCTGCCTCATGCAACTGGAGACTACACGTATTGTCTAATTACGCAATGGGACGTGCAGGGCGATTTCTTATGATTCCACTTTTATCCTACGTTGGGTACTCCAAGGAATCTAAGCCGAGGGTCGGTGGTATATTTGTCTCAACCGTCGATGTGGGGGGAGTTGGAGATGTGGGGTAGCGGGACTGGATCATGAACGTGTATGCCGCTGTCTTTGAAGTCAAATGTTTTGTAGTACATATCACATTCCCGTTGTCTTGTGGCAATTGAGCTTGAAGTTTATTAATTGAGCTTGTCAACTTGCTTTATTGTCATTCTTATTATTGTGCTACATTGTCAAAAGTCGCCATCATGTCGGACAACACCAGTGAAATCGCTCAGCAGACGAACGAGATATCGATTGGCGACAAGCCAGTTCCAAGTAATCCATATGGCGCTCTTATGGCAGAGACCTACTACAAAGGCATGTTTCATGGCACCATCCCGACCGTGACCACGGACCCCAATTCCCTTGAGGCGGAAGCCAAAAAGTACCTGTCCAGCCGCTCGTACGCCTATGTTGCTGGAGGTGCTGGCGAAAGGGCCACGATGGACGCGAATCGGAGTGCCTTCAGGGCCTGGAAGGTCGGTCAGATCGTCAATCCGGGTCTACCCCGCCCAATGTCATTCTCGGCCGTCAATGCGAGAGCCAAATACTAAACCCGCCTCAGATCGTCCCCCGCATGCTTCGCGACACGCAGCCGCAGGACCTGTCGACGACCGTCTTCGGCGTGAAGTACCCGCACCCGTTGTTTATCTCGCCGGTGGGTGTGCAGCAGATCTTCCATGACGACAAGGAAACCGGGATGGCGCAGATCGCGGCGGAGCTGGAGGTGCCGTATATCATGTCCACGGCTTCTACTAGTAGCATTGAGGAGGTGGCTCAGGCCAGCGGGAACGGTCCTCGGTGGTACCAGCTGTATTGGCCTCAGGACGAAGAGATCACCGCATCAGTACGTCAAGTGAATCGCAGTGAGGGACTCCAGGGAAGAAGGACTCTAACCCCATCTCCAGATCCTCGGACGAGCCAAGAAGAACGGATTTACCGCCCTGGTTGTCACGCTCGACACCTTCTCCCTTTCCTGGCGCCCCTGGGATCTCGACTCCGGCTACCTCCCCTTCCTCAAAGGCCAGGGCAACCAAGTCCCCTTCTCCGACCCGGCCTTCCGCGCCAAGGTGAAGAAGCTAACCGGCAAGGAAGTCGAGGAGGACACGCTCGCCGCCTACGCCATCTGGGCCAAGGAGACCTTCACCATGGGGGGCCACACCTGGGACGACCTGGCGGTCCTCCGGAAGCACTGGGACGGGCCGATCGCGCTGAAGGGGATCCAGTGCGTGGAGGACGCGGAGTTGGCAGTGAAGTATGGGATGCAGGGGATCGTGGTGTCGAATCATGGGGGGAGGCAGGTGGATGGCGCGGTGGGGAGCTTGGAGGTGTTGCCGGAGATCGTGGAGGCGGTCGGGGACAAGATCGACGTGCTCTTCGATTCTGGCGTGAGGACCGGCGCGGATGTGGTGAAGGCACTGTGTCTTGGGGCGAAAGGCGTGTGCATCGGGAGGCCGTGGGTGTACGGGTTGGGCATCCGGGGGAAGGAGGGCGCGAAGGAGGTGTTGAAGTACATTCTCGCGGTAAGTGGTTATGGCAGGCTCGTAGAGTTCATCGGTGCTAATCCTCGACAGGACTTTGACCAGACGATGGGACTGTCGGGAATTGGGTCCGTGAAGAATTGCGATAAGACCTGGCTGCGGCGGTCGACGGCGCCGACGCAGGCCAGCTCCAACTGAGGGGCCGATCAAAGTTGGAATACCATATTCATAGACAGATTAATGTAGCTTACAGTGCATAAAGGCTTGACAGATATAAATCAATATATTGATACGCGAAGGTTGAAGCTTCAGTTACATCCGTCCCTTGTCCCTTGTCCCTATCAGATCGAGATGCTGTCCCGCCAAGGTAATGACGTCGTTCCCAATTCCCATCCATCACCACCTCTCCTTGCCTTGAAAGATGCCCATTTCCACCCACCTCAATTCAAGCACTATTTATACCGTAGATATACTGGTATATGCGACCACTATGCTCTTCAAAAACGAGCATTGCATACAATAACCACCCCTCTCTCCCCCCCCTCACCTCCAGTATGCCCCTCCGCGCCTCCCTCATCTCCTCCTCCATCCTCTCTGCCATCTTCCATGACCCCCATCCTCCCAATTACCCCCTCCTCACCCGCCTCCTCGCCTTCCTCCGCCTCTTCCACCTCCTCCTCACCCGCCACCACCCCGCCGACTTCGCCGCCCTCCGCACACACGCCTGGTCCCTCGATGAACACGAATACACCGAGTCGTTCCGCCGCGCGACGACGCGGAGGAACAAAGGGCAGTTGATCCCCATCGGCGACCTGGGCTACTCCGGCAGCGCGTTCTTCACAACGCCGAATGGGAAGTACCTGATCAAGAGCCTGCCACGGCGGTTCGAGTATCGATTCTTCACCGAGGAGCTGCTCGACCCGTATGTGGCGCACATGCACGCGCATCCCACGAGCTTGCTGGTGCGGATCACCGACCTGCTGTTCGCACCCATGGCGTCGATCGGCGGATTGCTCGGCGCGGCGCCGACGCATCATATCGTGATGGAGAACGTGATGTACGGGCGGGACGAGGACCCGGAGAAGGCTCGCTGGGAGACGTACGATTTGAAACCGAGCACGTATTTTGTTCCTGAGAGGGATATCGCGGGGGGCCGGTTGGCGTCGGAGGGCGTGAAGGAGCGGCTGGTGGATGAGTTTCCGGATCGGATCGTGGTATCACCGACGGCGCGCGAGGAGTTGCTGGGGCTGCTGGAGCTGGATACGGGGTTTTTGGAGGAGTATAATGCGGTGGATTACTCGCTGTTTCTGGTCCGGTATCCGGGTCCGAACGCGGAGGGCATCGGTGAGCGGGAGGTGAAGTGCTTGACGAGCCGGTCGAGTGCGTGGAGGGATGGGATGGTGGATGTGCGTGGGGAGTGGGTGTATCGGGCGGTGGTGCTGGATTTCTTCTGGGCGAAGCATGCGTTGCGGGCGCAGGCGATGTCGGGGTTGGTGAAGAGTTTTAACTTCTTTGCGCGGAAGGGGGAGATGAGCATCACGACAAGGCCGGATGAGTATCGGGAGCGGTTCCTGAACATGGTGCAGGACATTGTGGCGGTCCCGGAGATTTGATGGCTGATGGATGTCGTCGTTTCCCTCGTGCTGGATTTTGAACGGTTGAGCAAGGTATTAGTTGGGAATATGGCCTGGACCAATACCATAGCAGTGATTTGAACACGGAATATACAAGTTTCATTAGTTTCAAAATGACTAGACCAAGCCAGACATGACATCGGGTGCTCAAACCAAAGACGACCTGCATTTCATGCCCGAAGAATAAAAAAACATAAAACTGCCACCGTTCAATGAGGCGGGGACTGCTCACGATGGGGAAGCATGTGCAGGATTGAAGGTGGAAAATGGCTTCGCTCAATTGTAACTCCTTGATCGCCGATCAACTCTCCAGTCAACAGAACGGACTTGGCTGGTATCAAGCCAACACATCGTACACACACCTCGCCGGCTCTCTCGCTCAATTCCAACCCTCTTCGTCCACCCATCCACTCCAACCCCAGGAAAAATTTAGCGCGTAGCGACAACTAAACCATCATGTCAGCGAAACCCCTGGATTAGCAATCCGGCGATCAAACTCACCCGACGGCACGATAATGACCACCAACAGCAAGATAATGCCCACGATGATGCAAATCCGCATCTTCATATCCTTCCACCACATCTGCTTCCTCACGCGGTTGGCGCCGCGTCGGAACCCCTGCGCGGACACGGCAAGGTTGTCGGTCTTGTCCTGCAGCGCATCGAGGCGCTGGCCACGCTCGGAGACCTTGTTGATGTTGTCTCGCATGATGCCGACGGTGGAGTCGATTTCCTACAACCGGATCTGTTAGCTGCGTGTCCGATTCGATATAGCGACGCTTCAGGGATGGAGAAACCTACGGCTTGAAGGGCGGCGGTGCGTTGGTTGCCGCCTTGTCCATTATTGCTGCCACCGGCGTCATTGGCGTTTCCGGACGGAATATAGGGATCGTATGGCTGTTCGCGATCCGACATGTTGGCGATGTTCTGTGAACGGGAGCGTTCGAATTGGTTCGGGGGCCGAGCGGCGCTGTGGTTCCTTCGAGGGCTCTGTGAGAGAATGTTCGGTCGTGCCAGGTCGCAACGGTGGATGCGCTAGTCAACGGGATCGGTGGAACGGAATGGCGGGATCGTCGAGAGGGAAGCTGAACGGGGAAATCAAACGATCAGTCTGGACGGTCCGCGGGTGAGTTGGGCTTGGGGTGCTGTTACCGTTAGGGTATGAGGTCGGGTTTGAGCTTAGTTGGGCTGTGGGAGTGGCCGGCGATGTGCGATGGTCGGAGCTGGGACAGTAGATCACGGAGGACGTTGATATAGGATGTGAGATGATATGGGATCGCAAGAGTAACAGTCAGACGATATCGGATCGATTTGGAGAGAGGAACGATGTGTCGAGTCGAGCGGAGGTTGCAGACGATGTAATCCTTCTGGGGAGTTCCAGCGTTCCGTGGCTGCTCAGGGCAATTGCTGGGGTGTTTCACGTGATTCCGCCAGGCAAATTGTAAGCACCGTACCCTGAGCCCTGAGAGTCCCTGGCAATAACACCAGAATTGCGCCAGCAAAGGGGCGCAGATGATGTGAGGTGACAGACGCTTACGACACGACACTGGGGAACGCCGGAGCGGTGGCAATTATATGAATATTTGATTTGGGATGATTTGATCGTCGTTGTAGATACGATTGGACCTGATGGACCTGAGTCTTGGATCTGAATGTCTTCGGCTCTGAATACATAATGTCAATGAACTCTCTGCTGGTTATTTTTGGACTTGTCGCTCGTCTTTTAGACGACTTAATCTGCTGCTGGGTAATACTACTATTGCCTGTAGTCTGCCGGTAGTAGTCCTCATAATCCCCGGAAGCTCGTGGATAGTTGGCTTACCATCGGCATGCTTCATCGTAGGCTGGCTGGATTCCGTGTAATTAACATTTAAGCGTAACTATCCGTGTATTCATATGTGATTCAACTCATTCAAAAGCTGAAGCAGCGCCGAAACCGAGTGGCCCTCAACTTGGTCGGTTGGTGTAATGGTGTTACGATGGGCAGTGACATCACGGGACTGGTTGGTTAGATATCCCTTAATTGAGCAACTTCAAACAATTCCCTGTTATCTGATTGGAGGTTTTTAATACGCTAGTATGAAACAACTGGGTTTGGGGAAAATAATCACAATATCAGCCTTTGTCAGCAGGCCCCCCCTTGATTACGCGCGTATTTCATGCGACACTCTGCAAACTGCAAACCTCCCGTAGGCTGTGCATGTCTTGGACTCTTGGTGCATCTTCGTCTTCCCACATCATTCATTCTGCTATACTTCCCTTCACCATCAACATCTCCATCTTACCCTCCACTATTCTCGTTACTATTGACCACCATTCCTCCGAGCAGCACTATCCAACTGCTCATTACGCTCGTTCTCTCCTAGTCGATCATCTCTCCACCCCAGTCCCCGCTCCGATACCCACTCCTACGTATCCTTCCACCCCCTACATATCCTCATTTGACGCCTCATCGAAGCCGAAGATTAGAACGCGAAGGGGACCGTATTCCTCTTTATTCGGCCCCGAGTATCCGTTGACGTTGACCGTCAAGTCGAACTCGGAGGACCGAGTTCACTTCACGACTCGCCTCAACCACCTACGATCCTACTTGTTCACGACATAATTCTTGCACAACATGTTCTTTAGATCATGGAAAGGTGCCCTGTGTGGCGCTCTGCTTGGGGCTAATTCGGTGGCTGCGATCGATCTAGATCTAGGACAACCAGGTGCGTCAACTAGAGCGTTGAAGCATCCCTCGCATGCTAACATTATACCGTAGATTCAATCAAGAAAGCCGCGCAAACAGTCGCAAAAGGCATGAGAAAGTATTACACCGGCGACAAACCCGGCGACATTCCCGGTAACCTCCCCGATCCCTACTACTGGTGGGAAGCCGGAGCCATGTTCGGCAGCTTCATCGACTACTGGTACTACACCAAAGACACGCAGTTCAACGATATCACGACCCAAGCGCTGCTCCATCAAGTCGGCGCCAACAAAGCCTTCATGCCGGACAACCAGACACGGACATTAGGGAACGACGATCAGGCCTTCTGGGGCATGGCCGCCTTGACGGCCGCCGAGAATGGATTCCCGGACCCGCCGCCCGATCAGCCGCAATGGCTTGCGCTGGCGCAGGCGGTGTTCAACACTCAGGCCCCGCGATGGGACAATGCGACGTGTAATGGAGGCTTGAAGTGGCAGATCTACCCATTCAACAATGGGTATAACTATAAGAACACCATCTCGAACGGGTGCTTCTTCAATATGGCGGCACGCCTGGGTCGGTATACCGGCAATCAATCTTATGTGAACTGGGCGGATGAAATGTGGGATTGGACCGCCGGCTCCGGATTGATGAGCGACGACTACCATTTCTACGATGGTACCGACGACAGGCAGAATTGCTCGGAAGTCAACCACATTCAATGGACCTACAATGCCGGTGTCTACCTCTATGGCGCCGCGACTATGTGGAACATTGTAAGTCTCCCTACTTCTTCCCGCACTCTTTCCCGTTCGCCGATCGGAGTTAACCACCCTTCACTAGACCAACGCCGACAAATGGCGCAAACGAACCGAAGGCATCATCGCCGGCCTCAGCGTCTTCTTCGAAGGCGAAATCATGTTTGAAGTCGCCTGCGAAGTCACCGGCACCTGCAACGTCGACCAACGCTCCTTCAAAGCCTACCTCTCCCGTTGGATGGCCGCCACCGTCAAAGTCGCCTCCTGGACCAACGAACTCCTCATGCCTCGCATCCGCTCGTCCGCTAAAGCCGCCGCCCTCCAATGCTCCGGAGCGCCCGACGGCGTCACCTGCGGGCTCCGGTGGACCGCCGGCGCCGCCTACGATGGCGAGGCCGGCGTCGGTGAGCAGATGAGCGCGCTCGAGGTCATCCAGGCCAACCTGATCGACAAGGTGGACGGGCCCGTCACGGCGAACAATGGTGGCACGAGCAAGGGCGACGCGGGCGCGGGGGCTGAGGAGGTGGTGAATCCGCGGACGTATAATGTCATCACGACCGGCGATAAGGTGGGCGCCGGGTTTCTGACGACCATCTTGCTGGCTGGCCTTCTGGGTGGCGCATGGTGGATGATTGCTTAGGTCGTTTCGGGATCGGTGTTTGGTGGTGCGGATTGTCGGTCAGCGACTTGCCGCGCGATCATCGCGGAATGGCGTCGGCATGATCGCACTCGTCCGCGTGTCGAAACTACCGTTTGCGTGGCATCGGATGCTCCCGACAGCTGCTCGCATATCTGGCCCGTCGGGGTTGGATACGAGGCGACTCTTGGACCCATCATTGCATGCTGGCAACAGTAGCCAGCGGAAGGCATGGACAGGGACTGAACCAGGTCGTCCCCATTTTCTTTTCGGCGTTCGAGGTCGGTGTTCATAGGAGTTGAAACCTGTACAGTCAGCGGTCCGTTTCAATCGAGTCAATTAAGTCATGTCACCACGAAACCTGCATTTCTGAGTTGCATTGCGTGCTGTTAACTGTCAACGCCATGCCACAATTGATGCAGGGCAACATCGTCATTGCTATCCTACGCATCGGAACTAATTTGTCACGCACCAGAGAACGAAATCCCCCTTTCTTCTGAGTGCCCTCTAACTGTTCCAAGATCATCGATCACCGTCCGTTTTTAATGACCTGCTTCTCGCACCATCCGAGAGGAGGAGGTTTAAGGGCGGACGGACATGCCTTGCTTGCCTTTGCCCGCATAACTTGATTATTCCGTGGACTACTCCGTGACAATGCGGATGTCTAGGTATGCAGACAAAGGAATAGAGAAAGTGATTGGTTCCATTGTCCGTTATCTCTTGTCAGTGCTTTTGGCAGTGCAAAACAATGGTCTCTTTATACAAAGATCTTCCCAAGCATGTCATTGTCCGCAACGGTTATATATCTCGATCCTCGAACTCCATCAGTGGTATGATTCCTCACACAAGACTCCCTCCTCATCAAGCAAGTCACTGCAAACAGGTTACTAGCCGATATCTCTCAAGACCACCACCTACAGGCGTCTACTAACTCCACTCCCACAGGAGTTCCTAACCCCTTCATAGCAAACCACTAACCCACCCCGAACCTCCCCTTCAGCAACCCACTTCCCCAATACCGCCATGCAGCCAGTCGAAACCCCCGAGTTCCCCCGCTCTCCCACCACCAGCTTCCCCGGCGGCGTAGTGGCCATCGTCGCCCTCTTTGCCGGCTTGTTCGTGCTCTTCGTCGTCGCCATCGGCCTGCTGCTCCTTTGGAGGTCACGAGTCGATCGGAGAGGGCGCCAGGCGAGGGCCGCCCAGGATCTGGAGACCCAGTCCGCTTGGGAGGAGGTGGAGATGCAGCCTACGCGTAGGGTATGATGTGCGGCGGAGGTAGACGAGTCGGAAGAGATGGGGAAAGGTTTTGAGGGCATTACGGGAATGATCGTAGACAGACGGCGTTTGAATTAATAATGGTATTGTTTCCCAGGTAACTTAGTAACGTTTCTTTCGTGTTTCGTGTTTGATGTGCAAACAATGGTGATATCGCCTCTGCGACAGGAGAATTCACCCGACTATAAATCTTCAGGATTCCCTCTGGATGCATAAATGTCAGCCCCGTCAATTCATTAGCAAAGTAACGACGATGGTCGATTAAGCATATATGTGGCTACCTCCTGGGGGAAACGAGTCGTCTCAACAGGTTGATACTGCAGCAGGATCAATAGTCTATGATAGAGAAGAAATACCGTCTCAAAAATCATTCTCGATCTATCCATACTACTATCGTCCTATGACCGTTCTTCGAGGGTCGATCTATTGCACCTCTTACTGTCCCTTACGCCCCCAATCGTCTGCTCCATATGCAATTCTGCTCTCCCTCTTATCAAAGCGTCGAGATCATTTCAGCCACAACCTCAGTGCCTTGCCTCAATTTCATCGCCCACCCCACCACTAACGTCTTCGTCTTCCCGCCCAAAAGCAGTCCTCAGCCTCTCCAGCCGCCGACTCACATGCCGATGCACATGCTGATCCGCCTCTTCCCGCTTCTTCAACGCTTCCGTATCTAGAATCCCTACACTGTTCGACCGCTGCGGCGCCGCGAAGTACAGTCCGTCGTCGTCCTCCTCATCGTCAATCTCGTCCTCCTCATCAATCACATGGTCGCCAAGTCGAGGCGTGCGCGCGCCATTGGATATGAGACGAGCATGCGGCGTGGCAGCACCATTGGTGTCCCAGTCGGTGCGCGCGCCGATAGAGCGGGAGGAGGAGGAGCGCCGGATGTGGGATGGCTTGGTGCCGCCAGGTGTGGTAGGTGGGTTTGCTGCGGAGTAGCGGAGAGAGCGGGTGAACACATCATCGAAGTAGTGTTGAGCGGCTGTGGAGGGGGTGCGTGGTGTTTGGGGGAGGCGGCAGTTGATACTGGAAGGAACTGGTTAGCAGGTTCGTCTATAAAGGAAATGCAACGGAAATACCCTGTATCGTGGATCATCTTTGCAACCAACCCGGTCCAGCCGCACTGATGACTGGCTCCAAGACCGCGGCCAGTATCTCCATCGAAGAACTCAAAGAACCAAACACAGTCCCGCCAGTTGGGGTCGTAGTCCAGTGTCTCGTTGCCGCCGTTGGCGGCGCGTCGTCCGGTTTCATCGCGCATGAACATGTTGGTCAGACGATGCTGGAGCTCTTCAGCGACATGACCAAGATGCATATAGTTTCCTGATCCCGTAGGACATTCCACTTGGAGCGAGTTTCCGTAAAACATGTGGTTGCGGAGACAAGACTCAATGAGAAGGAAATTCGGGGCCATCCAGATCGGTCCACGCCAGTTAGAGTTCCCGCCAAAGAGCCCCGAGTCTGAGTCACCAGGAAGATATGCGACCTCGAACTTCTGACCGTTGACGTCCATACTGTAGGGTCTGTCCTTATGGTGCCTACTCATGCTTCGGATACCATGGTCGGACAAGAAGTGTGTCTCGGAAAGCATGCGTTCCAACGTGCGGACCAGTCGTTCCTTGCTCATGAGACTGAGCAGTATTCTATCATCCTTGCCACGAATCTTCATGCTGGCAAGATTTCTCTCGGCGACATCGGCTTTATTCTCGATGAACCAGTTGAGGCGCTTTTTGAAGTTCGGGAATTTGTTGATCAGCTGCGGCTCGAGTGTTAGAGTTGCAAACATTGGGATCAGCCCGACCAAGCTCATGACTGGCATTTGTATGGAATGTTGATCTCCCCAGCTGATGGCGTCGTAGTAGAAGCCGTCTTCTTCGTTCCATAGGCTTTTAGACTCGCTTTCGGTCCGATACTGCATCGCTTCGGAGATCAAGATGAAATGCTCGAAGAACTTGGTGGCAATGTCTTCGTAGATGCTTCGATACTTGGCAAGCTCGAAAGCAATGTTGAGCATACCCAAGCAGTAAAACGCCATCCAGCCTGTCGAGTCTGCTTGCTCGAGAGTGCCTCCAGTCGGTAGAGGATCGGAACGGTTGAAAAGACCAATGTTATCCAGACCAAGGAAACCGCCTTCGAAAACATTCTTTCCTTCGAAGTCCTTCCGATTGACCCACCATGTAAAGTTCATGAGCAACTTCTGGAATACACGCTCGAGGCAGTCGATATCTTCGCGGCCATACATCTTCCGCTCGATCTTGAACGTTCGGAACAGTGCCCACGCATGGACTGGGGGGTTGACATCTCCGAAATTCCATTCGTATGCTGGTAATTGACCGTTCGGATGCATGTACCATTCGCGCGTGAACAAGTCAAGCTGCTTCTTGGCGAAGTCGGGATCAATCATTGCCAACGGGATGCAGTGGAATGCCGAATCCCATGCGGCAAAGAATGGGTACTCCCACTTGTCTGGAAGGGACAAAATATCATCCATGTGGATGTGTTTCCACCCTGAATTCCGTACCTTGATGCGCTCGGGTGGAGGAGGTGGCATGGACGGATCCCCATTTGCCCACTGATCCCATATGAACAGGTAGTGCTGCTTGCACCACAACATGCCACTGAATGCTTGTCGTTGAACGTTGCGTAGGTCTTCCGACATGGGCATCGGACTAATGCGCCAGTAGAACTCGTCCGCCTCTTCCCGTCGGCGTTCGATGATATCGTCAAAAAGCTCTTCGTCGAAGTAGTCGGCTTCGTATCGCTTGCTGACGCGGAATCTTACCACAGCACACTCCCCTGGAGCCACACCTCCGTCTTCGTTGAACTCATACCACGATGCAGACTTTGTTCCAGTTTTGTCGGGGTTGATCGCCTCGGTTTCGCCATCGACGATATACCGGTGGAAGGCATCCTTGACGAAAGGAGTCTTATTCTCGTCTGCGTTGTATAGACGCATGTAGTTCGTGTCATTGTCAGTGAATATGAGGGACGGTTGGATATCTTCACCACTCCGGCCGATGCCAGGAGACGGCGCCATCTGGATATACCGATCTCCAAGCTTGTGGTGGCTTGATACCGCGACAAGGGGGGACAACCGTCGAATGTTAGGCTTTTTGGACTCATCTTCCCGGCCCCAGGCCCAAGTATTGCGGAACCAGACATGAGGAATGATATGTAAAGGTGCTCGCTGTGATCCTCTATTGTACGCCGTCACTCGGAACAGTAGTTCGTCGGGATCATCGGCTTCTTTTGCCGTTTCGATAAAGATATCCCAATAGTCATCCTCATCGAAGATCCCGGTGTCTAGGATATTGTATTCTCGGTCGTTTCTAGTTCGTCTAGCGTTCTCTTTGATCACGTCGTCGTATGGAAAGGCCTGTTGAGGGTATTTATACAAGTATTTCATGTATGAATGCTGTAAAACGTCAGATAAGAAATTAATTTGGCCAGAGGGAAACATACCGTCGGGGTATTGTCTAGGTGAAAGTGGGCTTCCTTGATTGACTCGCCATGATTCCCTTGAGGATTCGAGAGACCAAACAGCCGCTCTTTTAGGTACGGGCTACGTGACATCAGTTATGCTGCACCAGATACGCCATGTGGAGAACCTCACTCTTTTCCATTCCAGAAGGAGAAGGCGATGTGCTGGAGGCTGTGGGTATCGCAGACGCCAGCGATACCGTCCTCGCCCCATCTGTAGGCTCGTGATCGCGCATCGTCGTGAGGAAAGTCTGCTCACTATAAGCTAAAGGTTCAAGCCTCTCGCAGCACGTTACTTACGGCTCCAAGCGTCTCCATCGGCACTGCGTTGGTTAGAATACAAAGGTCTTGGAATGAGACGGCGGCACTCACGAGTAGTCCTCTCTCACTGCAGGAAAGTTAGTGGGGGACTGGACACTGGGAGTCCAAGCATACCTGTTGCCCACTGTCGTTCAGCGGTATATGGGCCCCATTTCTTCCAGTACTTTGTCCTTTCGCGGTCTTCTTTCAGTCTGGTCTCTTCAGTGCACAGATATTCCTTCCCCTCAACGAGAACCATGCTGCTAGGTATGGGGAGAAGGGTATATGTGGCGGGGCACTGCAGGATACTCGGTAATGAGACAAGATGTAAGGGTATATGCACGAATCTATGAGTCCTATGAACAAGAAGGAGATGGAGAAGAATCCGGAAGAGAAGAGATCATAGACGAAGGGATGTGATAGCGGGGCGCGTCCGGTCTGTTCTCATGGCAAATATCAAGTGGGATGATATGCAGGAACGCCTACCGCACTTTCCTTGAAACTGGAACAAATGACAGGGGATCGCTCAACAGATAAGGTACCCAGAAATTCTTCGATAACTACCTAATTATGGAAAGCGTGATTTTCGGGCTTGTCAGTCAGATTCTCGATCGATCGTCCCAACCAAAGTTTGCTTCATTTTTAGTGGTCAATCGCAACATGGACTCCGAAGCCCTCATTACGTCATACCCTAGCTTGACACGTGAGTTCGAGTTTTAGAGTCTTCAGCCTTGCTGCCTCAGACATAAACTGAACTATCCCTGTCTCTTTGGTGTCTTGCTCTGCTTAAGCGCTGCTGGTATCGATGTTGCTGGTGTGAACCATCCAGATGAATTGACCACAGCAACACTGCAGCACCGAGCGTCTAGTCAACTCCTCAAAACACGCCAGAAATAATACGCCGTTCTATACTCCGTACTCAAACAAAGTATGACGGTAGTCATTCAGAGAGAGTGGTGAAAATATCCTCTTTAACCCTCCACCGTGTCCAACGAGCCTTTCCCTGTCGTAGACGGCACCTCGTAACCCCTCTGCTGCTTCAACTTCTCCTCGAACTTCGCAAACTCCTTGATTGCAATCTCTTCTTCCGGATCCGCGACTTGCTCCACCGCCGTGACCTCGGGGATATAGTGCATCATCATACTCTGCCATGCAATCAGCCAAACTCGTTCCGCAAATCGACCCCAGGGTCCCGTAGCCTAAGGAACGGAGGAACTTACCTCGATCCCGTTCTTCAACGTCACCGTGCTGCTATCGCACGTCCTGCACGCTCCCCGCAACTTTAGCATCACCGTACCATTCTCAAACCCACGGAACTCAATGTCCCCTCCATCCTCCTGAATCGCCGGCCGGATCCTTGTCTCCAGCAACTCCTTGATCATCCCCACCACCTCGTCGTCGTCCTCATCATACGCCAAACTATCCTTCTCCTCCGCCTCCTGCCCCTCGTCTCCTTCTGCCGTCCCTCTCGCCACCGTCGTCACCATCGCCTGCCCCGAGGTCACATATTCCGTGATCAGCGAGAACACCTCCGGCTTGATGTGCTCCCACGGCACACTGCTGTCTTTCGTCACGGTGATGTAGTCGGCGCCAAAGAAGACCGCTGTGACGCCGTCGACATTGAGGAGTTGACCGGCGAGCGGGGATGGGTGCGGCGGAGCGAGGGTGGATCGAGGAGAGAGGTATTCCACAAAGGTGGAAGGGAAGGCTTCCGGTAGGACACGAGTGTTCGGGTTAAACTTGAGCGCCTAGAATCAATCGTTAGTTTCGTGTTGTTCGACGAAAGCCGGAGTTCGATGGTCGCAATTCGACACGTACATCTGCATTCGGCGTCCCTTCGGTCTGGATGAAGATCGTCCGTCGTGACTGGACGTTCTGGATCTGTGGGAGGCGCGAAGAGGTCTGAGGTCGTCGTCGCGACTGTGAAGACAGTATCGGTGTCTGCCTCGATGCGTATGAGATGCTGCGTTGTGTGCATGGCGCGGTGGCGATGCGTTCGGTTGCTCGTGAGGCGTTCCGGCAACATCGGGATAGAGCCCGGGCGGAAGATCGGGAGAATACGGTCGTCGACATTATTGTAGGGTATCGAGTTTCGAAAACGAGAATACTAGATTTTGTGAATCATCCAAATAGAACAATTGGAGTCGTCAGGCGAAGATTGGTGAATAGTCGAAGTTCCTTTGATCATTGATAGGAATAATTATTGTTGGGGGGCTATGACAAATGACGTCTGGCTGGATCCTGGTTCGCCGGCTCGAGATGCCGATTCCCGGCGCCTGCTGGACTTCAACACCAACTCCTTACCAGAACTTCGTCAACAGTAATAAATTAATACACCTTACTCGACCAACATTAGCAAATTCTATCATTATTGGCGTCCGTACCTTATCCACTAATCACTATTGTCAGGAATTTGGTCAGTAGTCTGGTAAGCTTTGCAGGGCAAGGGAACCCATAACTAGAACGAGAGCCGATAGATGGTTTGCTATATGAGATACGGTACGGAATATATGGAATATTTTGACCTCTTCCCATTTAAATGCTGGTACACCTCCACTTTCTACCTGATAGGTGTCCTCACGTAAATGCATCAATAGACGCCGATATTTGCTCATAGCCACCAAGCATCCGGTAGTCTCCTTCCTGTGCACTGGTAACACTGAAAAGAGTGCTTCTAACAGCTTCAAGGTGCTAGATCGTTCCAATATGTCGATACTATCAAATTTCTCACGGTGTCTTTTCTCAATAGCAGTAATTCGATGTTCCTATGCACGCTTCCTCTTCAGACGCTTAGGTCTGAGGACGATCACACCTGAGCCCGACGCATTCTTCGTCTTATGGTAGGTCATCGAGCTCATGTCGACGTCGTCCAAGTTGTTTTGTTCTTCTCCAAGTGCTAGCATTGGAGTTGGGGTAATGCAGAGCAGCAGAAGATGTGCAGAACTTACTGTAAGTCTCCTCGCCTTCCCCCCTTTCTTGATATGCTGGTTTGCTTCGTATTCAGTGCTAGATTCAGGCGTGGATTCATCGGACTTTTTTTTCTTTTCCGAAGCTCGACCCTTTCTATCACTTCGGACACACTAACAATTACAGCACGGTTCTCTAGCTCGAAGACGAGGGCAAAGTAGTCAATTCCTGGGCGGAGTTTCGTTATTGTTTCTTTGGATCTTGTGTCGTCTGCGGGAAATGGTAAGTCGCAATCACCTAGTTCTTGAGTAGTAACGTACGATTGCCGCAGATTGTAGTCTCTATGAGATACTCGCACGTAGCTTTGTCGTGGAGTTAGATTTCAAACTACTGAGAACGCGTACTGCCAGTACCCGTCTCCCAAGTCACCTCCAGTCTGCTCCAACTTTCGTCCCTTTTAGCTTGATGAGATTTGGCATCCTGTGCAGCCGATCTGGGGCGATTCTCTTCCAGCGTTCCCACTTTTCGATAATGTCCATGGATTTGAAGCGTTCATATGTTAGATTTCCGTCTGTCGGGTCGAATGAAGAGAAGAATGAGACTAGGCTCGTGTCGATCGCATGCTTCCATATCTGGAGCGTCTCGTCGACATGGCGAAGTCCCTTGGATTTGGCAACTTTTTTGAGCAAACTGTAACGAACGAGAAAGACTGAATTGACACAATCACAGTAAACTGGCAGACGAAGACCGGGCACATCCTTGAATATGAACTCGAATAGCTGACCTCTTCGTTCGGATTGTAGGCTATCGAACAGGCCTTGGAGGAGCCTGTGGCCACACTTCTCACGTGGAAATTCAAATGTTGTGACGTCGTTGGCTCTCTTAAACCGGTCTATAGATTCTTCGAGGAAGGTCCGGAATTTTCCCACGACATCTGCACCGATTCTCCAAAGAGATCCAGAGAGCTCGCATGGCGTCAAGCCCAATTCAGGCCCCACCTACCGATACCATGAGTTAGTTACATGTGTATCGGCTAGATATTGGAATAGCCTTACTCCGGCGTGATCTCCCTCATACTGGTAAGTAAAGAATAGTTCCATTGAGACTGGTTGCGTGCAACTGATCAAGGACAGATCATTCCTTCGAAGCCTTTTCCTCTGCTCTGTATTGTCATACTGATGCCCTCCCGTATGAAGGCAAGTGCTGCAATCTTTGAGGCTAGATCCGTCTCGCGCCTCAGTTTAATCCTCGTCTCGCTTTGTGGAGTTCCCAATACCGGGATTTTCCTCGGTGGGATACTTGCCAAAGTTCGCGATGACCGAATATCCGCTGGCTCCATCATCTGCAACGAAAAGAATGCACCCAAGGATCTTTTGGGGAGCCCGATAAGATGAGCAAGTGATATCAATCCGAATAGTCTGCCGAGAGGCTTCACTCCGGTTCACAAACTTTGGTGGATCGTAACTCTCCCTCGTATCGTGACTTTTCAGGTCTGCCATTGTACAGCCTTCAACTGGGAAGAGGACCTCGAGTGCATTTTCATGAGCTTACCAGCTGCTTCGGGGGCGTCGATCTTTTACTGAAAGCATTCTTTGAGGCATAGTTGGTAGTGCTGGACCGCATCTGACACCACTCCAATGCTATCTGAGCTTTCGACTCGGGATGCCGCTTCTTCCGGCATCATGTCCACCATGCGAAAGAAGGATGGAGCGGTAGTGTAAGGTGCCAAATACGATCTCCGCTGAGCTCTGGGAGGAATGTGATGGCATTGGCCCAGTTGGGGATGAACGCGCAGAAATTCGCTGGGACTGAAGTGAGGAGTGCTAGTCGTGACTACCAATTATGGTAAGAGCTGGAGATGCAGCGCTAGGGATGATTGACGAAGCGCATCCGCGACTGAAATTGGGAGATGATAGCGCAAGATTGCGGAAGACTTCAAACCCATTCAAAATGAGAGATAAACCTGAAAACCACTGCACTGGAGGTGAAATCGGCAAAGGTAACGGGAAGGTCAGAGCAGGTAAATGTGAGTGTGAGAATGGACTTTAATTATTCGAATATCTGCTGCACAGTGACCTCTCTGATTCAGAGATGATTTGAAGATACCTCAGGTAAAGGGGCGAACAGATGAAAATGAGAATGAGGATTGTGTCTTCGAGCCAAGTAAGATGTGACTGAGAAAGTGGGCTAGGATTGGACGTGAAAATCCGTACGCCATTCACCCTTTGTTCAGTGCAATGAGTTGAGAGTTGTTTGCAGCAGTCTCACCCGCATACAGGTAGGTGAGAGGATGATAGTGCAGGATGGATTCGGATCCCAGTTCAGTGGTATTCACTGTTCCAAATAGTCGAGATGATTGTGGTGAGATCAAAATGAGTCCGAAGGGAGAGCTATCGCTGCTGTATACTCTTACTGGTCGTTCTTCAGTCCAAAAAGAAGTGATCAAAACCCTAAAGGCGAGGGGGGAGTTCCTGATGGTTAGAGTATGAGGGGTCAATATGAGCAAGTGAAATATGATAATCTCATGACCGCTCTATGGGCGGAGAGCTTGCAGTGGCGTTTTTGTCCAGTGAAAGGTGAGCGGAAGATAACGCTCAGGTAAGGGGTTTGATGAGAGGTTATGTTATGGTGGTGCGTTCCGATTTAGATGCGCAATCTCGAGACTCTCTAGGTAAGATTAATTCACCTGGTAGGATCAATGCAGAGGCCTCGCAACCAAGGAAGGCTGCACTGAATACCACCTTGGATTTCAACATCCACGCAGGTGAGTCCTGAGATCTACCTGTGCCAGTAAGGGTGGTCGGTTTCATTCGACTTCTAGAAATGGAAGCAACGATGCACTCTTCCAATACTTATTTCAATCTCCCACCATCATATACCCTGTATACGTTCTGAGGCTCTATACTATTCTGCGATTGCTGTGTTGGCGCATCGCGCGGTTTTCGTTTACAAGTTGAATCACGGAATAATTAAGAATGCTCGTCAACAATGTCCCTGGTCTCTTTAAATAGTTAAGGGGCTGGTCCTGGTGCGGCCCGGAACTTGAATCAGAGCTGAACGATTCACGCCTCCAATTTCGATTTCTTGCAGATCACCAACACCAACGGAAGTAATTGGAGGTAGGAAAATCAAGAATTTGCAAAAGTCTGTCATTATTGTCGTATCCAATGGAGGTATTTTGCCTCCATTCTTTGTGGAGATCAAGATCAAGCAGAGTGCTTGAGCCGGCTTCGCTTCGTGCCCGACTCGCCTTACAGGGGGTGGCGGTGGAATGTAACCCCTGACTGTGCCCGAAGGCTGCTGAGAGATCAGATTGGTATTCTTCAAGGCTATGAGATATTTCGGCATCAAGATAAGCTCTAGTCTCATGAATCACAGCGACAAACACACTCTAGACTATTTTCTCTGACCATTTGATCGACGAACGGCAACCAATGTTTTGAAATTGAATGAACAAGGAGAGACGAATTTGAGGATTACTATTCTGTCCGCAACCGCATTACAAGCCTTTAAAGTCCTTAAACTCGCCTTGACATCGGCGATCCTCGTAGTCATAGTACACCTGAAATTCCGCATGGCACACCTCTGGGTCGCCTTCCGCCTCAAAGTTGAACCGGGCCTCCGTATCGGAGATCAACACTTTCTTCAACTCATCGTTGGCTGCAGCTGCATCGGCCAAGAGCTGGACCCTGCAACTGTTTTCCATACTCGTGAACAGCCAGGCAGCTTCATCCACGGTCTGACCGACGGTAAGAAGGCCGTGGTTACGCAGAACGCAACCTTTGGCGGTTGGTCCCAAAGCCGATGCAATGCGTTCGCCCTCTTCTGCCGCAAGGACGACGCCTCCGTGATTGTCGTAGACCGCCTGCGCATCGCCAAAGAATTTGCACGTATCTTGTGTCAACATCTCCAATGGCTTGCCGAAAACCGACCATGTCTTCCCGTAAACACTGTGACAGTGGCACACGGCGTGGACGTGAGGCCATGCCTTGTGAATGGAACCATGGATCCATACCCCCGCTGCATTAGGCGGTCGAGACTGATTGCCCCCAATCACCTCGCCCTGGAAGTTCACCAAAATCATGTCGCTAGCGTTCAGCATTCCAAAGTGAACGCCGATCGGATTCGTCCAGAAGGCGTCGTGAATCTCCGGGTCACGCACCGAGATATGCCCGCTCATGCCTTCGACATAGCCCATACGATCCCAGTGTCGGAATGCGGCCGCCATGTGCTCGAGCTGCCATTGTCGTTGGGAGGCAAAATCTGGAAAGGATGGAACGCCTGGGAGGCTAAGATTTCCATGGGAGATCGCTTGGAGAGGCGTCTGTTGCTTCGTCTGGGACTCTTCATCTTTAGCTCTAGGGATGCTATCTGGTTTTAACTTGAAGCTCGTATTGCCAGACGCGGTCTTTGTGGAAGGAGCCAAGGCAGCCGTGGTCGTGGTCGTCGCGGAGGGAGCCATCTTTGTTGACGAGGAGAATAATAGCTTATTCTTTGAAGATACGTTGAGCTGTATAGTTATTGAACATAAGTCGTAGGGCGTGTGACATGACGACTAAGCTAGAAATATCATCGGTCTCCTACCTTGATTAAGAGAGGGGTTGGATATTAGGCTCGAAGATCCACTTCAGACTAGCCAATTTAGGGTTCGTGGAGAGGAGTTCATTATGAGTTTATCACTGGCTCACGCGTCGGAGTTCCCGGGGGCGCTTCAGGACCGCCATTTTTGGATGTACGAGCCAACAATCGGAAGCAAGCCGATACCTCTAATGTGAGGCTCAGCGGATCAAGTTGTCCTCGACTCGTCTTACTTCTGCCGTGATAACATCAATTGACATTCTGAAATTTGTATCCATGGTAAGTTTGGTAAACGATAGTTAGCCAAATTTAGCTCTAAAGCTAGTGATTCCTGTGATATCCCCGCATATTTATATAAGATAAGCTGAACGCCGGACCTGGAGGCTGGATTGGAACGAGTTGTAACTTGTAAGTGACCTGAAATCGCCGGAAGCAAAAAATCCCTCAAGTCTAAACTAACCACGAAATCTCCCAGCTATATCGGCAGGAAAGAAATATGGGAGTAGGTAGCTCTCCGTTCCAAGCACATTCCAGGCGACTAAAATGCGCAATGACAATGTCAAGGGACGTGAGGTTCCTACGGGTTTCGCGGTGCGTAGTATTGTGGATCACAAAATCAGTGAGTTCGAACACTGCAGCCATTGGAAAGGACGCGGAGTTCCTAGCATTGGCGGTCAGCCTACACAGTCTTCGGGCAGTGCTGCATACTTACCAGGCAGGGGTGTACGGTTCAAGGGAAGATGTACTGCATTAGTTCTACTGTACAATAGAGCGAGCCGCTCGCATGAGGCTCATTTTAGCTTCCACCTTTCGTTTCGATTGCTCATCGCGTGTGACATGGATAATTAGTCGTGCCAGACAAATTCGCAGGTTATGGTAGGCAAGACAAATTCGCACCGTAAGCTGCTTCAATCCTGGGAACCTTGTCTAGTGTTGACGGAACGGAACGTCCGGCCGCAAGGACTCTGGAATCGAATATTTCCAAGCCAGCGCGTCCTCGTCAATACAGTCCAGGGCTTCAACGTATTCCTTTCAGTTTCAAAGTCGCGGTGATTGAAAAACACGTATCGTAGGCGCGGCTGAGAATCCGAGAGGACGTGCCCGGCATTGCAACCAATCGAAACCTTCTAATTGGTGACGGGCAAGGGACAGTTAATGTCATGATCCGGGATAAGCTAGATATATCCGTTAATAAGGAGAGATGTTTAAATAGATTACCAGCGTACCGAAGCCAAGGTACATGTTCCTCTCAAGGAGGTAGACTACCCAAGATATCCTCCTCCTTTGCAATTCGGATTCAGGGTCTCGAGTCTTTCTTGTGAAGACCCAACGTCACGATAGCCATCGCGGCCTCTGGAACCCACAATGTTTCGAGGTACGAGCTCGAATGATTGAGTGTAAATATTGCCTGAATTTGTGAGATTTGTTAGGTGGAAGACGGCCGCATCGGGAAAGCGGAGCATACCATGGCAGTCAGCGCCTATGATATAGTTAATATATTCATCGATATCCTGGTTGAACTTCAAGCATACCTAGAGTTTTAATGAGGACGACTTTAAGATTAAGATATCTACAAAGTAGCTCAATGATGTTCGAAAATACCGCCAGGCAATGCACTTTCCGGGATAGAATGTAGCACCATCGTGATATAAGCATCCAAGACTTAAGACGGTACGGTAAAGGGCCAATCAGGGCTTGTCTGAGGGATCGTATAATTCTTGTTCGGGCGACGAGAATTCTCTCTTCTCAAAGGCCTCTTGATCCAAGAAAGGGTACATGGAGCGGATGTCCTCAAAGTACGCTTGATCACTCATGTTAGCAGCGGTTACCTGAGAATTTGGTTTCGCTAGGACGGGGTGGATCTTACATCGGACATAGAGTATCCGGTGGTCGAGAGAATCCTCAAAAGTCTCTTGTGGCTATTTTGAATGAATCAAGACTTGGAGCTGCTCGTAGCCGCTTGCCTCGAGTGTAGTAACCAGTTGCTTCAACCTGTCGTGACCAAGTCTTTGGTATAGAGAATCGAGGGCGTCCTCGGAAAAGAAAGCGCTGTTGGAGCTGGCAACGGAACAGATATGATTCAGTCCCGAATGCATATGAAGATTGGGTGTTGTCTGGTGAACTAACCATGTTCATTGATGCCCAACGCAAGCATTAGAATAGACTTGCATTTGATTTTATTTTCCGTGTCCGTACAATGTAGATTGACTTTTCATCCTGGCGAAGTCGCTCGGTTGCCCCATTAAGAACCAACCTGTCAATGTACAATTGGGGTTCTCTTATAAGGGTTGGAGAGGGGGTTGCAGGAGGCGGGTTTGATGGTTCAGGGGATGTCTCATTGATGGATATGGGTGTGCTGATGGCAGGCGAGACTGGGCTGTACACAGACCGACTGGTCGCTAGTTGGGGGTTATTGGAAGCTAGAAGGTTCTTAATATCGAGATCTAAATCTTAAATACATATGGGTGTGACCGACAATGAGACTCCTTGGGATGAGGTTTTTTTGTCCCCTTTCTTCTTAACCGAAAATGGCAATCCTGCCGTCGTTCTACGGCAGTACTGGATCAGCATGCTCGGTGACTAAAATTCTCTGACCAGTCTTGCATGTTCACTCGATACAGGATTGGTCACGCTCGTATCTCTCTGTAGTGCTGCGCATGGTTAGGACGCTTTTGTTTGTTCAGATGGGCAGGTTCCTCCTCAGCTCAGTGAGCTCACTCTGACACTGAATTTTCATCTGGCGGCACTACTCACAGGTAGTGAGATATTTAGGAGCGTACAGCATGTTGAAGTCGCTTAAACGATGAGACGTAACTCACGTAAGGTAATTAGGAATCCAAAAAAAGTAGAAAAGTCCAGAAGTTTGGAGGAATAACAGGTACCTCCTGAAAAGCTTAGACGGTCACCGGATATCGCGATTGGTGGATTTACCGATTTAGTAGCGGGGACACACCCAGCCCCATGCCTCCAAGTCAGCAGTACTTAGACCAGTAGAAACAGAAATAACCACTCCCGGAATTTTCGATAAAAGTACGAATAAAGCTCAGAATTTACGGTAAGTTGTGTTATGGGTTGAAACCCTTGGTTGGCTAAGGCTGGGAGCCTAAGCCTGATTAGGTCAAGGGTTGAATCAGAGTCCAACCCTCTTCGATGTACAGAGTAAACAAGAAAGGTTTCCCCTTCTTGTTCTATTCTTTAGCTTAATCTAGAATACCTTTGGCTACATGTATGTTGTGTGCATCCAGCTACCGTACCGTAACAAGTTGTATGAGAAAAGCTCGGATTTTCTCCCTTCCTAATTGACCTTAAGTCCTGAGGTTCCGCTTTTATCAACTCCGAAGTTGCTCTACTGCCCGATTGGACGGTTGGCTCTGAGGCTGGGAACTCCGATGTTTGCAATGATTGCGTTCGCGATGCTCACAGAGCATCATAATTATTCCCTTGAGACTTGAATTTATTATCTTGCAATGGGGAGTCCTGGTCAACTCTTGCGTTGGGCAGTGGGGCAGTGGAGCAGTGGGCACGTCATCCCTTTCGGACGCGTGGGTGAGATATACCATAATACGACTGGGCAAGGCTATCCAGTTTCAAGTCCCTTCAGCGTCAAGCTGCCGACGCGTTTACCTACTACTGATTTATTGAGTTACTGTAATGAGGTGCGGACTAACCGAATGGTGTTTAAGTTGTGTACTGTCGTCGCAAGTTCAACTCCGTATTCCGTACCTTGCCCAATACAACTTCCTAGCTTACGCCAACTCCGAAATCCGTCCGTGGGTATTGGGTCGTCGCTGACTGTGATGTCAACGCGTCCTGTCTATCTCGATCTTTCTCGATGGCTTGATCCCGACGACAATCCTAAGCAGAACAAACATGGTTCTGATGAGAAGTACTTAGCGTTCGCGTTTCCCTCACTTGGGGCGATTGCTTTATGGATTCGTTACTCCTCGTCCTTGATCCATAATGTCTCGAAATGAGGCTGCTTTGGCAGCGATGCCAGGCCACGATGAACGGACCCCTCTGCTATCTCCAACCTCCACCGACTCTTTACTAGCTCAGGATCTCAGTAGCGATGAGAATAGAATAAAGAAGAAACCCCTGATATCGCGTTTTCACGTCGTTTTCTTCCTCATAGCCAGCGTCTTGGTGGTCTCCGGCGTTGCGGACGGGATCTTTGACCCAGCGACCACCCGCCTGATTGAAGATGCCTATTGCCGACGTTACTATCGAGCGCACGATTCCTCAATGGTGGGACTGGACGTTCAGAATGGCATCCCGGAGCAGTTCTGCAAGCTTCCGGCGGTGCAGGGCGATGTTGCGCTGCTCAGGGGCTGGCTCATGTTTCTGGAGGCCGGAACGTCGCTGATATTCGCTCCGATTTTTGGATGGGTCGCTGATAGATACACGAGAAAGTGGGTTGCGGTGTTGCTTATGTGCTCCTTCGCCCTCAGGTCGCTTTGGATTTCGACAGTTTGTAAGTATATCGTGCTTATTCGCAACCCTGTTCCTATCACCGCGGTAATGGGGCTAAATGATCACTAACATTTCTCGTTTTCAAACAGTATATTTTCCGAAAACGATCAAAATCGAGCTGATCATGCTTGCCTCGATGCATACGGTGCTAGGAGGCTCCAGTGCAGGGGCGAATTCGCTTCTCTACACTATCCTAACAGATGTGACACCCGAACAGAAACGAGTTGCTACATTCTTCCGATTGGGAGGAGCATCGATGTCGTCCATGCTCATCAGCCCTCCGATAGCTTCGGCACTAATGAAGGCCAATGTATGGACGGCAATCCTCGTTGGTCTTGGCCTCTACGTTATTAACGCTGTGATGTGTCTACTGCTCCCGGAGACACTTCCTGAGGTCTCCAAGTCCGGTCACTCAATGGCACCACGCAACTCTGATATGGGACATGAGACGGCGAATACGATCCCTGACTTCTTAAAGAAGGCTCGTGAGAAAGTCCATTATATGACAAGCTTCGTTATCGAGGACTCTCGTGTCCTCTTACTTCTTCCGCCTTTTATGTTCCATATGCTCCTTATGGATCGTTCTCTCATCTTACAATACACTAGTATTCGATTTGGAATGCCACTCTCGGATGCCACTCTTTTTATCGGCATTCGAGGGGGTTTCACGCTCGTGTACTTCCTTATTGTCATGCCCATCATTATGGACCGCATCCAATCGTCCACGCGCTGGCCTCGAACCCGCCTTTCCGTCCGACACTCCGATCTACTTCTTGGCAGGATATCGGCGATATCACTGTTCTTCGCTTTTTTGGCCACCGCTGCTGCGCCAATCATTCCGCTTTTCGTCGTCGCTCTGTTCATCCAGGCCCTTGGACTGGGTATCACATACTTCCTTCGTGGATTACTTACATCGTTTGTCGGCCAACATCAACTGGCACGACTGTTCACTGTGATAACGGTGGTGGATGCGCTGGGCCTCATGGTGGGAAGCCCTGGTCTTGCCTGGGTCTTCGAGAAGGGAATGTCTGCCAATGTCCCTGGTTTGCTATGGCTGGTTGTTGCATTGGGCGTCTTTCTGACGTCAGTGGGAATGTTTTTTGTGTCAAAGCGGGAGGTAGAGGGGGTTCTGGACGAAGCGAGCGAATAGATAATAGATCGCTATTGTATAGCTGGCCAATATATTATCAAGGAGCAGCTTCGCAGCGGGTTGAGAACTATATCCCATAGTTAGTTTACTCTTTTAAACAATCTAACGGCAGATGGACCTCCGTTTTGGGCGGTTTGTGACGCCGTTTTTGGAGGTAAATCTGCCATGCTCTAGCGCCAATTAGAACTCCCCTTAATTACGGGCTTAAAAACAGTATCTTGGCGATCAGTATGTTTCTGGGAATGAACCAATCAGAGCGCAGAATTATCTTATCACGTGATTGCGGGGGTCCTGTGGGTCAGGCTGGCGAATCGCGGTGATTTGATCATAAGTAGCAGAGTTGTATTGTGTAAGTTGTGTGTTCTATCTCGATGCCCGGTCCCCCGGCCCTGCAGATATACGAGACATAGCAAGATTATTAATGCAGTTTGTAGCCTCAGGCTCCCAGACTGATGCCTTGGTCTGCGACATAGAGATAGGCGATGGAAGTGGTGGTGATGGTTGTAAAAGTTGAGAAAGGAGGAGCTCGGGGCCCCCCGCCATCAACTCTGACACCCCCGGTGCCCCACTGCAAAGCTTCCACGATCACGCCCTCACTCACTTTCTTCTTCTTCTTCTGCTTTGAGAGCAAATTATCTGTTCTACGCCCGCAGCCCCTGCAGAGCTTAAGATAACTTTGTGACACACTCTTCACAATCATCCTTCTTTGGACACCCATCTTACCCATCTTCACCATGCTCAGACTTCCAAGCCGACAAGGCCTTAGGGCTTTTTGCAAATCCGTTCCTAGTCCTCTACGCTATCCTCTTCAAGCGCGCCGTACCCACAGTCTCCAAGAGCCGTTCTCGGGTCCTCCAAGCTACGCGACCCTATTCGAGCGCTTCTCTCCTTCGAATCCCAGCCCCCTACATTATTACTCTCGGCTAAAGGCAGAAGAAAATATAGCGCGTGGTACATTTGTTGATATTCATGACATTGGTGCCATGGACCCGAAAGATTATGATGTGCTGATCACGGATATCGACGACAACACGCTACACAAGGAGATTTCGGACCGCGTGGGCATACCATACCTCAAGGAGGCGACTAAAGATGAGGCAGATAAGGTGGCTGACACCATCCGTGGTTTTGTCTACGGTCGAAAGTTCCGCATGATACTTCCATGTGCCCTCACGATTAATGAGAAGGCTCACTGGGTCTTCTTTATTGTTGATAGTGGGGCCCCACTGACGTACATCTCAACTCAGGCAAGTGTCCATACCTATAAGGAGAATGCCTAGCTACTAACACGACTCTAGGTGGCGCAAACCTTCAAGCTTAACGAGGATGAGGACCCTTGGAATGGCTATATTGCTGGACACAAACATGCAATATATATGGCACCACCGGATTCACACTTCGCCAACATCAACATTCTTGGCGGAGACTTTTGCCATATGAATCGACTTCGTCCTTGGGTGGACGATGAGCATCGAGCGGTAACATATTACATTGGCAACAAGTGGGATGTTACTCCTAAGCTTTGAGGCTAGGTGCTGCCGAGGACACATCGGAACGAATATTTTGAGTTAGTCCATTCTCCAGGCCGAAATGATGTAGGGAACAAGGCGAAAATAACACTGTATCAGAGAAGTTACCTACCGTGTGGTAACGATGGTGGATTCCGCTACGTTTCGTGTAGTGGCACCACCGCTCCACGACTCTCCTGACAGGCTTGATGGCAAATCTCTTACAGCCTCTTCGAAACCCCATATCCCCACCCCCCCATTTTCCGATTCTAATCTCTCGCGTCTCTGAGCGTTCCGACAACCTCAAGCTGCAACTAGCAGGATGAGCAGGCTGAGCAGGCTAGGCGGTGGGGAATATGAGCCGGGCGACCAGATCCCTTGAAATCGTGCGGAAACACCAAGGCGGGGTCCCCGGGAAGCTAAGATAAGAAAAGAACGTAGAATGTGGCATGTGATCGTCCTCTCTTTCCTTCAGTCTCACCGGTCCCATGATCGTACGCATGATATGCCTTTCCCGCGCCACTTTCGCTAACGCCAGCTCAACTCTGAGCCTGGTGGGGATGCAAAGTGGCAAATCCTGGATGGGAGGGGCAGGAGTCTCTGCGGTCAGGCGGAGTCAACGCACTACCAAAGGCTAAAGGCTAAAGGCTGAAAGCTGGAGGCGGACGGCTGAACTTGTGCTTGTGAGCAGGCCATAGATCAAATGGCTAGTCGACTTGAGATCGGATAGGAGTGTGCAGAGCCCGAAATCGCGGATCTAAGGGGGATGGTCGGACTCAGGAGCGAAACGGTGGCCTGGAAGGAGGTTAGCGTGAGGATTCAAATTTCGGTAAGGGAGAGTGTAACCGATCTCGAGCTGGCGGCGGCACTGCATTGACGGTGAACCTGGAGAGGACGACTTATGGCGGAGGCTTCCAGGGAAATGATAGGTGCGAGCAAGGAGAAGGAGGCATGGAATACGAATGAAATGTGGCACGGGTGAGCGAGGCGAGACACGGAAAGGAGCTGGCGGTAGGTAGCATCTTTTGGAGGGGGTGAGAAATAAACGGTAGAAGGATAGTGGGCAGGAGCTGCTTTATAGTGCGAAAGATGGACGTGATGAGGTGGAAAAGCCTGGGACAATGGAGAGGAGTGCCGTGGACGGTGAATGCTAAAGATGGAACCCACCAAAAATGGTGGTCGACTTGCCGTCGTCTCTTTTACTAAATATTGACTACGATCTTACGAACACCTCCACTAGAACTTAGATTTTGAATAGAGCGAGCGCACGTAGGGATTCAAAGCGCCACCGCGTTCTAGATTGCTCGTCGTGATGTCATTGTATTTGTAGCGATATTGATCCCTTTCCACTGCGGGATATTCATATATTTATATAGGACTCGGCAAATGTCGCCACGCCACCCAAAAAATTATCTGCACCGTAGCAAAGGGGTAGTCCGTAAGCACCATCAGCATCACAATCGTAACAATCATCCATCCACATATGTACCGAACGTCAGTCATATATCCAAGCCGGTCGTCAAAACATAAGCTAAGTACGATCATATCACAATATACTCCCCACCCGACCGGCTCATCACCTTCCTCCACCTAAAGGCCTGACCAGTCTGAACTCCATCCTCGTCCAGCACCTCTCCATGATCATCAGCCGCCCACGCCCTCTCCAACACCTCGAGCCCACTCAGGTTGTTGAGAAACCCACTCTCTCTCGTGATCTCCACGCACCGTCTGCGCACTATATCTCGGTGCGTCTGCGTCACCGCCTCTGTTCCTGCGATCCACAAAGGATAGAGCAGGAATTTATTCACAGGGGAGTTGATCGCGATGACGGCGATGTGGGATAGTGTCAGCGAGACGAGGCGTTGCAGGTTGGACGCGGAAGGGGAGAGGGCCGGGTACGCAAGCCGTTCGACGTAGAGTAGCGCAGCATGGCGGAAGGCTTCGCTGATGTGCAGGAGGTCGAAGTCGGCGGAAGCGCCACGGATCATTACATCGAACCAGGTGAAGAACATCTGAATCCATCCAACAAAGGCGCTTTCTGGGGAACCATGGTGAAGTTCCAGAAGTTTCTGTACGCCTGAAAGCTGCGTCTGAAACTTGGTGAAGCCGCTGTCACAGACGTGAAAGAGGCACAATATCAACAACGTTGCCAAGACTGAGTCGTCCTTGGCGGATACGGGATTAGACAACTGTGAATTGAGGAGTCCAATCGATATCGACTCGTATTGCAGCTCTTCGCGTGATGGCGTGCCGGGCAGAACTCGTATCTCGTCTGCGGTAAGAATCCTACGCCTGCCGATAACGACATGCTTTCAGACTCATCGTAAGTCATATTTTGAAGCTTCTTGAGGCCCCGCGTGTGCATGTTGTTGGTCGAGAGTGCCGCGACGGCATTCTACAGCCCCACGCTGTGCATAGCAAGGGGAAGACATGCATCCGATAAGGATTCGTTGGTCCGTCAAAAGCCACTAGAACGGAACAGATGGCCCTGTCATAATAATCCAAAAGAAACCGAGTACGCAGAGGCAGGTGAGAGCAATCAAAGGCGTCAACACTTCGAGGTATGGACATGCCATCAAGTAGTCCCCGTGATACCGAGCGAGATCGAATATCCTGGTCCAGACTTGTTTTGCTAGCGCAATCCAATTGAGGACCAAAAAGGGGCAATCCATACGAACCGAAGACGTGTATATTCGACCCGATCGATATAGGGGCGTCAGAAATGCTGGAACGGGCTAGCGAACCGGTCTGCGCATCGTTAACGTCCATGTACTCGGCGTTGGATTGATCGGACATACTTGAAACCATGTCATCCGCTATCAATGGGAAGGACCGCGGAATGTCCATATATCCGAGTCCGTCTGGTATGGCCAGTGAGTCCTGAGAAGGGATGAATGGTTGATGAGATAAAGCGTCGGGAAAGGTGTCGACAAAGGGTTCCGTAAATGGTATTTCTTCCGGGGTGTGAGGATACTCACTGGGTGAAGGGAAGTCGCCACAGTCGCTGAAGGCGCCCAACGAACCCGTGGAGGGAGCGGATATGCTTGCGTCATCGTAAGAGGGTGGGAACGCAGTTTGCAGCCGCTGAAGGGGTCGGGGACGGAAGAGAGGCTTTCCAGCTTTCGGTGACAAGGAAGTATAGTTGTGCACATGGTCGTCGAATCCAGAAGAATGCCAGTGGAAATTTCCGGCTGACATGACAGAAATTGGAATAGGAGTGGTAGCCGGACTATAACCAGGATTGCTATAGACAGGAGAAGAGCAGTAGTTCGGACTAAGGACCGGAACCGCAGAGAAAGCGGCTATCTCCTGGTGATGCTCGCTTTTGATAGACATGACAGGGGACGGAATTGGATTGGACGTAACACTCTTCGAAGTGGCAGAGGTAGCCGAGTTGCTCGCTTTCGTCTCCTGAACAGCGGATGCTGTCTTTGCAGAATTGATTATGGGAAGAGACAAGCCCCGAAGCTTTCCACGGCTTGCAACTCCGACCCCCCACGTCAATTGCGTCCTATATCCAGAGCACTCTTTGCCTATTTCTAGGCATTGAGCGCAATACGGCCGTCGTCGGTCACATTTTGTTTGTCTTTTGCGGCAGGTAAAGCAATCTTCACTCGCCCCATTTGCTGCAGCCCTCCTGCGACGCTTTCGCGGAACGGTGGGGGCGGCGATCTCTGTGGCCGGCTTCTCTGGAACGGCAGTAGTATAGGACGGCATGGCAGGCAACGCAACGTTAGGGTAAGCTTCGCTAGGCAAAGGTCATAGGTAGAGTAGTAACGGACATTGGCCGTATATGAACGGTGCATAAATCAGAAGGAAAAAACTTGGGAATTGGATGACGATAACTTCTGAAAAGAGGCACAATCGAGTGGTTTAAGTGATCGCAGGATCGGCGGAAAGGGTTGCGAATCTAAAGATAACGTCAAGATCAAATATCTGCAAGGTGAACCATGCAGGCACTGGCTGGTCTCAACTCTCCAGGACGGAATGATGTCTTTTAATTACTGCAAGGTGCTCAGGGTGGCTCGCTGGATAGCCCAAAAGCAACTGGGATCTGAGAGGGACATTTGGGCCGTCTTTAACAAGGAATCGTGAATCCTCAAAACCTGGAGAGAACAGAACGATCGTCAGTCGACAATGCCCCACCTACACACCACAGAGGAGGCGGAATAACGTTGTATGATGGGGTCATTGTCCACCTCGACCAGGGCAAAAGGGTCAGTAGAACTCGAACAAGGAAGGGTTACATCGCCTTCATCCGGGCCAAGGAGGACGAAGAGATGATGAACAAAACGTGCAGACGCCGCCAGCGCCACTCCGCTGTGCCCAATCAGCCCGATGCTTAGCACCGCTGATCCCTCGGACAGGGAGCGGGCCACAGGCGACTAAAAGACGGGATGAACCTCCGAAGCCAGGGACGGACTGTGTTCGAAGTTCGAACAGCGGACACCACACCTTGCGCATGCGGTTGGTTGGGAACTGAGAATGAGACAGCGAGTAGATACGGAACTAGACCGGTCGCTGTTCGGTGTGATGCACCATCCTATCGTCCATTGAAACGGTCGGGAAATCTCGAATCGAGTGTCCATCTCTTCTCGCTAGCCCTCGGTCCGTTTTCAACTCAACCAGCACAGACAGGAAGCGTACAGGAAGGAGTGCAAGATATGCAGCGAGGTGCAGACAACAGACTGCAGAGAGATGCAAGTCGCAGCCTCCTCATGATCCGGAATCTGACATGGCTCACGAGACGACGAATAAGACACGCCGGTGGTGGTATTCCCGGTCTTAGTTGCACTGACAGAAAATCTCCAGCGGAACCGACCGACGGGGTAGCGGCTGGTTCGCTCCATGCACTGTTCACTAGGTACGGTCAAATTGAAGCCGTTGCCATCATGCACCGAAGCACCGTAGAAGGTTTCGACTTTTTCGAACGCTATACCATTTCTGCGGTCATCTCCAGGTTGTGATGGCATTCGCACAAATCGCGTTGGAGACCAAGCCACTAGCGGGGTCGGAGTAATAAGAAACGTAACATCGAGGCTTGGGGTGATCGAAAACAACCCCCAGAAAATCGCCAACCCGTGCAAGTGCGTCGAGGTTCATGCTTGGATGCTGGTTGATCCTGGAATCTGGATAGCACACCAACCTCTCCGCACACTAATTATCGTCCACAAGGGCCCCAGCGACCATTCTGAACAACTGCATTGCACCATTTGCTGGGGCGGTTACCGGTCACTGGTCGCTTGTCCGGTCACGACACAGGACTTCGTCGGCAATCAAATCCTTATGATCGATATACAATTGTTGGACCGAGGCTCCAACAGCCCTAGGATTCCGGCGAGCGATAGACGGAATTTTTCCGATGCGCTTGGAAGAACTATTGCCATAGGTAGAATATTGGACAAGGCCGCACCTAGAAAGTGGAACCATGATGCGACTTGTAAGAACTGAAGGGGGATTGTTATCGGTCCAGGTAATATCAGCCCCTCGTCCAAAGGAAGCGAATCCTAGCACCAAGGACGGGTGACCTAGACATGGTGGACACTGGCCCTTGATATGACAGGGGATCGTGTTGATTGTCATTCTCCATTTGCTGCTTAGGGTCGCAGCAGATAACACGATACCGTGGTAAACGAGTAGAGTAATCATTAGGATCATAGGAATGGGAGAGCGTATCCATCGACCATTGTGACGAACCCCCACGCATTCTTCTACTGAGGTCCTGAGGAGTGTCTGGCGGCTGACCTGAATCCTGATCGAAGATAAAAGGCATGATTGCCGCACGGAGCAGAAACACATGGAGGGTCGAGGGGTGATAGGACAGCTGGAGGGTCTTGGTTAGCGTCGGGTGTTGTAGCAACCGTTGAGCAGCACAATATGCACAGAATATCGATGCCCATTCCCGATCCATGATATCGACCATCGCACGCGGCTCATCCTGCGTAGTGCGTGCTCGATCCCTTTTCTCCTTGCTCTATTAAATATTGCTGTGTTCGATTATTACCGGGGTACTGCACTGGAGTTACCTGTGAGGCTGTGACACTTTTTGGCCTTGTGCTGAATGCTAATACCTACCGTAATACCTACAGTGAGACTGTGTATAGTAAGTACAGATGAGTAAGGAATCTGTACCATTCTCCAAAATCACCCCGTCTCTCGAGCTCCCTTAATTTACTGATCGGGCTACGGTTCGTCGGTTCACTTTCGATCATGTTCGCCCATGCCGCAAACCTTCAATCTCGATTCGATCCACAGTTTTCCTAGCAAGCGCCCATAGACCAGCGAGTTACTGGTAACCATCCACCACCCATGGAGAAAGCAACAGTGCAATATCGGCGACATTTTGGGTTAATAGGACTAAGCTAGTCCCTAGTGGACAGAATAGTACGTACTGCTCAAACACTCAACGGTGGCTGGACCATCTTGCAGGCTTCTTGCATCCTTCTATGCATCGCCTTCCCAGGGACGAGCTTTGCTTAATCCAAGCTGGTCGATTGCTTAGTGTTGGCCAAAATATTAGGTGCATGAGCAAAAGCAAACTGCCAGTTGCGAAGCCTCAATGCTTGTGTACTGTAACACATCAGGTTCAGGTTTGCTCGATTGCGTGCCTGACCATCCCGCTGGGGTCCGTAGTTGATCCTTCATTGTTCATTCATCCACGTCGCCCCCTCGTCTGTCGACGCCTGGACCAATAATGGTGCCATGATAGGATGCACGCACGCAGCAAACATCCGCAATTGCGCAAGGCTGTTTCGAAGGGGGTTAAGACCGTTCGTCCTCAAGCTTTGCCCGATGCAAGCCACCATTGGTGGGTGTAACGATATATTATCACTATTATGTGACCTTAATCCCCAAGATCTTACACAGTTGCCGTCTACCGGGCGCTAGGACTCCGGGGCCAATAGGAATTTCGACAGGCGGTCTCAGAGTCGACCAGATAGGCTCGGGCAAAAAAGAAATAATAATGCCCATCAATCAGATCATCAGATGGAGCGGAGATGGGACTTTCACATGCTTTAAAACTGGGTCTTTCAGTTTCGTGTCACTTTTGTAGCAGCACAAATGCTCTGAGGCCAGTGTTTTCCGTGCCGGTGGGGGATTACGATTGAATGCGGAGACAGCTGGGGTGAGGTGGCGAAGTATGCAGATAGTAGGTAGGCAAGCTAGCCCTCACACTGTGTACCGGATGAGAGTGAGATCTTGTGGGACTCTGAGGAGACTGTCTGTCACTGCCAAGGCATATTAGGGACATCCGAGGTGAGCGAAATTGATTCATAACCTCTGCCTCCAATCTACCATCGTAGGATTGGAAGATATCGGACCGATCTACGGTACTAACGGAGTACCGAGTAACGAATAGGAGAATACCGAATAGCGATACTTTGCCCCCAGGTAAGTTGGTATGGTCTGTGAGCGGGAGGAGGTAGACATTTCCGCCTCGGATAGGATTATGTATATTGTATCTGACCAATACTCCGTAGTGCCAATAGATTCAGTCAGAAAGTTAAAGCGTAAGGTGCTCTGGAAAACAGCATCGCGAAGTTGGCGAGTTGGATGAATCATCTGAAGCCAATGAAGTAAAGTACTACGCCATAAGTCTGTTCAGGGTCGTCAACCACGTGATTTCTCCCCATCACCACCCCCTATCGCGAGAAGCGCTCAAAAACGTAGAGAAAGCGATCTGTATACTTTTTTCAGATTGCCTAATTAAGGATAGCCTAGTATTTGGTATGCCATCCTTTTGCTTTAATTACCGCCCGTAACCGCCGCGGAATTGAGTCAATTAGCTTGGCAATCGTTTCCTGAGGTACTGCCCACCACGCCTCTTTCAACGCGGCATTCATCGCCTCCCGTGCCTCCTCTAATGAGCCCATCTGTTTCAATTCAGGGTGCAGCTCTAGGACTTTGCTTCTAAGTAAGTGCCACATGCGTTCGATGGGGTTCAGGTCCGGAGAATTAGCTGGCCAATCGAGCACCCAAATACCGTAAGTCTCCAGCCATTCTTGCGTAAGTTTCGCCGTGTAGACCTTTGCATTATCCTGTATCATAACATCCCCAGGATCGTACGTGGGGAGGAGTCCCTCCTCTAATGTAGCGATATAGGATTTCGCGGAATACCCTTGCCTGGGGGAGTCCTCGTCGCGGTCCATGATCACCAGGTCTGACCTCCCCTCACGCGAGATTGAGCCCCAGATCATCTGCGAAATCGCCTTAGCAGAGGTCTTTGGCTCGATCATACGTGGATCATATGCCTCGTGATAAAAGCGCCATACCCAGACGCGCTTACCGCCTGTCCCTTTCTCATAGGAGCACTCGTCGGTTGAGTGGACCCGGGAGAAGTCGAAATGCTGATACTCGCGGGCAAATTGAAGCCGGTTTTTTGCGTGCCCGGGCTTCAGATGGGACCTTTTCCGTGCTCGCCACTTTGTAAGGTGGTATTTCTTAAGAGTCCGGTATATCGTTGTCTTGAGACCCGCATATGGCTGACGCTTTGAACGAGCTCGCTGTACTCAACCGTGGGGAACCGGCGTGCGTACTGTACAAGATATCGTTCGTCGCGACGCGATAATTTTAGGGGGGGCCCTTGACGGGGCTTAGATTGAGTGATATGGTGCTCTTCCCAGCGTTGCAAGGTCTGTACACCGTCCGTTCTGCGACCTGAAACTCCTCCGCCACCGCGGCCTTAGTTTCCCCCCTGGAAATATCCTCTAAAATCCCAGCTCTTTGATTCTCAGATAATTCAGCATTTTGCCGTCGATTACCACTAATTTCTGTACCAAACGACCTCATTTTCGTGGATATATTGATGATGGAAGATATGGTGGTGTCAGGGCTGAATTTTGTTATGTGTAGACCCTGAGCAGACTTATGGCGTGTTATTGTAATAGCCTGATAGGATGGTTTCAGTCACGTGATGCAATTCCTGAATACCGTTCGGTGTAAAAGAGCCCGAGTTTACTTCAACTTCATCCCGATTCCATTCTAGCCATCAATTTAATATTTGCAGTGTTCGGTAGTGATGATCCAATATCCAGTTGACGTAGTCGCTCCATTGGGCTGTAATTATCTCGATCTTTTTTGGACAATTGAGCGCGTGATCAAACCGCACCATTGGGCGACTCCTACTATGTACACAAGTTTGCTCTCGAAACCCGTCTATGAGACATCTCTCATCTTCAGGTAGAATCGAGGCGTCGATTTCAAATGATCCTTGACTGTTACTCTCTTTGAAAGTCTCCTATGATTCCCTTTTCGTTCATGAGAGTATTTGATTTTCCACTACCTCAATGACGCCTCATCAACCGGTCCATCGAATCAGCGCACCATGTACCCAGCTTTTTGCGGCGAGGCTTCAGCAGCTTGATCCATACGCAGAGAAGGGGTTTACGTACTTGGTCCTGTGGACAATCCATCTCCGTGGCGTAGCTGGGCATCACATCGCGGTCCTTGCAGTTTTCCAAATGTTATCGTCATGGTGTCGCAGTTTGTTCCACATGATGCCTCAATTTGCATCTCCGTTATAGCAAGAGCGCTACAGTGGAGCGTATATAAATTCCGACAGCAACGGTGGTCGGGTCAGCAGTTTCAGTGGAGTCGCCGCTGTTAGCTGAACGGGGAACTGAAGTCGCAATTGCAGCATGGCTATCTGCAAGCAGGAATCACCAAGCACGCTAAAGGCGGCATCTCCCCCGTTTGGATGCCGCGTCTGATCACATACTATCCCCAGTTTCTTACTACGACAAATGTGCGGAGAAATCGGTCGCTAACGAATGAATGCCTCACTTGGCTCCCATGCGAGCGTGGATTATCTTCGCCCGATGTGAACTCAGGACCAGGTCACGTCCGTTCATATGCTCTTCATTTTCGGTACATGTTGGTTGAAGGGGATGGGAAATGCTTTGATTTGCTGAGGTCTGAACCCCTAAGCTGTAATAGGACCCCCTTGTTGATGTGGTTGACCGGTTATTCCGATTGCAGTCCGCAAGGTTCAATCACGATTCCTTGCACAACAAAAAGAGTTTAAGAAAGTGACCAATAGACGCTCTCACGAGGCACTACCCGGCACTACGCGCTTGCAATATGGGCATTACAGGCTCCCACGTGCAGTAGCCGCTTCCGACCGCTTGGATATCCTATCGCATCCCCTCACTCCCTCCCTGCGTTGCATATTTTGCTTCAGTCATTGGTCTAAATAACAAAGAATTTGTGAAATGGTGTTGAAGAAATGGTCCGAGATTACGGAGAAAGGATGATTGACAAAACTCGGCTTTACCGTGGCCTGATTGTCAAGGTCTACCCATACCATCAATTTCGCTTCTTCCTTTTCGATTATTGAGCTCACAGCTGAATATCCAATCGACGTGATGAATAAAGTTTGTTCTTGTTTCGCGGCCAAACTCTGATAAGGTTGACATTTCCCCGAAAACCTTGGCGTCCTGGACTCAGATATAAAACCCGAGAGATGATGGCCATCATCTTTTCTTTTGCCTCAACGCATTCTTCAACTGTTTGGGGAGACCTGTTATTTCGCACCTGTTCTCCTTCTTGTTTTTGCCGTATCATTACTCCGTTTCCTCACCACGATGCCTGGACACAAGTATATGTGTTGCTGGGATGTTCAAGAGAAGTGTGGCCAATGGGTTAATGTGAATGGAGACGCCTGTGAGGGGTGCTGGGTAAGTGGCACCGCTATATTCGATGACGGTGGTGGTTAACCGATTTATTAGATGAAGTATGAGAGGAACATGCGGGCACCTGGTGTAGCCCAAAGCTTGACTCAGTGGGCGCTAACTAGCCTCGAGCTTTCGAGTCTTCGATTGAACCCGCTCCCACCATAGCGAGATCGAGGGCGCTACGACCTCAAATTGCGTAGTCGAACGATACGCACACCAATACTTTAGTGTTCGCCACCAATTCGTTGAAACAGTTGGAGATATCGGTGAAAGTTATATGGTACGTTTCTCATATTTGGGCCTACATTATAACCAGATACTAAGTTTAAATCAGATGAAAGGCAGCGAACCCCAACGCTAATCCCACGCCCCTTGTATCTGTAAGGGGCTCACACTGATATCGGCATTGTTGATTTCGGACTGAGGCTGTTTCTATAGTGTTTCCTGCATTCCCTGGTTTGGGCGGGTGGCGATGCTCATTGCATGGAGGTACATTTGCTCGTTTGGATTAATAGCTGTGTTAGTTAATCGGTCCTCTCTCCTCTCGTCTACCTCGTAGATCTGTTGAAATTGTCAAATTATCCTTCTGTAACACGACCTCTGCGCTCATCCAAGTTATAGGATTTTGACAATTGTTTCATCCAATTACTATTTACATCAAACTCCTGAGCCATTGAGAATCTCAATTTCTCACGCGCTCCTGATCATCGAAGTTAGCCGAACTAATACATGACCCGCATGGAGCAGTGCTCAGGCGGGTGGCTGCACAGTTTCTCTCCTCAAGATTCGATAATTGCATATACGGAAGCAGGGTGGTCAGGTATTTACTCTTGAATACCTCATCTCACCAGTCAAGGCATTTCACAATATTGGGTAGGTAGGGGTCAGCGAGGCGAGCCCCAAATCATGCAGCAATAGCGACATGGTTCACACTACCGAACATGGACTTGACCCATCTGTCCTGGCACGATTTGCGTTGTGGGAGAAGGCAAATGGCAAACAAGGCATTTAGTTTCCCATCGAATGCTACTAGTAGCGGGAAAGGAGGAGTTGAGCGGTTTTGGAGTGAATGAATTAGAGTAGTTACTGCACCACAGTAAGTGAAGAGGACGACGTTGGACGTGCAAGCTGGAGAGTGGCGTTGGCCCTCAACACGCTACTCAACAGTGTGCATGCTGTGAGGAATACTGCGGCCTGTGGGGGGCTATGTTCGCCTCTGATTATCCCCTACAAGATACGCCATAACGGACATGCAGAGTGGCGCACTGTGACAGTTGGGGTTAGAACTAAACTGATTGGTGGGAGGGTAGCCTTGTGCGGCGAGGCATCCCACCATTCCATGTCGAACCTGGTCAATGATGTGGATTCGTGGTGACCTTGGAGATGACTTCGGTCCGACGTGGTTGAAGGGGATGGAAGCGTCGAGACGAAAACGAGCCCCCACAAACTCTCGCCGTTCAACATGTCTTGAGCCAAGTTCCTAGCACCTGAGACTCGCTGGTAAGTAGATTTATATTTGTGAAGGCAAGAGACCGTTGAGTTCTCCCAAAGGCCATCTCTCGTCAATAAGCCTACCGTTGGATGGCTCTGGGATGCAGCAGATAGGTTGCAAGGATTCATACCCATGAAATACACCTGACTGCACAAAGGAACCACATGAACAGGCTCCTCAGCGAGAGCCTTGCCTTTTGTACGACCGAATACCCCGGTGGGTAATATAAAAACCCGAAAGGCTTTGAGGAGGTTGGAGGAGGATGCGCCAGGCAGGCATAATATATTAACTTTCCCTTGCAAACCATCCATGGACACCACCATAAGCACCCGAGGATGTGGTACGTCACAATCAGAGAGCGCCTGGAAACGAAGGAAGAGCTGTGATAGCCGCTATATTTAGGCCTCCCCATCCAATTCATGCAGGCGGGGAGCTGTGTTCCGCCTGCAACGAGGTATCTCGACCTGACCGATTTATGCCTTGGGCGGCTCTATGAAATGCAGAGAAAGCATAACCGACAGCCTGCGACGACCTGGCCAAGGCCATCCGGGTTACAATACCAGATTATCCGTCAAGGATTGCTGGTAAGGTGCACAACAGAGAGCCTGACGTGATGGGGTCATAGTACGGAGTACCCAAGGCGTTAAGATCATGTCGCAGACTTGGCTAAGATCTTTAAGAGCATCCCCATTACGTCCAAGAAAATGGCAACGGGTTGGAAACTGACGCATGACCATCCAACGCAGGTACATGCTAGATGTCCAGTGACAGTCGGCCAGTCGGGGAATTTGCGTATGCCGCATAGATAAGCGAGAATTTCTCCGTATCTCCAACAGCAGTCGCGCTAGTATTGTCGATATCAGACATCTGACCGAGATGATAAACCTCCGGTGCATAATAAAGGGGAGATTCTAGCAACCTGTCTCACCACACCGGCCAGTATCGCCCTGTTGTTCGGTGCTAATAAGGTGTAAGGGCATGTATGACTGAAATCCTAGCAGACTGGCCCAGTGATTGTATACGAACTCTGCTGTTCGATGAGTGCTCTTTAGCCCAAAGCACGTAATCATCTCTTAAGAAGGTTATACTCATAGCCACTGATTGCTCGGTAGCGGGCCGAGGACACTCCCGCTGTTAACAATAGTTTGTCGATCATTGCCAGCCGCGAGATCTGGTAGGATCCCAGCCACTTGCCATACGCATTATATCGCTGGTCAAGGGACTTGTCCTGGTGGATACTGGGAGCCCGAATGGTCCAGATGACGCATCCCACGTTCCTTTTTCCAGCCAAGCCAGGTAACGCCGACTCCTTGCTACCGCACCTTGTGACAGGACAGGAAGTTGAATGGATGGAGACTGAATCCATAGTCTGCACAAGTTTTAGTGTGGCGGGTAAGACATCCAATTTTTCCGAGTGTAACGGATAAGGATGGTGATATTGGGAATTCATGGATTATGGATTGTTTTAATACCCCTCGAGGATCAGGACAACGGTTGACATTCCTTCCTTGCTGCCTTCGAGGGTATCAGATATCGCTTTTGATGTCGATGAAGACCCGGAAAGTTTGGTGTTTAATCCCTGAACGATGTCGATGTCTTATCATCCTGCGTTATAGATAGTAACAGTACTATATCATGCACGAGAGTGGCTTCAGCATCGACAAACGGCACGTATCGTCCACCAGATTGAAGATGACATGCTTTCCAGCAGGTCGTCCACCTTCCCTTTTCCAAGACATTATTAGCTATTAAACACCTTTTCCAAGAACCATCGGACAATTTCTCAGTTCACCGGATGCGATCAGCAAGGTAACGCCTGAAATATCAGCTGGGTTGCTATTAGCCTTGAGAAGACACCCAAATTGAACAAGGCCAGTCCTTGCCTCACTCAGCATGATCAACCTCAGTGATGGCGACCTTCTCAAAAATGTTTAGAGGATGTAAGCACGAGACTGTTCGAGTATGAGGTGATTGAAAAATCTGATGATTGCAAGAAGAGGGTGTAATCGCGCAAGATAGCGTGTTGTAGATCGTATGACGAGCATCGCTTGAAATCAGGAATGGCCAGTTCACAGTAAACAAATTTCCAGTGAAGGGGCAGTCCACTGCAGGAGATAATGGAGACCACAATACAATACAATACATCTTATTTTCGATGCACGGAGTCCTCGACTCGTTGAACTAACCGATAGATGTCCACAGGGTAGGCCTGATGGTGATGAGCGGTAGAGCGTTTGTCGTTTCCCATGGGGTCCGACGACTTCTGAAGAATGTGTTCCGACGTTGAGGGTGGAAGGTGTTCTTGAGCCGTGATGGAATATCACTCAGGTCCAAAGACTTATCGCTAAGGCTTCTTTTGAAGGCAAATAGTGGGAGAGATAAACGTCAACCATCGTCTCCGAGTCATAAATACGGGACCGAGCAAGTACTCTGATAATCAAGTAACCTTTAATCCTCTTTGAAGTATTGTTGTGTTCATGATGCTGTGGTCCTCGGTCTGTTCCGAAAGGTCGTCTAAAGTGAGTCCTCTCGTTGCTCAAGTGCTACGGTATTCTAGTCGATTCGAGAATTTCGCTTCCGTGCTCCTTAAAATTTGGGGTCTCAATCGTAGGACATACGGACCGCAGTAGTCATAACCATCATGAAATTGCCGGTAGGTAAAGGCGTAACACTTAGGACACTGACCTGGGAGGCAAAGGCGTTCCACATATGACAGTTCCGCTGAGGCTACGACATCCTATGAATTGCTCTCCATCGCCGGATTATCACTCAACTCCGATGAATCATCCAGCTCCAGCGGACTACTCAGCTCTTCATCCGAACTCGTCTCAACCGGATTCTTCTTCTTCCTCATCGCACGCTTCCCCTTCACCGATGTTGGCTTCGCAGCCGCTTTCGCCCTCGTTCTAGCCTTCAAGGTCGTCTTCTTCGACGGAGCGCCACCTAAAGCTATATCTCCGCCATCCTCAACTTTCCCGCTTGCCTTTTGCTTGACCTCTCTCTTCCGCGGCCGAAGCCATTCCTCCATGCCCAGCGGCCAGTAAACCCGGCCCTCCGCCCCGCCCATCCCGATCATATCGTCGGGAAGCGCGTCGCGTCCCCCGGGACCGAGAATCTGGTCCGAGTTGCCCTTGCGGCCTTTCACGAGCTTGTTCCAGTCGTCGCGTGTGTACGGGGCGATGGGGTGAACTTTTTCAAAGCCGGGGAGCTTGAAGTTGAGCATCAGCTCGAAGACGGCTTGCTCTTTGTCTTTAGCTTCGATCATGAGGTCCATGTCGTTGCCGCAGGGGGGGAGGGTGGAGACACGGGGGGAGTGCTTGCGGCGCTGGCGCCCGGTGATGGCGTCGGGACAGGGCTCGCTGTAATGCATCTTCTGGGTGATGCCTTTTCTTCGCCATGTCTCGGCGATCCGTGGGAGGATGGGGAGGATGTCGGCGGTCCCTTCACGGATGGAGGGGTCGTGAATGATGTTGTGGTGGTGCCAGTCCAGGACCAGGGGGATATTCAACTCTTCGCAAATTGGAAGAAGATCGTGCACGCTCCATGACACGTCATCATTTTCTAAAACCAGTCGCCGCTTGATCGATGGGGAAAGATTGGCGTAGTTTGCTCGAAATCGATCGAGAGTCTCGCCTTTGTCTCCAAATACGCCACCCATGTGGAGAATCATGACGGCGTCTCGATCCAGTTGATCAGGGAGCTCTAGTAGTGTTAGTAATTCGTCGTGATATGCCAGATCCCTTATGCTTCCAGCAATGACGGACTCTCGCGGAGAGCCGAACTGTGTAAATTGGCCCGGGTGTGTTGTTACTCTGTGCCCAAGTGTAGCCACGAGCTTGCCAACCTCTCGTAGGGTCGGCCCGGCAAATGAAGACAGTTTATATCCGTATTCCCCATGGCTCGCAAACGGAAACATCTCGCTGCTCAGGCGCAGGAACTTAATCCCATATCGATCATTCCAGCGCAGCAGCTTGATGAGATCTCGCGCATTTGCTAAGCCAAGCGCGTGTACCCATGCCATTCCTCGCTCGACATCCGCCGGCTGATTTTTATCCGGACGATTCTTTGTCGGGTGCTCGGGTTGCGTTGGGTCCGCGAGTGGATGACGGTGTTCGAGGATGGAGGCGATTCGGCACGTCCTCGAACAAAATATCGGGGGGTTGGAATTTCGTAAATACGTATTAAGACATGCATATCCAAGACGGCCCTTCCAAGGAAGAGGAAGAGTAGGACTGTTTACAGGTGGTAGACGGTGCAGAGCCTCGACTAATTCCTCTTCATCGGGAACCATTTCTGCGTCGGATTCGGGGTCGAGCTCTGCTTCGACGCCCTTCGTCTTGGCTGCCTTTGTCACTCGCTTCTTTTTGGCGGCCTGGCCTTCGGCATCCTTTGTATCCGCGATCGCGTTCATAACCCTCGCAGCCTTCGTCTTCGCAGCTCTTTTACCAGTGCTACTGGGGACAGGCACGGTGACGTTGTCCGGAGACGCAGCCCTTGCCTCAGGCCCATCTTCGATGTGGGGGTCTCCATCTACCACTAGGTCCGGAGTTTTCCGAGCACTTGATCTTCGAGATCTTCGAGGTGCTTTCTTCGTCAGCTGCTCCTCAGGGGTTGATGCCGTTTCTAGCGATCTTGATCCATCGGTATCAATCAACGCCGGCGGCAGTCCATTGACAGACTCTGTAGCCGATACTGATGCTAGTGTAGAGCTCTTTCGTTTCGACGGCATATAGTTGATTGGGCCGTAGGTGTAGTAGGACCTAGACGGAGACCGAGTCGAGAAAGGAGAGCAGAGAAAGAAACGGCGATGGGTTGCGGAACAGGCGCGGAGGAATTTAGACATTAAAAATCGAGTTACGAAGGGGAGACTAAATGAGAAAGGAATGGGACATCAATGACGTTTGTCGCCAACGGAACAAATAGGACATCTTCCCTTGGGTCAATGACGCTTCGACAGATATCTCATCTTTCGCTGTGGGGAAGATGTTCCATCTGAAGACGCGTAGGTTCGCGTTCAGGTCCGGAGCTTCTTTGATGCCTAAGGATCTAAGGCAGCAATAGCTTAACGTTATCGATAAGAGGATCTCCGACATCGACTCATCGCTTCCTCCCAATTTTCTGCATGTTCTTGCGACGAGGGACCTTTCTAACCTCCTCCGTACCCATTGACTCTTCATCGTTCCCTGATCGTGCAGAACACCGCTCCTATACTCTCACTTCTGAAAATTTAGCGTATCCAGCGTTTATGGCATCTCGAGTGGTATCCAGGAGCATTCGCTCCTCTATGCGGGCGCACTCCTCGCAGTTGAGTCACCATGTCCATAGGAACTACGCCAGCGCCGCTGGAGTCTCACAGTCCAGCCTCTCTCAGCAGGAGAAGGAAGCAATCCAGGTAAGAGTCGCTTTAATGCCCCGACTCTTCTCCAAGGCCAATACTAACCATTTCCAGCGAGAAGCCTCCCTCCCCAACTCCGACCCTGCGCCCGACTCCCAAACCGCCCGCGTGGTCAATGAACAACTCCCATACATGGTGCCCACCTATGCGCGCCCACCGCCCATGTTCCACAAGGCGGAAGGCTGCTACCTCTGGGACATCGAGAATCGTCGATACCTAGACTTCACTGCCGGGATCGCCGTGAACGGCCTCGGACACTGCGACCCTGGCCTCGCGAAGATCATCTCCGAGCAATCGCAGATGCTGATGCATACCTCGAACCTCTACCATAACCCCTGGACGGGGCTCGTCTCAAAGACCTTGGTTGAGAAAACGCTCGAGGCGGGTGGAATGCACACGGCCTCCAAAGCCTTCATCTGCAACAGCGGCAGCGAAGCCAACGAAGCGGCCCTCAAATTCGCCCGAAAGGTCGGCAAGTCGCTCGACCCTGACGGCACGAAGCACAAGCACGAGATCCTTTCCTTCACCAACTCCTTCCATGGCCGCACCATGGGCTCCCTCTCCGCGACACCTAACCCGAAATACCAACGGCCCTTCGCCCCCATGCTCCCCGGCTTCCACTACGCTACTTACAACGACCCCGCAGCCCTCGACCTCATCACCCCGTCCACCGCCGGCGTCATCATCGAGCCCATCCAGGGCGAAGGCGGTGTCTGGATCGCCGACCCGGCCTTCCTCCGCGCTCTCCGCGCGAAATGCACCGCCGTCGGCGCCGTGCTGATCTACGACGAGATCCAGAGTGGGCTGGGTCGCACGGGGAACCTGTGGGCGCACGCCGACCTACCGATCGAGGCGCACCCAGATATTGTCACGACAGCGAAGGCGCTGGGGAACGGGTTCCCCGTGGGCGCGACCATCGTGAATGATTTCGTGGCGGGGAAGATCGTCATCGGGGACCATGGGACAACGTTTGGAGGGAATCCGTTGGCGTGCAGAGTGGCACATTATTGCGTGACGCGGCTGGCGGATGCGGGGTTGCAGCGGGAGGTGGTGAGGAAGGGGGAGGTGTTTCGAGAGCAGTTTGAGGGGTTGAAGGCGGCGTTTCCGGAGGTGGTGAAGGAGATTCGGGGGAAGGGGTTGATCTTGGGCCTGCAGTTGGATCGTGACCCGACGCCGATCGTGAAGGCGGCGAGAGAGAGGGGGTTGTTGGTCATCACCGCCGGGACGAACACGCTGCGGTTCGTGCCGCCGCTGGTGATTTCGGATGAGGAGATTAAGGAGGGAATGGCGATTTTGGCTGATGCTTTCCAGGAGGCGGTGAAGGCGTAGGTGGGTCCAGTATGTTCGAGCGACATCAAAATCTTAGATTTGCATGGCGTTGATGGAAGGCTTTGGGCCTGGATTTAGCCTTATATCATGTGCGGATCTATTTTACACTATCATTGGTGAGGAAGGCTTGATTATTGGCAAGCACTCTACGGATAATCCACTAAAACTGCCTTCTACTAAGTGTCATGACATCCGATCAAACTAGATCAAGGAGAGATTTTGAATCATAAGAATTCATGGTAGGATTCTTCGAAAACATCATAGAATGACACCTAGTACAACCGATCGCCGATTGTCCCGGCTCCCAGTGACCTGGGAATCATACACTCTGAGTCTGACAGTTCAATCTGTAGCCCTGGTGGCTCCCCGCCTACTGTACGCAGTAGGATACGGTCTTCTCCGTGCCGAGAATTTAGACACCCCATCCGACCAACCCTCAACCTATCCAGCACATGCAGTGGTCCTCATACAGGGGACCCTTCACCACCGCACAACACCGTCGTTCCCTTACTTCTCCTGACTCGACACATCGCCAAAGAACCGCTTCAACGCTCTCTCGGCCTCCCCGAATTGGTTCTTCGCGTCTCGGATGGTCTGCAGCAGCTTCTTTAAGCTGACGTCCATGTCCGGCTCCTCGCGCATGCCGGTCTCATCTCTCCGGGTGCCCAGATTCTGGATCTTCTCGCATGAGTCCTTCAGCTTCGTGAGCCCGAGGGCGGCCGAGGAGCCTTTCAGGAAGTGGCCGAGGGAGGACAGCTTGAGGATGTCTTTATTCTCGCTGGGAAGAATTGGGTTAGGGGTCGACCTCGATTTGATATGACGGATATGTGCTGGACGATATAGCAAAGGAATTGATCCAAGTGGTGCGATTGGGGAGGGATAAGGATATCGCTTACAAGTTTTCATCCATCTCCTGAAACGTCGACTCCGCTTGGCTGAAAAAGGAGTACACGAGTCCTTTGCTGAAATCTCGGTCTTCGTCACTATCATCCATCCCGAGGATCTGCTCGAATGTGCTGATGTCGATGACATCGGTTGGAAGACTTGCAACCGACCCAGGTTCGGACTGTTCGCGACGAAACATGTTCGTTAGCCCAGTCGCCCCACTCCCAATGCGATATCAAACGTGCAGGTAATGGCGAGATAGCACCTTGGACTTGGGCATTCTCGGGGATTTCTGCTCAAACCCGGGTGCGACGTGAACGGATATAGATCCGTTTGGGGTCTGACGATTCCCGGAACAGGAGTTGAGGATCTGAGACCACGACGCCGAATCTCAGATCGGTTGGTGGTGTGAAGTACGGGGTAAAGCGACAGGGTATGAAAATATGCGTGACGTACCCTATCCTCTGCTGATTCCATTCTGGTGGGTGCCATATTGGGATGTATCGATCGGCGCTGAATCCCTTGCGTTGGATGTGCAGCGTTTCGGTTATTTCTACGACGTGCTTCGATTCGGAGGTGAAATGTCCCACTGACAGCTTCGAGCTTATTTTGTCTGATTATTGATTTCGTTCCGTCAGATCGGCCGATAGCTCCAGGCAGGGTTCCTGATAAAGGTACCGCGCAGTTCTTCCTGGCCTCGTGGGAGCGCGTTGTGTGCTTGGAACGTATCCGCGCCGAGAACTTCTCCTACAACGTCGTCGTGGTACGAGCACGGTTCTTCGTCCACTCGCTCGTGATTCGATCGCTTCCTTTCCCCTCGGAGTCCGGTATCTGGGTAATGATGAACCCAGGATACACAATAGGAACGGATAACGTAGGAGAAGCACGTGTGGTGATGTGCAGTCTCAGGCGGGTGCTTGGAGGATTTGTCCAAGGCAGTACCGCGGCCGGAGTGATATTACACCACACCCGAACTACTGCAGTGTGGCCTGCAAATACCTGTATTGAGCAAGATATACGAGTCCGTCGACAGCAAATAGCGTGACGACTGACGAGCGACGAAAAGATTCAGATTGATAATCTTTCTCGAGGACGGTTGAGTTGTACACAGTGAAACACCGCAGTACAGAAGGCGGGGTGCTTTGGTGGGGCCGTCGCGTCACGATTGAGTAAGGTAGAAATATTGATGGATTGTCAAGATGCAACGTTGCTGAAGACTCGCTCGAAGACTTCACGATGAGATTCGGTAACCCGTATCCTGGGATATGCAAGAGTCAATTGGTGCCAAATGCGTACGACGGTGATGCTCCTACAGTTGTAGATAGTAGATATGGATAGCCGATGATGCACTGTGGCTGACAAAAGGGACTTGGTGTAGCCTAGAGGAGGTACGGGAGGTACGGGACCGATCCGTGGTGTCCCAGCGCAGTAATTGCCGAGATGACGAAAACGGACCGACTGTTCTTTCTCCACTGTAGTAACTCAGGTCTTAGGTGCACTGTGGATAGCCTGCCTGTTTAGGGTTGGATCGGAGATAGAAATGTAGAAATCGGGTCAAGAACTTAAGATACGGAATCGAGATACGGAATAGATGAATACATGTAAGAACTGAAGGCGGGGTTGGTGGTCTTCTTACAAATGAGATCGAATACTCCGTCAGATACCAATCGGGAAGGAAAGAAAAATAATGACCGGAACAGGACGTTCGTCAGCAGGATTCGGATCGACGTCGAGCAACGGTAGGGCTACCGTACTGCAAAACGCATATGAACAACCACTCAAACTCCCTTACTGAAAGTCGGATTTCGATTGACATATTAGGTACCTTAAGTTCCGGTTGGTAAGTATATACCCGTCATCCTTCCCTCCGAATTCCCTACTGTATGATTTATCCTTAAGTTGCGTTAGACTGAACGTATAACCTCCACTGCGTCCCCAAGGCTTTGAAGGACGCTTCACCCATGGAGTTGACCCAAATCCACGGATGAGGTGGACCAAGAGCCAAATCCCATCGCCCAAGTTCTGACGAATTTCCAACACAACAGGCTGCAGTATGTCTATTTACCCTGGTACGGGCGAGGGTCTAGCGCATACGGAGTAACTAGAAATGGATGGACCTCCAATTCTTCATTCCGCATCGCCGCATCCGCTCTAATGCTCTCCTACTCGTGCGGCATCTGCTGCCTATCTACCTACCATTCGGTAGGTACATATCATTACCTGTGCCGTGGCGGATAGCACGGCGGTTGCAATCCCATCTAGGGCCTGCTTTGCAGGCTTCCCTAATCCCCGGTGCACCCCCCGCGGCACAAGTGCCATGTGTAGCACGCATCTCCAGGACTCGGCGCGCGTCGTTCGGCGTGGTGAGTGGCTGCCAACATGGGAGCATCCTGCCCTGGAGCCCACACCATCAGCGTCGTTACTCGATCCGTAACTAGCTACGCCGCTGTGGGTCGCGAGAACCTAATTCGAACAGTCTAGACCCTGGGAGATGCGTTGTCCCAGCGGTTTGGACAACCTGTTTCGTCCCGCGGAGAGGGAGCGGTTGGCATCGTGGACGACGAAGGCGTTATGGTTAGCTGGATGAGCGTTGGAAGGTGGGACGATAATGACATCGTTGTGCATAGTGAATGGTGGCGCTGACGTCAATCCACTGTTGTACACCCAACATGAGCTCCGAGTTGAGACTTCGTGCTTTGAGACGCATCGCTTTTCGGTTTGGAGGGTTTCGTTTCTGGCTTGCAGGAATTCATACGATGTCCAGCCCATTCACGTTGATCTAGGGATAAGTCATGGGAAAGATTCCACTGTGTAGATCTTCGCTTGAAAAACAGAACCATAGATATCATCATTATCGTCCGCCAGATCCATCGCGCCTGGGCTTCCAGTAGCTTCGAGATCAGCGTGCTTGGCCATCGCGCAACCTGCAATGAGTCTGATTCATTCGCCGGTCGCTAAATTCCAAGGGCACACCTCCGAGGACCGCTCGACGAACCCTGGATGGGGGACTAGCTGCAGACGACTGTCGGGCTTGCAGTCGAAAGAGCTTGATCACACATCGCACATGACGCCGATGCTCACTGGTTAAGTACGTGCGTAATTACCGGATTGATCGGAACGGCCCCTGCATTGTTTTACGCTGCTGGACGAAGAGAGCGCAGACCGGCTGCGAGCATTCTTCGCTTCGGCCGTTATCAAGGCTCAGGAAATATGGGGCGAAATGTAAATGTACGGCAAGAATGAGCATAGGCCTATTGTGGTTTTGGTACCAGAAGAGTGGTGTCAGCATCACGCCGACGGCAGTGCGTACTCACTGGCGCAAGGAACCCCGTATCTGTTACGCTTCGATATGATAATACTGACTTAGCTTCGACACCTTTGTGAGAATCCATGGGAACGCAGGCTTGACACATGACACATATGATACGTATAGGTAGCGAGCATGCCTTTCGAGTGTATTGGAAGCTTGTATTCGAATCTATGAGACGCTCATCTAGCCACCTCGGATACCATACCAACGCTCGCCAGACCGATGAACGCGCGCCAGACCGATGAACGCGCGCCAGACCGATGAACGCGATGCACTAAACGATTTTTGTCCGCACTGGGACCTCAACGGAAAGGGTGGCTATTAAACAATGGGTGAAAGGGAAAGTACGGGAAGCGGATCGGATGAGGGTCCATCTATCCGGTGACCTTGTAGATGCTCTCAGCGAGCCGCTTCACGTTGCCGCTGGTGATACCCGCAACCGATATTCTCCCGTCCTTGGTGCAGTAAACGGAATGCTGCAAGCGATTAGCATATATATCAACCGTCCCCAGCGTCTGAACTACTCACCTCCTTCGCCAACGTCGCCACCTGCTCAGGCGTCAACCCCGTATACGCAAACATGCCGATCTGGCTCGTGATATGGCTCCAATCGCGCTTGCTCCCCAACTTCTCCAGATTGTCCTGCAGCAACGCCCGCATCTTGATGATCCGGTCCGCCATGCCCTTCACCTCGCCCAGCCACTGCTTGTTGAGCGCCGGGTTCGTAAGCACCTCGGCCGCGATGCGCGCCCCGTGGATCGGCGGGTTGGAGTACATCGGCCGCACGAGGATCTTGATCTGCGAGTCGACGTTGGCCTTTTCTTCGGCGGACTCGCAGACGACGGAAAAGGCGCCGGCGCGTTCGCCGTAGAGACCCTGGAGGTACGTTAGCGGACTCGATTTTTCGGTTCGCCGTTAGGGCAATGTCTTACCATGTTCTTGGCAAATGACTGCGCCAAAATCGGCTTGTGCCCGTCCTTAATGAATTGGCGAAGAGCGAACGCGTCTGCGTCGGTGTCGCCGGACGCGAACCCTTGGTAGGCCATGTCGAAGAACACCTGGTGCTCTCCCTCCTTCACCGCCTTGCTAATTTCCTTCCACTGTTCCTTCGTCGGGTCGATGCCGGTTGGGTTATGCGCACACGCATGCAACAACACAATGCTTCCCTTGGGGATCGTCTTGATATCCTCGACCATGCCCTGGAAGTCCAGCCCGATGGTGTCCTTGTTATAGTACCGATACTTCCCCACCTCCAGGCCACTGTCTTCGAAAATGGCCCCGTGGTTCGCCCACGACGGCGTCGGGATGTAGATCTTCTTCGTGCCGGGATAGAATCGCTCGAGGAAGGCCCCGCCGATCCGCAGCGCGCCTGTTCCGGAGATGGACTGCGTGGCGGAGATGCTCCCGGACTTCAGGGGTGCAGAGTCGGCGCCGTAGGCGAGCTTCGTGGCCGCTTTGACGAAGTCGGCGACGCCGGTGATGGCGGCATACTCCTTGTCGAGGCCGCTGTTGACGAATTGGAGTTCGGCGGCTTTAACGGAGGGGAGGACGTAGGGTTTGCCTTGGTCATCGCGGTAGGCGCCGGCACCTGAAGTTGGGTTAGGGGCCACGATACTCCATCGATATAGCAATGGATCAGAACGTACCGAGGAGGATCTTCTCCGGGTGGGAGTCTGCCTTGAAGGCTTCGGAGATACCTGTGCAAGTGTCAGTACTAATGCTCTTTTCGGAAATCGTCTTGTGGAGTGTTCGTACCTAGAATGGCCTGAGTCGCACCAACAAATCAAGTGTCAGTTACAACGCGCTTCAGGTTCCGTTCCAATTCGATTCTACGCACATCCTAATCAATGTTAGCTCAATTGGGCTCTCCTCATGACACAGCATCGCGAAGACATACTGGTGGACCTTGTGGGACTTTCGACCATGCTGAAGCAGCGCGGACAGCGTAGACGGGTCGGAACTGTCGAGTGGCCACTTGCCTGGCGGCAGCTCGTGCGGAAAGCATAGTGGTTTGGAGGGAATGAAGGGGTAGCTAAGGGACGGGCAGCAAAAGATCGCAAGTCTGTAACAATTAATAGTTGAAGGTAAGGAGTTCAATGTCTAAAGTCTATAAAGTGTCAACACAAAAGGATGAGGTGATGAACGGATGATGATGGGATTGGAAGTAATATTATTAGAACACGTGGTGATGGTGGTGAATGGGGGAAATTTGTTAGGAGGGAATCCGCGGGAAGCTTTCATAAATCACGCAGATGAATCACACCAGAATAACCAATATTAATATGACCAGATGTCCATTGTCGCGATCCCTGGTCTTTTTCGTCCCAGCAACCGTGGAAGTGGATGGATGGATGGTCTGGGGTCTGCGCTAATCCGCTCCAAGTAAAGCCATCGGCATTTAAGGGGGGATTGGCAGAGAATTCATTCCAATCGGGCAATCCGAGCCGTGGCCAGGCGTGGAGGGAATCGTTAATCGTGGGATGGCCCAGCCCCGATCCAAGGGTCCTCCAGATTTCGGCGCATTCCGAATAAACGAAATTGAAGTTGGGGATTCTTGAGTCAACATCTGCCTTGGGAGATGCTCCAGGTCCACGCCATCCATCAGATATGCGAGTTTGCTTACGGAGGGCGTTGTCGCTGTCACAGACTTCCGCTGCTGTTGTAACTCCCCGTCTCCTGTCGCGACCTGTCAATGTGCGTCCTATATGGAGGTTGGCAAAGTCGTCGCGCCACATAGGGGGATCGTTCTCTACTTATCCCAATGTCTCCTATGTGGAAGCGGAGGTGGCTCGAGATGAACAGCAGGACAGTGAAGACAATGCCTTGGAGCAGGTAATCAAAGGACAATTACCATACAGCTGTCCGGGTTGCGGTGCGCCAACGCAAACTGTAGACCCCGATGACGCTGGATATTTCAGCACTACACGAGGAGCTGTAAAAGCGTACTTGAGACATCAAGCGCAACCGTCACAGACCACAGAAGATGCCATTTTCGCAAATGCGTTACAGGAGGCAAAGTTGGATACCCTCCAGGAGTTGGGGATCCGGGACCTCTCCAAAGGTAGGACTGACCATCCACCTTATATAAAGATATCGAACTAATGCTATAAAGCCGGCGCAACCCTCTCAACATCTCCATCGGCACCAATATGCGACCGATGCCACAACATCCTCCACCATTCCACCGGCGTCTCCGTCGTCCACCCGACCCTCAACTCCCTCGAAGCGACTATGGACGAATCCCCCTACAAATACAACCACATCTACCACGTCATCGACGCTGCGGACTTCCCCATGTCCGTCATTCCCAACATCTACCGCACCCTCAACCTCGCGCGACCGCGGACGCAAAATCGTCGGTCGAAGCACATCAACTGGCACCAAGGTCGAGTGACCCAGCTCAGCTTCATCATCACGCGAAGCGACCTGCTCGCGCCGAAGAAGGAGCAGGTGGATCATATGATGTATTACCTGCAATCGGTCTTGCGCGATGCGCTGGGCCATAGGGGCCAGGATCTGCGGCTGGGAAACATCCACTGCGTGAGCTCCAAGCGCGGCTGGTGGACGCGCCAGGTGAAGGATCTGATCTTCGAGCGGGGCGGGGGGAACTGGATGGTCGGGAAGGTGAACGTCGGAAAGAGCAATCTGTTCGAGGCCGTCTACCCGAAGGGGAAAGGAGACGATGTCAATATCCAGAAAATGCGGCAGCAGGTGAGGGCCGCATCGGGGGGCGAACGACCGGACGCATATTCTCCACTCGACGATCCAGGGCGAGGTGCGTCAGGTCAAGATGATCTAGCTCTCCTTCCTCCGCCACAACCAGAGGTTCCTTATCCGGTCATGCCAACGATATCTTCACTTCCGGGGACCACCGCATCCCCTATTCGCGTCCCGTTCGGGAACGGAAAAGGCGAGCTGATCGATCTCCCCGGCTTGGAACGCCACTCCCTCGAGCCGTACGTGCAGCCCGAGCATCAATCCAAACTCTGCATGACGTCTCGCGTTGTTGCCCAGCGGCTCACCATCAAGCCCAATCAATCTCTGCTGCTCGGCGGCGGCCTCGTCCGCATCAAGCCCGTGACTGAGGACGTGATCTTCCTCGCCGCCTCCTTCGTGCCAGTGGAACTCAAACCGCACGTCACTAGCAATTGGAAAGCGGGGGAGTTCCAGACTGGCACCCGCAACAAGGAGACAGGCCTTGAAGTCATCACGACGGACGACGCGAAGGCGCATATCAAGAGTGCTGGACGGTTTCCACTGCGGTGGGACGTCACCAATCAGCAGGCCGGTCCGCTGACAAGAAAGGATGATGTGGCCTTGAAACCAGACCGGTTGCCGTTCCGGGTCATGGGGGCGGACATCCTCATCGAGGGGTGCGGATGGATCGAGATCACCGCGCAGATACGGAAGGGAAAGCGACTTAGGCAGCTACCTGCGGAGGGGGCAGCCGAAGGTGATGAGAAGCAAGATGCGTCCACTGAGGATAATGGCGAGACAAGTCAGAATTGGTATCCGAGGGAGGGGGCCGAAGAAGAGTATCCTATGGTTGAGGTATTCACGCCGTACGGCAAGCACATTGGCAGCCGACAGTGCATGAATGGATATCTCATCGGCGGACCGAAGCCGAAGACGGCCGCGGAGAAAATGAGGAAGCGACCTAGGATGAGCATGAAGAGCGTGAAAGCCCAGCGACAGCCGCAGAATTAGGGATCCGAGGGTTGGGTTCGGCGTCTCTCATTGTAACATTATTGTATGATCCTGTGGACATGGCATGATGATAGATTTTACAGCGGACCGGGAGGTGGTCCAGATAATGTACAGCGTATATGTTCTAGTATCACAGTTCAACTCGGCTCGGCCTCGCTCCGCCCGTCTCTGGTGTCGTCACTATCGGCCGACTTGACTGTTTCTCTCCGTGAACCCTATCACCTAGCTCCTGCGATGGGAGCTCGTTTTCCGTCGCTTCTTCGCCAGCCTTCACAGGACAGTTTCGTGACATATGTCCCTCTCCTCCGCAGTTATAGCACAAAAACTGCTCTCTTTTGCGTCCAGTAGTCGGCGAAGATTCTCGAGTGGATTCTTCCCCCGCATATAACTCTTCAGACACCTCATCCTCGATAAGGGCGAGCTCTGCCTCGGTCAATTCCTCGGCCAAATCCTCAAATTCGCCCAGCGCAGCGTCCACTCCCTCCGTCTCCTCCGGGCCTCCCACCGGCAGTGCCCTCCGCCTCGGCTTTCCGTCGGGGTCCTTCGGCGGCAACTCCACCCACCGCAAGCTATTCCCAATCAGCGGCAGCCCATCCTCCGGTACCCCCAACCGCTTCCGCTCCGTCCGCAGGAAGTCCATCCCCCACTCCGTCCGCATGACCCGCATCCTCAGCAACCAACCGTACGGCCCCAGCTCCCTGATCCGCGCCGGCGTCTCGCCGAGCAGGTACCGATCCAGCCCACCGCTTTTGTCGACGGTGCGCATCACCTTCGTCGTGATGTGAAGGCGGATGAACTGTCCCAGGGCGACAGAGTAGATGCGTTTCCATTGCGCGTTCGGTTTCCAGATCCGGTTGGTCTTGGTCTTGAAGATCTTGCCGCGGTTGTTCCCAAAGCGGACGCGCTGGCCGCCGTAGAGGCCGGAGTTGGCGGGCTTGTAGATGTCGTTGGGGTAGGGATATGGGGGAATGGTTTCGTCGGGTTTGCGGAGGTAGGGGGGCGGTCGGCGGGTGTATTTGCTCGGGGTTGGGCGAGGGATGTATTTGCGCGCAATGGAGAGGGGGGAGGAGGTTGTGAAGGCGCGAGTCGGGGCGGAGACGGGTTTGAGGATGGACGGGCGGATGCGAAAGGGGAGGGCGTGGAGGGAAGAAGCCATTGTTGGTGACTGGTATGGCTTATGGGTTTATGAGAGCATAGTGAGTGGGATGGATGACGCGATTGTCCAACGCAGGATCGTGGTGGTGGAAACGAGGTGCTGATGAGTTCAACTTGTCAAAAAATTGTCATGCAGCTGTTTGGATGAAGTTCAAGTCCTAGTCACGTGCAGCGTCTGGCCCCTATTAACTCATCACAGATTCACGGATTGTCTGACCTCAACATCAAATAGGAAACATGAAATATCAATAACTAGCATTTATTCCTTAGATCATCCATAAAACCTGCTGTTCTTAATGATTTTACTCTTTTACTTTTCTCCATGTTCTGAAGTATAATCAATAATTGAGTATTGCCTGTGCTACCTGTCAACGTATTCCTTTCATAGAAGTCCTATGCACATCATTTGAGTAACTTATACCAAATTAAACGTCTGTTATTCTATTGGTCCTTCTTCAGTTGTTCTATCTATTATATTGCGTACGTAGGTGTCCCTTCAAAAAAATTCCCGGGACGAACTGTCCCGCGATCCTTTCGTCCCACCTGGGGTACCGGTAGTTCCCTCTACGCCAGATTCTAACCAGATTGCAGCCCACTGCCTTGCTATCAGCATCTTGGGCCTTCAGCAGTTTCCTGACGTAAACAGTATCGGAAGTTACAGCTCTGCACATACTCAGTATCACCAGCTCTGTACTAGAAAGTATCCATAATCAACTTCTTCCCACCCGCTTTGAAACCTATACTCATCCTTATGTCAACGTCTTAAACAAACGCTCCACCGCCTTCACCGTGTCTTACACCACGGTCCACTGTCCTAGCACCCTCAAGCTCATCCAGATGGTCACGCATCTGATGCTCTCCTACGGAACACATTGGGTCAGAAGGCAAAAATATTCGGGCTCCTCCTCACACCACTACCATCCTTAGAGGAGTTCGAGCTCCATGTGACTGCTCCGTCAGAATTCGTTGAAAATTAGAGAAAGAATTAGAACACCACCTACTGATTTGGCGAGAAGCGTTCCAAGTCCTTGTTAAGCCCATGAGAGACAGAATATATTTAAGAGACGGAAATTAGAGTATGCACCCTTCGAGCTTGATACCATAACGATGGTGTTAAATTTTGCTGGCTCAACTGCTTGGGAACATCTGGACGGAGGTACAACTAATTTGTCAGTTTCGGGCGCGGCTTAGGATGCCTCTACCCTATAGGACCAGAGATCTGAAGACGAATCAACCTAGAATTGGACACTGAACATAGAATATATAAGAGTGAAGAGGGGCCACAAGATGAGCGAGCATAATTGAAGCAGAAGATGACAGTAAGTCACTCATTGAGGAGCACGTCTTGGCCAAGTAACTCCGACCTAGCTGATAATCAAAGATGGCATCTTAGAGCGTCCTTTCGGGCAGCGATCTTTGGTCGAGGAAACCTGCAAAACCACGTACGATGAGAGCAGCACAATCATCCGTCATTGTTGCGTCTTTATGGGCTCAAGCTCATCGTCCGCGGCTTTCTACTCAGACCCCAAACTCCTGCGAGGCCGGTCACAAACATAAACGATGACGGGGCAGGTCACTTAAACGCGAACCTGTAGACTTACGATCTCGATTCCTGACTTCTTATATAGTACCTTCTATAGGATACAGTCACAGATCTAGACCGATACTACCAACGAGATGAAAGATACGACCGAGGCGGATATAAAGATACGACCGAGGCGGATATAAATAGTGACGACTACCGTAGGTGCTACTTCGACCTCCTTTAAAGAGGGTAAAGAGCCCAAGTCACTATCATAGACGTTAGAACGGATTTAGGCTCGCGGGAATATACTGACTAAAAGCACTTAGAGGCATAGGAAGCAATCCAAGAGGTCGAAACGGATGGATTGGCATACAATGGTGCCAAAGCAACTCAAGAAGCTGTATTTCTCCCAAAATTCGAGATTCAAACCATATTGAAAGCAGTACTCTCAAAATTGAAGGCGAATGGAAATGATAACACTGAAGCTGACTATGACGTATCACTCCTCACGGAATATTTCTCGTTGTGACATCCCATTAGTGAAGTATATTTGCCATCCTAATTGTGCCGGAAGATCGGACTGTGACTATATTGTTTATTATATCTATAACTAGCCGTCTTCCTAGTTTGCAAACCAATATTACCTGGAATACAATTATGATTCATAATTTTTTCCCCCCCTGAAGCCAGGAAGTATATTTCTACGCATCGAGGGCCTCATAATCCTGCTGATAGGCAACATACACCGCGCCCCAACATGTCAAGACATCACATAAGCCTAGGTTCCACCACTCGCCCTAGGACTTTTTGTTTAGGGTCTTCTCCAGTGCCACTAATCCAACCCCCTAGCGCACACCCCGACGCATTATCTCAGAAGTTCGACTATGAGCTCTCCTTCTAAGCTGGTTTACAATAGGAAACTTGCAAGTATCTGCTGCCCGGATTTGGAGTCGCTTGCGCAGCTAGTCCGATCTACCCTCGGCCAATTGGTGGGAGAGGGCTTCCAACTAATAAAAGCCACTCGAATCTTGACGGATTTGGCACAAGCCAACCTCATCGAACTAAAGGGGTCAGCTGAGAGTGTAGTGGACGATGTACGGAATGAGTTCTTTTGAAGGAAGCGGAGGGTTTATAATTTCGCACAGTGGGCTAGTGTCTTGGAGGTGTCCTAAGCAAGCAGCGTAGTAGGGACACTTACGAGCAAAGAAAGGTGCCCTCCATTTTATCTACGGTCATCGTACACTTCTGTTAGAACGTGCATCTCCAATGGACTGGTATTGCGATACTGACTCTCATGGATGGGATGATTAGATTGAAATATGGTCTGATTGAGGACTCAGAATGTAGTACCGAGTTCGTCTCTGCAAACGAATAGTCATACCAAAGGCCGCTCGGCCCTTGATCGAGCAAACAATTCGATGCATCACAGCATACCACAAAGGACTAAATCAACAACTCAATCTGCATTGCTCTCTTTTCATAGGGTATCAAAGTCCGAAAGGCGTCACAGCCCCAGTATACCGTATATCCTGGTCTGTCGCCAATTTTAGGTATATGTACATTATCACTAGGCATAAGGTGATGGCCATGGTCATCATGCAACCCTGTCGTCAGTTGTGAAAGCATTGTAAAGAACTAGACCTCCAATGCCGACCCCCAGGACTCCAAGGGCACATCTAGTGGTTCCGCGGGTGTAATCCAAGCAGTAGACAGCTCACATGACCACGCAGTCATCGCGGTGTTTTTGGTTGTTTCGACTGAGCCTCTCCCGTCCGCGCTGGCTCTTCGCGCCATTTTTCTTCAGTTCATCAAGCCGCTCGGCTGCCTTGGGGAACTTGAATGCTGTACAACGTTAGCGCCAATGTCCGTGGCTGGAAGTTGAGAAATGGTGTGACATACCAGCTGCCCGTCCATACCACCGCTTCGCCTCCTCCAAACTCCTCGGACAGCCGATCCCCACTTCGGAATAGTACCCGAGCGCAAACAGCGCTTTCACCACCGGAGGGTTCGCGAGGGCCGCCTTGCGCGCCCATAAGTACGCCTCGGTATCGCTCTGCTCCAGAATGCCGGCTAATCCCGTGAGGTACCAACCGGACAACGCCAGCTCGCTTTCGTGTTCTCCTTGTGCGGCCGCGCGTGAGTACCAGATAATGCTATTCCTCGGGTCCACCGGCTTCCCCAACAGTCCGTACTCGTACATGAGCCCGAGCCGCTGTTGACTTTGCTTATAGTTCAACCGCGCAGCTTCCTCAAACAACTGCGCTGCATACTTCGGATCGGGGATAATCCGACTGTTCGGCCGTTGTTTCTCATACAGGAGGCCCAGTTCATGCAAGGCGTGCGGATTGTCTTGATCTGCTTTTTCGGCCGCGCGTTTGAGCCAGTTCAGCGCTTCCATGTCATTCGGCTGTTGGCCGAGGAGTCCGCGGAGGAGGATCATCCCCATCTTGTACATCGCCGCCGCGTCGCCGAGAGCCGCGGCCCGCTTGTACCACTGCACGGCTTTGAGAGGGTCTTTGCGCGTTCCACCTCCGTCGTCCGAACCGAGCTCACAGCATACTGCAGTACGGTATGCAGACGGTGCGTGACCGAGTTTCGCAGCAGACTGGTAAAGTGGGAACGCTTCCCGCGGGTCCACGGGGAGGCCAAGCGCGCCGGTGCCGTAGCAATCACCTAGGTAGAATTGAGCGGGAGGGTAGTTGTGGCTGACGAGCTTCTTGACGACCTTGTGCGCATCGAAATTGTAACGTTCACGCATCCTTTGAAGTTGTTTGGGGTCCATTCTAGGGTTGTCCCGCCCGAGATGGTCGGCTGCGGCGACAAGCGACTTCGCAAGCTGAAGAGCCGTCGCATTGTCGCCTGGGTTGGCGCGCACATGGAGCCGGAGCCTCTCGAGTTCCTCGGCAGTGATAGGGTCAGAATCCCGGCGAGATGTGACTTCGGCGCTCGCCCGGTTGTTAGAACTTGGTCCCGGAACCGGTACGGCAGCTCCGCCGGGATATTGTCGCACTGGAGGCGGTTTCGATTCCATTAAGCCTGGCCTAACCGGGACAGGGTGTGCTGGGAGAGCATCAGGGTGAGCGGGCCTTGGAGGACCTGGATGGGCTGGGAGGGCGTCAGGATTAGTGGCCCCAGGGAGAGCATTGCGAACACCACCAGGCCCCGGATCAGACCATTGAGACTGGGCAGTCTGATTGCGTGTGAATGGCGGGGCAGCGGAGCGGTTGTTGGGAGATAACGGCTGTCCCATCGGGCTTCCTTGTCCATAAGGATCTGTTGCACTCCGTGGTCCATTGGGGCCCCTTGGGATTGAGGTGTTGATTGGATGAGTGTTCCCATACCCTACAGCTCCAGACATTGGTTGTTGGGGATATCCAGTCGCTCCATTGGGTGGAAGGTCTGGCACAGGACCGTAATCGTCATAGGAATACCCTGCAGGCCCTCCACCACGGAGATTTGGTTGGGAGCGAACCTTTTGCGCTTGGTGATACATTTGGTTCGAGCCGCCACCGTACTGATCGGGTTGGCCGTTGACTGGTGGGTAACCTCCCTGCCTGTGCGAATCCTGACGCGCTGGCGCAGGAGAACCCTTCCGTGCTGCGTCCATTTGAGGGTCGAAATTGAGTGGAACAATATTGCTCTCCTCGACCGGTTGCGCGTCAAAGTTCGGCATATTTGCTTCGATTTCCTCTTCGCGAGTAGGTTGGTATGCTTTATATGCACCATTTTGCTGAGGTTCTGGGGCAGCAGATACTGGACCAGAGTCGTTGTAATAATCGCTGTATATGTCGCCCATGCTCTCATGCTTATTATACGATGGTTGGATATTCTGCTGCGAAAATCCTGGTCCACCTGCACTCGGGGGATATTGTGGATTAATTCGAGCCTGCGGTGGTGGACGGCTGCCTGTTGCCGTCGAGGGGCGAGGAGGCATGTGCTGTACAGATCGACCAAAGTCATCCATACCAGGTCCAGCGGTAGCTGATCTCTCCGGTGGAACAAACTGCTGAGCGGGTTTTGAGAAGTTGCGATGGCCCTGTGGCCCTGCAGAGTTTATGCCGCCCCGTGATTGCGGCGCATCACGTCGAGATTGCTCCCTGTTTGGTCTGCCATCGTTGATGTTCATTGCGGCCATCCCCTGCGTGGGAGGATCGCTCGGCGCTGGCTTCGTCGGCTTCGTCGGCTTCGGTGGATTCTTCTTGGACGGAAAAATTGGGAACGGGTTATCCATCGATAACGTTTCCGGCGAAACAGGCCTGACGAGAGGTTCCCGAGCTAGTTGCGCTGTTAGACGTCGCCTCCTTGTTTCTAAAGCAAGCTACTCACCTTGACGAGAAGGAGCCCGCGCTTGACTTGGTGGTGGGTTCTGTGGTGGTGGTTGTCTCCCCGGGTTTGGACCATGTCCTTTGCTGAAGTTCTGGACCGGAGGGGCACCTCTCGGAGCATCGTTGCGATACTGGCCTTGAGGATACTGCTGGGTCGGCGGGGGTCTGCCCCTACCACCACCGTTCATGGGAGGGCGTTGCTGCTCGGGCAGCGGTCGTCCTTGTTGGCCTCCATATTGTCCCTGACTGTATCCACTGGCCGAGTGTCCGCCCCCGTTGTAGTCCTCGTACCCATCGCCATAGCCGTACCCATCGTTTCCATCATATCCATTATAGCCCTGATCATATCCATAGTCGTAGCCTTGGTCGTAGCCTTGGTCGTATCGTTGGGGAGCTGGTGGTGGCCCTCGAGGAGGGCGCTGGTTTCCGTAATATTGCGGTCCTTGTTGGGAACCGCTGTGCTGATTGTATGCCATTATTTGAAGCGAAAGTATCCGAGTTGAGGAAAGAGAAAAGGATTAGGGCCGAAATGAAGGTATATCATGAAGGGAAGCGAGGAAGCATGCTTCAACACGTTGCGCCAACAATGCGAAAGAATGAATTCTGTGCAAAGCAGTTGTCGGGAAATCGGATTGTGTTCTGGGAATCAATGCGACGGCGCAAGTAGGGCGAATCGATGTCCGCAATATCAATTTTGGTGGGTCTGACCGCTGACGTAGGGATTCCCTTTCTTATTTGCAGGATGGATGTATTAGAGAGAAGTACAAGGTCGCCTCGGCGGAGACGTTGTGCCTGGGAGTCAGACGGGGAATAAGGAAAGGCTGAGGTGAACAGTCCACACCCCCAGCGTCGTTTGGTAGATATGAGAATTGCTTGGTTCCTTGCGTGTCGTCAAACCGTCAAACAGGAGGAGGCGATGGATTGGGTATTTGGGATGGATTTGGGTCACGACACGGAATCCTTGTACGCGTGAACGTTGTTTGCGGTGAACTGGGATTGTAACGGAATTACCGGGTCGTTCGCATAGGGATGAAGAATCTAGAAACACAAGGAAATGAGCAGCGGAGGACCGGTTAGCCGTAAGGGAGGCGGTAAATTAAAAGAAGAGCCTCGAGACGACAATGGGTTTCACATTCCCGGTGTTCTCGACTTCCGCCTGACGGTGTTAGGTTCCTGCATGCCTCGTGATCGCAGTCGTTTGGCCTTGCAGCACGAAAATCGAAACGAGTGGAAGCGGATCCAACACCCCCCGACCAACAGCACGTAAGATGTGCACTGTCAGCTTGACTGGCTTGAGGCGGAGAAAAAGGAGTCGCGTGTGTTCAACGGCTTTCAAGAGTTAAGTGCACTGACGATGTTCCACGCGTCGCAGTTAAGATGGGCTACAGCCAATCAGCACCGAACGGTTGGACATGGAGAGGTTGCGCAAGCTTCCGCGCCGTTGCCTCTCGTCGCATCCCATCAGGTGTTAGCTATCTATAGGCGGAATGATCATCAGGGCGATCATGATGGATACAGGCATGTCTGACTTCATCGTGGCTGTGACACCTTTTGCTCGCCGTAGGCGGTCAATCCCCCGCCCGGACAATTGTAGTACCCGTATCACGTTATATATCTGGCATGAAGATATTGTTGGTAGGAATGAGGAGACATTTGACACACACACCTAGTCTCCAAACATAGAACATATAGAAGCCTCCCGAAGTCGGCGGAATATAATATAGTAGCTCTCTTTACTCCGTATTGTGTCTAGCAAAGGTAAGGTCGACCCCTGGATAGAGCTTCCTAGAGACTCATGAGAGATCTACTTAGGTGTTAGCGAGCTCCCCTCCGTGTCGGAATAGATCAGCTGCGATGCGCCTTGCATTTGGAAGAAAAGGGGAGGTTGATAGTCTTAGCCTGTCGATCCCATAAAGTGATAAAAGTCATAAAACCCGAAATGAAACCACAATTGAGTTCGGCTGTTAAGATAAGGAATGCAAATCAGCAAAGGTGCCAGAGCAGATGGTCATCAGCCACATCGCATACCGTACTGTGGCACAGTCTAGTCACGTGATGGTTTTTGATGAGCTAGCATCGATACGATATGAATTATGAAACCACCCGCAAGGACACCATACTCTCCAGTATTTACTTATCACCATTTTTAAGCTTTTCAATAAACAGGGTTTTTACAGGGCGAAGGCCTGGTTTATCTCCCGAGAAATCTCGACCAGCCTGTCGACGACCGTTGCCTGACGGAGGAACGACTCGTCAGCGTGTCGAAAGAGAGGAAACAAGACGAAGATCATAATCTCACGTCCTGATTGACCTCAACAGACGCGAACCCGGCCCTCTCTCGTTGCATGAATCAGTTTTAGTAATCTGAGCCATAATGCCCGGTTGGCGGCTCTTTGGAAAGATGGCTGCCGTGTATGTGATCGGAACGACCTGGGTTGAGACTTGAGAGCAACGCTGATAACTCTCTAGGACGGCAGTCTGTGTCATCGGTGGCCCAGCGTTGGTCTACTATGTCACACCGACGGAAGAGGAATTATTCAAAGTACGTTCACAGGAGTTCTTCACGTCCGGACCCTCTTCCTTAATGTCTTTGCTCGTTACCAGAATGCTGTCCCGGAGCTGCGTCTATACCAGCTCCCACCTAGGCCATTCATCGTTCATAAAATGCTCAGAAGCTGACTCCTCGTAGAAGTACAATCCCGATCTCCAACGGCGGGCAATTCAAAACCGTCAGAAGCGAGAAGAGGAGTTCGATAAGTTCGTGACGGACTTGAAGAAGCACTCAAAGTCGGACAAAACAAGTAAGTTGTTTCGGCATCTATGACAGTATCATTCGCGTTGACATCATTTCTAGTTTGGATCGAACAGGCCCGGACGGAGAAAGCGGAAAGGAAAAGGACTGAGGAAGAGATGGCAAAATGATGAATCCGGAGCTGTCTCCAGAAGCGCGGCCGAATCAGCTTCTCTACCTCTGGGTTATCAAGCTGATGAATGGCGCAAGACCGAGAAGCCTATCACAATTGATGGCTTCCCTATAACAACACTGTTGATTTGGGATTGAAGTTTTATGAGCGCCATGAACAGATTATCCCATCTAGGGGAGTCCCATTCGCGGACGTGTAATAACAGATGCTCTAAATGCAACCGTCAGTTGAGTACATGCTGACACATATTCACATCTGTTGCTGGTATAGAATCGCTACTGGCAAGCCGGATTCTTCAGCTCCCAGGCACTTTATGACAACTCCATTCTAGATCTTGTTGGAGGGGATCCTAAGTCCCCTAAAGTCATTCTCGTTTGCGACAGAAACTTCACTCATTCAGGCTTTCTAGGTTGGTTTCTTCGGATACGTTGCTAGCACCCTGGATGCACAAGGATTCTCGAGCCTGCGAAATTCGTTCCGAAATCTCACATGGAGCCCTAGGTTGGAGGCCATTGGGGAAACTGGTTACGCAGATTGGGATGCCAAAATGCGCTCTCTAACCAGCCATCCAATTCCAAAGGTGGCTCCAGGCCCCAAAGCGACAAACAGCGGAACACCACATAAGACGACGGTCACCAGGCTCGTGTCAAGTATCCCGGCACGTTTGAGATCCACGTACGCGTACAAAAGCCAAAGGTGCGAGCTGGCCGCACCGAATACCTCATCCCATTGGACAAAGTTGGTCATGAACGTTGACCAATGGCTCCCGGACGCATCCACGACCGGTGTGAAGATCTCGAGAGGCGAGAAGGGAGAATTCAGAAGGACGTAGAGCCATGCGCCGATTGCCACCAGGATCAACGGAATCAGGGTGAGTTGCATAATCCCCAATCCAACGGTTCCAGTGCGGTTTGCGCGAGGCTGTCCTCCCGGGTTGAGGATATTGACGAGGATCTGGACCGCTCCGACGAAGAGCGGAAACGGCTGCCACAGCCAATTCGCATCCAGTCGAGTGGCGTAGGAAGGATGGAGATGGGACACGAAATGTGGGACGTAGAACAGTAGAGCCATCAGGGGCAACGTCGTCCACGCAACTTTGACGTTGATTGAACGCATCTGAGGGTTCTTCAGGACGGCAGCAGGAGCCGCTGTTATGTAGTTGAGGAAATAGTAAACGGGCCCAATAACACCGAAGCCTCGAAGTTGAGCCAGTGTACCAAAGAAGGCAGGTCTGATGCGGGTCAGCGGCTTTCGCGATTCAACCACGAGTCAGACCAAGTTCTTACATGCGAGCGGCGGTATACTGGTTTCCACCCCTGAGAGACTCAAATATCCAAATCGTGTACACGACCCCAAAGTCACAGATGAACGTGAGCATCTGCCACCAACCAACCGGCTCGACAGCGAGCAGCCAGCTCGAAAATACGGCAACAATGGGGCGCAACAAGTCGTCGATGAATTTGATATGGTAGAAATGCTCTCTTAGCGCGAGGGAGTTGCCATCCCAAGTGAGCTTTCTGGCCACAACCATTTTGCCTGCCTCAATAATTTCAGGGCCCTCAAAGGTCATGAGCCTGGCTGCAGCTGCAGATAGAACTATGAACGGCGAAGCTTTGAGAGCCTTAATCAAAAAGCTGTCCGCTTTCACGGAACTTGTCTTCGATCTGGACGCCATGGCGGTGACGGAAGTCGATTCAAAAACAAGGTGAAATAGGGGGGAGATTTTAGTAGGTTAATGGAAGAGGGGATGCGGGACTCGGGAGGCTGCAGACTTAATCCTATATATAAGGACCCAACAAATGCGGGTGCTGACGACTATGGCCTGATTCGGCAATCGACGCGGAAAGGATTGCAATAATACGGAGAAACTGTAAATAATAATCCAGCACAGGATGAAAGTTGGAGGGAAGGCTTGCTTGCTCAGTGTGCTATCGAATCAGAGCCAAGAACCCAATCGATCGGTGTCACCAGTCACAAGGAAATGGGGCCGGCTTACCTCCTGAAAACACCACAGCCGAGATGTCAACGCTATCTTTAACCTTATTGTTGTGAACGTCGGCTATTCAGGGATGGCATGGATCTCTGCCATGTGTGACGTCGGATGCTAGAGAGGACTGCCCAATTCTGAGTCGCGTCCAAGGGAGGCTTGGGTCTTGAGGCTCGAGGAGAGCCCAGAGAGGTGAAGCCAGAGCCCAGAAACTTGGAGACCGCCGCGATGAGCCGAATCTCTTTCCAGCTACACTCCCTGGAGCCCCTACAACGAATTCGCAAATGGGCACCAACCATTAGGAGTTGATATTCAGGATATCTAGCGTCTGGCCTATGGAATCTGTCGGCACAGAACCACTTGTCCAAAAAATGGAGTCAGGTCTGCCGAATTGCCCTTGTCTATTCCGTAATTCGGTACTCCTGAACTCCAGACCTAGAGTCACGGGTAATGCACCGCCGTCCACGGATGATTGGGCCTAGCCCAGATTCCATGTTGGTGCCTTGTCGATTCAGGAGTCGGTTTACCTCTCTTCTCCACCGCAACGGCCGTACCGGTATCGGATAATAATTCGGATTTCTCCAGCTCTGACTCAACCCTCGACGACCGCGAAGTTCACTAATGACGGCACCGGTCGAATTTTGAAGAGGAAGTTGAAAGGGAAATCACTTCAATGTATTTACGCGCTATCCATGCCGAATCCGATGTTGAGGCTCTGCGCCAATTCATCCAAGATAATCCCCTCGGAATCCTTGTCACGGCGCTACCGTCTTCGAATTTTCCGACGATACAATGCAGCCATATCCCGTGGATATTAGACATCGATGGTACGAGTGACGTAGAGGAAGAGCGGGGACTTGGGAAACTACGAGGACACATGGCGAGAGCGAATCCCCATTCAAAGGCCCTTGCTGAAGCAGCACGTTCGACATCCTCAAATGGCGCAGTGGAGCAAGAGGTTTCCGTCCTCTTCACCAGCAAAGTGGATTCATATGTCACGCCGAAGTTCTACGTGAAGACGAAGCCAGCCACCGGAAAGGTCGTCCCTACTTGGAATTACGCAGCCGTTCAACTCTACGGCCGCGCCACCATCTACTTTGACCACCAGGATCCAGTTACTCAAATCTATCTCCAGTCGCAGATAACGGATCTGAGCAAATACTGCGAGGAGCATCTAATGGGCCATAGCGGCGGAGAGTGTCCATCTGCATGGGAAGTCAGTGATGCTCCTGCAGCGTATATCGATCAGAGGAAGAAGGCCATCATCGGGATTGAGATCGATATCGATCGGCTGGAGGGGAAGTGTAAAATGAGTCAGGAAATAGGCGACGAAGATCGTGAAGGCGTTATAGAAGGGTTCAAATCCCTTCAAACCGATAATGGGAACGAGTTGGCAAGTTTGGTCCAAGCGCGAGGGGCGAAGAAGAACAAACACTCGAGTTCTGGTGTGTCCTAGCATTGGATCAGGCTCATAGCTTAGTTGCAGCGGCCGCTGTAACTTGGAATAGACAGTACAACTATTATATCTGCGAAGTTCAATGAAAATCTTGAAAACATGCACACACATCTACTGTGGCGGAGAACAGACCCAAGCGACGGAACTGTTAGTGGCTTGAATCTTGATTCTTAATGCCTCCAGGCAGAAAAGCAGCGTACGTGTTGCTCAGCTTCTGCTTCCTGTTTCTGTATCCTCTGGCTTTGAATTTTCCGGTCAGGACAAATTTGCGCCCCCTCACATTGACCTCCTCAGCTGATGTTGGCGGTTTACTCTCTTGTCATAAATCCTCTAGTGCTGGGAAAGCGTCTAAGTATAGGCTACCCTCGAGCATCTCAGCCTTAACATTCAATGAAGCTGCCGAACACTTATCGCCCCCTCCTTGCCTCGATGAGGCTGAGGTGTTGGGCCTCCTGGATACCATCTGTATGTATTGCTCACTGCCTGATGGCGAGCGCTTTGGGACCGGCAAGGCTCGTGGCAAATTACATGCGAACCATCAACAACCAGGCAACACTCGATGAGTTTGTTCCGGCGTCGATAGTTGGTCGCCTTTTCGGCTCATTTAAAAGCGTGCCAGATTTCTCAGGATGCCTCGTGCTGTAGTCCCACAAGGTATTCTGTTATTTATTCTCAAATGTGGTACTCATAATGGTAAACCAAACCAACTCATCGTTTGGGTTTGCAGGATACTCCTCTCAGACGCTACGATCATTTTCTCCGCTTCCAGATCTAGTCGCTCCCCTGGCGGCATTCACGGGTGTCAACTCCGATACGTTACTGCTGGTGTCGTTCATTTTCTTTGCTCTTCCATCCTCTGCCATCTACTTCTTTAGAGCGGCCCTCGACCATGTGCTCGACTACATCACTTCTACCGTCTACATTAGGGAAGATGATGAATTATACACCACATTCATGTCGTGGCTCCTGAAGCATGACAGTTCCAAGTCTATTCGTTGTGGAGAGATTTACTCCGACCGGTCGGAAGGGGCTTGGTGGACGGACGATGCAAAGTACGATGATTTCGAAAATGCCGCGCTCGCGGATCTGAACCGGCCAGTCATGAATTTTTCCGAGATGAACGCTCTGATTCCGCCTTCTCTCAGTCCGTATTTCAATACCGAAAACCGAATCTGGCATAATCGAAGGTTGTTCCTCATCACGAGAATACGCCGTCTGGCAGGAAGAGATGAAAGGGAAGTCGAGGAAATCCGAATCCGCACCGTGGGCTTGACGACCAAATCCATTTTGTCACTGCTTGTCGATGTTCAGGAGTGGAATGCCAAGGAAAACTCGGATTCCGCATCCACCTCGATCTACTGTATCGAGACGCGGGGATACGTATTCTGGCGCCGCGCCGGGGAACGTCCCTCTCGACCGTTAAGCACCGTTGACATGGATGATGACATGAAATCCACCATCGTCTCGGATATGAACGACTTTTTCCGACCGAAATCTCGGTTGTGGTACGCACGTCGCGGAATTCCATATCGACGAGGTTACCTATTATCAGGTCCACCCGGCACAGGAAAGTCGAGTCTGTCGTTCGCTCTTGCCAGTACGTTTGGCCTCTCTGTGTATATCATCACAATCAGAGACCCGGAAATCAACGACGCAGTCCTGGGTGCTGCCTTCAGAGACCTGCCTGAAAGGTGTTTGGTTCTGCTGGAAGATATTGATTCAGCAGGACTAGGAGATAAACGTGGCAAGAGAGAGGACGATTCAGAAGAAGCATCGAGCACTGGGTCAAGAGTAGGAAAACCCAAAGGCCGTGGGGAAATCAAGACATCTGTTACTCTTTCTGGATTGCTGAATGCGATTGACGGGGTTGGAGGCCACGAAGGGCATGTCCTGCTCATGACAACAAATCATCCGGAAAAACTTGACCCGGCCCTCGTGCGTCCGGGACGTGTGGACTTCCTGGTGAATTTCAGCCTCGCGACCAGTGTCCAGGTCAAGCACATCTTCCTACGTATGTATCTCGATGACGCCAGCCCAATGAAATGCGCCGAGAAGGAGCGGGACTGGACAGAATCGGAATTGAAGGATTTATCGGAGCAGTTTGCCGCACAAGTGCCGTCGTCCAAGTTCTCTCCAGCGGAAATCCAGAACTTCTTGATCACAAGGAAGCGAGAGCCCCAGAGCTCCGTAGATGAGATTGGGACATGGGTGAAAAAAGCGTTGAAATCCAAGGCCACAGGAGAGGGTGAGTAAGAACAGAGTAATGAGGTAGATCCATCGTTCCTACGGCGTTCAGAGGTGGCATGACAGGATCCAGGGTGTACGCTTTCTCGACGAGACGAATAACATGATGACCAAACTACGAAGACCAAAGCGAGAAAGTGTGCTTTACAAACATGGTGTTTAAGTACAAATTCAAAGTTTCGGCTTTATACTCCAACTGATGACCCCACAATCCAGTCCTTTCGAGCCGCGACAGCGATAGTATGGAGGGCATCATGTCGGCACAATAGCTATGGCGTGTTACACGTGAAGTCACCAATCTTTTAAGATGACGGTGTTGCACTGCCATAATGCTGTCGTGCTGTTTCATGAGCTCGTCGTATTGTGGAAGATACCGTAGACCCAACAGCGCCAAACAAGCTCCAATCAACACATGCTGAAGTGGACTTGCTGAGAACGCGGTTCAGGCTGAGCCTGATTTAGACGGGGTTGTAGTGTGAAACCATGCATCTATATCATATGGTGCCGTTGCCAGTCTTGGTGTTATGGAAATGGTAAGTCTTCCAGTTCGAATTCGTTCCACCGCTCATTGCAGCGGCTGTCAGCAATCTTGGAGAGATTTGTGCAATTTCCATTTCAAGAACTTCTCCCAATGTCTATGATCTATAGAGCCCTCGCGAGTAAAACTCCAAAGAAAATCTATGCGATGAGGCCCTCCTAGCTTGACTTTGACGCTGTCGACATCGGATCGTGGCTAGCATAAGGAGCATTCCAAGCATTTAAATAATGGTAGAAGCATGCACCTGATCAGTAGTAGGGGGGGTGACTGTAAGGTTCTGAGGTTGGCTGTATGAATTTTTCCTTCTCCCGCTCCTCTGCTAGCTCTTGTTCGCTGACGGCCTGTGTGGATGTGGCCTATGCCACAAATGTAAATACCAGATATGCATGTGGTTTGAGTCAGGCCGAGCACTGCATAAACGGCGGTCGTGGAAGTGAATGAGTCTTTCGCAGCAAGTCTTCAGGTTGAATGCGTATGTTTAATCTGGCTAGAGCGAAGCGGCATCTGATGATGCCAAATCTGCCGATCCAGATGGCATGAGCCGTCCAAGTTTCCTCGGTGTCACATCCGCACCGATCCTTTTCGAATATAGAGGATATCTGATTCCGTTGTCGTCCTCCTCTTTCACATATTTGGCTTTGCCCTGAGCCAGATGCCTTCAGAGGTTGCATGAACAATCCCGTTGCCACTTTCAATCACCCCCTGGACCCATATCTTTCTCCCCTCTGCTTTCACGACCCATGAACGTGCCATAATGGTTCCAGGTGTTTTAACCGGGTTCTTGTAGCTGATATTCAACTGTACGGTAAAAGTTGGGGTTCGGTCTGGTATCCCTTGGCCAATGGCATTCCCCATACTGCTATCAAGAATCGAGCCAATCACTCCACCATGAAGCACGTTCGCATGGGAATTCAGTCCAGTCCCAAATGTATAGAACCTGCGAACCTCCCCGGTCTGGCCAGTGGACTTGTCAGCAGGCCGGTACATTGAAAGCAGCTCCTTGATCGTTTCGTCGGTGTTCCATGTGGCCGCCATAAGAGAATGGCCATTTCCAGGCTGGGTAAGAGTACGCGACATGCTCACGAGACGGAAGGATGGATCGGAGATAGAAGGTGAACACCATGGTATCGATTTGAAGTGATCAATCGTCGACTGCGGAACCTCGGTATGACTAGGAGTTGGAGCCATGGTTGTTCAAGTACTCAAAGAAAGCGTATCGACAGATTTTATAAACGTAATCAATGAAACCACTCGCCTAATGACCTCAGCGAGATATGATTCTGCTGCTTATGTCGTGTAGATGAAATATAATCCTCAACTCCCACTGTCATACGGAACGTGTATCTGAACAACCGAATTGCCTCGGCCGACGGCCTCCTCTTCAGTAGACTACTGGGCAGGATTCTCACGTATTGGTGTAGCCCGAGCCCATACCAACATACTTGAATAGGAAGTAATATATCATACTACGATGGAAATGTTGTAACTCGATAGACGATGAAGAATTGCGTTCAATAGAGAGCCATATTTTGTCATGGTCAAAGTTGTGAATGTGGCATTGATAGGCGGAGGGGCAAAAGAGATTAGACACCAGAAACGGAGGGAAACCTCCTGTCCGAACAGTGGAACAAGGAACCTCCGGGGGGACGAAATTGAGTTACCTCGAAAAAATAACGTTCGAAACGCTGAAAATACCGCGATTCGGACTTGCGGCGCGAAGGGATCATTCCGGGTCGATAGACTTTGCATCTATTCCGGTCAATCTATGCATCAAGAACCTCAGAAATCTGCGGTCTTTGATTTCATATCCTAGGCCAGATCAGGATCCCTTCTGAAATACGGAAATTTTTTCGACCGGTATCTAATAACTAGTTATTGACTAACTAGTTACTACTAACTAAGTTAGTTAACTTAAACCAAGCAATAACTAGTTAGTTATGTAACTAACTAACTTACAGCTTTCTAGTTAACTTAGTTATCCATAACTAACTAACTTAGTTATGGATTGAGGTTTAGTCACATGACAGAGATAAATCTCTAAACTCAACATCAGATAGTTATAGATGGTATTATGTATTAACATCTAGGAGCTAACAAGATGGGAAATACTATTGATACAATTGAAGGAAATAGAAATGTGCTGTTCGATCTAGGACATGCAAATAGAGACAAATCTATTCCAACCCACACCCTTTACGAAGCTGTCGGTCTCTCGTGGAACAACGGAGTGTCCGGCTCACAAACTGTTCCTGGCTGTGGCAGTGTTCCAGCGAGGAAGTAGTCGGCAATGTGCTTGGACGTGCATGCGGATGGTTGCGCAATCGTCATGTGCTGCGGATGTCAGTTAGCGTTCTTCTTCCTGGTTGGAATCTCGTTGCACTTACACCGTGGCCGTTATGCTTCAAAAGGGCCGATCCCTCAAATAACTCGGAAACGGTCTGAGCCGACTTCCATGGCGTCACCGGATCCCACGTGTTCCCGATGATCAAGGCAGGAGAGCTAGTTTTGACGCGGAAATCACCGCTATATCGCTCCTTGGCTGCGAAATTCCATTGCGGGCAGGCGGTGATGATGTTGGTGGGAGCGTCGCCAAACATAGCGCTTACTTTATAGAGCTGGCCTTCGAGTTCCGCGCGGACTAGATCGAGGTCATCGGTTCGCAGAAACTTGTCTGAGCACCGGATCCCAAACAAAGCTTCAGGACTGGACGCGGCAGCAGCTTCCGGGTCTTCTACGTCGCCAAGAACTGCGGGTGCCGTGGTGTTTCGGGTGAGTATCAATTCGAGCTGCTCGGCAAGATCGCGGTAGTGAGTAGGAAAGTAGAGCTTGCTGTTCATGAGGCTCTTGATCTCTGTGTAGCCGACGATGGACTGTCCGGCGGGAATGGGCTCTTCTTTGAGGTCCTCGATGAGCCGGTCAATCTTCTCTCCCAGCTCTCCCGCGCTCGATGCGTGCTTGGCCAATGCGCAGGCGTTCGGGTTTTCAATGCAAGCCTTGAGGAACTCTTGCCATGTTTCGTCGGTGTCCGTGTACATTTCGGGGTCGCCACTTTGGTGAGCGTCAGTCTCTAGTCCTATGAACGGGGTGGGGAAGCTTACAATGTGTGATAATATTCCATGGGATTCTGGACGGCGTCCAGGATAGCTCTGTCTATCCGATCCGGGAACATGGCCAGAGCCGTTGCTCCAAGCAAAGTACCATATGAAAACCCTAATGGTCAAGTTAGAACCACACCAATCGCCATTTCATCACCGTGGAACCTTACCCCAGAATCGCAATTTCCCGTCCTCGCCAAGAGCGTCGACGATCTGGAACATATCTCGGACGGTAAAAGCAGTGCCAACAAGGTTGCCAACATCCTTCAACGTCTCGCCACAGTCGTCCGCCAGAATCTGACCCTCAGCCCAAGTTCGTCCAAGAGCAGCCTCGCTTGCATTAGCGAGCTGTGCATGGTGCCAAGCGAGTGTTGCAGCTCTGTCGGTGGCGTTGGGATAGCAGTTGTAGGCAAGTGTTTTACCGGTGCCTCTGTAGATGCGTCAGTCCATCGGTGTAGAGACGGGTTTCGGAAGTGAGACATACCGGGGATCCCAGCTGATAAGGTCGTGTTCACCGCCAGTGATACTTACAAGGTCAGTCAGTATGAGCAGCAAGCAATAATCAGTGACTATCTTACGGCTGAACAATTGGTGATGCGCTGGCCATATTCACGAGTCCATCCCCGCCGGGACCTCCCCAGTTGAACAAGATGCTCCCCTTCTTGGGTTGCTTCAATGCCGGAATCTTGATTACGTCAAGGTTCAGAGTACCAGGGATTTCGCCGGTATAGTCCAAAGGAACTTCTAAAGTTCCGCATCCGAACGTGCGACCGTGGGGGTCGAAGGCGTTGAGTTCTGGGGGACAATCGGCCCATTCGATGCCCGGCAGTCGGTTTTGGAGCTGGACGTGAGGGACGGCATAGCTGCCCGCGAGGAGGGAGAGTGTGAGGATGGATGAAGTCGTCCGCATGGTGATTATGATTATGATATCTGCTTATGGTTCGAGCCAGAAAACCTATCTCGTCCGGCAGGCCAACGTCTTATATTATGCTGAAGCATCGTCAGTGAGCGCGACGTGGTTCCAATTGCGGTTTGGTCCGATCTATTTTTGCACTTCTGCAAACCCTGTGGCTGTGATTGTAGGAATACGGCTCAAAATTCGAAATTTGTGGAAAAGAGAAGCTCCACAAGGTACGGCCTCGTAATGAAAGAATCAGTACGTAGTTGAGCGCATGGTATCTCCCAAAGCGGAAATCCAAAAAAGCCTACTACGTAGTACCGCAGCGGTCAAGGGGTCTGCGCGCGCTATGCAATGGCCAATGCGGGGGTTGTGGCCCCAATCGTCACCATGACATATGTGGACACTGAACAGACATGGGACAGCAGAGAAGAGTATCGCCCGAGCGGCTGACTGATCTGCGTCCAACTGTCCCAAGCCACCTTCACAGCGAAACTGCACCTCCCCGCCGACAGGGAACTGAAGCCATAAAATTAGGATATTGCGGTGTTCAGACGAGGGTCAGGATCAGGATTTGAGAGGGAACAGCTGCAATTCATTGGTTGTTAATCATATTCAGCCACCAGACTGTTTAGCTGCCGCAAGATCTGAGGGCTGTTGAAAACCGACAGAGACCAAAGGAACATCTAGCGTACCAGAAATACCAGTAGTATCCCGCGCCATCTTCAAAACGATCAGATTAATATAGTGTGACTGGATTTATTCGCCAGAATAAATTACCTCCAAGTAAGGGCAGTTTAAACTAGTTATAACAGCCCTAACTTAGCTCCTTCGATAACTTGTGTTCCGTCATTCGTTGACCATGTGGATTATTAGGTATTGCAAAATTCATGTACTATGGAGTAGGGTGGGTGAAAGATTTCAATGAAATCTATTGCTCTTGTAATTTTCATGAAAGATTTCCGGAGGTCTGGAAATATTTCATGCCAAGCTTTCGTTTACTAATTTGGATGGCGGAGATAGAGTTAAGATGGTGAGATTTTGAGGAATTTCACGGAGTTCGGTTTTGATGCCTAAGGCTGCAAGGCACCAATATTTAATCTAACCAAGCCAAAATAGGACTAGCGTAAATTTCGGAAAGAAGCAATTTATATGCATAATTTAAATTCTATCAGTCATCCGAAGAAATATATATAAATTACTGAAATTCAACCACCCTACTATGGAGGCATTCCCCTCGCCATCTCTACATAGTCGGACACGCGTCTGCCACAGGACGCAAATCTTTCAGCGCTGCGGTTTTCGGATCGTAGTTCATCCGCCGTTCCAAATACTGCGAAACCTGTCTCCAGCTCGCCGCGGGAAAATCGGACTTGTACTCGGTCAGTAGCTCTTCGAGCCGTGTCTGCCTGTCGGTCCCTTTCGCTAGCGCCCATGCAGCCATTAACCTTGTCACGTTAGCATTCCATCGACGTCAGTGCTGGTTAACGACATGATACTCACGATATTGGCATGCCGCTCGATCCTAGAGGCCGGTATTGGGCACCATCTTCTGCGAGGGCGATGATATCGCCAACTAATGCCTCCCCTTCAGCGGCAAGGATGAGATTGTAAGGCTCGAAGCATCGGCGGAGGATGTTGTTCAAGATAACGGCATAGGCGAGTAAAACGCTATGGAAAGCCTGAAAGCGAGAGCGGGTTTTCACGGGATAGTCTGTTTTCGTGATTCTTGGGATGATTACCTCCCGGATCTTGTGAAGGTCAAATCCGGAATGTTGATAAGCGATTCTGATGTCTGCTTCATGGGCGTACGGATCATTGAGAAACTGCTGGATTTTGGCAAGCTGGCTCAATCTCATGCTCTTCATAGGGATGGCTTGGTCGTGTCGGTTTACCAGTTGGTCAAGCCAAGGCTGCACTTGGATTTTCGGGTTGCCAATGCTTTCGAGAATCTGCGGCTACGAGTGAGTCGGCTCGTTCCGAAAGGGCTGGATGGATACACATCTTACCACGGGGATGCACAAGGTAACCAGTAGCTGGTGGTCAAATTCATCGTCCCATTTTTTGCACGCTATTGTTCTTAGTATCTGTGATAAAAGCTCTCCATGCCCTGTGAGCATGCAATCACCCATCCAGGCCTACAATGACGTTAGTATCTAAGCGTAAGAGATCTCATGGCTCGTACTGACCTGACATATTATCATCATGTAAATTGCGCATAATGTATTTATCGAGCTTGCCTCGCTAGGCCTGTCCAGGCTCGTTCTAAGGGCAGCTAAAGCTCGAAAATAACTCTCCACCACCTCAGGACTCTTTTCATGAGAATAAATTTGAGGGAACCCCACTGAAAACGCATGTACGGAAGCATCAAGAGCGGCATTAGCCCCAAGGCGTCTGGGGATTTCCGTAAGGAATTCGCCATAGGCAGTCGGGTCGTAGCGAATGTCTGTCACCCGCAGCGTGGATAAGAAGGCAGAAGTCACCAGGGTCAGCCTATTGCTCGGTGACGCTGGCACCACAAGTGCAGCTGCCTCCGGTGAACGACATGGAGACGGGTTAGTGCTCGGTGTGTGGCTCTCCAGCCGATCGATGGTTCGATTCTCTGCAAACTTGAATCGCTGTTTGCCGGCACCGACACAAGCAACCTGAAGGCGGGCGCATCTGGAACATGCAGGTCGTTGTTGATCGCACTTCGTCATAATTAGTTGCCCATGATACCGGTCTCGGGAGGACATGAAAAAGAACTATACCTTTTTCCTCTGTTTACGACATGCATCGCATGCTCGACTGGAGGGAACTCCGGGCATTTTCCTTCGTGGTTTGGGATAGAGCGCTGTATGGAGCTCGAAGGAGAAATGGTAGATGATCGGAGACGTTCCGAACTCAGGGTTTGAATGCGGCGAGGATGGTTCACATAATCACCTTAGCCGTGGTTACCAACCTATATGAGGGAACTTGTGGCGGTAGCCAATACGGGATGACGCCTTTGTGGGATCAAAGCCAAAGGAGTTGACCAAGTGCCAGCACGTACCAATGGTAGGTACAGTATACAGTACATTATGGCAGAGGAGCTCAGGCTCGCACCCTTAAGTCTCAATTTGATCCCCTCGATTAGGCCACCTGTGAAGGCTAGGGAATGCTGTGTTCCCAGTGACTAATTATGGTCACTGTGCGAGAACGTGGGAATTGGGGTCGAGATATGCAGTGAAGAAAGGATGGGACAGAGATATAATTAGCACTACTCTTGATATGGTTAGCGTGCCAAGAGAGCGCGGTATCACACCGTTTACGGTTAGCGTAGCAACTGTCCCTCTCAGGGTTCATAGCCTCCGACGGCCTCCTGATCAGCAATTCAGCATGCCCGACGACTCGGCAGCGAGAAGCGTCGAGGCGCAGCGCAACCCGCCGCTTTCTTGGATGACGCCTATCCCATACCTTCTGTCCTCGTCAAACCGTCGATGATGTCCCGTTGCCGTTCAGCCCTGCAGGGCTGACCGGCTGAGTCGTTCCCTTCGTCCAAGGAACCAACAGGATAGCTATATAATCCCTTCAAAAGACCTTTACAGTGTCAATTCATAGTCGGAAAACTAAACCAGCCTCCTCCACATTCATTCTTGAAGCAAGACCATCTCCAGTCAAACCCCTTCCTCTCACAAGAAAGGATCACGGCATCATGGAGCAAACCACAGAGAAGCTATCGCACGAAAGAAACGCAATGAGTAGCACTCTTCTGGTTGACTTCTCCTGGAAGAACTTCAAAGCTCGCGTCACCGAGAAAGACGATCCGGAGTCGAAGGACCTCTACATTATCGACTTCAAAGCCCTCAAGCCGAATCTAGTCTTCCAGCACGCAAGCGACGGATCGACATTCGGCACCAGCTCCTTCCACACCTTCGCCATCGATGCCGACTGCGAGTTCTATGGCCAACCCATCAAGCTCAAAGCTCAGAAGCGCTTCAAAACTGCGTACGCTCACAAGTCCCGCACCTACTCCGGCACCGACGAGCCCATGACTCTGCACTGGACCAGCGACTACGACTTCAAGGTATGGGATTTCATCTGCGTCGACGCCGACCAGAATCCCATCGCGAAATATTCGGCGAATTGCTGGGCTATGAAGAAAATCGGTTCCATCGAGTTCATCGGCCCGAAGGCAAACACCGATGCCGTGCGGGAGGAGTTGTTGATGATGGGGTTGTCGTTATACTACCTCATGGTGCTGAGGACGAATAGCATTTTCTCACTCTTTGGCGCCGTCTTCTCGCAACCGGGCCGCGAAAGCAAAGCGGAGCGACAGGCTCTCGAAAAGGAAGAGGAGGAGCGGAAGATGAAGAAACTTTCAGTAGAAGGACCAGAGCTAGCGGGACAGGTGCAGACTACATGATTGCGAGACGGGTTGTAAGCCTCATTCTGTTGATCATTCAAGATCACGCTTAGCCTATTTTCCTCCCTCTTACTAGCTGATTTCAACCTATCGCCGTCTAACACGGTTTACCACTCTTTTCATCACGTGTTTTCATCTCTAGATCCGATATATCTAGATAGACGGTCTTTACCACAGATACTACAGAATCAGATCACTTTTACCATCCAAAATACAGTCCTTTGGATCCTGTATTTCTCCTCGTTTTCTTATAATATATGAAAAAAACGTTTCTTACCTAAGAAACTCTGAAACCTTGCAATAAACATTTATGTCGCAGGCCAAGGCATGAGCTCTAGGAGTCCAAGGCTACAAACTGCATTAATAATCTTGCCGTGACTCTCATATATCTGTATGGCCGGGGGACCAGGCATTCAGCTAGAACACACAACTTACACAATACAACAACTTCGCTGCTGGAACAACAGCACCTCACTCCCAACCATTTTAGCACATCACGTGCGACAATTTATTTCAATTGAAAATTACCTAGAATAAGCTAAGCCAAAAGTAGTTAGTACATCATGTGACACCATATCTCTTTTAAAGTGGTAGATCTGTGACCAGGGTGGAGACCTGAATCGAGCCACTCGCCTCGCTTATACTCGCTCGCTAAGAACTCGCTTGATACTCGCTCAAAGGCTCGTTTTACGTGAGTCGCTCGTTCCGCTAATCCTCTTTCATACAAGTTTACCAATCTTACTCGATTTGAACCCCTATTTACACATAAATAGGAAGGAAAGTTGGAACTTTATTTGGTTGGCGCAACCACGGTACAGGTACGCTCGCCAAGGTTCTTAGACGAGTGTGAGTAAAGTCGAGCAACTCGATTACGTAAGACTCGAGTTCGCTCAAACTCGCTCAGGTCTCCACCCTGGATCTGTCCCATACCTGCAGGGATCTGTTGTATGCAGAAACCACATTGCTTCCAGCTACCATATCTTTACGGAACCACGTCCATTCCCTATGCACCCTACATTCTCATACTCGCCCAGTTTAGAGCTATAATTTGATATCTATATTAATATAGAAAGTCTGTGTTGAGTCCGGTCGAAAATCTTTCATTTTCGACTTGTAAAGTTGTAATACAGCCGATGGTCTGTTCCCCTGGGCAACAGAATACAGCTTTTGCGGTCTTTTCTTCTACTATCAATAACTCTACAAACATCTATTTAATTTTGATGTAGGGATCGGAATATTTTTCTGGATCGGAACATTTTTCTGCAGACAGCCCACAACTTGGAAATTCGCTGAGATAAGGGTCGTAATCGATTCTACACACTTCATTCACCTATAATCAACTATTGCAGCCTTCTCAACTATCATGGTTGAAGGGCGCACGAGGGGGAAGGGCCCGCAGGCCAAAGACGCGTCCCCGACGCGTCTCCAGCAGGCGGACCACCCACGACCCAACACCCCCAACGGAGTGGGAGAACAAACTGGACGGATGGATGAGGGGCGGATGCTCCAAATCATGGAACATCATATAAAATTCGCGTTGGAGAGCTGCCGTGGATGGGCTGGAGCGGAGTCGCTCTGTGGAGTCCTGGAGGCTCACCTAACGCCCGTTCTCCGGCTCATTCCGGAGCTGGCACAGAGAAAGAGTATGGAAAAGGCGCAGGCGGGAACACCCGCCCGGGACCCAGCGATGGGTCAAATATTGGAGCGTCTTGGACGTATTGAGGCTGGAATCGCGAAAGACCGCGGTCGCCCAGCCGTGGCCCTAACCACCAAGGCACCAACCCGGAGCGAGATCGCCGTAGGAGGGAAGACCAAAGCGGTCGTTGAAGTGCGTCTCTCTGAAATGGCAGGGGCCGTAGAAGAGACGACGGAAGAGAAATTACAGAGAATCAAGAAGGTAATCCTAGACGCGAAAGCGCTTATCCCACACCACAGGGCAGCTGGTAAGATATCTGTCGTGGTTCCCACGACTACCCGACGGGACCAGATTATCGCTACTGGAATCGCTGGGGATGACGGCGTCAAGCTGATCCGTCGCCCCAAACTACTCATGGTAATGGGTATCCCGATTAACACATAGATCACAACCGGTAAAAGCAAGGGGAACACCGAATGGGCGAGACAGATGTCGAACCAAAACGCTGTTAAAATTAAACGAGTCTCCTAGCTCTATAAGAAAGAGAAGCTGGCGGCCATCCGGAAGGCTGGATCCCAGACGAAGGGATCAGTTATTATCGAGGTGGCTAACGATACCGACGTGACGCGGCTTATTAAGGACGGCTTCCTCTATGGCGCCCTATGGCTCCTAGTTAAACTATGGGACGTTACTCTCCGGGCGGTCCAGTGCTTCCGATGCTGGAAATGGGGCCACACGCAGTCCGTTTATAACGCGGATAGTGACACCTGTGGGCGCTGCGCAAAACAGCACCCTACAAGGGGATATATAATACAAGACCTTCAAGAGGGAAGGTGCGCAGGGTGCAAGAAATCTGGGCACTTTGCCTAGACGACCAGAAGCTGTGCGGCATATAAATCCTTCGCAGTTGGCCAGCGAGCCACAGAAAACCGCCTTAATGAGGCTACCGTCGCTGTCCAAAGCCAAAGCCAAAACCAAAACGTCACAACCCACCAGGTCCGCCACGCCGACGAGGGATACACCCTCGTTGAGCACTCCCAGAAGCGGAAGAGGGCAGGACCTGGGAGGCCCTCAGGAACCACGGTGGCTGCCCGAGCCCCAGGGCAGCAGCGGCTCCAGCTCTCGGCTAGTCAGCCGAACGACTTTATGTTCGGCATTAGTATTCCTACCTTTACGACACCTACCGGAAAGGACAATACCCCTAGTACTCAATGATAGGGACTGGCATCCTCTAATACAACTGCGGTAATGCGAACAACGATAAGGCTAGGGCTACCTTCGACTCGATTGATCCTACCCGGTTTCCTATACTTGTAATTCAGGAACCGATGGTCGCCGAAACTAAGCCAACAGTCACCTATATACTGAAGAATTTTCGCCTAAGCCGACCTATATACTACGGTATACGGGTCGTCTTCTTTATCCACGATAAGATCCTTCTTACAGCTTGGGAATCAAAGCGAGCCTCCGACCACATCGAATGGATCCGCGTTATAACGCATGATAGACCCCTCAACCTCGTTAACGTATATAACCTACCAGGGCACACAGGCCAGCCACAGCTTGAGAAGCGGCCGGAGATCGCGGAAATTCTCTGCGAAATTGGCCAAGAGAATGTCATCCTCCTAGGGGACTTTAACTGCCATCACCTAGCCTGGGGTGGAACCGGAACCCTAAAGGAACCAAAGGCAGACCACCTACTCCTTCAAACCGAGCAAGCTGACCTCTAGCTCCTTAACGAGCAAGGGGTAATAACGTGGCAGCGGAACCAGAGCCAGTCGGTCATTGACCTAGCCTTCGCCTCGCCGGAGATCGTCTTACGGATCCTCCTTTACCACCCACGGCCGGAGTGGTCTACTACAAAGGACCACTTTCTAATCGAGATCCAGCTGGACGCCAAGGTCCCCTCACAACAGACGAGCCCAAGGTTCATACTGTTATGGGTTGAAACCCTTGGTTGGCTAAGGCTGAGAGCCTAAGCCTGATTAGGTTAAAGGTTGATTCTGAGTCCAACCCTCTTCGATGTAAACGAGAAGTCTTTCCCCTTCTTGTTCTCTTCTTTAGCTTAATCTAGAATACCTTTGGCTACGTGTATGTTGTGTGCATCCAGCTACCGTGCCGTAACACATACTGAAGGATGCCCCGTGGGAAGAAATCCGGGAAGATATCTCTAGTTCTCAATGGTACGTGCCAGAACCCCATACTGCGATTGACACCTTATCAGACTTCTTTACGGCACCTTGGACAAGCACTGTAAACGAGCGCGACCTTGTGACTGGTCTAGGCCGGAGTGGTCACCACAGGCTGCAGAGTTCCTGGCTGGCGCCCGCCAGGCCCGACGCCGGCTCCAACGGACCCAGGACCCGGACGACGAACGAGAGTGGAAATACCAGAGGAATGCCCTAAGGAGGAAGATGCGTAGCGACGGCCGGACGAGATAGAGGAAACTCGTCCAGACACTTACTGAAGACGAGAACTACCCGGACTATATACACAACCGAGGGCTCTAGGGACTGAATAAGTAGAGCCAGAAGGCCGCTAGGAAACCCGGTGGGCTTACAGCTATCCTACCACTTAGGCGCACAGAGAACGATCCCCCGACGGGAGACAACCAAGGGAAAGCAGAGATCCTTACTACAAAGTTTTTCCCATGGAGCGGTGCCGCTGACCTCTAAGTCATAACCAACGAACAGTTTCCACGATTCGGTATCGGGCAAGAGGTCACCCCAGATAAGATCACCCCGATTATCCGCCGGCTACCGAACCAGAAGGCCCCCGGGCCTGATATGATCCCGAACGAGGTACTAAAGGCCCTCTCTGATAACCTAGCCGTAGACCTAGTCCGGACGGTCACCGCTCTCTTCCGAAGTGGGGAGCTACCAGCAGTTCTAAAGGAATCTACTATGGTGGTACTAAGGAAGGACAAGAAAAAGGACTACTCACTTCCAAGCAGCTACCGCCCTATTGCTCTTGAAAACACGGTTGCAAAGCTAATCGAGAAAATCCTCGCAGATCGACTGATCACTGAAGCGGAAACACGAGACCTGATTCCCTGGAACCAAATGGGAGCTCGAAAGGAGAGATCCACTCTCTCCGCCCTAGAACTCCTTACCGGGACTATACAGACGGCGTGGCACGTAAAGAAGTATGTGGTCTCTGTACTTGGGCTTGACCTTGCTGGAGCTTTTGATAACGTCTCTCACCCCCGGCTGCTCTGGGTCCTTCGTCGGATGGGATATCCCGAATGGATTATCCAGATGATCACATCTTTCTTAACCGGACGGCGAACAAAGATTCTCTTCTCGGACTTTAAGAGCCGCTGGTTCGACACGGAGACAGGGATCCCGTAAGGCTCTACCCTATCACCCGCGCTGTTTATCCTATTCATATCTGACCTGCTACATCAGTTCAAGGATGTTCAGGGTAACGTGCTCGGGTTCGGGTTCGTTGATGATACTACACTTGTCACCTGGGGAGACACGGCAGCAGCCAACTGCCAACGACTAACTGCGGCCCACGATACTTGCCTGGAATGGGCGTCACGGTTCGGGGCTAAATTTGCCCCGGATAAGTACCAGATTATCCACTTTACTAAGAAACGCAATCTTTCCGCTGATCTCCGGTCTACGATCCAGATATAAGGACACTAAGCTGAATTAGTTACATCCCTCCGGGTACTGGGAGTCTGGCTTAACCCTTCCCTCTCATGGAAGGATCATATCCTCCGGGCAATATAGTGGGGACTTAAGGCCTTCGACTCCCTAGCGAGGGTAACTTCGTCGGTATGGGGACTATCCGTCCGGAAATCGAGGCTGCTCTACACAGCGGTTGCACGGCCCATTATGACATACGGCGCCCCAATCTGGGGAGTCCGTCAGCAGGGAGAGCCAATCTCTGAAGGCGAAATGAAGGACCTAGCCAAGGTACAGAACAAGTGCCTTCGAAAGATCCTAGGGGCTTACAAACGGACACCAATCGCCGCGCTTGAGAGAGAGGCGGACGTGCCCCCAATCGAACTATACGTCCAAGAACGGGCCGCTCAAAGAGCAGCATCGACGACCTCCTATAAGGTCACTACCCAGATTAAGGGAGCCCTGACGCAAGTCTGGGATACTGCCTCCGCTCCCTCGAGACGAACTCGAGGCCGACCCCGCCGTGTCAGGTCTAAACCCGAACCCGCAATATGTACTCTCCGGACCCAATATGACAAACTTCTGTTCCCCCGGCCCGAACGAGCTAGGGGATATGAGACATAACAGCGAAAAGGCCCGCACCGGATGATCCAGGACGAGTATCGGGCGAAATGGAGGGAGAGATGGCAAGCCGAAGCGGCCAAACCAGGAAGGAGAGCAAGGACATGGAAGGACCGGTGGGAAACCCAGTGCCTTAACCGGTTCGATGGCCTTTAGAAACACGAGGCCTCGGCGCTTATGGTACTACGGACTGAGGTAGTTGGAGTTAAAGGATGGCTTGCGAAAATCGGTGTCCCTAGAATCCACCCAGCGTGTGAGTACGGTGCCCCCCGATAGTCTCTCTACCATCTCCTTACGTTTTGCCCGCAGCGGACCTACCAGAGGATCGCGCTCCTCCAACGAGCTGGAACAACGGACTTTAAGAGGATATTGCATGACAGGGACAAGGTGCGCTACGCAGCAAGGTGGCTGATCGATGCGGGAGGCCTAGAGCAATACCGGGTGGCCAAGGAAGTTAAGAAGGAAGTAATAGAGGACTGGAAACCGTTCCAGCTCCTCCACGACGTGCCAGAATAAGCTCTCCGCGTAGGCGGAAACACCGACCCGTGCGGAAAGATTAACAATGATTGAGATACTCTACTGAGAGGAGGAGGCGGGATTTTATGTACCTGCAGCCTCGGCTGGGGGGAAACTTTTGCCCGCGACAGACCAGATAGAATATCGTGCTCATAGACCCGAAAGGGATCCAGATAGTACATTAAATTGATTATTAGTATTATTATTATTATATCAATGCGAACTCGCATGTTCGCGTGCCTGTAACAACTCCATTTGGGCAGACAAACGGCCGAACAATTCAAACTCCATCCTCGCAGCTGGCTTTGGACCAAGACGTATTTGACCAACGATATCAGAACCGGGTGGAAAGTCATGTTCAAGGACGGGCTCCCCAGCACCTCTCATGTTAGCTAGGACAGCCTGTCTGAAGTGCCATCGTAGAAGAGAAGCAGCTGGTGCATCAGGGCGAGCAAAGTATGCTGGATCAAGATTTTGGCCACCAACAACTCTTGAATTAGGCCGAAAGACCACAACTTTGTAATTATCCTAAGAAAAGAGTCAGCTGCAGTCTCTGAACTGAAATATAAGACGTACATCCGGGTTGATCGACATATAGTAAGCGTCGAATAATTGGTGGATAGCGGAGTCAAGCAACAATCCATTTTGTACAGAGTTGATAGAGCCTCCTTTTGCTGCCGGGATTGTAATCCACCGGCCGTAGTTGTGACCTATCCAATCACCTTCATAGGCTAGTGGAAAAATATGTGCCGCTTCGAAGCCGTCCCAGAAATCAACCCCATCAAAAGTGTGTACAATCGCCCCGGATATGACACATCGACGATCTCGTGAACGAACAGCCTCCGTGAAGGCGGCGGCACGGGTTCCGGTAGCACGACTAATTGTTCGGACGAGCCATGGCTCATTATTAACCTGGAAACGACCTGCTTAGAATTTAGCCATTTAATTACTCACGAATGGTGCCATTCTGAAACTAACCAGTGGCAACAATGAAATACTTCCCAGGTTGAAGCATATTGGCATCTCTATCTATCCTAGTGTCGCTTTCATTCCGAACAAAGAAGTACGGTTCATCCTGAATGATATCGTCTGTGGGAGCGATGAGAATCTCCAGCATTGAGTAGAAATTGGCATTTGAAAGGCCGGGGGTGAGAAGTAGACCACCAAGCACGGTAACAGGGTCATTTGCGTCGTAGATATGGACATTGCGGCCTGCCGAACGATTGGGCGGAGGCATGGTAGATCTTTGCGGCAATAGAGGATCGGAGGTTTTGGAGGGAGAGCCGGACGTAATGGAGGACGCCGACGACATGGTGGATATTTAAGACGCAAAGATTGCATGAGGATGGCAGATCGCAGACGGCAGGTGCAGACTTGCAATTAGCAAGTGGGTTGATGATGAAAGGGCACAAGTACAGGTGCCAGATGTCACAGAATATCTGTGTTTCTTATGTGGCTTGTTTTCAGACTGGTTGAGGCGTTAATCAGGTACACATATAAGTTCAACCCCCTGTCAAGTAGCCAACCACTCGAGTAGCCAGTATCACCATCTCAACCTCCATCGGTCAGACAGCAATATCTCTACTAAAACATATTATATTTGGAAATCTATACAGCATGATTCAAAAGATACAGCTTGGAGAGACTCTGATGTAGATTTGGCCTCCGAAATTGGATGTCTTCGTTGGTAATCTTCCTCTACCGCTCGTACAGCTTCTTGTGCCAATTTGATCTCCCGAACTTGCGCAAACCTCTGATTAAGATCTATCTGAACTTTCTTTTTACGTT